AATTAAGAATGTGATAGTTACAGGTCACGAGTACGTCATGCTCCCAGAGACATGATCAATACTAGTAACTCTAATATATAAATATCCAAGCTTTCCATACCACCCAGCAATCCACTTACTCCGATTCCTCCAATAAATACCGCTTCACAATCCCCCAATACCTCTCTGGATCAGCTCTCATATGCGAAACATGCGGCGACCCCACAAACTTCTCCCTCGACACCACCCAACCCCTTGCCTCCGCCTCATCAGCATGTCTCTCCACATCCCTCCAATCCACCAGCTCATCCGCCTCCGAATAGATATAGCACCGTCGCGGCTTCCCACCATCCTCACCAGGAATCAGCCTCTGATCATTCATCGCCTCCCGCCCAACACCAACAGCATCTGACAACCCAAAAAGGCGGCGCACAAGCGCCCCCAGCACGAAAAACAGCCATAGCACAACCTTAGTAAACTGGCGGAAAAGCCACGGGCTCGGAAGCGCATACGAGAATGCCTTCATGGCGCCCGAGACCGTCGCCACGCCTGGCGCACTGTCCAGGATCGTTGATGAGATGCGGAGTGGTCGGCCCACCGTCTCTTGGTACGTGTTCAGGAGATTGATTGTGGAGAAAACGCCGCCGTTGGAGAACATGTGTATGAATACTTGTTCTTGGGATCTGGTTGTCTCTTCAGCCGAAGAAGACGACGGGAACCAGGCCCGGAGAGCCTTGACGGCTGGGGCGAGGCGCGCTTGTTGCGCCTGCTTGCTGGACCGTGTCATGAAGTCCTTGGAGGAGCTTAGGATGATGATGATTCGGGCTGTGGGTACTAGGCGGATGTACTCGGTGACGTATTTGATTAAGGCTCGTGGGGGAGCGTTCATCCAGGATGCTAGGATGATGGTCTTGGGGGCGCCATTGCTTTCAGACTGCAATTGGGGTTCGTGGATATAGACTGAAGGCGATAGTTTGGTGTATGCGGATAGGGGGTTGCCCCGGGTCTCGGGTTGCGACATCTTGGATTGCGCTTGGGCTTCCTGAGACTGTAGCCTTGACTTTGCCAGTGTTTATGTCTACTGGACGGTGTGAATAAGGGGAAGAACCGAAGTAGAGATTTTAAAGGAGGATTAAACTTCTTATCTATATTTAAAACGGGGGGGGAGGAGTCGATAGATCTGACACTAGAGAAGCACTAATCACGGCTCCGAAATGAGCCCAACAGTCCTCGGCATGCGATCTCTCGCGACTATTGGGTGGAGCCGTCCATCTTATTTGTCCCCATACGTGGAGTAAGGGGCCTTTCCAGGTTCTAGTTCGTACGCCGAGTATGCACAGCATGCCTAACAGACTTGGGCCAACTATCTCACCCAACCCTACCGTTGTTGAAATAAGGCTTTTATCCCATGAAAGTGATTTCCTTATTTAACGCCAGCCCATACCACGCTATGCTTTATAATCAAGCCGTCCTTGTTTTGCTCATAGTAATCTGAGACAAAGAAATAGAAACATCGAAAGAAATGTAACAGGTCGTGCGCCAATAATTTAAGGTATCTCCTAGCACATCATCTCCTGACGGCACTATTCACCAACGTTACTTTTTCCCTGGGCTTTGAACGTTGCACTAGGTGGGCGTTGCAGAGCCTCCGGTGTCCTTCTTTTTCCCTCTTAATGTTTGTCCACTTCCCTGAAAACGGGGCTTCTCGTCATCGACAACCTGGCCGCTTTCGTCACGCTTTTTGACGGGCTTGATTGCATATCCAAAGAATAATTGATTAGGCGGGAGCCGGAGCGGCATTGGCCCGTTGGTCCGCCTGACAGGAGGAGGATGTTGAGGGTTTGTGGCTCCGGGAGTTGGAGTTGAGGCCTTCGGGGTTGGAGCCTTACTTCCCTTTTTCGCATTCAGACGCTGTCCACCGATAAGGAAGTTTGACGACACCGCTTTTGCTCCTGCTGCAGCATCAGTAGACTCAGGCGCAATGGCGGCATAGTTGATTGATTGAGCCATGGTTCCATGGGGGTGAAGTAATCCGCCAGACGGAAGCTTGGTTGCGCTCACGCCACTGCGGGGAGTACTGGTACCACTTGGGCGTGGGGGTTCCTCGTATCCTACAGGAGGGGCAAAGTCGACCTCCAAATCTGTTTCGAGGACGGAAATGGCATTTGAATTGGTGGCTGGCTTAGTTTCCAAAACCGCCATCTCATAAACTTGATCATTGTAGGCAAATGTGAAGACATCACCCTTTGTAAGACACGAAAAATTGCGGAATGCATTCTCAAGCACAGCCTTTGGATCGCTTATATCAAGAAACGACGTTGATTGGGCCTGGAGCTTGATGAACTGGCCCGGAGGAAGATCGGTCGATTTGACCTGTACTAGGTCACCCGGTTCGAGGAGGAGGGTTTGCATGAGCTACACATGACAATTTGTATCAGCATGTTGGTGTCTAATACGATAAAGAGCGCTAGTAGGGCAGAGAAAATTATTTGAAATCTGGGTATAGTTAGAATTAATGGGACAGTGGACAATCTCACCCAAAAAGGCAGATAGATTTTCCCCTCCTCAGCGATAAACTCCAATACACCCGCGTGGGTCAACCTTTCTCGTGCACCATTATGCAGCTCGAAGAGCATAGGGTATGTGATATGTAGCCGAGTCAACTTGTCCAAAGCACTCGGTGGCATGATGACTTTGCCGCCGTGGTTGACGTTTTCTCTCTCGGGACCAGGCATCATGGCGACGGGGTAACAGCGGTAGTACTCGTCGAAACGGCGGGTTGCACCTCCATGGCGGAGCATGGAGGAGCTGAAGACGCCGTCCATGGGATCATCCTCATAATAATTAGAGCGGAACTACAAAAATCAGTACACAGAGAAGTTAACAACAGCGGGACTCGTCTGAAGCTCACCATGGTGGGAAGCCGGCAGTAACCGATGCTTAGGCACTGGTTGAACAATACTTGAACGAGGACACTAGATCTAAGGTTTCCTTATTTTTTTTTTATGACCAGAGACAGATAAATGAACTTTCGTACTGGTTGCTCGGAGAGACCAGAATGTTCAAATTGCACAAGAAGGTCGCGAATAGTTAGGTGAAGCACTGCTCGGGAAACGAAGGCTTATCGCCCGCAGTGACGCAAATGCCTCCGCAATGATTTTCCGACCCGACCCCATTTGTACATCTTCAGCAACGGAGTTTCCTCCCATAAAAGTTCACATCCCCGGTATTCAAATATTATCGAGCTCTGTGTGAGCTTATAGACTAGTGCGATCGCTTCATTAATATTTTTGTGATTTGCTTTACGGTGACTTTCACCCAATTTATAATTCATGTCCGGCACTCAGCCACGCCCCAAGCGGGCTGGTGAAGACTTCACTCGCACACATCAACATCCCGAGGACGACCCGAATGAACCTTCGGGCAAGAAAGCTCGGTTTGATCTCCGAAACCCTTCTGCTCTTGCTCCGGATGCGCTCGAAGACGATGCAGTATTAGACGCGGACGAGATCGGTCGGCGCGGACAGCAAGTGCGTCGCAAAGCAGTAAATCTTGACGGCTACGACTCGGACAGCGAAAATGAAGGGTTTGACGCGCGAGCCGAGGCCCTGGCGAAAAAGAAACAGAAGGAAGATGCGGCAGATGACGATGACATGTTTGCCGAGCTACAAGAGGACTTTGGTGCGGAAGAGGTCGACGCCGACGAAGCTTTAGGGAAGAATAAGAAGTCTGTGCGATTTCTACGAGACGACGAGATCGAGGGTCAGGTTGCATCCTCCAAAGGTGGTGGTACACTACACGCAGACTTGACTAAAGGCCCCGATGAGGTCGACGACGACGATGAAGCGGAAAGCGAGAGCGATGTTGCGGATGAAGACCGCGCTATGGTTGATGAGGATATGGACAAGGAACTGGGTGCAGGATCGAAGAAAAAGCATGCGCCCTTACTTGATGCGTTTAATATGCGGACTGAACAGGAGGAGGGCAAGTTTGATGATCAAGGAAATTATATACGGAAGGCGGCAGACCCCGATGCCATCTACGATTCGTGGCTTGACGGGGTGTCAAAGAAAGATATTCGGCGTGCCAAAGAAGCCGCGGAGAAAAGAGAAGCCGACAGGAAGGAAAAAGATCGGATGGACGATAGTGTATTAACGGGAGACGCCTTGAAGACCCTTATAACTCACCTTGACCGAGGCGAAACTATACTGGAAGCGCTGGCTAGGCTAGGAAAGGGCGCTCAGAAAAAGCCCAAATGGCAAAATAAACACAGCAAAAACAGGTTAAAGCAGAATGGGGACACAGGGGATACGGAGATGACGGAGGATGACCCTAAAGAAGTCGCTCGGAAGCAGGCGATTGATGCGATTACGGGGGCAGCAGATATCCTCATGACTCGGGGCCAAGCGGACATCTATGATACAGAACGCGAGTTACTCACCCGTCAGTATCGCCGTGAGACGGGCGAGAATTGGGTTGACCCCCCTTCACAAGATACAGACCCTGTCAGTAGCGAGCAGGCCCCTGCAATGTGGGAATTTCGTTGGTCGGACGCCCGCGATGGTGGGATTGTTCACGGACCGTACGACGGTACAACGATGGAGTCGTGGAAAAATGCCGGGTATTTCGGTGAGGGTGTCGAATTTCGAAGAACGACGGACGAGGGTGGATGGAATTCTCAGGCCAGTTTTGTACAATAATGAAAGCTAATGATGGGTGGGAGTCGTAGATATAGCACCGATGAATGCCAAGCGCTGAATATGAACATCATGATTATCATTCGAGCTTAGGCTCCTTGTCGATAAATTCCGATTCGAACCCAAATTGCAAAAGTACCCATACAGAGCTCTGAATAAGCGCCAGCATTATCATACATAATTTGATACTGCAAAGAAAACACACAGAATAATAATAGAAAGGAAAACAGATCACGTCGCACTTTGGTCCTTTTCGCACATCACCTGGAATGCTCCACCATTCTAACACCAGAAATCACCCAGAAAATCTATATCAGAATAAATCTAAGAGATCTCCATAGCGTCTCCATTTGCTGCAGCGGAGAAGGTTACGTTGCCTTGGTCGCTAATGAAGCGCTGCTCATACGTATTCACAAACTTGACGCTTCGAGCAGGGTCATAGAATAGTCGGTAGCTGCGCTGAACATCGTCGATGCTGACCTCTTTTGCCTTTCGTTTTTGGCTCAGGAGGTGAGACGTAGTGATGATATTGCTGGCATATCGGAGGTTTGACTCTTGGCCAATCTTGGTCAGAAGTGCTAAAGCGTCAGGCGAGAGATCAATTTCTTCCTCCTGGGCTCTGATGGCCAGAATCTGTCTGATCTCATCAGCCGAGTAGGGTTGTGTGCTCACGATGACCACGCGATCAAGGAAGTCGAGAGGCAGTCCGTGGGGAGAACTATAGGTTGTCCCCCGAATGCGGGCTTGGCCGCGATTACTGGCCATGATGACAATTGGCGCAAGTTCAGCTTCCAAAGCGCGATTAATGAAGGAAAAGCATTCGATATCCAGCATATGAACTTCGTCAATGAAGAGAACGCCAGGGATTATTTCCGCCTTGCCCTCTTCCTTCCATTCAGCGACCTTTGTGTTGATCTGATCCCGAACCTCGCTCCTGATTTCTCCGGTATCACCGGAAAAGAGAGCCAGAAATCCTTGTGACCGCGAGTTGATGACATCAATTTCATGAAGACTCACGGTATGCACAATTTCCTTGCGCACTTGGAGTTCCCCCTCAGGGCATTGCACGAATTTGGTATCAGCACCCATCGCATCATAATCTCGTGAACGTGCGTACGAACGACCCAACTTCGTAATTTTGCCCGATGACTTGTCGATAGAGATTATGTCGCCGGCCATCACACGCTCTTTGGTCATGGAGTCGATCATCTTCGTGCCCATGTCGTAGATTGTCTCCATGTCGGTGGTTTTGATGGTGAGTTTCCCTTGTTTGTTACCCTGAGCATATCAGCATGGACATATTCTCTCGCCTGAAAGAATTTATAGTAGTACTTACACCAGTGACGCTCCTATCTATCTGGATTTCCACCACTTCACCTTCAATGATCTCGCTTTCTTCTTTGATCCGAACGCCAATGGACTTTCGGAAAGCTTGAGTAAGCGCTTCGGTTTTCGACATTTCCATTGAGAATATCTCTGAAGAAGCGAGCATTGTAAAGGGGACATCGGACCCGAGAGATTGCGCCATTCCCATGGCAAGTGCTGTTTTACCTGTGCTGGGAGGTCCTGCAATTAACACTGCGCGGCCAGCGATCTTGCCTTCTTTGACCATCTGCAAAATTACGGCAGCGGCCTTTCGTGCCTTCTCCTGGCCCACAAGACCCTGGGATGAGGTCCTAGGTTGTAAAGAATCGGCATCGACACCAAGTCCTCTAATATGCGAATGGGCAGCGATGAGGTTCAAGCCACGGAGTTCCTTGGTCTCCGCGACAGTCGTGATTTGCTATTTCTTCAAGATCAATACCATGGCATTGCAAAGATAACAAATTCTGCTTAACTTACCGCAGCCATATTGGATATTTGAGATCGCGAGTCCCTCTTCCTTAAGCTGTTACAAGGTCTGCGCAGCACCGAAACTGTTCTGTGTTCCACGCCTTGTTCACGGGCTGGACAAAAGAGCTGTGAAGGCAGAATACGTGAGCCTGTCTGCCGCCCGTGTCACCGCCCGGCAGAATATAGTAAATTAATTTCATTCACCATAACTTTTGGTTTCGCGTCAGCAACTAATCAGTCACTGGTTGCTAGGCAAACGATCTCCATCAGAGTCTCTTTACCTTATACAATATCTACTCTCTATAAATGTGGTGCCACCGGACTTGGTGAGATAAGTACGCGGAGATCTACATATTTGGTTTGCTCTTGACCCGATACGGGCACTAGATTGGAGTAGTTAAGTTACTCATGCAAGCTAATCTGGTTTCACTACAAGTTTAAATATGCTTTATTTGTGACGTGCCTTGTCTTGAGATGCATTTTGATTTGCCCGGTGCAATAGCTTCTTCTATCACCGTGGCTCTGTCGTCAAAATGAGCTCCGAGCGCACATTTACTTCCTACGCGCGCGACCCCCGCTTGAACAGACCGCCCCCTATAGGAGCAAACTCGCTAGACACGCCATCGCGGAAGGCTTTTACATCTCCCAGTGCTTCAAGGCAATATGAACCTCGGGCTGATGTGTCTGGCGATCAATTCGTGCAACGGCTTTCCGATTTGATACAAGCCGCCGTAAAGACCGCTAGTCTCACATCAGAGAAGGAAGCTATACAGAAGAAGCAAAGCACCACTGAAGGTCTTCTGAAAAGAGCGAAAGCTCAGTCAAGCTTCCCTTCTACTACTGCTTTCTTCCAACAAACATGGAACGATGAAGGCGGTCATATGGCTCGTATAGATGGCGCACTGAAGGAGCACTTGTCGCGCTTTGATCAGCTGGAGAAAGCATTGAAAGCGAACTGGACGTCTTCTCTAATCCCAGGACCCAGTTTAGTGGAGAAGTATGATCAACTGAAAGAAGAGATCGAAACAACTAAGCAAGATGCTAAGCGTTCGAAAGACGAGGCCTCCAGTCTTCGAGACCAAAACCGCTCTCTGGAGGACACGCTCAGGAGCCTCCAGGCGAGAATGACTATGCTGGAGAAATCGCTCGAAAACCACGGAACGTCCTTGGATAAGCAGACCAAAGACTACTCGTCTCGTCTTGAGGAAATTTCGTTGGAATTCGAGAAGCGCTGGGGAAGCACATCAACCAAGGTGGAAGAAAGCATATTCAAAGTGGAAGAGAGCATATTGACCAAAGTGGAAGAGAGCATATCAACGAAGTTTCAAGCAGAGGTGGATGAATGGCAGAAGCAAAGAACAGCTTTGGGTACAGAACTGAAGTCCCTGCGGACGTGCCAGGAAAGTTTTTCAGCTGCTATCGACAAAGTTGACCAAACGACCAAGGAGCAGCAACAGAAAATATCTGGTATTGAGCCGCTGGGCCAAAGGTTAGACATTCTTGATACCCGTCTTGGCTCTGTTGAATCTACGAGGACGGCGCCTCCAGCATCCATGGCGACAAATGAACCAAATGGGGATAAAGTTTCTGCATCCTACCTACAATCTAAAGTTGAGAGCCTCGAAAACATACTTAATCAACTGCAAGGTTTGCAGGAGATGAAGGATGACTTGCACTTTTCGGAAGTGGAAGATCTGAAAAAGTCACTAGTGCAAGCATCTGAAGAACTAGTGGGCGTGAAGAACAACTGCAACATGCTATCAGACGAGGTGAAGACCTTGCGTGAATCAAATCCAGCCGCTGCCCTACAACGAATTGCCAATTTATCAGGTTCATTGCAAAATACACAGCAGGTAGTGGAGACTGTTAGGGTGGGCTTACATTCTCTGGAAACCAGATACAACTCTCTCACTACCGAGCCGTTGGCGAGGAACATGGTCGCTGCGTTGCAGGAGATGTACCCCTCTGCAAGCCAATTACTGGAGCAATATTCTGGGTTAAAAACGGCAGTTGATAACCTCTGTCAAAGCCAAAATACTTTCGTCAGGCAGACCCAGCAGGAAGCAGCTCTACGCCTGGATGAGCTAAACAAGCTGAAAAACGACCATGCCAGTCTCTCACAATCTCTTGCACCTCTTTGGGAGCGGTACGGGCAGCAAAATAGGCAAGGTCAGCCACCAAGCCAAAATGACATTCGCAAACTAGAAGTTGATCTCCATACTTTATCTTCAAAGTTTGAGGAGTTCACATCCACATATGACTCCCAATTCAGGTCGCGGGAGCAGTCTGATGACCATTTCAGGGAACGTTTACGTGACGAGCGTAGCGAGTTCGATAGCCGTCTGAGTCAAGTGGCTAGCAGTCTGGAGAGGTTGGCCAATGATGTTGAAGTAGTGAATTCTGTCAATACCAGCAGTCTTGCAAAAGTTGAAATGCATGCTAGTGACATTAAGTCATTGCAAGATGACCTTCATGAACTCAAGGAAGCCACATCCGACCGACACCAAGCATTTCTTGATCAACTCAGCGAAATCACGAAAGTGCACAGTGCACATGATACTAACATTTCGTCACTTCTTGACCAGATCAGTGAAGTTGAGCGGTCAGAAAAGCTTCGCCATAAAGAGCTGCATGAACAGTTAGATGAGCTTAAGAAAGCTGTGGAAGCAAAGGAGTTCCATCCTCGAGCAGTGTCCCCAATTATCGTCGAGGATCAGGTCCCAAACCCTACAGATGATAGTCCTGCTGATACAGAAGAGGCGGCAAGGATTCTGAATGTGGCTGAAACTAATCCTACGCTCGCATTGCGGGAAAAGAAGAAGAAGAAGAAAAAGAGACCACGTCCTTCGGGTTTGTCGGAGGATGAAAAAACTCCAATAATTGCTCGACAAGAATCTCCCAGATCGCTCTCGTCTGGAGCATCTCCGCTTGAACAAGGGGAGCCCACCGAGAACAGACGACCGAAGAAGAAGAAAAAACGCAAAATGGTATCCACTGAACCGATACTCCTCGACTAAGCGAGCACACAACTTGTGTTTGTCAACTCATTGGTTAGAAAGTTAGTTATATTATAACCCCGTTGGTGTCAGGTATGGGTTGTGGAGGGAAACCTACGGAGTTGAAGGCGCAACAATAGCATGTCTGCCATAAGTGTAATCTCACTGGCCCATAAATGTCTATCGGCACTGAACATTGTGCGAACATTTTCAATACTTATTTACAAGACGCGAGGCGCGTGACGACACCGGCACTTAATTACGATGGTGACGGGATCAAGTTTCATGGATTGCGAATACCGCTGGATACCTGTTGCTGAGGTCGATCTTTGTTTCTTTTTTTCATCAGTTGGATGGATTATTTAATTTCTTGACGATTTTTCATTCTTCGGCTCTAGATGGGTACGGAGGCCGTACATATCTAGAAGGCCATAGTTAATTCTATAATACATACTTTCAAGGTGTCTCTTGCAAGAATGCAACAACCTCTGAAGAAGTAATTCTCGTCAGTTAAACTACCATACATAACAACGGGTTTCCAAATCAGTACTCACTTTGTCTAAAAGCTTCAGGATTCTCTGATATGAGCCAGTGGCCAGCTTCGACATCGGCTATCTGGGCTTTGGGAAAGAATTTTTTAATCGCAGGAATTGTATCGTCACTGACGTATCTGCTTTTCGTGCCCCTAATGAACAACGTCGGGCCGTCATATATGACAGAGCCAGACTCGGTATAAGGGAAATTGGCCATGTCACTCAAGGCATCCCCCAAGATCGAAAGAGGGACACGGAACTTCATAGCTCCATCTTCCCCACGAACTAGGTTGGTCAACAGGAATTGGCGGATAGGAAGAGACTACAAGGCGTGGTATATTGCGGTTAACACGATCCAAGCATTTTGAACAGGACTACTTACTTCTTCATAATCTTTCAGAATCTTATCTGCATCAGACAGCTTTGCTACATTCTGGGCTTCAATATGTTGCATGCCACGGACGTATTTGCCAAAGTCACTCTTCAGGGGAGCATTGACTGGGGCGTTGTCGACGGGGATAAGCGCTGAGATCAAACTGGGGGAGTCAAGTGCGGCCGTCATCGCAGCTTTTGCACCCCTTGTCTTGGTTAGAATCGTCACTTGAATCATGATCGAAGTGCTGCAATGGGCAGGCGATATTCATACATGGAATGACCTATCAGAACACACTTGTTCAGCTTCTGCTGATGTATGAAGTTGACTACATCTTCTGCCATCGCAGTGTACGTGTGCTCTTTGGAGTGAAATGACTGGCCATGGTTCCGGAGATCCTGAAAATACCATTTGCATAAGTACATGAACCCTCTCACTTCGGTATATCACCGGACGAAAACATACCAGGATAAAGACCTCACGCTTCAAATCACGTGCCAAGGCTCTAACAATCCCTGTTAGTCGACAATGAAGTCACCAATAGACGGCGATAACAATGGCCTGGACAGTCTTATCTTAACATACTTGCTAATACTCCTGTTGTTCTGCTTAGAACCGAAGAGCCCGTGTAGGAAAACAATTGGACTCCGACTTGCTTCCTGTTTTTCAGGGCCAAAAACCTGATAAGAGAGGTCACTCCGGAGCACCCGGGATGTTGAAAATGCGCGGATACTAGGAGTACCCCGGAGGGTCACTCGAAATGGCAACATCATCCTATAGAATCTATTGTATTCGATCTTGGAGGAAGATTGCGATTTGAAGTCATCGCGCACTTCCTTAAAGAGGGCGATAGTACGGTGACTAAGCACGTTTAGGCCGATTCCGACCGCCGATCATTTCGGGAAAGTTTATCATTGCCTAACATCCTACGGAGTACGCCGTAGTCTTTCTCGACGTCTCGAGTGTATAATACAAGCTTCTTTGTATATTATAGCATTCATTGTATTAGTATCTTTAGCAGCTTAGTTAGTCGATACGAGTTGTGATGGCAGCAGGGGCAGATGCCAATGGAGTATTATTCACTTGAGTACTGTCAATGACATTAAATATATCTTGTGGTGGTTTAATTTCAGAGTACTACTAGCTTCTAATTTTGAGTATATCTAACGAGGAACAAAATAGAACCTTTTCGAGCGCATTTAAGTAGGGATAAGCAGTAGCATAGACACTTTAGGACTCTATTGTTGGGTTGTAGTTTATCATATCACATCGTCACAATGCAAGTATATATACAGAGTGGATATCATCGGCTCCGGCAAAACACATCTATGGCGCCTTTCTAAAGCCCCATAGTATACCTAGCTCGCACCTTAAGCATCCAAAAGAGGTGGGACCTTCTCGCAGAGATATTCAACGATAGCGTCAGGACCCCGCTCTACTTGCAATCCTTCGGGGATGGCATGGGTCTTAATGTCAGGTTTGATTCCTCTCGCAATGGAGCGAATCTGTTGCGCCTGCTCATCGGTCCACATAGAAGCACTGAACTATAGGGCCGTTAGTCCCTAACTCATTTCCTAGCTTGAAAGGGTCCCGTAGGGACTCAAAACCACAGGGATCCCTACCAAAACATCAGGCATTAACGCCTCCACCTTGGGTCCGACTTCTTCGATTGCTATATTATTGTTAATATTGTGTCACATGTTATTTCACACTAGAGTCACTCACTTTCGCAGTTTGCCTCGTAGATGATGGTATACCGGTCCTTAAGAGCCTCGACCATCCGGCCGATAAGCCGCTTGGCTCTCTCGGGAGCAGTGTTGACAGTGACGAGGCGGAAAGGTCCTTTAGGGGCAGACATTGTATCAGACTTTACAGAAAGAATATTCTTGATTTTCTTAGATCAGTCAAACACTTTCACTAGTGGAATCTCTGCTTTTAAGGCTAGAAGTTCTTCGAGCAGCCGGCCGACATCCGGCGCTGAGAACTTCCCCACAATCAAATCGTGGGGAAATCGTGGGTGTTTGCCCCCGGACTTCATCCGACTGAAAGGATCTCTGCGAATCAGGTACTTCGATGTTAAGAGAAGCCTGGATACTCCGTACATCGGTGGCCTGCTCATAGACTATGAAAGAGACTGGGGACGGTTGGCCCATCGGTTTATTCTTGCCCTCCCCACTTTGACCCCGCCAAACGTCACTTATCGGTCGCGAACGCGCATCGATATCGGGGTAGAAATAGTCCGTGATCGCGAGCACCTTCCTCCAGGAAATCTTTGGGAAGTTCCAATTCCTACATAAAACTTGTTAATCACATCTCTACCCCAGTTGCACCTATTATCCACTGGCAATAACAAGAATCATGTCAAAAATCGCATCGACCTTCTCGCGTAAGTGATGGAAACACCAACATGCAACACCCATAATACTCCTTTGCTAACACGCCATAGGCCTTGTGCGCTTTGTTCCTAAGTCAAACCCGTCTAAGGTTCTGATCGGCGAACCGGTAGATGCGCAACTTGATGTTGGATTGGCTCTTTACCAGGGAAAGGAAGTCTCAGTGCGACCATTCACCGGAGCATCCGTCCTTAACCCAGGCCAGAAGACAGAGTCCACTGAGATCATCAGCCGGATTCTCTCCCCATTGTCGCAGAATGAGGTCGGGTCGATTAGATGTATTGGGCTAAACGTGAGTTGTCGCTTGCGACATTACCAAATACCACTTCTTCAGAGTCGCAATTGACTGATTGTTCGGTAGTATGGCTCTCACGCCGCCGAGATGAAACTATCTATCCCAGATGTCCCCACACTGTTCATTAAGCCACCAACGGCCCTCTCAGACCCTTGGCCTGCGCCAACCGTTCTTCCCAAGATCACGCAGGTTGACAACACGGGCGACTATGAGTCTGAAATGGTTATTGTTATTGGTCGTGATGCGAAGGATGTTAGCGAGGCTGACGCCCTGGACTATGTCCTTGGATACACGGCAGCAAACGATGTTTCAAGCCGCACGTCACAGATGAACCAGAGCCAATGGTGCTTCTCTAAAGGATTCGATACCTCGTGTCCAATTGGTCAGTGCCTCTCATATAAATTCCGTTCTAGTTTGTGATCCACTGACTGACACGGGCTGTTTCATTAGGTCCGGCTCTCGTTTCTGCGGCATTGTTTCCGGATGCCAGCAAATTCCAGATCCGCGGGCTGAAGAACGGAAAGGTGCTACAGGATTGTCCTCTCACGTATGAAAAACCCCGGCAACCAACCATAGGTTTGCTTAACTTACAGGCTAACAAATTCTTGAATAGGGACTTGATCTTCAGCGTGCCCAAGCTCGTCAGCTTTCTGTCTCAAGGAACAACTTTGCCAGCGGGAACGATCATCTTGACTGGAACCCCCCCTGGTGTTGGAGCTGCAAAGAACCCGAAGGAGTTCTTGAAGGAGGGAGATGAGTTCGCCGTTGAATTGCTGCCTCACGTTGGAACTCTGGTGACGAAGATTGAAAACCAGAAATGAAGCTGTAGTTGAGACTCAATAGGTGTATCATGACTGTTTAGAAAAATAGATCCGCATAAAATTGCTCCGTATACGCTCGAGCCTTCACGGCCATTGCTTTGAAACTATTTGCGAAGTTGAACGGCTTGGACCACATAAGCTCTCTGGTTCTTGCATGGGTATGTTCTTGCCAAATATCTACAGTTTGACAGCATGTCCGACCTTTGAGCTCTTGCAAAGGTCGGTATTGATGCATGTGTAGAACCTGAGCAATATGTACTTATCTACACCCACTTACCAAGTCATGACTGCAAGATCACAAAGCTTGATATTGACTACGTGGCTTTTCAGAGGGAAAATCATGCTTTATTAAGTATTTTACTGCAAGTGGCTGATGCGAGTGAGATGGGATGGATCAGACAAGATAACACACATAATTATGATGTGATGAAGACAGTGATGTGATGTTGACAGCCTAGAAAGTGTGCCATGGGTAGAGTTCTGGCTCACAACAGTGCAACAACATTCACTTGCACCTTTTATCAGAAAAGTGATCAACGAGTGAATATGAAAATGAGTGCAATGAAAAAGCAATATCACGAACAACACAACAATTGTTCCTTTCTCCTCTTATTGCATAGAATACTGATCGCAAATCTGTCTTCTTTCACTACATAAGTCAACTGCGTGACTCTTCTGTGAATAAATATCCTTCAACTAGTCTGCACTTGTGATACTACACAATGCCTGACTTCCCATTTCCGATCAAGGAGGTCTACTGCGAGGGCCATACGCCATGCGAGTGCGACGAGGCCTATTTCCAAGCTCTGAGGGACTGGGTGCGACTGGCGGCTGCCTTTGGCTGGCTGGAGAAGGTGAGAAAAGTTGCGCTGTCCTACTTGTCAAGGGTCAAATCGTTGGAAGATACCGTTATCATGATCGATTCCGTTCGGATCTGCCCACATGGTCAGTTGACTATGCTGGGCGCAGAGTTGCCTCTTGAATACTGCAAGAGGCATGAGACACTCAATATCGCGTGGCTGAACAACGTCCCACTTGTTTACACTTTGTTCCGTTGGTTCAACGGGGACACCATCCACCGCATCTGTCTCGAATCTGCCGCGGAATGGGTCGCGTATGAAGAAACTATACTCGATTATGAGGCTTCATCGGGACTGTTCAAAAGAAAAGACTTCAAGTGCCTCCAAGATCCTGTAGCTGTGGCGCAGATGATGCAAGATGGTAGTCGCACCGTGGAATCGGTTGTGTCTGACGTACGCGTGGTTACTATCTTTTAGTATATCCCGCTGCGGCGATCAACAAGGCAGGTTGCTAGCGACGTATTCAGACGTCGGTAGCTAATAGACAGAAGACAGAATCGGCGAGCTGCACGGATAAAAATTCGAACCCGCTGTCGACTTGATAGGACCGAAAGATAAGCACAAGTTCTGTATAAGGACGACAGATTGACACTAAGTGGTCTACACGTATTTGGCGGATAAAGGTTCACCACCCTTATCCAATTATCTTAAGCTTCATCTGCTAACCATGAACAGAATCATGGCCATAGTTGAATGAAAAGGAGTTTGGCTAGCTGACGCTGCCATTTACATCTTTTTGCCTGCAAGCTGCAGTTTTGTGCCTTGGCGAAGGGTTGGAAATTTAGCTATTACTGAGAAAGTCTATGGTGTCCTAGCAGTCTGTAAAGTTTAGGAAAATAGTCGATCTGATTTAGTCTAAATTTGTCTCGCAAGACAGTTCAATGTATGCGTTACAGATCATACTTCAGCCTCAATGACAAGCATAGGATAAGCATTTACGAAGCATGAGGACATCCAACAAGAAAAACTCTCCACACGCAAGTCCCCACATCGGATTAGTAATACACGCTAACTACTTATGGTAGATCCCCACTTTCACTCTTGCAGGGTTTGCAGAAGTGTGGGATATGACTTTAGCCCTAGGCGGAGTAAATCATCTCCGCTTCAAGTGCTTGAATCAGAGTAGGACATCTATGTAGTTGATACACTCATTGCATTATTCGACAGCATCTGAGGTTTAAAGTAGTGGTCTACTATTTTTTGCTTTATTGTAGGCATGTTAGTTATGGTGTCGAGGGTATGGAAATACTTGGCATGATTTTCAAGTAAAAAGTTAATATGATGTTACGATGCCGAGTTGCTGTTCCGATGAAGCTCCCTAATATTATTGTAGCTCGGGCAGCCGATCGGCCACGGGACCATTAGGAGACTAAAACGTGTGGTGTGACTTCACTTTCCCGATGGGATGATATCGGCTCGATGACACGGGCAGCGAAAAATCTGTGATAGCTATCGATTTGCTAAGAGTATATAAAGAAATCAGTCCAAGCTGGGGCTTTTCTTTTATCCCTTTTCTGTATCTTGACTATGAACGTTTTTTTTTATTATCTTGTCCCTGATTCAAATTTGTTCATATTCTGGCTATCACCAGTGTTATTCTATTCTACCTCTAACCAATATATACATACAGCTTTGTTCGATCCCAATTCACACCCAAGGATTCCCAGTCTATTCTATACTCTAATGCATCTGACCGAATCATCTATCGAGACAAATACTAACTTTAGATTCATGTGTGGATGTCCGGACGCCATTTCCGACCCATGAAGTGAAGGAACAGGGTCGGAATAACACTGACGCCCACGATGAGAGCGCACCCAACACCTGCACTCGCTGCCACACCGACTGTTTCAAACATAGGCGGAAACCTGAGCTTCGTTAGCTATCGTACTCCTAAAGCTTGACGTGACCCTCCCTCGACTTACCAAAATGGCCCCAAGAAACCCCATATCTGTCGAACGAACGTGATGCACACTCCGACACTGGCAGCTTCGGTGGGATAGCAGTCCACGGCGTACGTGACAAGGACGGTGGTTACAATCTGGTTACCGCCGGCTCCAATGGCGATACCGATGATAGGTGCTACGTTCCAGTGGCCTGTCGCAGATTCCTGAGTGCACACAAGGAAGACAATCAGACCCACAATGGAACAGATATAGCCGATGTAGCTGAGCCATAGACGGTGCTCGGGCTCGGGCTTCCGCTGGATCTTCTTTGCTCGTGTGTTCATCCAGACGTCTGACAGGGTGCCTCCTAATTGCTCGCCAATGACGGAGCCGATAATGGGACCCAGGAACTGCAAACCGAGTTGCTCGGTGTTCAGCTCGAACTTTTCCTGGAGCAGTTCTGGCACTTCAACGGTGGCCAACACGTTGCTCAATAAGAAGACCATTGCGTACGCCGCGGCTGGGATCATAACAGAGGGATACATAACCATGGAAAGAGGCTTAACGAACTCCCACCACGAGAAAGGAGTCGGGTCGATCCGACGGAGTGAAAGATACTCTCTCTTCCACGCAGGTTGATTTGGGTCGACATTGCTGCCAACATACCGAGTTTCTGGTCCCAGAAAGAGATACAAGATGAACTGGACGCCATTGACCTGATCGATGAAGATTTGTTAGCAAACGGCAGTCAGCACGATTGTATATCGGGGTGGTAGACGAACTATTGCCAGAACCCAGTAAATCCATACGTAGCCTGCCCGATATGCGACGAAACCGAAGATAAATGGACCCAGGGGAATTCCCAAGGTGACCAACAGGGTCCACACACCCATGTACCTGGCACGGTCTTTCTTGAAATAGGTCTCCATTACAACAGCGCTTCCGATGGCTTGATATGATTGTCAGCTCAAATGATTCTGAGGTCTAATCAGAAATCCGTCTTACCAGATGCCGGAGAGATGAAAAATGCTTGCAAAGCTCTACAGGCGGCAGTTGATGCATAGTCCGTGCTTTTCGCACACCCCACATTACATACTAGGCTGCACATCAGGGAGATAAGGAAGATCGGACGACGTCCATAGCGATTAGACATGGGCTTCCAGAACAATGGGGCCCCGCCCAAGATGGCGATCTGGAGCGATGTCAGGTAACTTGCTTTTTGGATCGTAATGTTGTACTCCTCCGCGATCCTACCCGTCATTTGTTAGTGAAAACTAGAACAGTAAACCGTTGATTTTAAGGTGTCCTCTTACGTTGCATAGGCAGGAATGATACCAGCAGCGGCAAAGGTACCCATACATGCGTGAATAGCTACCAAAATCAGATTGGCCAGTTTCTGCAGAGATTCAAAGCTAATCAGTCATCGGTCCTCAAGAGTTCATGCAACATCTCGTTGCTCAAAAACATAGTTTGGAAAGTGAGTACTAACCTTCCAGGACGGCCAGTTGTACGGGTCCGCTGGATCCATGCTAGGGATGGGATCAAGTTCTAGAGTGCCGTGACGCTCCATCAGGTAGTCTCTGTGTGCTTTTGAAATGCGAGATTCCACGATATCGGAATAACTGGAAGGGATGGCTCCCGCCGTGCTCTCTACAAAGTCCACGTCCACTTTTCCCGGCTGAGAAGCATCTGGGACGTCGTCATTTTGGCGAGGCCCCTGCATCTCCATTGACGCAGTCATGTTGGACGAGCTCCTGGATAGGGGCACAGCCAGTGTTGGATTTGAATCTCTGTTTATTCCAAGTAAAGGGCTCAAGCTTCCTGCAACTAAGGCACCCCAGTGTTAGAATAGGTGAGAATGGGTGTAACAGAGGGAGAGGGGTTCCAAAATAGTCCACGAAGATGCGGATAACCCGTTATTCACATATGTCAGGAAGACTCTAACCGAAGAGTAGGGAATTTGGTCCGTCCCACGCAAACTCACGCGGCCGGGGTATTTGGCCTATCAATTCTGCATTGGGGTGGGCACTCTCGCCCGGGGTAAGGCCAGAGATTGACCAATCCATCCATGTGGAGAATATGCGGAGTATGTTTTCATAATACTACCGAGTCAGAGGGGCGACAATGGTCAGTCTATTTTGTCATGGTCGATTAGTCGTGCGTTAGTCCATTGGATGAGCCAAATTCGCAGCTCACCGGGGGGCGTGAATGAGATAGCCGAGTAAAGATCCCGAAACCCCAGGGGATACACAGTTTCATACAAATCCAAACTCTCCGGCTCGTTTACGGTTACCGTGTATGCCGTACGGGCCACGGGACACTCGGAGATGGATAAGTATTTTGGAGTGGAGGCGTTGGCCATGCAATGGGAGCCTGGAGATTGGCCAATTTGACCCCAGCCCTGGAATGGTTTGTCAACAACTAAGCCGGATCAAGCATGCTATCTTCACGTGCCAAGCCGACCGTCGCATTGCCACTGCCCCACAATTCGTTCCTCCTTTACATACTCCCCACGGCCCACTTGTTAATGACAAGTCCAGTTCCCGAACTCGCTACCCTAATGCATAAACTCTGAGGGTGATCGTAATGGTACTGATTCATTCGAGCTAACCTGCGACCATTGCTTCTATTGACCCTCCAAAGCACTACAACATTGACCATGAAAGCATTGGTGTGTCGAGTCTGCCAGAAGGCCTTCTCGAAGGCTGAGCATCTAAGGGTATCTGATCCGTATCTCATTCCCTTTCGGTGGAGACTTCGCTAATGTCGGCACTTAGAGACATGAACGTTGCCGTAAGATATAGCCATCTATGCCGTGATTTGTGCCGTGCTACTTGGTCGGGATTTCCGATCGCCATCTGCCATACCCCCTAAAGCTATACGACTGGGAAAGCTGACCAGGGTATCAATACCGAAGACACCGGAGCCAAGCCATTCGTCTGCAAAGAATGTCGTCGACCTTTCGCCCGCCAAGACGCCCTTGCGCGCCATGAGAAATTGCACGCTCGTGCTGCAGCCAATTCTAAGCTTCCTCGAGGGCAGCATGTACACGAGATTCCCCAACCAGCTTCTCTCGAGGCTCTCCCGCTATGGGATACCACGAGAGCCCCCGTAGACACTGCAATATCAGTGTCTGTACCAAATCAGACATGGGATGCTTCACAACCGGAGCAAAACCCTGGCTTGCAACATGCAGCGTCCGATCTTGATTTTACGCTGATATGGCCCGATTCGGAGAGTCTGTTCCAAAGTATCATGTCATCAGACACAACAGATCAGTGGCAGATGCCTCTGGGAGCACTACCCTTCCCACCCGTAGTTCAAGATGTGAACTCAATGAGCTTTGGGTCTCCAAATTCATTCGACGATCGTAGCTCGTCAATTGGCACGATCCCTTCGGGTGGTAGTCACCAGGCTGTACGAGATGTCACAGAAATGGTGGCAAGCTCTGTAAGATCTTTCGAGAGATGCTATGCCTCCGAAGAAATGCTAACTGTGCCACCGCCAGTCCTCCAGTGTGACAGCGGCGATCAAGGCAACGTCAATCACATCTGTGTTCCTGGATGAATGCCTGCACATGTTCTTTGTGCGGTTCATTCCAACATTCCCCATCTTGCATCGGGCTACGTTCGTTTTTCGGGAATGCACTCATCCACTTCTTTTAAATGCCATGGCGTTGGGATCCCTGTATTTGGGTCCCAAAGATTCAGTTGCGAAAGTAAGCTGATTCGGCCGTAGAAGGAGTCACAAGGTTGTTAACAATATTGTAGGGGGAAGCGTTATGGCGGCTGGCACATACTGCCGTTGCTACCTCGGTAGGTCTCGTTCTTCTTTAGCAATTTTGGCCATACTTATGCCTACGTAGTGGCAATCGTTAATTACGCATCGCGGCCCATATGATGCATGTAAAGGCGTCCAGCTTCTTATCACTGCCCTTCTAGGTCAGATATACGGTGCATTATCCAAGGTTTGTTGTCACCAGGACTGGCTTGGCTTTTATACTTGAACTAACCTTTACTACTACAGAATAGACTCATTCGCACCACGAGTCAAGTCTTCCGCCCACTCGGATTCTTCTGGGCCCGGCATTGCGGCATGTTAGATAGCGAGCCTTATTCCTTGGAGAGCTTGCCGTTCCCCAGTGCATCAATGGAGGAGAAAGAGTGTCAATGGCGAACATGGGCGGCACGAGAGATTCAACAGCGTGCACTGCTTGCGTATCATGTTCTTGACGGCCTCGTTGCCCAGATGTCTGGCGACGGTACATCGACCCGCCATGTTGCTAATCCCCTTGTTCTTCCTAGCAGTGAAGTTGCATTCGATGCCAGCAACGTGGACGAATGGCTGGCACTTATGCGCTCACAAAGACCCGATCAGCCATCCTTTCGGCTGGTCTTCCGCTCTCTTTTCCCTCCGGTTAGTAGCTTTCGGCCTCTGGATTATCAGCTTTCTGCCTTCTCCCTTCGGGTCATCCTTGAAGGCCTACAGTCCCTGGTATCAGACTCGGACGAAAGTGACCTTGTCGCTGTGGGTGTCCCAGGGCGTTCGGATCTGAGAAGAGCTCTGGCTCAAGTGCACGAGACCGTCTCCATGAGCATTCACCTTTCCGCCGAAGAACGGCTCGAAGTTCTCCTCCGTTGGCATACGATATGCCTTGACACTATGATTAACTCGACCGTTCTTTGTAGGCATGTCTGCTCCTGCTACGACATTACGCAACATGTGTCCGGAGGCTCCCGAACGGTGAAGCCCGGGTTCGATATGACGAAGTGGGTCTACACTCCTGATGCACGTCGTGCTTTACTGCATGCTATTGCGATTCAGGATATCATCGAACAACTTCCACGAGGACGAGCTCATGTAATCCATATGCCAAGCTCCCTCTTTGCCGCAGTGACAATCTATGTCGTATTCTCGCTCGCTGGAGTCGCAACAATCCACCTCCCACGGACCATTGCTTGGCAGGACGCACTCCTTTCACACGCCGATTTGAACTTAGGATGTGAAGGTAGTCGGGCATCTACTGGATCCGAAACAAGAAGGTTTGTTGAAGAAGGCCATACGGATTCGCCACCTGGGCTAGGAGCCGCGAGGAACCTGCTCTATGAGATGAATTCGATGCAGAAGCTGTTCCGCTGTCTCATATCTCAGTGGGGCATTGCTCACGATATGGAAGAGATCGTAAACCAGTGGATCACCCTGTGTCATTAGACACTCAGGTCCCCTGTATCATCTAATCTTAAGTCCATTACGGTCCGGCGTTGGTGGCATTCTCCAGGCGGTTGCATGGCATGAATTTTGATTTAAGGAAATATAGGCATATAAACGTTCTTGAGGTTTGCATATAGAATAGACTCTCTGTGGACAAATATATGTACTGCTACTATGAGAAGGCTCAATTATTGAGTTTATTTCCCCTACCTCACCGAGGGTATGATTTCTTCCGCAGTTTTGAGCTCTGCGTGACCTGAATCACATGAAAAACACCATTCCATATCATGGGGCTTGAAAATAATCAGTAAAAACCAACCAGTTTGCCTTCTCACCCTTTTCACATCTCCTGTATTACCAACTCAAAATTTGACACCCTATTGATCCTTCAATTAGAGTAAAGATATCGTTAATATGGTCACAGTGCAGCATCCTAGCCAATCTGTTCATCAAACACGGCTCCTAGTCTTGATGCAACCGAAAGCGTGGCTGTCGAATTTGGGTAGTCTGATGAACTACGCAAGGGGGGAGTAGTTGCATGGTAATGTGACGTTGGCCCGAATGCTTAAACAATTAGGGCAAGTTGGGTGGATGACGTTTCCACGCAAGGGATATGCAGTTGGGTATATGCTTATGCATCGTGGATGAGCGGTATGGGGGTTGTTGGGTCGAGATAAACGGTTTGTGCTCAGTTGTTTGATATGTAGAGTATTTTTGTCTAGTATTGACATTGAATAATAGGACTCTCTATTTGCTGGATGAAAATGCATAGCCAAGTTTGCTTTGTGCAGAGTGATTCACAATTTTGTAACAGGAAAACGGAAGACAGAATATGCGATGCCAAGTGTGCCAATTTATATGCAAGGGGGTATCTCGGGCAGTCTAATGCAATCTGATGCGCAATGACAACGCTACCAAGGGTAGGGATGATGAGATAGCGAGGAAAGGCGGAACAAGAAATCGAGGTATATCAATGCATGCAATGCCGCCCAAACTAAATGAATAAAACGAGAAAGATATAAAGGGAGTTTAAGAGAAGGGCGGTGTCGTAAGGATAAACAGAGACGAGAACTATACCGCTGGGTGCGCCTTAGCAAAAGATAAAAAGATAAAAAAAAAAAATTGCTCCGTATGCGTTTCACATCTTCTGAGGTTCGTCATTGTCTTCTCTCATTCTCGTAAATGCTTTGGTTAGAGCCGTTCCAATTTCGCTGAATAGATCGCGCATGATGGACTCGGATTTCATCGCCGCGGGACCCTGGGCCAAAACGGGATCCTTGAAAAGTGGTGCAACTCGCTCCCAGAGTTTGCCAAAAGTGTTCTCGACGGAGCTGTCTACGGCTTTTATGTCGTTCACTGCGGATTCCTGATTTAGAGTTACGGTGCCCGATGGATGGCTGGGCTCGTCTTGGCGTAGACGGCGAGCGGGATGATCACGGGCTGCATCGCCGTCGTCATCGTCATCACGAGGTCGTTTGTTGCTAGTCTGAGTATTGTGAGATGTCTCAGGGACAGCACCTGGAGAAGCCTGAGTTTGAACCGCGCTATTGGTTAATGGAGGGAGTTTCGGTCTCTCTTGTTGCTCCGTAGGTTGCCCTCTGTAGGAGGGAGTGTTCGACGGTGCGAGATGGATACCACGAGGAGCGCCCGCCCGCTGACGGTACATAGAGATCTCGTTGAGCACCGGTGACTGGCTCGGAGATTGGGAATGAGACAATGACTGGTGACTGGAGAAGGGAGGGCACCAGCTCAATGAAGGAATGCCGAATTTCGTTGGTAAAGGGTCCATCTCTGCGGGTGGCGGAAGACTTTCCACCCAATTTGAAACCCGAGTGTACTTTATCAGTTGTTGAACTGATACCCGAAGTGGCGGGGCTTCTTCGGGTTTCTCGGCCGCTTTCAGAGCGACTTCATGGCGCACAGGCCGTCCCAACTTTTTATCACATGAGCCCATCCAGGAATCAATGTCCTCTGCGACGTCGCTGTGTATGTCACACTCCGGAATCTGATTGTATTTGTAAGCGGCCCAGTATGCCTTGCGTTTCGTGATATAACCGATAATGCGTCGTCGACATGACTGCCATGAGTATCGGCGGCCAGTTTGCTCCTGTAGTGCCGTGGAGATTCGAATCCAGAAACTTTTGGGGTAGTGACCTAGTTCGTAATGGTCCATCATACTTCTACACAAACTGATCAGGCATTGTTGCTCGTTAACCGTCAGTTGAATCCCCCGGCCGGAGTGTTCAACTGCGACATCGTTGTAGAGTAGACCGGAAGCGAGTTTGGATTCCGTTGGGGTGGAAGGGTGATCGGTTATTCTCGCGGGGATGTTGAACGATGGATCTGTTAACAATCGCCGCTGTGAATCTGTCTTGCTTATTCCATGATGGTCACGCAGGTGTCTCCAAAGCGATTCTGACGAAGCCGACTCTTCTAAGGATTGTACCATGGCCATGACTTCTTTTGCAAAAACCCTTCACGGTCCTCCTCCTCTTGAGATCGTAGGACGGAGAGAAAGACATTGCCGGAGGATCGGAGAAGAAAATAATCAATCTTTCGCCCCCGAAAAGTTCGCGCCGCGCCCGTGTCCCGCCACGTGATCGTTGGGCAGCGAATTAGTATGGAGGGATCCTCAGCCTCCTATTTTTTCTCCTGATCTTTGGACCGGAGTGGGAATGTAAGTCTGCCTAAACGAGCCGATCGAACCTGATCTGCCGATAAGTTATATTAGTTGTTATTATTAGTTGTATTAGTTGTATTAGTTGTATGACTTTTCTTCCAACCGAAGCTGTGGACGGCGGGTTTCCTGTTCTTTTGTTCACCGCCGCGGGCGAGAAATTAGTAACATACCAATATTACCCGATCAGGGTTGGGGGAGGAAGAATTATTAATTACCGGTACATGGTAACTACCGTACTTTGGGTGTTCCATGTCTGCTTCAACGTCTAATCTTGGGCACAATCCGAATGATTTGACGAACCTTCTTCTCGTCAAGGGATCCCAATTTGAAAGGATACATGGGAATTCTGCGTCTCCTCCGCTTTCATTCCCGATTAGGAAGCCGAAGTCTGAGGGGGGCGACTCGACTCGTTGCATCATTGATTCTCCATTCGTTCAGGGGCTGCGCAGGCGAAGAAACCATTGTACACTACCTCGGCTGTGCTCAATAAAATATCTACTTCCATCTGACCAGTACTTTGCACATCCCCATTGTCTTCCATTCGGGTTACTCGGAAAATAATAATAGACGAGATATACTCCTGGGTTAGGGGTTACATTCTTCATCGTGCCGCGTTCGGCAATATCAAGGATCACCCCTACTAAACTAGGATACGAGAGGATCGATGTCTCGCTGTCGACAACGCTACTCGCTTCGTCTCAGTCAGGGTGATCTGTTGCCAACTGTCCACGGGTCAATGATTTCTCTTAGTAGTATTCGTTGCTGCTGATCGCTGCAATTTGGCCAAAAGCACAGAAAACCCACGCCTCGGCAACTTTCTGTGTCACTGCATCGTTCAATGATTGCGACACTACATATGCAGCTAGAATCCCAGTGGGCTTGTCCCTGATCCGAAGGCGTGGACACTTTCATAGCACCCGTATTCAATTGAACTCTCCCTCCCTGAATACCCCCGCCTGAACTGTTGACCGATCGGAAATGGCGTCTCATCCCATATCCGCCTCCCCCTTGTTGCAGGCGGTGTCATCCATAGCTCTTGAGAAAGGTACACGAGACCGATTCGTGGCAAATATCTCTCCGGATTGGTGTACACAACAGTATGTTCGACAACGTGGTAGCGAGCTAACCAGTCGAGTAACAAGACTGACTAGAGCAGCTCTGTACTGGGTGGCTACCTGAATGCATTGATGCTTTCCGCCGCCCAAAAGTTGAACGCCCTTGAGTTTGGAGAAGAACGGTTCCCCGATCCCATCCATGTCTTCGTGCAGTTTCTGCACATGGTCCCGCCTGGACAGGTGGTGGTGACCTGCAAACACCTCCGGGTCTCTTCCCGGCAGTGCGTGGTAAGGGTAGAAGTAGCAAGACCCGCAGCCTCAGGAAAACCAAGTTCTCCTGCTACCGTGGGTATTGTTACGTGCGCCAACATCTCGAAAGAGGAAGGCCTTACGCAACACAGTAAGCCGGCTTTCGCTGTCCCACTTCCAGACCGACATACCGAGTGTGTCAAGATTGATGATCCCGTGGTCGATTCAACTCCAGTGACGAGTAAACTGAACTGGGTTTCACCAAAAGCAGCCAATGGCCTTTGGGGACACCGTGTTGGGGGTCATCACCGCGAGGTATGGGTGTCATTCCGTGATGGCTCTAATATCTCCGACCATCTTCATCTGGCTTTGTTGTCAGACATGGTAAGCGGCCGCGCACCCTCCATATCGAACGTATATAACTGGCAGTATCTGACGGTTGAGGTAGCCCTTGCAACCTGCTGCAACGCACCAAGCAGGGTTCTACTTCAAGTATGCGTTATCCACGCTGTGTATGACAGTGGAATTCAAAAAGCGTCCAGATCCATCTACGCAGTGGGTCATGATTCGATCAAACTCGCATTTGGTTGCCAATGGCCGGTACGACGTCAACATCCAGATTCTCGATGAAGAAGGTAATATCCTCGCGTTGAGTAACCATGTAGTATATGTTTCGGAGCTTCGAGCCCGTGCCAAGGGAGCCAAAATATGATCGTGTACTTGTTCGAAAGTATATAACACCCCTTCCTCCAATCTGTGGCAGCAAGATTCAAACCAGAAGGCTAGCCGACCGTTTAAAGAATGTAGAGTTCCAATTCATTGCTGTGTGGATTGGTTCAATTAGGTAGTGACCGACAAGGTAAGTCAAGAACCAGCCGCTTATGACAGAAACTCATTTATTTTGGTTTTAATTTTATCCTGAGGTTAGCATTATCTACATATCTTTTGGTGTGTATCTCTCAACCGAATCCAATAGCGATGACTGGAATGGAAAATTTGATTCTTCTTACTCATAGTTCCTGTCTGAGACATGTCAGCCAGTGCGACAATCGTACAAACCGTATGTCTTACTTACACCAGATTGATTCCACCAGACTTTTTATGTATTGGGAAAACATGTAGAATGTAAAGGGATATCCAGATCACGACTTCGTCGAACTGGTGCACATAACCTCTATCAACAAGGGCTGATGGTAGAGCATATAGGAAGAGAACCTAAACTGCTCCGCGATAAATATCGTCCATGCTGCCACCTTCGAAGTAACTATCAATTATATATGATGGATCCTCATCCATCCCAGCAGGGTAACAGGCTCCATTGTCATGACCCTGAATACCACGTGCACGAGTCGATACAGCTTTGGATCCCAAGACACTAGGTTCTTCCTCCTTTTTGGGAGTTATGGGAGAAAAGAGACCAGCCATGTTGTGCTCAACTATTTCCTTTTTAACCTTGATGCTAGGAGAGTCAACAACTTTGACATCGTCGTCCCCGCTGTCAGAAGGATCACCAGGAATCTCAGGTTTAATCTTCGACTCTTCCTCTGTGTCGGCATCGTCAACATAGATAGCATCCATGACAGACCTACCAGGCTTAGTCTTTCGCTTGGTTGGGGTCTGGGTGTGGCGATAATTCCTGCTCCTGCTGGATGACGGGGTGCTCTTGGTGATACCGCCTCGTGGGCCTCGAGGAGTTCTAGGGGTGGAGGCGGAGCTTCCACCAGACGCATGGTTGCGCCCTGCATAGCGGGGGATATCGGTGATGCCACGGCTGTGGGCTTCGTCTCTCAGCTCGTCTGCTATCTTGCGATAGCGGCGGAATCGCCCCTCAATCGAGTCGTATGTCGCTCCTTGTCCGAAAACGAGTGCCATGACGTGGTAGTCAAGCTGTTTTTGGAAGTTAGTACTTGGGGTGCAGTGGAGTCGTATTAGGAAGAGGACGAGGGATACCTTGAGATCTGGGTGGGCTGCAAGTATAGATGCAATGAGACGGTCGGTGCTCTCATGGTTCTCCCAGTTCACCACCATGCTGATGAGATATTTTAAGTGATGTGGGAGGTGGGGTTGATGATGAAGATTAGAGGTTGGCCCCAGAGGAGAATGAAGGTAGGTAGATTGGATTTGCGTAGGGTCCAGGCGATTCTTCATACATGAAAAATCAACGTTGCTTGGTTGTGGACAAGACGGAAGCTTTAGTCGAGAATACTTGAAGTGGAGGAAGAACTGTTCAGCTTACTTAAATTTTGTAGACAACTCTTGAAATGAAGAGAAGGCCCCTAGAAGTCCTTTCTTTCTAGAGAGGTCTGTCCTTTCAACCAGAATGATCACAAGGACGAATAGTGAATTATCGCTTCCACAGACTAGTCCAATAGAGGGCATGCAGTACTGCAAAGATTCTCGAAGCTCTGGGAAAGATTTGTCAAAGGGACGTTGGTGAAGGAATGGCAACGGCTGTGTCTGATTAAAGATAGCCAATGGCAAGACCCAGAGTAAGAAAAAAAGGGATATTCAAGCAAGTAAATGCTGCGGGCTTCTCAGAAACGCCGAGCTGAATCCACAAGTCACTTCTCTCGGCCGTGGATTTGGATGGTATGACAGTATTGGTCAAAGCATTGAAGATACTTGGAGGCCGAATCATCAGATACGTCAGCAGTCCTTCACTGACCAGGGCTCAATCCCACTCAGAAACAGGAAAGCCGTCTCATCAAGTTGCTCATTCACTTACAGGTCACTGAGCCTCGTCACTATACCTGACCTTGCTTCTCTCTGCCCTCTTGCACTCTTCTGTTACTCTTCTTTTACAGCTCCTCTCTCACATTTCCTTCTTCTACTCCTCTACTAGTACCCAGCCCTTCTCACCCAAGCACAAACTTATGCCCTACGCTCGACCTCACAACTCAGCTCACATACCCAACTTCGAAGCAATCTCTATTAAGGCATCAAAATGCCCATGCGTTGGACTCCCGAAAATGACCAGCTTGTAAGACCACCCTACCAACAGCTTCGAGACCCAAGAAAAGACTTAACAATCACAGCTTCTCCTGAAGATCCTGGAAACTCATGATCTATCCGTCGATACCAAAAAGGTCGCTGAAGCCTGGCGTAAGTTCTCACGCAACCCTCAACAGCATCGATAACATGTATACTAAAAGCGCAAAATTTGAATAGCCGGCACAGACTCCAACAACCGACCCACCCCCCGAGCCATCACCGAACGTCTGGTCAAAATGCGCCAAATGGTGAAGGCAGCCAACAACGGCACCGATGGCCACTTCAGCATCGGAAGGGGAGCCGGTACCAACCCTAGCAGTGCCACGGCGACTCCCCGTAAGAGAGGCAAGAATGCGATGGCCGTTCCTAAGACTCCGACTTCTGGCAAGTGTAGGAATGGCTCTAGGTCTGATAACGCTTTCGGTGATGATGGGGATGTGCTTGTTAAGCAGGAAGGCGAAGTGATCCCGGGAACAGAGGCGCTCAGGCTTGCTTCTGCTGGCGTGAAACAGGAGCACGTCGATGTTCCGCTCAAGGCCGAGCCAGTGGATGATCATGATGTTTTTTTGGATGATGAGTCTCCTTCGAAGCGTGTCCGTAGGGCCAGCGTTCTTCCTCCTGGTATGGTTAGTACCTATGGCGAGGAGGATAGCCAGTCTGAGGTGGACAGTGAGATTTCGGAGTATTTCCCGGAAGGATCGACTAAGGTGGAGGAGGATCTCTTGATGGCTTGATCTTCTGACGGATTTGTTTCCATCCTTACGGGTGCTCAATGCGTAGCCGAGATTCCTGGTTGATTGTTTTGCGGATCAAGCACGGGAGTTGAATCATTTACGGGGGTTGGCAGTTACAGTACTCCAATTATCACGGGAATGTTAAACATTGCTTAGTTCTACGTCCACCATGCATGTGTAGAAATTGCAGCCATAAAACTGCAAAAGTCGTAGCCTACCAAAAAAGCGGAGAAAAGAAAGAGAACAAGTAGGCACATAATCTGGAATATCCTTCGATTTCAACAGAACAAACTACTAAGAGATGCCATCATAGTTCAAACTACCCATCCGCTAACCATTCAGGATCAATGGTCGCGTCCATATTCCCAGATATCCATGAGATGGTCAGGAAGTCATCCACAGCCCTAAGCAGAGTCATTCTCAACGACGGCTTTATGCTTCTTGGTAGGGGAGCCCGTTGCACCTCGCTTTGCCGGTCTTCCTCTTTTGGGCTTCGTGGGAGACAGATCGGAAGCACTGCCTTCTCCCTGCTGAGCAGAGCCAGGAGATGTGCCCGCAGCAGTGCCTTCCACGGGAGAGCCATTACGGACTTTGTCCTTGATACGCTGAACTCTATGCTGAATGGCACTGGCTGTGCAGCCTGCATTTTGGTTTAGTTCTTGTGTTCTTGGACAGGTTGGGGAAGTATGACATACCTTCACCCATAAATTCGGCTAAGGCTTTGTAATCGAGCTTGGCATTATTGAGAGTGATGATGCCGACCAGCAGCTGTATATAACGTTTGATTAGTCTCCTCAAAAGCTTCTTACGGAGATAGGGATGGGAAATCGGTGGGTTCACTTTGGCATCAGCCTGCGGATCAGTCCAATTTATGGGCATTTTGATTGAGAGTAAGCACTAAGGCTACTTTGATCAGAGTAGATAGTAGGTCTAAGTCGTTGCTTGGTTGTTGCTTTGTACGTGAGGATGTAGTCGGACGGTATAGGTGATGCAATAGTGAGGAGGGAACTAGAGGTAGAATAGAGGGTGTTGTAGAAAAAGAGAGGTGAACAGAGTCAACAGACAGGTTGTGAGGAGAGAATGAAGGGGCTCGTTTATTCACTCAGTCAGAGGGAAGTACTGCTGTTACTCAAGTTGCCTGGGGGATTACAACAAGCAGTCGCTCGATGTTATTGTGGAAATTCAGAGGACCGATTTGTCCTGGTATCTTCTGGATTTATGTTATTCTTGTCCCAAACACTGCCCGGAGAATTCCAGCATCTCACTGTCAGAGAGGGTTAAGGTCAATGTAACTAAACTAATAGAATCTATTGACAATGATATCCATATATGTAAGTCCAATGATCTATGAAGATTGTATAAATTCAGGCCAAAGTAGCAAAATTGTGTAGACGAATCCAGCAAATTGCTAGACTACTCACTGCCATCAACTATATAGACAGCTTCTTTCTACCTTCACTGTTCAAGGAGGCTAGGGCATGTTGGAGGCGAATTAGCTGCATATCGAAGATATAACTTCCTTTCCTTATTTAACATTGTTGAATCATATCATGCCATTTTAACACTAATAAGAACCAGCAAGGTGATTACCACGAGATCCACCCACCAGTATATTCCAGATAGGGTGTTCATGAAGCTTCAAGTGTGCACTTTATACATCGAACTTGCTTTATTGTAGAAATAAGCTTTTCATGGAGACCTACTGTTTATGAGCTACTATTCAATTCATATGCACAAGAAGCTGCTTTGAACAAGAGAGAATTTTAATTACGTGTAGACTCAATACCACCATAGGTTGGTACAATTCACCACTGGCAGAAACGCCCCAGACATCACAGACACTACAGACACTACAGATGCCACAGATGCCACAGATACATAAAGCAATATCGGCGTGTGGTCGCCATAAGATTTCCTAAAGAGACTTGCTGCATGAGACAAAGGCCTCGATTGGCCAAGCTACCAGCAATGTCGAGATTGTCAAGTGCAGCGCTTAATGCATCAATCCACAGTACGTCTTTATCCTTGGATACAACGGACTCTATCCACATGGTAGACATAGGGTTAGTCTTTCGCTTCCGACACACTAGTGTTCCATTATTTGCTTCCTCGGCAATGGCCATCAAAAAGCCAAAGCCTACACTAGGCTATACAGCGTAACCCAGCATGCAGACGGGAGCGTAAACGATCTAGCCGAGCTGCCAGGGCTACTGTGTACCAACTACCCCGCCAATCTTACCTACGTAGATCACAACCCCGCCAAAGATCGTCATGTCTCAATGGAGACCAATGACTCGAGCAAATCAGACATAAATTCTGCTATTGATACGTCGCGTTTCATTCCGCGTTGCACTATTTTAGGAGATAGCACCCATTGAGTTGTCAAGTCTCCAAGAGAAAAGGCTCCTTGCGTTACGTATGTTCTACCACAACAATACATGCAGCTGAGCGGCTGCCTGTCCGCCAGCCACACGACCGCTTGGACGCAATACCTGCAATTGAAACGAGATGATGCATTTCACACTCCAAGCAGCTACTTACAGCCAGTAATTCAATTTCTGGGTGCAGAATGAGGCTAAAGTCGACCTGTCAGCGTCTACGCGAAGTATATCTTGTGTCAATTAAACCTGATTATGAATTTACCAGTACTTTCTTGTTCTAACATTTATGCTACAATGCTCTCGAGTCCTCATCTCATGGGTCCAGAATGTACGGAACACTACTGTTGCAGAGCATCCTCTGGAGTGGCAACGCAGCGTTTACGAGAAAGCACACGTAGAACTCCACTTCAAACCAAATGAGAGTACCAGTACTTATATTAGGTACTAGCCTATCAGAAAGTGCCTCATACCGCCAAAATTCCCAGAGTAGGAGGGGGAGGAGTGTACTAAATGTCCATAGCGGCAAGTGGGTGCTTTCCATAGGATCTCCCAGATGCAGAGGATCGATGTTTCAGAAATTAGAATGCATCGCGTACATAGCGCCCGAGAATTGCGGTGAAAAAAACAAAACTAGCCAGTTAGAATCTTTAGGTACGGTGGACAATATTTGGGCCATGGAGATGCGCTAACGGCTTTGCAACAGACTACTCCGTAGCCTGATCGTTTATCGAAAGGCCACTGTTACAGAGCTACATAGTACAGGACATACGGAGTACCCAATTGCGACACAGGGTTATATTTAGTGGCGCTATAGGGCACTACGAGGTATCCCAAGTGGGTCCGGCGGGTTTGGTCAATAACTTGAGGGCTGACTGTGAAGTCGGTGAGAAGTCTGAAACGGGAGGGGCAAAAGGATAACAGCAGAAGATGAGGGAAAGAAAAAGAAAAGGAGATCTTCAGAAACCTCGCAAAAATGGGCACATCACACCACTTCAGCCGAAGGCGACTTTCAGGGATTGAATTTGTTTCCCCAAAAAGGAAAGTCAGCGCTTCCCGAACGTAGGGCTAAATTTTAGATAAAATTGCAATATCAGACAAGGATCGCGCTGCTGTCCACCCGCGAGAAAGCAAATTGACTAGCCTTATACCCCTCACTCCATTATCGATACGGAGGACATCTTGTAGCTCTTGGTTGCAGGTCATTTATCGGTTACAAGCACCATGATCTGGTACATCTCCGAATGTGACTTTCCCCACGTAGCGAAAAAGAAACCCGGGATGCTTATCGATGACAAGCACATCCATGAAGTAAAGGGCCAAAGAGACTGAATTAATTGCCGCAGATCAAACAAGCGAGGTATAATGCAGGTCTCGCAGCAATCGGCCTCCAACAGCTGATCACTACCCCTCCAAGGTCCACTACTGAAGTGTCTGCCAAGAGACCCCATCTAGTTGCACTAGGTGGGGGAGCCTCTCACCATTTTTTGAGGAGCCAATCTGATACGGGTTCCTCGTACGGCAAGGATCCATCGTACCAGTTGCCTAGGGAAATAGGAGAAGGGTACCGTGGGAAAGGGTCAGAACTAATCCTGTTGGAGTCCAGCAAAGTCAAATCGGTATCTCAGCTCCCCACCGACGTCAATCATGCGCCAATTCAACAAATGATTGGAAGCCATGTGTAATAGTGTATACTCCGGAGTAGCTTTGAAGACGTTGACATATGGGGGAGCCCGTGGCAGACGTAGATATAAATACCAGCGGCATCTCTTTCTCAATCCTTTTTTCAGTCTTCTTCCATAATTCACCATAACATAACCACCATACATCTCCTTGACAACCAATTCCTTAGCCAGCATGGATTTCCAAAGCAGTGCTCGAAACATTCGTGTGGAGGGAAAGAATGCCCTGGTTGCTGAGCTTCGATGCGAAAACGGTGAATGGCGCGAGGCCAGAGTGAATCTGGATGAGCATCTCGGCAACGAAAATGGTACTCTCCTGACATCTGCCAACATGAATGACTAGCTCTAAATTGTATCATAGGCCACTTTCAATGGGGTGGTCGGAACTTCTCCGGCTCTGCCGAAGACGTCCATTTCGCGATCGAGGGTGGTGCCAATGTCCCTGTGCTCCGCGCCATGTTGCGCGATGTGAATGGCAACTATCAACCGCGCGATGTCAACCTTGGCGAGCGTGTCTCGAATGATAACGGATACTTTAAGTTCCAGTACTGATAGTGTGTGTGCGGGGTGACCTTGAGTGAGAGGGCGTTGCTAACGAGGCTGTAGTGATTATGATATCATTTGACGATGGCTGGAAGGGCGCCTGCGAGGCGCATTCTGCTCTAGCATATAGCTACAAAGCATCATTACGGTTCATAAATACTTGTTGTATCTAGCAGAGCTCTTCGATATATGTGATACCTTTGAACGCAAGCCACTCCTGGAATCATGTCTCTACCGCAAGAGCCATGTATCAAGTAGAATCATTAAAGGCACTTGAGTGCCCTGAATACACTACAAAGGCCACTGCCAGCAAGGTAATAAATGAAAACTGCCAGCCCATACACCTCCATATCGCCATCCGTATCAGAACAACCTGTAACTCTAACCCGAACTCCTTGAAAGCATCACAGACCCCCGGGTGTATCACATGGTAAAGAAAGCCTGGGCATGAAAAACAATACCGACAGAAGCACAAAGCAAGGAGCAGGGAACCGACAATGGAAAGCACTCCATGGCAACTTCTTGACAGCAAACTCGCGCAATGCAGTATATATATAGACAAACAAACAGATGGGGAAAAATGGAAAGGACCGAGTCGCCTTTTACCATGCGTGGGTGGTATCTCCCGCATCCATATCATATCCGTTCCAATCTTCATCACCACTGGCCTCGTCATCAAGAAAATCTTCCTCATTGAATTGCGTCTCACTTGGACGTTGATTGTCGATGCGAACCATGACCACGTCACACATACCTTGTACAGCTAGCGGCTTTTTGTTATCGTCACTGTCAGGCGTTGCACGGTGGGATGCGCTCAAATCAGCATCATCCTCAACCTCAGAAAGCTTCTGTTGAGCAAGGCGGGCGCTTTTTCGTTTCGAGGGTGTCGAAAATCCACTACCGTGAGGATCTGGCTGAGAAGTAGTATTATCTTCGCCTATGCTAGCAGTCGAGCTACCAGGTAGTGGCGGCCGAGAAGCAGGAGGAATAGTGCTAAGTGTGGTATCTGGAAGTGCACTGCGCCTTAAGAAGACCTTCTCGAGCTTGCCAATCCATTTTTCTCGAAAAGATGCACGATCGCGCCACCCAATCTTGAGAATCGCGCTGATCACTAAGCGGCGCAAGTTCCGTAATTCATGAGCCGCGTCAAGAAGAGATGTAAAGAATACATCCGCTGTCGTATCGTCCCACTTGCGTAGCTGTATCAACTCAATTTCTCGCAGAGTTGATGGCCATGTTGGGACCTCTGAGCTATTAAGAAGCTCGCTGAAATGAGGTTCGACGTCATGGTAACTAGACAAGTCATGTATTGAGATGTCCATCTTAAACTTTTCAAGACATCGACAAGACTGCGCCAGGCCTACTATGAAAGACAGGCTCAAATGGCGATTGTGACTTAGAGCCAAGTCCCGAAGGTGCTGGCCATGGGATGCAAGAAATGCACTCAGGTTTGCTGTAGTTACTTCATCGCAGTTGTTTATCGTGAGCGACGTCAAGTTTGGAGGTAGGTTGGGCAAAAGATGCTCATTCACAATCGAGCACTCTAGAAATTCTAAGCGAAGTAGTTCTGGGAGTTCTTTTAGCGCTGTCGCAAGAACAACTTCCCTCTCGTTTGACACATCAGCAGGGTCGTCCACGTCAGAATCTTCTGAGGCAATATGCAGCAACCTGAGCTCCCGTAAGCCACTGAATGAAGCTTGAAGGTGTTTTTCCATCATGTACGGAAGTAGCGCCTTTGTTTCCATGAAGCGGCTGTTCCAATCCCAGCTGCGCAGGCGGATCGAGCTTGATATGAGCGACGTAAAAAGACTTTCAGGATAAGCCCATTTCGTCCTCTGCCAGAGAGGGAGACCGACAATATAGTCGTCACTATGATAGAGCCGTAACGTTTTCAGCTGAGGTGCTCTCTCTATCAACATTGGCAGTTCAAAATATCCCAAAGTCGGGCCACTTTTGTATGATAGAAGGATTTCTGCATCGATGTGTAACTCTCTAATCTTGTTAACGTAGTTCGTCGAAAGAGACTCCTGCGGTTTGGATAACAAGTTGAGCAGGCCGTGCGCTTTGGCGGGTGGTATCAGAGGGGGACAGTAGTATAGAGCAGCCATCGCAGGCTCGTGGAAAGTGCGACAAAGCAGAGAGACATTCACAAGCCATTGTACTGAGCTATTTCTGGTTGCAGTTTTCTCATCCACTAGGGGATATGCAGCGCTATAGAATATATCGAACAGTATGTGGTAAGGAAGGTTCTGCCAAGGGGGGATGACACCCGAGCTCACGGGCGGGCTAATATCCTCCTCCACTTTCCTTCGTTTATTGAGAGGCCTACCCAATTCCAAGCGCTTTTTATTGGAGGCTCTCTTCGACCGCTGAGTTTGAGATCTCGTTTCCACAGTCCGTTTACGTCGGGGCCTATTTAAATTGCGGTGACTCGTTGGTTCGGTACGCGGATACGTTCGAGTCGAGGCTTCAACGGGCACTGAGGTCTCCGGTTCCTCATCGCTTGCACCCCCTTCAAAATTGTCGTCCGTGGATTCTTCGCGATATGATACGGGCATGCGATTCAGGTCGCGTGGGCGCAAGGAAAGAGAGAGACGTCTAGATTGTTCCTCGTCGGAATCGGGGTCTTCATCAAGTCGATCTTCTGAGCTGCTTTCTTCGTGGTACGATTGAACTTGCGTGCGGCTGGAGCGAACAGGACGAGACTGCTGGAACGGCCGACGGTGAGATGAGCCTATATAAGGAGCCATAGCGAGTGGGCTGGTTCGCCCTACGAACAATGAGGGGCGAAACAGAGAGGTACTATATGGCACATGATCTGCGAATGCGACAGCGCTCGACCGAGGGCTCGAAGGGAGGTATTAGTAGATTAAAGCCTACTGCAGTTCGAGGCTCGACATCGGAACAAAGAACAAAGAATAAAGGCGACCGTACGATGCAGGTGAAGGAAGCTGAAGATTGATGCAATCAGTGGAGCGTGAATGCTGGTCTGGAAGGGGTGGAGTTCATGGGCAGGTTTATCGATAAGAAAATCGAATCTGTCATTGAATGATGATGACTCGGGATTGAATTGCCTGATCGCCCAGGCGCGGTGAAGTAGCCTTAATCAGGGATAGCGGAGCATGTGACTGGGGCCAAAGACTAAGCAAAGGGCCAAAGGCATTGACAGGCATCAACTCCCCCGCCCTGAGGCCACAACGCTAGGCCGGGATGGGCATCGAGGGGAATCCCGAAATAGAAACAGTCAGCTCCTCCCAGTCTATCATCGGCCTTCTTTAAAGCGCCGCCGTTCTTCCAGCCACCTTCTCCTCTTTTCTCCTCCGTGGTGATGATGGCGCTCTGTTTTCTCCAAGGCTTCTGCCCACATGGATTGCAATTTCCGCCATTGAATGTGTATGCGCTACCTGCTATATAAATACAATACTTGTCAATTCATGCGCTCGACTGGGCTGGTCCCTAAGCTAAGCGCGCTCATTTCGATCTAATTATAGCCTACTGTCTATACACACTCGACTTCGAAATCTTTGCTTTTGTCTTTGCCCATACCTATGATACCCAGCTATCTATCCAGCACGCACCAATCATCCTTATCCCATTGCGCCATTGTTTACTTGAGGGAGTCTTAACTTATTGGTTCACAATGGAAAGCTCGTTTCCAAATGTCATGAATCCATCGGAGAGGAGCGACTTAGGGGCGCCGCCGATGGTTGTCCAGCAGTATGCAAGGTATCCACCTACATTGGAACCTGGATTGCATAGCGCTTCCTCTCTTGGCAGTGCTCGCAGCAGGATGGCGGCCTCCAAATCTCCCCCACTTCATCGCAAAGCAACTCCGCGCAGTATACAATCCTCGCCGACAGTTCCGCGACCGGCCATTCCCCCATCAGCTGCTGCACGCTCGGGACCATCGATGTCCCCTCCAGTGTACGATCCTCTCCGCCAAAGACAACCGCCTAGAGAGTCCCTAGACCAAGCAGAGTCGCGATCGCTGCCATCCCGTGACATTACAGATGAAACCATTGACGACGCTTACGTGATGTTCATTTTCTATTGTAATCCAAATGTGCCTCTGTCTGTAGACACTAGCGAGCTGCGAAAGACTTTCCGGTGTCCCCCACGGAGTGACGGCAAAAGCTTTAGTATCTTCACGCTTTGGGAACTTATTCGGAAATTAGACAGCAAAGAGTTAAAAACTTGGATATCTTTGGCGACCGAGCTTGGGGTGGAACCGCCTGATTTGGAGCAGGGGCAAAGCACGCAAAAGGTTCAGCAGTACGCTGTTCGCCTAAAGGTCGGTCGAGTGCTTTATCTTGTTATGAGATCCTTACTGAAATATCATAGCGTTGGATGCGAGCGATGCATGTTGATGCTTTCTTTGAATACTGTCTCGGTCATCCTCACCCTTACTATACTCAGCTCCCCGCCAACAATGCAGTGGTCAGCGAGAGCCGCGACGGTGTGCCTTTAGAAGAGGACCTGGCGTTACGAGCCCTCGTCCCTCAATGGAAACCCAAACGAGGCAGAAAGCGAGCGGAAGAGAGGGAGAGTCTGAATGATAGATCATCCAAACGACCACAACTTGATACCTCTGTGGGCATCATACACACGAGTACATTCCCAGCCCATTCGGCGACTTTTCCTCAAAGTGCAATTCCATTCAGCGCCTTCCCTGAAGAGATCGAGCCAACCGATCCGTGGATAGCAGCCACATCCTCATTTGGAGCGAATGGGCCGTCAGGAAACCCGGTCACTCAACAAGGCCAAGATCTTCGGTGGAGATCCGTTGAACGAGAGGCTTCACCTTCTAGTTACCCACACTCTGCAATTCTCCCCAGGGGCCATCATCCATCCGACGTATTTCTTCCTCCTACGGAGCCTCGGTCTGCAGTTACGCCCTCCGAGAAGTCACGCCCTAAACGGCGTCATGGCCCAGCTGTTTCATCTGCCTGGCCGACAAACAATGGATCGTCTACTGGAAAAACTCGAGGACGGCCTCCCGGTCGCGGAACAACATCGGGACCCTTTTCCTCTTTTCCAGTGAACCCTAGTCGCTCCGAGCCATCCCATTTACACAGCTCCAATGCAAGACCTCCTTCCATCGTTTTAGACCAGGATCCTTCTGGTCGCTATTCCAACGCTCAATACCAACAATCTCCTACACCCTTTCCTGGCGGTAACCGACCAAACAAACTTCAGCTGCAAGTCCCTCAGCACCCAGGTGCGCCAGTCCGACTCGCGACACCGCCAACACTAATGGTGAACGGCGTCAACAATGCATCTTTTAAAATTGAAGGACACCAGCGTAACAGCGCTTCAGCTCCCCCGCACGACACTACTGGCACAGCAACGAACGCTCCAACTGGTGCACATCGCAGTACTGACTCGAACGTGGACATTTCGTCCGATGAGCTTGTCCGCGTGCTCTCCAGTGACTTGCTGCGCGGAAAAGTAACTGGTCGCCCAACTCCTTTAAGTGTGGAAGAGGCCCGAACACTCTCTTTGTCTATGATCGCTAATTTGACTGCTTCGTATTCTCAATTACCTTTGGGGATGCCAGTTCTTTTGTCAGCTCTGCACCTCGGGCTAGGGCAGCATTTTGGCTACCCTGGGGTAACAGAGAGTGCGATGGCGGTAGATATTAAAGCGACGACTGCGCCTTCCGTTGATGCACCAGTGACATCTAGCAATGAGGAACGCTCGTCAAATTTCACCTATACTGTCTCTCAGGAGTATAAGCATGGACTTCGTTTCTCGACGAAGGTCACTTATGGTGATTTCAATATCAACAAGCTGGAAAATAACAAAGCCGGAAATGCACCCGGAGTGCCAGAGGACCTGGACAACAGTGTCGCAGAAGTGAATAGCTCGACAGATGGCGAATTCGAAGTGGACGGTGCAGAGAATGCTGTCCCCGAGTTGACCTGGAAACAACGGTATATAAAGCTTCGCTCCCAGATGCAGAAAAAGGAGCGTGCCCTGTCCCAGTACAAGCGCAAGATTCTGGAGTCTGTGATGGCAGACATTTAAGTCATTGCTACAGTGGTAGGACTCAGTTCGCAGGAAGACTGACTACCGACTACTTTGTTATGTTATGGATGTTATCCCATTTACTTGTTTGATGCCTAGCTTCGTTCTTTAACTGATGTGATCTAGACATGATCTTCCATCTGTTTTCCTGGAAGCATTCTGTTCTGTGTTTGATTTAGGTTTCTTACAGATACCCCTTGAGCGACCTCGTTTGTGTCCGAATTAAAGCATTTTATAGAGCAATACTTAAGACGGGATTGAGAGCTCTTGCACATACGTCCATGCGTGCTCCTTACGTGAAATGATTTTGGGCCTTTTGTACTTCGTAGATTCTCAATAAAATAGGAGAACCCCTTCGTCATACCAAAGCAAGTACCCAGTCTCCAAAACATTGGAAGCATATGAGCCCATCTCCAACTGCAGAGACAAAGAGGAAAAGAAGAAAAGAAACAGCCTAACTAGAACACACCCAACCGCCAAGCCAACAAGTCAGCCTCAATAGTCTTCCTTCACCTGAGAAGCTTTCAAACATCCGCATCACAATCCTCCTCCTCAGACTATACCCGTCCCACCGTCAGTCAGCATTACAGAATTGATCAAATAAAGCATCATCACTAACCCCAAGCACAGCCTCGTCGATCTCAGTTTCCTCTCCAGAGGAATGCTCTTCAACCTTTTCCAAGTCAGTCCATAGCTTAACCAGGGTTTCCGCGAGGGCAACGGTAACCACCTTCATCTCTTTCCCCTTCTTAGCAGCTGCCTTCTTGGACGCTGCTGGTTTCGGCACTGTCTTGCGCTTCGCAACCGATGACTTGGTAGTCTTTTTTGGGCTTGGGGTTGGGGTATCGGCAGAGGATCCACCAGGAGCGTTGCTGCGGCCTTTCGAGAGGCGTTCGTAGCGTTTCGCGCTGGGTGATCATTCAGATCTGCTCGAAACGAGAAAAGAAAAGAAAAGGACGAGCGAAAGGACTTACGCAGCTCCTCTGGAGACGATGCTGCATTCTTTCGCAACTTCTCCAAAATCAACCTGTGCTTGATGCAAAATTGTGTTGCAATCAGTCCTGGATGCTCCAAGTAGAGGTTTGGACAGAGTGCGTCGGCTGTCGACACAGTATATGCATATGTGGTTTCTTACCTTGCCGCCGTTTGCGTGACGGACGCAGCTAAGGAGGAATTCAATCTGCTCCGAGTCGGTGATTGTAGGCATGCCGAGTGAACTTTTGACTGGTGTGGCCTTTGCAAGGAGGTAATCAGCTGAAAGGACTCTTGGGGAGTACGTAAGAGTAAGCTTGTATGGAGGGTTGTTTGAGTAAATAGAAGGTGAATAGTGGAAGGGAAGAGGTTCGAAGGGGAATAGAGGAAGAAGGAACACTGAGGTTTCTTAGACGGATGACAGGTAGGTGCAATGACATACACGATGCAGTGAATAAATACAGTCGAGCGGCGATGCGTTAGTTCATTCGTCGATTCTTCTTGTCTTGACTAAAGCGCATGAGATGAGCTTCACTTTCCAGACTCACCGTTGAGCTACAGAGAAGTTGGCTAGGAAGTAGTTCTTTGGATCTACTTACTCTAGATTCAGATCCTACTAAATGGCTTACGGGTGTTACTTTCACTACAATGTCACTGGAAGTTAGCTGTCTCAGCTGAACTTCATGTGGTTTCTAGAATCAACTGGTGGCTCTCATTTTCAATATGTAACAACTTGTAAGCGCAAATCGCCTGTGCAATATCCTCGGTATTAAACTGGGGGTGTAGATAAATTCCTGTACGAGTAAAACACAAAACGAAATCCCCCTCTACATGGCACCTTGAGTAGATCAAAATCACAGGGCTCTCTGGGGCATCTGAAGTCATTCAGCGTAGAAAAATAAATCAAGACCACGAGTGTCTACTAGGGAAGGTTAGCCGTGGGCACTGTAAGTCGGATGATGTTAGACTCACGAAAGGACGAGTGCCTGGCAGATTCAGAACATCCATCTACGCTTTTTCGAAGCTCTCGGTGTCCTCATACATCTCCATAGCGTCATTGACCGCGTTAAGGAGATTAACGTCAATGCTTTCGTCCTTCACATTTTCAGTCTTGACCGTCGACTCTGAAGTTGCCTTTGAATGCTTGCCTCCCTTCGGGGCACCAAGATCAGTAGCTGGGGTAGGAGTAGAAGTCACTTTGGCTCCCTTCCTGGCCCCTTTCTTAGGGGTGGCTTTGACCTTGGGAACTTCAGCAGCGATGATAGTTTCAGCCTCGGAATCGTCGGTGATGAAGGGGTCTTCGAATTCTCCGGACTTGGTGGCTTTTTTCTTTCTTCCGACGCCGGGGCCCTTGCGCTTGCCTTTCCCAGAGGGGGTAGTGGACACAGAAGCAGTCGAGGTGGCACTCGCATTTGATGGCTTAGTGGTAGCATCGAGGTTAGGAAAGTCGTAGCGCTTGCGGAGGGCACGGAACCTGTTGGCGACAGATGAAGTGTTGGTATAGCCCATCGTGGCTCCAACGTTGGTCAAATTGACCTGAGCAGATATCAGCTATGCCAGTTCCAATGGCAGTATGGCGGGTACATGGGATATCTACGTACAGCCCTGCTTTCATCGATGTTTCGCAGGCACTCGATGAGGAATCGGCCATCTTGCTGGCTCAGAAATTCGCACTCCTCAGACGTAGGACTCTGGCCGGATGCCATGGTCTTAGATTGCTGGTCGTAGGGATTAGATAAATTGTAGGAAGCTTTAGTTAAAAGCAATAATGGATTGTAGAATGACCCGTGTGTTCATTTAACCATGAAAGTGAGGTGAGAATAGCAGGTGAGTGTGAAGCTGAATGGGTGTGAACAGTAGATGAGAAACACACTGAAAGAGGTGAGACGCTCACTGGTATACTTTTGCACAACAGTAATGCAGTGGCTGGGTGATAGTATTTCAGACTTCCTCCAGTTCTGTGGGTGTTGGTTTAGTGTTCTATGAGCGTGTCATTGGTTGGTGAATTGCGATGACAGTCGTCACAGTGATGGAGAATTATTGTTTATAGAGACAAAGTGATATGACGAAATCACTTTCTATACACTAAAGGAAATACGCATAGAATATAAGACTAGAGTGATATATATAAGACCAAGTAGATTTCATTATCTACTCTGGCGCACCAGGCCTCATATCTCTTGTCAACAAATCCTGTGGTGTCTCTTCGGGTAACAAGAGTCCAGGCCTACTCTAAAGGACACAGTAGCTATCTCCGCCATAATGTTGTAACATCTAAAACAAGTGTGCATATTAGACAAATACACAAGGCCACTACAGACTTGTATACAAGTACACAAAAGGCCTCATCAATCCTTAGGCTCTTCAGCAATCTTCAGTCCAGGCGCAAACAGGCCACAATATTCCACCTCGCTGCCGCTTAAATTCACCACCTCCACTTGTGGCTCTTCCACCTTGACGAAAACGTCGCTCAACCTATTCTCCTCGTCCGGCTCCAACTTTGTAGGAGGCCAGGAATAAGCTGGGTTTAGTTGATGCTCGAATCCGATCGTAGGGCTCAAGAAGCTCGGTGTCATGCTGTACGTTGTCAATTCATTAGGAGACACTGTCATTTGGGAGTGAAGGGGGGTTATTGTCCGGGCAGGCGAGTCCGATATGATATGATATGTGGCCACGGGAATATCAGCCAAAGCAGGGAACTCTTGGGCATGTGGATCGGTCTTAATGTAAGAAGTTGGCTCGCTTGTAGACGCCTGAGGTTCTTGTTTGAGAACCGGTTTTACATCGGAAGAATCGGCTTCTTTCAGCAAGTCTGCCTTGCAAGAGCCTATTTTGGACCCCTTCGGGCCTTTTTTGGTACGCGCTCGTGGTGTTGATGTGATGCCTTCCATCTGCTGCCTGAAGCGAGAGTAACGCATTCTGGCTGCATGACCGTTGGAGATTTCGAGTTGACTTGCAACGAGGCCCCAGTCAATCTGCCCAGTTGATTAGCTGGTTCATATATTCTAGCTCTGGAAGTCAACTTACTGACTTGAGATCAAGCTGTTTGATTATAGTATATAAGAACTTGACAGTCGGACCATCAGTTGGCATGGCTTTGCTACGTCGGACGGTGGACATCGCTGCAAATCCAAATAAGAGACGGCCGGCAATTGAATGGGGAAATCAACTATGTGCTTAGCAGATGCCTGGGATGTGCTGAGAAACTGGAAATCTGGAGTTAACAGAGAACATGCACTCTGGTGCACAGATGGGGGTATATATAAACCATTTCCTCCCAGGTGTTGGAAGTATCCATTATTATTAATCAGAACGGTAATTAAACAAAGACAGATTGTTATTCTACAATTAGACTTAATTGAGACAAGCAAAGGGCCTTTGTCATCCACAAAGCATGAACGGATGGCTTTTGCAGGTCCAGAGACGCCACCTGCATGTCTCATCTCCTCCATCCTGGCAAGCTAAGGAATACTATACCAGTACAGAGAAACTAAGTTCTGGGCCAATCTATTTCACTGCACATAAAGCACAAAGATGCAGGTTTCCTTTTGTGACTTTGTGTACTAGTATCACGTGGGTGTGTTTGCCCTGAACCAAGTATATCTTTAAACCTGGAGGCAAATAGCAGATAATGTTGAATTCGAAATATCTTATAGAAAAATATCTAGTCAATAGAAGACAAAGCAAACAGAAATAGATCCATGGGGGGCAAGGAAATTGTGACCGCGTAAGTAAACACACCGTTTTTATTGATCTTTTGTTAAAATAGTATGTGTACATAGTCAAGAATATTGTGAAAATAGCACTTCTATTCAATAGTCATTGTTCTTTGTATGTTGAGTACTAGTTCCTGCAGCTTTGTCTCAGTAAACTCTCATTTCGAGCCATATCTGCCCTGGAGTACTACTCTGGTGCAGGGTTCAATAGCTTTTCCGCTTTAATGCTTCCAGCGATAACCCTATGCCTGATCACACTGATTAGTGTAATAGCCTAAGCTATCAAGTGATTACTATACTTGCTGGCAATTGTTCTAGAGAAGCAGAACAAAAAGTACAATTTCCATCTACTTCGACTATAGGGTTTGATATGGCTGCAGAGGGTGGGTCATGACTAATCCTATCAACGACTGCCCCTCCTCCCCACATACTCACGAATGCTCATACATCTGCGTATCCAACAATTGTCACAAGAGGTTTTTGTAAGAAGATTGATCACTCTGCTGTCAGAATGTCTTTAGTCGCCATAGGTGCATGCTATGTTGATACTATCTTAACGTTGGTTGGCACCACCTTCACCCGGCGCTTAAGTCCACACTAGCTCATTATGTTTATCCAGAACCCCTCATTACCCTGGCGAAGATGAAAAGCTACGGGCTACCAAGATCTCACGGCGGCGAGGAGGCAATTGCCCCAATACTCTTGAGGTGCTCCAGCAATTGACTGGGCATGGCCCGTCACAGACTGAGGTATCTCTGAATCTTATTGCTGTGCTGCCAGCAAAATCTTCTATTGCATCTCAGCAAATCCAGTCTGCCTTTGAGCCTGGCGTTCAGCTCAGTCATTGCATCTATCGAGAGCAATATGAAGAGCCGGCTTCAAGTTATATCATCAAAAGCCAGTCCTCTGGGAGCCGGACGATTGTTAACTACAATGAGCTCCCCGAGATGACGGTAGAGGAGTTTAAGCGAATCGCAGACGACCTAGGCTCAAAGGCAACATGGTTCCATTTTGAGGTCAGTCAACCCTTGAGATTCCTTGTCATCGATTATCGCTCTTTCATACTTATAAATCGTACATCTAGGGTCGCATACCTGATGTCACTCTGGCCTGTATACAATATCTTCGGCAACATTTTCCATCTTTACAAATCAGTGTTGAAGTAGAAAAGCCTGCACGCGAAGGCCTTCAAGAACTGGCTATGGAAGCCGATGTTATCTTCTATTCGAAGAGCTGGGCTAAGGTAATCTCACTTGCGTCTACAATGTTAAAACGATTTTACTAAGAGCTAAACAGGGAAATGGGTACACATCAGCCAAAGAGTGCCTCCAAAAGCAATCTCTGCTTACACACAAAGCGTAAGTGTCATGGTTTCTTTGCGCCGTCGCGAACAGGCTGACTCGAAATCTCAGGCAATTTCTCTTCTGCACATGGGGCGAGGATGGGGCTGTAGCGTTAGAAACAAGTTCTGGTGACGTGGTCCACAGCCCAGCCTATACTGCACCAGACTTCAACGTTGTTGAGTAAGTTATTGACAAGAGCCCACGCTGAACCAATCTCGCTAATTCTATGTAAGCACTATTGGTGCTGGCGACACATTTATAGCTGGTATGCTTTACGCATTGATATGTCGAGGCGACACTTGGAACCTTTCACAAAAGGTAGCTTTTGCGAACCGGTTAGCAGGCATGAAAGTAACGCAAGAAGGCTTCTCCGGTCTGGAAAGAGCGTTGAACTCAAATCCTTGAGCCAGAGGTTTACGCGTGTATGTAACATAGTTCAATATCAAAGTTAAGCTCGCTGTGGGATATAAGGTATGGAGAGCCGAAACTAAGTTCAGAAATTGTAGTGAGATATCATTCTAGGAAGTGTATATATGTGAGACTTAGGGATACATGCACTTTGAAGCTAGCTGCATTTCCTCATACTATATTACGTATCCGGTCACATTACGCAACAAATACTTGCAGTAATCATAATATAGCTATAAATGTACTGCTCCCTGCTTGAACATAGGCTTGATCGTGATCCCTTCAATGAATTGCCTTCTTCGATAATGTCACGTGAGAGATAAACTGCGACTGAGATTTGGAAGGCGGTGAGGGTCAGAAAAATATTCTGCCCGCAACTTTTTTGGAAGCTTTTCGCCGCGCCGATCAACAACTTAGATTTTCTCTAAATCAGTTTATTCTACAATTCAAAATGGCGGCAGTATACAAGTCAGTGTCTAAAAAGCAGGCTAAGCAGCTTGCCAGAGAGCAAGAGCAGTCCGACTCGGACGCAGAAATGGCCGATATGGCTGACCTTCTCGCCGACGCCGACGATACAAGCGACAGCGAAGAGGAGGAGGAAGAAAACCTGGAATCAGCCAAGAAGCAGCTTGCTGCTGGGTATATGCCAAAGACTCGGGTTCTTATGTTGACTTCCAGGGGTGTCACATCTCGGTATGTCCACATTGTCTCGGTCCGAATTGGACAAAAGGAACGGTATTGCTAATTGGTTTTGACTCTAGCCATCGGCACTTGCTCGCAGACCTTACTGGTTTACTCCCTCATACCCACAAAGAAAGCAAACTCGATACTAAAAAGAAGACCGCTGGATACAACCTACTTCTGAACGATCTCGCCGACCTTCACTCATGCAATCTCATCTTCTTCCTCGAGGCCCGCAAGCGTGGTCAAGATTTGTACCTCTGGCTCGCTCGTCCCCCGAACGGACCCACACTCAAATTTCACGTTAATAACTTACATACTATGGGCGAACTGAATGCTGGATTCAGCGGCAACTGCTTGAAGGGTGGTCGTGGTATTGTGGTTTTTGATCGCTCATTCGACGAACAAGGCCCGGTTATGAGCCAGCCAGGCAACGAGTACCGTGGACTGGTCCGGGAGATGCTGCGGGGTGTCTTCTCCGTTCCCAAGCGTGGCGTCAAGGGAATGAAGCCTTTTATCGACCGTATCATTGGTGTATTTGGTGTCGACGGCAAGATCTGGATTCGCGTGTACGAGATCAGAGAGTCCGAAGCCGGAGGCAAGAAGAAGTCAGAAGACGGCGAGGAAACTGTGAAGCCTGTGCCCAAGGGCAAGGATGGTCTACCAGAGGTCTCTCTTGTCGAGATCGGACCTCGTTTCGTTTTGACGCCAATTGTCATCCTGGAAGGCAGCTTCGGTGGCCCTGTTATCTACGAGAACAAGGAATACGTGAGCCCGAACCAGGTCCGTCACGACATTCGGATTAGCAAGGCAGCCCGCCACACCAAGCGCAGAGACGCGCAAACCGACCGTTTCGCTAAGCGGACAAACTTGGGATTGGGAGAAGGCCAGCGCAAACCAGATGCATTGGATAACAGGCAGTTGTTCGCGTGATTGTTTGCTTTATTCCGTTTTCTTTTCATTCATTTTGTCTCTTCTTGTTAGTGCTATTAGACTCGATATCCTAAGGGGATGTACATGTGTTTGAGATGCAAGGGGCACCTTATCATGGTCTAAAAGGCGTCTGGTGTGAAACAACGTAATAAAAGTTCAAATGTCATGATGAATTCGAATCCAAGTCCTTCCCCTAGCTGGTGGGAGTCTCTCAATTGTTTAAGCTGAACTATCGCATTAGGGCATCGTGCTGCAGGAACCGTGCGCCTTTGACAGGATGGTACCATAGCAACCAGGTATTGAGCTTTGTTTATCCTGAGAACTTAGTACATACTTCATAAACTCTGAATGATATGATGTCTACGGAGTAATTGTAAGGGCGGAGATTAGATAAGCGCTGATATATAAGAGTCACAACATCCGCTGGGCTCGACTCTATCCCTCCCTCAACCAACCATGGCACCCTTCTCGCCGTTCAGCCCTCTGCGGCTGCCAGGGCTTGACCTTCATATCACCATGTGTTCTTGTTTCTCTAGGGACCAGATTTGTTTTGTTTTGGAGAGCCCCAAGGGCGGGGTTTCGACTTAGTCCAACTTGCGACTGCAACGGTAGCGCTGGCTTGGGCAGCGACTATCCATTATATCACACAACATCTACTATCCAACTGTGTATCTAAAGTACTTACCTTTTGCGCTTCTATAATAAGTCAGCAAGGTTCGTATTCCAAGGTATTTTGGTCGTGACCACAGCTAACGAATGTAGCTCAAAACATATAGCAACCATGTCATTCGATCATCTGGCCACGGAGCTATTGCTCCATGTATTTCGTTCCTGTGAAACAATATCCGACATTTTGAACCTCGCATCAACCTGTCGACGACTTCGAACAGTATTTAACAGATCCAATAAGCTCCAAACTCTTGCCGATATTGCCGAGCGCGAATTCGGACCACTAGGCGAGATCATCCAAATCGTAACGCAAAACGCAAGCCAACCAGCTCACTTAATACGCAAGCCCCCCATGACCGATCCCCTCCTTAAACAAATAGTCCGAGTCGGACGCGTAGCTCAGAAATGGGAGACGATCTATCCCGTCAAGAAATGGAAGGTGGATTATGAAAACCGACGATCATTGACAGACGCCGAGCGATTCCGCCTCCGCCGAGCTATCTATCGGCTATGGCTCTACCATCGCGCATTCCATACGCGCACGCATGATCGCTTCAGCCGTAAGCTCCCACATGTCGTTACCGAGCGTGCGCAGCTCCTGCATAACTGGTCTACGCAGGAACTGGCCGATATCGAGGATGTGCGACTCATTATCGGCGATGTCGTCCAAAATCATATTTGTCCTAGTAACGGGACGATTCAGCGAAAGTTTCGCAAACGATTCCCAGAAAATCACAACCAGTTGGCATTCAATATCCATCTGAATTATCCAGCGCCCAGCTCTCTTGGGTCTTCCGGGCTCTTTGATAGCCCGAATTCGGTCGATCAATACTACCATACCGCGCATTCTGCCAATTTTACTGAGTCGCCGGCGAAATATAGATCTAGGTTCCGGAATGACTATTTCCATGATCCCGGCGCTGAAGGCTGGGGAGATGAGATCCCTCACTACTACGTGGTCCAGGACATGATGAAGCTCGATCCAGGCCAAGTGCTCTGGCTGCGCGAACATGCGCCCCTTAAAGAACAGGTAGAGGGCTATGTGCAGTCCCTGGGAGATTGGTTCCGCGACAACGGAGAGACATTCGGGGATACACTCGAATGGGTGATGAAAGAGAGAGGCGATGATATCGAAGAGTTCAGGGCGGCCATTTCAGACCGGGAGGTGGGAATCGTGTGGGATTAATGCATAGCATAATTGCGCCATGCACTATCCGAACCGTAATGCGGAGCTAGCTACCAGTGTACCTACGGTACTGTACTGTAGTCACAACCATATCTGCCTGGAATCTGGATACCTCGGCATAAGCCAGTAAGGGTCCAATACACCTATTCAGAAATCAGCGATTCCACCGAATAAATCCCGCACATAAAGCCACCGCATGAACAAATCACCTCCCTACAGTAATTTCCAATCCTCCCAAAAATAGAAAACAGCAAAATAATACAATCTCCCATCCACCGGCTCGGCCGTTATCCAAACGTTCTGGAATCCAAATAACCTAATTAAACCCTCTCCCTCAGACGCCCCTGATCGGCCCACCCTAAACCACACTGGGGGCCGAGAATCCGGCGCTGTCGACTGGGGCTCTGGGGCATCAAGAACCAAGAACCAATGGGGGAGTTTGCGGTGGGTTTGCGAACTTCAGTGTGGGATTTAAGTACTAGGGCTAGTGTGATTAGTGCGCGCTGTCTTGTGGAGACATTCTTTTTTTTTTTTTTTTTGGCTCTTGCCGCGGAATATGATTCTGGTATGGACAGGATTTGTGTGTTGTGGCACTAGGGAAGGCCATGTAAGGATGATGGTGCAGGCGAGCTGTAGGTCCATGGATTGCTGACTCGGACCATGGATCTAGTCTAGTCTGATTATTTTGGTTTGCTTCTGGTACTCCGTACATACGTGGACAATCCAAATTTCTTGGGCCTCTGGCTTTTTGGACGTGGGGCTCCCGCTGCTTGGTCGGTGGGCCTTTCGAGACCGCCGAGGTGTTGATGTTCATTCTATTCCGCTTGCGATGATACTTTTTGAGTGCTAGTTAATATTAGTATCTGCGACCTATGCGTTAGTACTCCCTAATTGCTAGTCAATAGGTTGGTAGTAAAACAAACGGAAGCCGCAGGGCTTAGTAATTGCTGGTGTTCAATGTAATTCGTCATTACCAACTATGATAACCTCATACATGAATTGCTTTGGCACTGTACTACGTAGACGCCGACAAGAACAAACCCAAACTTCGTTTCGATAATTGACCAGAGTGTGGGAAGGGTACATGGGATGTGTAAAAAAAATTCAGAGAAGGCCAAAGAAGCGTGCCAAGGCGAAGACATGTCCGTAGAAGACAGAGAATAGGAAACTGTTAATTCCATAAAGGGGTAAGAAGGAACCAGACAAAGGATAAGAAAGGGAGGGGGAGGAAAATCAACAGAATGATGTCTAGGATGTGATGTCCCACAAGCATCACCATACAATGACCGTGTCCCTGGATGCCGTTCCCAACGTTCCTCTTGTGTATCATCTCCGCGGAGGCTAAGTAACAGACAAAAAGAAAGATCAAGACCATTCGATTATCACATCACAGAATAAAATAAAAATCGTTGCGGTAGGCGTGTCATCCCCTAACAGTAAGAAATCATCTAACAGCAACCCTGCTTCGTCTCAGGGTCCTGCGAAGGGTTGATATCCACCACCGGACGACGGTCGCCAAGACCGGCCTGGCCCGAGTCGCCATTCTCAAAAGCCTTGCTGGAGACAATCCGGTAGATTTCTAAGCGCGCGTCAGCATGACGAAAAGAGAAGTCGGGTAGATGTGTATATTGCTAACCTGTGAGGATGTTCTGGAAAGCCAGCTCGACGTTGCTCGCGTCAAGGGCAGATGTCTCGATGAAGGAGAGGTTGTTCTCGCCTGGGAGCAAGTTAGCGAGCCACAGGTAAAGATCACTCACGCTTCAAGGGATCTGAAACTTACTGGCAAACTGCTTAGCTTCTTCAGTTGGGACAGCGCGCAGGTGTCTCAAATCGCTCTTATTTCCCACAAGCATGATGACAATATTGGAATCTGCGTGGTCCCTGAGCTCTTTCAACCACCGGTTAACATTGTCGTAGGTTTGATGCTTGCTGATGTCGTAAACAAGAAGGGCGCCGACGGCACCACGATAGTAGGCAGAGGTAATGGCGCGGTAACGCTCCTGACCAGCAGTATCCCAGATCTGCGCCTTGATCGTCTTAGAATCGACCTGAATAGAACGGGTTGCGAACTCCACGCCGATGGTTGACTTAGAGTCCAGGTTGAACTCATTGCGGGTGAAACGACTCAAAAGGTTGGACTTTCCAACACCGGAGTCTCCAATAAGCACCACTGTATGATAAGAACCGCAAGTTAGTGGTGCTATTCAACGAGGGAAAAGTCTCTATATGGTGTGGATCTTTCGGCGCCTCTGCGGGGGGAAGTGGCAACTTTACCCTTGAAGAGAAACTAGCGAATCACCCAATTAGTTATACACAAGACAAGCACGCAGCGAAATGATGGACAGAAAAATGACATACATCATACTCGTCGTTAGCCATGATGAATGGTTGTGAGAGCTTGTCAAACCCTAAAAGTGGTGAGGTCTGAGATTTGGGGGACCTTCGACGTGGCCGAGTTAAATAGCGATTAAAGCAAAACCGACAACAGTGCGAAGGTTGATCCTGGGAGGGGTTGTGTCTCGTCAGTTGACTGTTTGAAAGTTGCAGCCTAGATAGCAGCCTGAGGCGAACCAATGCCGCGAGAAAAAGGGTAGTTAAATAAGAACTCACGGCGGCGGGTATGTTTCTTGGTAAGGGGAAGACAGCGAAGCAGAAAGATAGGAGGTTATCCAGATGTCTTTCGCTCCCCTGCCACTCCCGTGCTCGTCGCGCTGCCGAGCGGACACTCCCAGTTTGGGGATAGTGGCTGGGTCACGTGTGCATTGGGCACTGGACTTCAAAGAAAATCATATACCAGAGCGCGACAACAAGAGGCGCGAGGATGACTGCCTCCTAAGGATGGTCATGGATTCCTTTTGATGTATATTATACCCATGCTTGATTCCACATGTTTCTTGTTGGCCTTTGCCGAGAGCGGATTCACTCATTATTGGGCGGGCATACACCCGGGTTTTCTACTATCTATGGTGATAGCGATCATAGTTTGACCCATCTTTGTGCTTTTTTTCTTTGACAAGTCAGTTCCTTTGGCTCTCTCCATCAAACTCGATCTATCCACAGCTTTCTGCTAGCACCTCCTGCTTGATGCACTGCTGTTCTGACAGTGGTGCTCTTTTGTGGCAATGACTGAGGCTAGCGATGATGATATTTCTCTCACCTCGACCGTCCCTAGCCCGCCGAAGGAGAACTACTATGTGGATACAATCCACGCCGAGCGTGAGACTTCACAGGGAATTGAATATCTCGTAGGATGGGCAGATTACCCTATCGAGAGGAGCAGTTGGGAGACGGCTGCCCAGTTTGACGATGAGCAGACTCTGTTCGACTGGGAGGAGAAAAAAAGAGACATTGCAGCAGGAAGGCTGCAAGAGTTTGATATCGGTGATTTTAACAGGCGTCTGTATGAAGCTGAACAAGCCTGTCAAAACCGAAAGCACAAGCGACATTTGAAGAGAGAAAGGCTTGCGAAAGGGCAGCTGGGGCTATCAAACACTGGTTTATTCAGCTCCACGTCAAATGGCTCTGGGCTCGCAGATGCCGATGTAACGCTAAATTCTTGTGCTGATACTGCAAACGTATACTCCAGCAGAGCGACAAACCAGTCTCAGGTCGGGCCTGCCCATTCTCAATCTATAAGTGGTGGGCTAACAAGACCACCCCTAGTTGGATTTGGGACTGGTCGTGGTGGTATAATTCGCTCTCGGCCTCGGAGATCCTATGATGCTGATTCTTCTGCTCCTCCCAAGATGTTTAAGTATTTATCAACAAAGAACAGATATGAGAAGGCAAGGGCTTATGAGCCTGCACCAGACGTCAGCAAACTTGAGCTTATGAGGCCATCGGAGTGGTCCTCTACTCCTGCCGCCCATTGTTCCAATCCTGGACCTCAGCATAATATCAGCCCCAAGGGGCAGGAGTCAGGTGAAAACCCAAGAAGGACGATTAGTGAAGTCCCCGATATTGACACATCCGTCTCTCAGCCTCAGCAATCTCGCGTTATTGATTCAAATAGGTCAACCCCCAGTTCGCCTGTTTCCGACAGGCCTCGCCGTTTGTTTGACGGATCACAGGACCTCTATATCCCACGACGAAGGCCTGGTCCCGAGGCTAAGTGGATGAAAAGGGGAAGAGGAGGTTATTTTGTCAATCCCGGAGAACTTCTATTTACTATGTATTATGGGCCCGATAAAAGGGAGATTGGTGAATTTAGGATGTGCGGTTTAGACAATATCAGGAGAACCAGATTTCTTAGGACTAAGAAAGGTCACGCCCTCGAAATTTGGTTTCAACACCTCTGTAACCTTACAGACTACAATACTCTATGCAAAAAGGTGAGTACTACATATAAAGGCTGGCTTGCTTGTTGCCTTAAGATGAAATGAGTCACTACTAACATTGTTTTACCAGACAGCAAATGCAAAATATTGGAATGGCTGGGTTGAGGGGTTTGACGATTCTGAACCAGACATCTATCGCTTTGCGAAAGACCTCAGCCAAAAAGGTTTGGTGGCTATAAGTATGCCTGAAATACCGGGTCATGATGTATTACTTGCATATCCACCAGATTCCGAGGATTTTGGTTTCTTGGATGGGGACTTTAGAGGCCCTGGTGACGTCTTTCTCCATACTGCTGTGAGAAGTCAATTAGGGCCCATTGAGCGACTGGCTCTCGGTAATTTACAAGGACAACGTGGTCACCTGACAGACACAACTACTGGGACAGTGAATTCTTCACGGACTAACACTGTTTTTGCAAACATACAAGCTTCTGAGGCACAAAGAGAGCAGGCTTTTTTAAACCAAGAAAATGGACCTTCGATTATCGAGACTCCTAATGCGTGCATAGGCCTGGAACCGAGGCCGCACACAAACCCAGCTACGTCACTGGCGAATCGTCGCACTTCTAGTGATTCAATACCAGTTCTGCAGAGGGGGTCATCTGGAATCGACCACATGGATATTGATCAGGGCTCTAAAGACCCCACGGCGGCTGCTAATAGTATTAAAAGGCAGCCATCACTGAGCGTTCAACTTCCTTTTGACTTGGACCATGAATTTGAGAAGAGATTCGGGATGACGTTCCAGACGTTGGCAACAGTGGCAGAGAAACGTTTAGCAGGGTCCTTCTGTGTACTGTTTCCCCAGGGCTCAGGGGGCATTGAAGAAGAATGTCAAGCGGTTGTTGAATTTCTCAAAGCTCACAATAATGACAAGCACAGGGCTATTATTTACTCTAACCGCACTCCTGAAGATTGGGAAAAGTTCACTCAAGCGAAGAATGGAGTCATCTTGGTATGTGTTACCACAAGTACCGTTATCAAAATACAGATATGCTGACATGGGTCAGGTTCATGAAAGCTTTCTGGAATTCTACAGGCTGCAGGGCCTTAATAACTTATGTCGCCAGTCCACATTCAACTTTTGGAGCTTCTCTTTGAACAAAGAATTAGGTGATAATCAACCGTATTTCCGGCGCATGTTCCAAACGGGCGGGGTTCTTTTGATTACTGCAGACTACATACTGAGCGATCCGAGAGGCACTGTCGTTGTCCTATCTTGGTTCGAAGAGTATGCGAAAGGCAGGTATCCCGGAACATGGAAGCTAATGCTACCCCCGGATGTATTAAATTGGGTGCAAAAACAGATTGAGGTCACCGTGAACTCAAGATTTCTGTAGGTCACTGTGTATCACCAGGTTTGATTATACGGTCTAATAATAATATCAGATGGCTTGGAATGTACCACCTCATTCTGCAGATTACCGCCCTCGGAGATGCGAAGTCCCAGAATATCCTCACCGGCGCAGAAGGAGGCTATACACCAAACACGGTCATCTCTCCTTCGAAACTGCCGGGATATGGTTTTCGTACAGATGATGAGATCCCAGATCTCCCCAAAGACAAAACCCTAAGCCAAGAACAACGGAATGCTGATCACCTCATTGAGTTTTATGCTGGCTGGGCCCTGATCAACTGTTACCAGTTCCGAAAGTTCCTGGTGCTCACAGCCTCTTCGCTTCCACGATGGGGCGAATGGCAACACCTACAAATCCACGTGGGCTCCTCAGCAATCATGAAATCTCTGGAAATCAACTATAAGTTGCATTGGGAAAAGCTTAAGCGTTCTGCGGGATCGAATTCCCACTCAGAGAGGGGTTCTCAGACCCCTTTTACACCCCAAACTCCTAGGGCTGGTCCTTCGAGCGAGTCAGCTACTTTTAGAGCGACGTCATCCTATATCCCTCCCCCCACGTACCGCTACCCCGAGCCATATCAGTGATTGAAAAGTGAACGATCTGTCGGTAATTGAGAAGTGTATGCTCGATCCGGAGCTTCAATTGCGTTCTATACATCCACGCTTGTTACATATCTTAGGATACCACTGTAATATACAACGATCCCACGCTTATGGTTATTTTGCACCGAGAAGAACGAGGCAATGATTGATATAAATAATGCAACTCCAGTGGCTGCGTATAAGGAACCGTCAAGAGAAACCAGGCTAAAGCTGTTATCCGAAACGCCATACATAACACAGAAAATTCAAGGAGACTGGTATACTAGAAAACAAAACATCAAAACATCGCTGAAGGTCAAGCAATGCACGTCACATATACAATATGCGCTCTCAATGTTTACTGAAACCGATTGATAAATGTCAATCAGAAGCCTGCTGCTCTAGTCCGGTATTCACGGAAGTTGGAAATAGAAGGGTGCTCCTCCGAAGCGGCCTGCATTTTAGCTTTCAGGGCCTTCTGTTTCTTCTCTCGCCGTTGCTTTTCTTCCCACTGACTCTCCTCTGCTGCGATCATGGCATGAAAACGTCCGCCTTGTCCACGAGAAAGGTAAATAGGTTTCTCTTTACGGGCAGCCACAGACTCCGTTATGAGGACAAACTTCACGCTTGAACCGGGCGTTTCATACATGGCGTCGCTAAGGATAGTCTCCATTTCTGTTCGGAGGGCTCGTGCCCCCGTGCCCATTGTGAAGGCGTTGGCAGCTATTTTATGCAAGGCTGGGGTTGTGAAGCGGAGCTCAATCCCTGACAGGGAGAATAAGGTTGTGTACTGCGCTAGTAGTGAGTTACGGGGCTCAGTGAGGATTCGTACAAGTAAAGGTTGCGTCAGCGTGGAGAGTGCAGCGGTGACTGGAACACGGCCAACTAACTCAGGAATGAATCCGTAATTTTGTAGATCGGTAGGGTTGATGAGGTCGAGTGCGTTGAAGTAAGTTGGCTCACCATCAGGCGATTCGGGGCTAGCAGAGGTGAAAAAGGGAAGATGTTTCTTGTACAAAGCTTCCTCTTCTGACCCTGGCACTATAGGCACAGGCTGATTGTTTGCAGTAGCAGACTGTCCAGGTCGCTCATCTGAATTGGATGGTGTCCGAACAGGCTGGCCAAAGCCGATCGAGCCACGCGATATCCGATCCATCACCACCTTTTGTAGCCCGACAAAAGCACCGGAGAAGATAAACAGGATGTTATCCGTACGTACATTGTAGACTTCGCCTTTCTGGGACATGGCCCCACCGTTGGAGGGTGGATACGGCGAGTTCCCCAGGGGACTGTTTGATGGATATGTATTGGGAGTTCCACCTGCGCGAGGAGCATTCTTCTCCTGTTTCGCCTGCACCTGCACTGTCGTGCCTTCTATAATCTTTAAAAGGGCCTGCTGGACTCCCTCACCACCGACATCTTTGCCATGGCTGACTTTAGCGGCAGCAATTTTATCAACCTCATCTAGAACAATTATACCGCGTTCTGCCTGTTCTACATCATAGTTGGCTGCAGCTAGGAGTCTGTGAACGCAGACCTCAGCATCTTCTCCAATGTACCCAGCCTGCGTGAACGGTGTGCAATCTGAAATGCTAAACGGCACTGATAGTACTTTAGCTAACGTTTTGGCCATGAGTGTCTTCCCAACTCCAGACGGTCCCAGTAGCAGGATGTTGGACTTCTCCAGTTGTGTTTCCGACGAATCTGTGAGCTCGGTTTGGTTGAAGGACGAACTCGAGTCAAGGGGTGGGCGGATAGTCCGTTGTTGGCCTGGAAATTCATCTGCTATATATGTCAGTGCATCACTAAGATGAGCATGCAGTTCCAGTTATTGTCGGGCCTACCTTCTACAGGATGGCGGTCAACAGATTCGCGCCGTGCGCGCTTCGCCAGCAGCTCGGCCGCTTCCTCATCACGCCGCTGTAATTCTTGCACACGTTGATAATGATTGTACACGGCGACACTGAGTATCTTTTTGGCACGATCCTGTCCAACTACAAACTGATCTAGGTATTGCTTCAATGTTTTGGGCGTAATCCGGGGAGCTCCGAAAGCCGGGGTAGAGCCCAAGGGCCCAGCAGTCGGCAGTCCAGGCTCATAGCTGCCGCTCCAGGGCTGATTTGTAAAGTCGGATCGATTGAATTGGGAAAGTGTCGGGAAAGACACAGAAGAGCTAGCGAAGCCACGTTGCGTGAGACGAATGATTGAACATGGTGCGCGCCGATAGCGGAGTATGAGATGGTGCGCCCTGAGAGGTGCACTGGGCCGTAGAGGCAGCCACAGCATGACCGGGCGGGAAATGACTTGTAAATGGATAAGCACAAATTATAGGCGTACAGAACAGTATAATAAGAAAACTCAAGGAGTGATTTATTACGATGGTGTGGAGATTTAAGTTGTAGTTGGAGGTCGAGATGATGACGCTGCCGATAGTAGATAAGATGGAGTCAGATAATAGCTTTCCCCGCAGCACGTGATCTATGCTTATCAGCCGACGCTATCCGCCTTCACAGCTGGAGACTATATCTATAAACAAGCCATGCTAACTTGCCTAAATATCTCATTCATTATTTAGAATCTAAGAAGAAAATCGGGTATTGCCAGCGGTGTGATCCACTAAGCTTCCAGGAAGCCTTCAAGACTGCATAGTCTAAGATCATCTGGAAGGAAGGGTATCGATATTCTGCGGCGTAGGGCTATCCATTCTTTACTCCCATTTTACTTCTTGAACTTGGCAGCTGGTATGCGATTTTAAGCCCGGCCTAGTAAATCGCGTATCGTTTGTTTTTGGAAGCTTGCAGTGCCCCAAACAGAAGAGGAGCGACATTGAGGTGACACACTCTGGGCTGTAATCAATATACCGTCTTAGCTGTTGATCGCTATTACTTGCCATTTACAGTCGCTGCAAGCAATACTGATGGTAGGTTTGGTTAAGGCAAGGAGGGCTTGTTGTCGAGACATAGGAGCTTGGTTCTCAACGAGGGGTTGACTGGACTTCTTGGAGACAGGGGCTTTCACTTCGTTGCCTTGAAGACAGGCTGCTGCTCCATAGTTTGCGAGATAAAACTGCGCAATGCAGCCCAACGGTTCGACACAGAGTCCGCCTGGTTGTCCGATTCTGTATTTGGTGTAGTAGTCGCATCGATCGTCGACATCTGTGCCATGTTCTTCGCAAAACGATCTCTTTCTGTTTGTTCCAATCGTTGCCTACGCTTCATAGCGCCAGGTTTATGCTTCAGCGTTTTCTGTTTAATGACGTTCACCTGATTGTTTGCATCGTTCATTTCAACCTCGGTTTCTGGAAGGGCATCGGCAAGCGATTCAAGATTTGCAACGAGTTTCTTTGATGCCCGTCGACGTTTTGTGGTCTTTTGAGAGTTCTTCTCTATTTTGGACATTAAGGCAGCATGTTTAATTTGGCGTTTGTCTTTCTTAGATGTCCGAAAATCATCATCGAAAGGACTAGACTTTGTCGAGGGAAGAGCGCCTTTCCCTGAAGCCGGCATTTTCACAGCGGGCTGCTTCTTGATTGATCTAACAGGGGCCTTTGCATGCAGATGTTAGAGATGGCCAATTTTCATGTGAGAGATAGCTTGGCTTACCATTATGGGCTTTTATCGGTGGTGCCGAAAAAAGTTGATCAGATCGCCGGGCTCTCCGAGACTTCACGATAATAATTCTGCCCGTGGTTCCGATGGGTGTGTGCTGCTAATCCTGTTCTGGATTAGCCTGAATGCTAGCTCAGTCATGTCCCTGGCATCCCCTGGCCTCACCGCCAACGTGACTCCTGACCGACTAAGAGAGGTTTTTCCTTCTTGGGTATGTCTATCCCTAAGTGATTTAGATCAAAAAGTGAGGACTGGCCGTGGCACATGAACAAGATAGTTGGCTGGGACTCAAAAGCACCACACTACTTTGTTAGTGTGACACATCCGAGCACTCACCGAACCCGATCGCCCTTTTTTTTTTTTTTTCTCCCCTAAAATCCCTCGTTCTTTCTCCGAATTTCTCGGGACAAAAAGATCCACATTCACGGGTATTCAACCCGCCTTATCGTCTTCCACTTACATCAGAGAACCACATCGAGCACTCTGGTGACGGTTTTCGTGTCTTATTCGCAGCACTACGTGGATGCTGTCCCCAGTACATCTTTTATCTCGCCGGACTTGCCTTCGTTCAATTGCCACTACAATTGATCAACCTCGGTCCCCGGTTTTTCCCCAGCAACAGACACTCTCCACTCCATTTTCGTCGTCTTCAATCTACTCAAAGGCTTTAAAGTCAAGCCCAACTCGGCTCATTTCTTGTTCATTTTCACGTCTATATACTACATCAGTGGACAGGCTTGCCAAAATGAGTTCTCTTACCCCGTACCGGCGCAAACACAAGGTCACGGTGATCGGCTCAGGAAACTGGTAAGTGCGCTGAGAGACAACGGTACCTAGGATTAGACAGCGCTGACATTTGAAAGGGGCACCGCTATTGCCAAGATCGTCGCTGAAAATACCGCTAGCAACCCTGCCATTTTCGAAAAGGATGTTCAGATGTGGGTTTTTGAAGAGAATGTGGAAGTTCCAAAGACCTCCCCTCACTATAACCCATCTTCGCCCTTGTGCCAAGGTCCCCAGAAGTTAACAGAGATCATCAACAAGACACATGAGAACGTCAAATATCTACCAGGAATCAACCTTCCTACTAATTTGCACGCCAATCCCTCATTGGAGGATTCCGTTAAGGACAGCACTATCCTTGTTTTCAACTTGCCTCATCAGTTCATTATCAAGACTTGTGAGCAGATTAAGGGCAAGATTCTGCCATATGCGCGCGGTATCTCTTGCATCAAGGGTGTCGATGTGCGGGAAGATGGAATCAGCCTTTTCTCAGAGACCATTGGCAAGATTCTCGGGATCTACTGTGGCGCCCTCTCCGGCGCAAACATCGCCAGCGAGGTTGCCCAGGAGAAGTGGTCTGAGTCAAGCATTGCTTACGATCCTCCCCATCTAGATTCGAAAGCTCCCTCGCCCAATCGCTCGCCCTCCTCATCGACTCTGGATGTGGTTCACTTCACACACAAGGACGTTTCGGGACAACTATCTCAGGTTAAACTGCAGGCGTTGCCCTCCGAGTATCCTCCCATTGACCATGCTGTCCTAAAGACGCTTTTCCACCGTCCCTACTTCCATATCAGCGTGGTGAGTGACGTTGCAGGTGTTTCCCTTGGCGGTGCGCTCAAGAATGTCGTCGCTATCGCCGCAGGCTGGGTTGAAGGCATGGGATGGGGTGACAACGCCAAAGCTGCCGTCATGCGAGTCGGCCTGTTGGAGATGGTCAAATTCGGTGAAATGTTCTTCGGTGCGACTATCAACACTCGCACTTTCACCGAGGAGAGTGCCGGTGTTGCCGACTTGATCACTAGCTGTAGTGGCGGTCGCAACTTCCGTTGCGCCAAGCTGAGCATTGAAAGAAAGCAGCCGATCGGAAAGGTCGAAGAGACGGAGCTCAACGGCCAGAAACTCCAGGGCACTTTGACTGCGCTCGAAGTGAACAAATTCTTGAAGAACCAAGGCGTTGAAGACGAATACCCCTTGTTGACGGCCGTCTATAGTGAGTGCCAACCTTTTTGCGTGTTAAGACCATGTCGCTGACTTCTCGTAGGAATTCTGGAAGGCACTATGTCTGTTGAGGATATCCCTTCTTATATTGAGCGGTAAATAGGACCTGATGCTTTGTCTCCCATGATTTTCTATTTCGGTTATTAATTCGCGGGTATCTGTTTTCTTTTCATTACAGCAAGCCGGAATCTATTTCGCATGAATCGCAAGGAGTGAATGGTGGTGGCGCGAGTCAGGCAGTCTTAGCCAAATTGTGAGGTGGCAGGATACAACGATGCCTGCTCCTCATATTTCTTTTATAATTATTTACGTCTTGAGACTTGTCGGTAGGTCTTTTCTCATGTTTTTTGGGTATGGATGTTATAAATGCACATAGACTAGTGACTATAGAGAGCAATTCCCAGATTTACGTTATGCCTTTTTGAAAAAGAAGGATGATCTTATTCTGATTGTGTGTGTGTGTGTTGGCTATTCCGGATTGACTTTTCTTTTGATACTAAAATTGGGTTTCTTGGACACGTTACTAGCCCGGAGGTCCAAGGTTACTTCTGCGGTCGAGGCCTTTGCACCGTTCCATGATGTCAGACCTCCTGCGGGGTCCAAAAGCGCCCAGGAACATAAATGAGAAACCTGAAAAGCTGGCTTTGTTTGTATTGCCCGTGTTTAATTTTGGTTTTCTTCCTCCGTCAAAACTTCACTCTTCATTCTCCTGTACATTGGCTAGATCAGCGTATCTCTAGCGATCATCAACAACTCCATCGGCCGGGCCGATACTATCCCCGCCTCCAACCAGGCTCAAGCATCCAGACCTGCGTCACAGCTTGCCAGCTAGTTTCTGTTTTTCCTTCCTGTTTTCGTTTCCACCGCGCATTTGGTGCACTGGCGCTCATCCTCTGGATAACTTGATCAAATAACAATGCCTGCTCCACGCCAGGTCTATCTTCTTCCACTGAAAGACGATGGCTCCCCAGATGTGCCCGGGGGCTATATCTACCTTCCTCCACCCACCAATCCTCCATACTCGCTTCGCTTCGTTATCGAAGGCAGCAGCTCGATCTGTAGGGAAGGAATGCTGTGGGTGAATGTCCCAGAGGACGGGGAGCCCTTCAAACGCTCGGAATTCCGGAGTTTCAGGTAAAGCGATCCCTTTCTCTGACTTATTGGCTTTTCAGTTGTTGAGACAGAAGTAGGCTACATCCAGACTTCAACAAGAACATCCAGATTGATATTCCAATCACTTCCCCAGGATCCTTCGCGTTTTACACTGCCTATTCTCCACTTCCAGACTTCTCCGTTGCTCCGGTTGAGACGTCCGAACCGGTCAAGACCCCAACGCATTATATTGATGTTGCACCAAGACTAACTCTTGGTGGCCGTGATCTTCCTCTCAACGCTCTTTCAATATTCTCCGTGATCTCTAAGTTCATGGGTACATACCCAACGGATTGGGAAAATCATTTAAATGGAATCAGCCTGCGCAAGTACAATATGGTCCATTTTACGCCCTTGATGAAACGCGGAGCCTCGAATTCCCCCTACAGTATTTTTGATCAACTACAGTTCGATGAGACCCTATTCCCCAAGGGGGAGATTGATGTAGCTCAAATGGTTAACAAGATGGAAGTAGACCATGGGCTCTTGTCACTAACGGATGTTGTATGGAACCATACTGCTAATAACAGCAAATGGCTTGAGGAGCACCCTGAGGCTGGTTATAGCGTTGAGACGGCCCCATGGCTTGAGGCGGCATTGGAGCTCGACACTGCTTTGTTGCAGTTTGGAGAAGACCTTCAAACCCTGGGTCTTCCAACGGAATTTAAGACTGCCGACGATCTGATTGTTGTGATGAACGTAATGCGTGAACGTGTTATCGGCAGCTTGAGGCTATGGGAGTACTACGTTGTTAATGTTAAAGCGGACACCCGAAGGATCGTTGACCAATGGACCAAGTCTCAAGAGATCGATTTGGAAAGCGATCAATGGTCACGGTTTGCTCTGAAGGATTTCAAGAACCTAACTCTTAAGGATCAGGCAAGCTTCATCCGTGAGCATGCAATCCCAACATCCAAAAGCATACTTGGAAGGTTTACTCGAGCAGTCGATGACCACCTCGGTGCGGCCATTTTAACTGCTCTGCTTGGTCCAGTAGATTCCAACCATGATGAAGCAGAGAGCAGGTTCACTCAATTGCTCGATGAAGTGAACCTGCCCTTTTACACAGAATACGACGCAGACGTATCCGAAATAATGGAGCAAGTCTTCAATCGTATCAAATACCTAAGAATAGATGATCATGGACCCAAGCTTGGTTCTGTCACGAAAGAGAGCCCGCTTGTTGAGACATATTTCACAAGACTGCCCGTCAACGAAGTTACGAAGCAGCACAAATCGACGGCACTTGCACTTGTGAATAACGGGTGGATATGGAATGCCGACGCGTTGCGGGATAACGCTGGACCGGACTCAAAAGCCTATTTGAGACGAGAAGTCATTGTGTGGGGTGATTGTGTGAAACTAAGATATGGCAACTGCCCTGAAGACAGCCCATTTCTTTGGGAGTTCATGACTAAATACACTCGTCTGATGGCTAAGTATTTTTCGGGATTTCGGATTGACAATTGCCACTCAACGCCGTTAGGAGTCGCAGAGTACCTGTTGGATGAGGCACGAAAAGTTCGACCCAATTTGACGGTTTTTGCTGAGCTCTTCACGGGCTCCGAAGAAGCTGATTATGTTTTCGTCAAGAGACTAGGCATTAATGCACTCATTCGAGAGGCCATGCAGGCCTGGAGCACCGGGGAACTAAGTCGTCTTGTACACCGCCATGGAGGACGCCCCATTGGCAGCTTTGACCTTGACTTGCCTACTGCAGGGAGCAGTCACGCTATAGCTTCTGCAAGTGCTGATAACCAGGAAGAAGCCATTTCTCACATACGCCCATACCCTGTCCAAGCTCTCTTCATGGATTGTACACACGATAATGAAATGCCAGCGCAAAAGCGAACAGCGGTAGATACGTTACCCAATGCTGCATTAGTTTCAATGTGCGCCTCGGCTACTGGAAGCGTCATGGGCTATGATGAAGTATATCCAAAATTAGTTGATCTCGTTCACGAGACACGGTTGTATACCTCATCGTTTTCAGGACCCTCTACGGGGGAGTTGGCTTCTGAGGGCGGCATTGGGAGCGTCAAGAAGATCCTAAATGAGCTTCACACTATGATGGGAGCCGATGGATACGACGAGACACATATTCACCATGATGGAGAATACATTACTGTCCATAGAGTTCACCCTAAGACACGAAGGGGCATATTCTTGATAGCACATACCTCTTTCCCGGGCCAGGATGGCCATCCCATCCTAGCACCAACTCACCTCACCGGAACGCGAGTCAAACCACTTGGGGCATGGATGTTGGAAGTTGAAGCTGGAGAAAACTCCATAGCAAAAGTCCTGGCGGATAAGGAATACTTACGGGGATTAACTAGCAGAGTTCGAGAGACTAACGCAGTTAGAGTTGAGGAACACGGCCATGATACCATCATTTCTGTTCTGGACTCCTTTATAGCGGGGTCAATTGCCCTCTTCGAAACGTCCATCCCGGCAGCTGAGCATTCCACAGGGCTGGATCTTTACATTACTGAAGGTGCAGATCAGGCATTCTCAAAGCTCAGTTTGGTTGACCTTAACTTTGTGCTCTACCGCTGTGAAGCCGAAGAAAGGGATTCCAGTGACGGTCAGGACGGAGTATATGCCATACCCAATCATGGGCCATTGGTCTATGCAGGCCTTCAGGGATGGTGGAGCGTCCTGGAGACCATCATTCGATACAACGAACTAGGACATCCACTCTGTGATCATCTCCGGCAAGGCCAGTGGGCCCTTGATTATATCATAAAGCGTTTGGAGAAGGTGGCACAAAAAGACGGGTACAATGCTCTAAGCGACCCGGCGTCCTGGTTACGGGACAAATTCAATGCCGTTCGTGGACTACCCAGCTTTCTCCTGCCGCGGTATTTTGCCATTGTTCTCCAAGTCGCGTACAACGCTGCATGGAAGCAGGGCATTCGGCTTCTGGGAGGGAATATACAAAAAGGACAAGAGTTTGTGCATCAACTGGGCATGGTCAGTGTCCAACAAACTGGATACGTAAAATCCGCATCTCTATGGCCTACGAAACGAGTGCCAAGTCTTGCGGCCGGCCTGCCCCATTTTGCTGTGGACTGGGCTAGATGCTGGGGAAGAGACGTTTTCATATCTCTTCGAGGCTTGCTCCTCTGTACTGGCCGGTTTGATGATGCCAAAGAGCATATTCTCGCGTTTGCTAGCGTCCTCAAACACGGGATGATCCCTAATCTGTTGAGCAGCGGAAAGCTTCCTCGTTACAATTCTCGAGATTCTGTATGGTTCTTCCTCCAGGCTATTCAAGATTATACCACAATGGCTCCAAATGGTATACAGCTCCTCAGCGATAAAGTTCCCAGGAGGTTCCTGCCGTACGATGATACATGGTTCCCCTTCGACGACCCTCGTGCATACTCTCGGCATTCAACGATAACGGAGGTCATCCAGGAGGTTTTTCAACGACATGCTCAAGGGCTGTCATTCCAAGAGTATAACGCTGGCCCTGGGCTTGATATGCAAATGAAGCCTGAGGGCTTTCAAATCGACGTCAATGTTGACTGGGAGACAGGTCTGATATTTGGCGGTAGCCAGTTCAATTGTGGGACCTGGCAAGACAAGATGGGGGAGAGTGAGAAAGCCGGAAACAAAGGATTTCCTGGTACCCCTCGTGATGGCGCAGCCATTGAAATTACTGGGCTTCTCTACAGTGCTTTGACTTGGGTGGGGAAGCTATATGAACAGGGACTTTACCCGCACGAAGGAGTACATATTGGAGATGGCAGATCAGTTACGTTCAGGGATTGGGCCGCCAAGATCAAGAACAGTTTCGAGCGCTGTTATTACGTTCCCGTGAGATCTGATGAAGACAGTGGATATGATGTTGATGCAAAGATTGTCAACCGCCGTGGCATCTACAAGGATTTGTATAAATCCGGCAAGCCCTATGAAGACTACCAACTTCGGTCCAACTTCCCTATTGCCATGACTGTGTCACCGGATCTCTTTGATCCCTCCAAAGCTCTAACAGCACTTGCGCTTGCAGACTCAATTCTTCTTGGTCCTGTTGGTATGGCTACCCTCGACCCATCCGATCTCAACTATCGTCCCAACTATAACAATTCAGAGGACTCTACGGACTTTACCACTTCCAAAGGCAGAAATTATCACCAGGGGCCCGAATGGGTGTGGCAGCGAGGGTATTTTCTTCGTGCCTTCTTACACTTTGATCTAGCTCGCAGAACAACGCCAGAGGGACAAATAGAAACTTATCAGCAGATAACTCGTCGCTTAGAAGGGTGCAAGCGAGCACTCAGAGAAAGCCCTTGGAAGGGCCTCACAGAATTGACAAATAAAGACGGTGCACACTGTTCTGACTCTGTACGCCACTCCTTCCACTTCTCAAATATAATGACATGACTCGGATTGCTAACAATGCGTTTTTCAATGATAGTCGCCCACGCAAGCATGGTCGGCAGCGTGCTTGCTAGATCTTTATTACGACGCTTCAAGATATGCCACGAAAACATCATAGAAGCAAGGGTTCGCTCTATACAATGGAACTATAGATGAGTATACACGTATATACTAGATTAGGGTGCTCATTGAGGATATGGCTTGTCGTAGAATTGCTACCTTCCATTTTGTCTTGTCTAGCAGCTATCATGGATTCTTTGGTATCACATAGTTTGCATAGTGCCTGCCAAGGCCGACATAACTTTAGGATGAGTCAGCTTATCGCACAACTCATCTTTTTAGCTTGCCATTTTTGGAATCGCCAAAGAGCTTATTGAAGTTTGAGCACAATCGAGTCCGCAGAATCTACCGCACACTTTTCTGAGGTATTAGACAGAGGCGACTCTCTGTTGCGAAAATTACTAGGACAGCTCTCATATAAAGAAGGTCATTTGGCCAGCGACGCGGTGTATCCATCACGCGAGAACCCACCCTGACGTCAGTTGTTTTGGCTTGCGCATCTTTACCGTGAAAGTGCCGAACTCTTCCCATATGCATTGACGAAAACTGTGTCGCCCAGGAGACTTAACAACGGGACTTTACTTCTTAACACATGTCTCTGACAGAGGCTGCTGCGGCAGCCATAATAACCACTGCAGTTAAAAGTGACAAGCCTGGGGGCGTCCATGAGCCAACATGGGGTGACCAAGCAAAAGGGCAACGTGATCTGTATACCCAGCTGATTATTAGCTTCACATTGGGACTAAGTGCCTTCTTATCTTTCTGTGTACGCCTTACATCTCGTAAGCTATACATGCAATAATCTCTAACGAATCTATGTTGTGTAGGTCCTGCGACCGAAATGGACGGAGCTGTACGCCGCACGAAGACGACAACGCTGCGCAGCTTCACACTTACCGGAGCTTCCTGATAGCTTTTTTGGGTGGATACCAGTGCTATACAGGGTAACTGAAGAGGAAGTTTTGCACTCTGCGGGCTTGGATGCGTTTGTTGTAAGTTTCGTTGCATTCCATGCACAAGTGGGTCAACCAAGCACTAACTCTGACATCCGATCGTGTAGTTCTTGTCGTTTTTCAAGTTTGCGATCCGATTCTTGTCAGCTGTCTTCATGTTCGCCGTGGTTATCATACTTCCGATCCATTACAAGTATACCGGGAAAAGGGGGATCCCAGGTTGGGATGACAACGATGATAATGCTCTCGGTGGGAACAAGGACAAGAAGCCCGTGACTGACCCGAACTATTTGTGGATGTACGTGGTCTTCACATACATATTCACCGGATTAGCGGTCTATATGCTACTCCAGGAGACAAACAAAATCATTCGTATCAGACAGAAGTATCTCGGCAGTCAGACTAGCACCACCGACCGGACTATCCGCCTCTCAGGTATTCCCCAGGACATGGCATCAGAAGAGAAGATCATTGAATTCGTGGAGGGTCTTCAGGTTGGAAAAGTTGAGAGTGTTACTTTATGCCGAGATTGGCGAGAGTTAGACCACCTCGTCGACGAGCGATTGCAAATATTACGGAATCTTGAACGAGCGTGGACGAAGCACGTCGGATACAAACGACAGACCGAAAATGTTAGCACGTTACCGCTGGCACATCATCAGCCGCGTGGTTCGAGCCTGTTCTCCGAAGATGACAGCGAGCGCATACAGCTTCTTTCAGAGAGTGGACGAGACCACATTGCGGACTACACACACCAACGTCCCACGATTCGCTTGTGGTACGGACCGTTAAAGCTACGGTATAAGAGCGTTGATGCGATAGACTATTATGAAGAAAAGCTGCGGAGGATTGATGAAGAGATCCGAGTGGCGCGCCAGAAGCAGTATCCCCCTACTGAGTTAGCATTTGTGACCATGGAGTCAATTTTTGCCTCTCAGATGGTTGTTCAGGCCATCCTCGATCCTCATCCTATGCAGTTGCTCGCCCGGTTGGCACCGGCGCCGGCTGATGTCGTGTGGAAGAATACATACTTGCCACGTTCGAGGCGAATGATGCAATCCTGGTCCATCACGGGCGTCATTGGCTTCTTGACCGTGTTCTGGTCGGTACTCCTTGTTCCTCTTGCGTATCTTCTGGAACTGGAGACGCTACACAAGGTATTCCCACAACTAGCCGAGACGCTGGCTCGCAACCCTATTGCGAAGTCCCTCGTCCAAACCGGTCTTCCGACTTTAGTTCTCTCGTTGATGACTATTGCTGTCCCTTATCTATATAATTGTAAGTCAAACTAGCTCAAAGGCCTAGTCACCGATGACGTGCTAACTGTTTGTCCGACCAGGGCTCTCAAACCATCAGGGAATGACATCGCGTGGTGACGTTGAATTGTCCGTCATTTCCAAAAACTTCTTCTTCTCTTTCTTCAACCTTTTCCTTGTTTTTACGGTCTTCGGAACGGCAACGACATTCTACGAACTATTCAAGCATCTTCGTGATGCGTTTCAGGATGCCACTACCATCGCGTTTGCGCTGGCGAATTCGCTTGAAAACTTTGCACCATTTTACATAAATCTTATAGTCCTACAAGGTGTGGGAATGTTTCCCTTCCGGCTGTTGGAGTTTGGGAGCGTTGCAATGTACCCCATCAACTTCTTTAAGGCTAAGACACCTCGAGAGTATGCCGAACTGTCTACGCCACCTACTTTCAGTTACGGGTACTCGATCCCGCAGACGATCCTCATCTTAATCATTTGTGTGGTGTATAGCGTGTTCCCAAGCTCTTGGTTGATCTGCCTGTTTGGACTGGTATACTTTGCCATCGGGAACTTCATTTACAAGTACCAGCTCCTGTATGCGATGGACCATCAGCAGCATTCTACCGGACGTGCATGGCCAATGATATGCAGTCGAGTCCTGGTAGGCTTGATGGTGTTCCAAGTTGCGATGATAGGGGTATTTGCACTGCGCACAGCTATCACGCGTTCCTTGATCCTTGTGCCCCTGTTGGGCGCAACGGTGTGGTTCAGCTACTTCTTCTCTCGAAGTTATGAGCCTCTGATGAAGTTCATTGCTTTGAAGAGTATTGACCGCGATGCCGGTGGAAACCTTTCCCCTTCACCTTCATCCTTTTCTTCTCCATCCGGCCTCGATCGTGACGCCCTGCCAATCCAAATTGGTAGGCAAGGAGTAGAAGTCAGGCTGAACAAATATGTCAATCCCAGTCTCATTATGCCTCTCGATGGCGCCTGGCTTCCTGGCCACAACGTCGGCGAATACCCTGGGTCTATATGAGGTACATGAAACACCAGACCATGCATTGTGTGGTCCAGGGTACCCAACCACTCTACACCCCCTCCCATCTCGTTCTTCCTGCAAGCTTTCCGCTATTTACTATTAGTATTTGTTTGTTTCACTTTTGTTCATCATAGATATTATACCCTTTGTTAATATCAATGCTTTCAATGCCCCGAGTATATTATGATATACGACGCCATGCCATGCCCTCCTACTATTAATATCACCTCTGTCTTGTTCTTGTTTCCGCTGCCTATTGTCCCACCATATACGCCAGCATCTATTTGAATATACCGCTCCCGGATTGATCACTATTACCTGATCATTGCTGTTCGGAGTGAGAAGCCATACCTGGCAATCAATGCAGCTTTGGTCTTTTTCTTTTTTCTTTTTCTTTTTTTTTTTTTTCTCCTCTTTATTTTTTTTTTGTACAGTGGCCGACAATGCTCACATATTATATACAGTCTTTCAATGTTGCACTTGTTATTTTTTGATATCTAGATTGGAACTCTCCGTATTGGAACTCTCCGTATTCCTTCTTAATGCTGTAGAGTACAAGTTAGATCGATGTACTGCATCCAACCGATGACGTTGTGTGGCGCACCTCACCTTGATTGGCACGTGGTTGCGATCGAATCTTTTCTTATTCTACGTAGTATTCATGATTTCTATTACTTCCGTGAATGCCAGGCGAGGAATGCAACGGCTTCATCATCATGCAGACATCACACAAAAGATCGACATCGACCACTTGATAATTGTTGCCTTTCTTTGAGAGACCCGCTTATGATCCTCGCCTTGGATCTCCGCCGGGAAGCCGTCGATGTTCGTTCTAACTTCTGACTCGTTCACACTGTCTGTTCATCTCCACTTGCTCCAACGCCCAGTCGGCGGCACCACCGGCTTATCCTCGCAAACTTCCATGGGTGATGCTAATCTTCATGAACCCAATCGATAACCACACTGAAGTTTCTGCTTCCTCGCTCCTCGCTATGGCTGATTATTGCGGAGTTCCCATCCAACCATGGAGCTTCCCCAAAATTGGGCCCACTCTTCGTCGCCGCTCTTGGTTGAGGAGGTTCAAGACAGGAGGATACACCCTGTATCGACGTCAAGACGGCTATTGTGGGCGGTAAAAATGCCATTCATGGAGTTTTAGGAGGCGATAAAAGGAACAGTGCCCGTATGGCTTTGCTTCCGGTGTCCTGAGTTGTCAACACTGTTTCTTCTATACATTCCTCGGCTTCTCCTTTCGTCCACAGCTATAAGACCATCCGGTATTTTCGCCTCACATCTCCTGGACTAGTGCATTCATTTCCTACCTTGTCCACCGTGCGCTTGGAAGAACCGTACACCTATGGAATAGGAAAAAGAGGCTAGCCATAACGAAACCTGGAATAGCTGGCCAACGGTGCAGGTCCGCAATTGACAGTGCATGGCTATCAGTGAGCAAACTTCAACGGAGCAGCTCAATCGCTTATCACGGTGAAAGCCGCATTCATCGATATGATATATTTTCCAAATTCATAAGGGCAAGGATAGACTTGTTTACTACTTCTAATCATTTTCCGTCTCTACTTTCACTCAAACGCAAATTCTTTTCGTTCATTCAAGTTGCACTCAGTTATACATCCGGGCGAAACCGCTTAGTCTTGCATTACAATCCATCAAAACCATCGCACTGACGTTGCCCGACATGGGTCCTGACTTTATGTTTGAGAATGACTTCCCTGGTGATACGCGAGCCGTCAATAAAATTGCATCGGGTTCAATTAACGCTTCGCATTTGGATTCGGTATTTTGCTCTGGTTTGAGGTCAGAAAGTGATCTCAAACCCCAGAGTATCTCACAGGGGCTTATCCTTCCGCGAATTGTGACTAAAAGGCTGCTCGATTTTATCCCTCGTGAAACCCATCACTCTTTACGCCTAACCTGCAGGTCTTGGTCTCGAACAATTGACAAGGCAATGCCTGTTTCTCGCCCTGCCGCGAATATTGTACCGCCTGAAATATTGCTGCAAATATTCTTCATGTTGGCCCCTCATGATTTTGATAATGCTCGACGGACGTGCTCCCAGTGGATGAAAGTGAGCCTAAATGAGCGGCTTCTGGAAAGTATGCTCAAACGCGCAGGCTGGTGGAATTCCTGGCAGCGGGACTGCCTAATGCAACGTCAGGGTTTAGAACACCACAAAGAGAGCACTGTGTGGAAGATGAGCCGGCGTTTCGCCACAGAATGTGTCCTTTCCGGCCGAAAGGTGAACGTGGAGAGGGCTGGTTTCTTAATAACCGCGGTCGTTGACTTTTCGAAACTATCCCAAAGGCAGGATTCCACCCGGGCGCCATCATGCTCGTTTTCCACGAATTTCAGCGTCAACCAGAATGGTGCCGTAGCTGTGTCCAAGTTCTGTCTCAGCGATTGCGGCAATTATTTACTAATAACCAGCAGATGCAAAATCTACGTTTATCGTCTGCTTGGCCGGAACCATGAGAGTCCCTTCCCTCCGTCTGTGCCTAAACAGGCGGATGTTGCTCCCATTACCATCATTACTTGTCCCGCTGAAGTGATGTCTGCTACGATTGATACTAGTACTCCCAGACTCGTGGTTGCGGCGCTATTCCGTAACCGTTCAGGGTTGATGTGCGACTTGGTACCTTCTGACGCTGCTCGACCAAGTCTCTTACAATCCGCTGGTTTCACCTCCGACATAATAGACGGCTCTATACAACCCATGGAAATTACTTCCCTTAATTACTATCAAGATGTAGGTTCTGCGGAAGACCCACCTCGCAGTGTGTCTGTCTGTCCCGGACGTCAGTGCGTGGCATTCGGCTCTGGTTCTTGTATTGAGCTACGTTGGATTGACGCAAAGACAAAACAAGATTGCCTAAAACGCCTTGCTATGCTGCAGCCATCGGAAATCCTGCACTTCCTGCCTCGTCGATCAGAGACGCCTACAGAAATGCGGCTCATCTCATCCCTTGCTGGTCCGGGATTACCAGGTTGTAAATGCCACAATGCACGATCTGGTGAACAACGGGCAGCTTGCCCTTTTCATATTTTGGCCGATATCCAATCTTTTGCTCAGTGGAGTTCCGGAGAAACTTGCACTCTCGGATTAGTGAGGGCGACACATTGCCACCACTACAGAACTGTTCCTATCAAAGATGGTTTACATTTCCTGTTCATCGAACCGCGCACTAGTCTGCTTTGTATAGGTTCCGATGCTCCTTTCGGTGGTCCTACTAGTCTGACGAGAGCTCTTATCTGTATCCCACCATTTGGAAAAAGTCCGTCGGGAGCTGTAAAAGAGGGATTGGCGCCTACGGCATTTGCAGCTGGTTCGGACTTGAACTGGAGCCTGCGGGTGGTAGCTGCCTATGGAGACCGGATTGTCTTATACTCTGTCCCGCTGGATGTCTTCAATGTGATTCAAATGGAACGTGAAAGACAAGGAGATAATGTCATGGGTGATAGTGATCTAGCACGAGATTGGTTTCTCGACAGCGAAAGGTCACGAATTGGTCGTGGAAGTCTCGCACCGAATCAAAACGGCGACTGGGACTTCCTCCTTAATGTGAGCTACAGGCCGACAGCTATGATGTGGCCATTCAAAATCTACGGGAAGGAAATTGGGCAGATGGACAATGTGGTCGAGTTGTCCTTACAAGCTGCCCACGGTGGCGCTCGAATTTGGGCGTTTGGCGCATCCGGTCAAACGAGCATCTTTGACATAGACACCTTCACGTGTAGCACCCAGCAAGTCGCCGATATTCCTTACAAGTCGTTGTGTATTGGAGCCGATGGCAGCGTCGCTTCGGCTGAGATGCTCAAGCGGAGTGATATCAGCTTGTCACCTCCATTGTCGTCGCGCAAACGAAAGCACATCGAGACACTAGGAGATTTTGGTGAACCAAAGTCTACCGCTTACCAATCTCACGATACGACACTTGATGGAGAAAATCTATCGGATTTACAGGACATCCACCAGACTATGACTAGCAATGCAACCACCAAACGGCAAATATCTTTCGCAGCGCGCATTGTCGACTTCGGTATCCCAGAGTCAGCCGACAGATCGGTAACGAGCGAATGTGCTTATGCTTAAAAACAACGAACCACAAATAAGCCTTTTTATTTTGGGAAGAATCTATATAACCAGCTCGACACAATTTTGCAAAGACTGGTTTAGTTTTCTTCTTAGACTCTAGCGACAGTTATACGATATGCCCCCCCAAAATAAACCCCTAGACAAAGAATGACAGCCATCGATATGCTATTGATTGTTATTGACATTCATACTACTGAGCACACGTGCGCAGAGCCATAGAAAATATCGTTATAAACATTCTCTATATTCTTTGAGGTTACATCTAGAGAACCATGCACTTAGAATAGCTCACGTCCAGAACTCTCTATACCCCCTTATAAAAACACAACATAACCCAACAATTCAAACCAATCCAAACCCAACATCTTCCTCCTCCCATCCCTCACCTTCACATCCCCAATCGCCCGTCCACAAACAACAACCCTACCCCCAACCAGAAGTTAGCCCCATCCGAGCCCAACACATCCAAAAACCACAGAATAAAAGCCCACATTCGCATAATACAACACATCCCCGTACGGCTAGTCCAGGCTCACGATGCCCTGAACCGGTTATCTCAGCTCATGGTTGGAGGCGGTGAGGCAGGGGAGGAGAAAGGAGGCCAGGCCCCAGATGAATGCGGTGATGGATTCCATACCTGGGACAGAGTATTGAGGATTAGATAGTGGGAGCTGGAGAGGGCGTAATTTTTTCCAAGAGGGCCGTTAGGAGTTTGGTTTTTGAGGGGAGGGTAAGGGAATTGAGGGTGTAGTAGCCTTCTAGAAATATCTGGATGAATCCGACCTTTTTTCCCCCCCTTTTTGCAAAAACAAGGGGGGTTGCGTTGGGTTGTTCGTACAGAGGACGAACCAGGGAGGTTAGGAGGATTTGGAGATGTGGGGGTGCTTGGTGAGTACGAATTTGTATGTTATTGTTAGTATTGTGCTGCAGGTGAGGGCAAATACAGAGACTAGTTCCTTTGTCGTTGGGGATGTAATCTGGGATTTCCGCTTTGGGAGGGTAATAGGGTGTGTAGATATTATTATGGCGTTGAGATATATGGAGTTTTCTCTATAGCAACTGTGCCAGGGTGGAGTGGAGAGTAATACTATCTGGTGGATATTTTGATTTCTAGGGTAATAGATGTCGGGGCTAAGTACATACAACGTACAATACACAGTACTACTAATATTAGCTAGTCTGATCTACCCCCAGTTAGCAGCCGGATCGTCAAATTATTTATGCTTATTCTTGTGGGGCGGATGGAGTCGTAGCTGATTACAATGGAAAAGTGTTCTTCGTTCAATGGTATATCAACATGTATTGAAACCGAAATCGTACTTTTATTCACAGAACGCTATCATGGCCCAACCCGTTTTCCAACACCGGAAGAATATGGCTCAGAATGCAAGCTCTGCTCGGTCAATCAAGCAGTTAGAAAGATTAAATCGAAATTTTAGCTTTTTGCGTGGATCTAGTTGGAAGCGCCATTGACCGCCAGCTTCTCTTTCCGAGTACGGACGGCCTGGGCGAGGTTCTCAAGCACAGCCTCTGTGTCCTCCCAGTGGATACAAGCATCGGTGATACTGACACCGTACTTGAGGCCGGCCTTACCCTCAGGCGGGACCTTCTGGTTACCTATAAGATAAAAGTTAGCGATAAGATTCCAGCACTCATAGCGGAAATGGAAAGCATACCCTCGTTGATGTTACTCTCAATCATGACACCCATAATGGCGGTCTCACCCGCAGCGATCTGCTCCGCGAGCACAGCGGCCACCTTGGGCTGGTTCTTGTGGTTCTTCTGCGAGTTGCCGTGGCTGCAGTCCACCATGAGACGGGGCTCCATGCCCTGCGCAGAAAGCTTGGCCTTGGCCTCGGCGATGCTCTCAGCATCGTAGTTGGGGCCCTTCTTTCCACCACGGAGGATGACGAAGCAGTCGGGGTTACCCACGGTGCCGACGATGGAGACAACACCGGGCTTGGTGACGGAGAGGAAGTGGTGGGGGTGTTTGACCGAGCCAATGGCATCCACTGCAACATCCAAAGAGCCATCGGTGCCGTTCTTGAATCCAACGGGGAAGGAAAGACCAGAAGCCAGCTCACGGTGGACCTGGGACTCGGTCGTCCGCGCGCCAACCGCACCAACGGAGAGACAGTCAGCCAGGAACTGCGGGGAGATGGTGTCCAGCATCTCGCTAGCAATGGGCATGCCCTTGTTGGTCAGGTCGACGAAAAGTTGACGAGAGGTGCGCAGGCCCTTGTTGATCTTGAAACTATTGTCGATATCGGGGTCGTTGATAAGACCCTTCCAGCCAACGGTAGTACGGGGCTTCTCCAGGTAGGCACGCATGACAATCAAAAGCTCATCCTGGTATTTCTCCTTCAGTTTTAAGAGACGGTCGCAGTATTCAAGGGCCATGTCGGGATCGTGAATCGAGCAGGGTCCCACCACGACCAGCAAACGGCGCTTGTCGGTGTCGGTGCCATGAACGACTGCGCTAGCCTCCTGACGGGCTTGCAAGACCGTCTGTCTGGAGGCCTCTGTCATAGCGATCTCATGTTGGAGAAGGTTGGGGGGAGTCAGAGGGTTGTATCCTCGAACTGCGTACGGTTAGCGAGTGATGCGACTTCATACTGCGCAATCAGGGGATCGGCTTACTTCTCGAGTCCTCCAAATGGTTGGTATCCCCTACATTGGAATTTTCGATGAAGAACTGTGCCATTAGTTGAGTAGCTATTCAGACAGTTTGGCATAATCGTGGCGAAGAATTAACTCACAGACATGGTGGGCGGCGGGGGAAGATTTGCAGAGATCAATTGTGAGGGGTAGAGGGGCACTCTGAGAAGACCAACGGTATTAATATCTCGGAATAAGTGAGGAAAAAGAACAAGAGCCCGAAGCAATGAAACTCCGAACGGGGTATCTTAGAAGGGTATGACAACAAAACAAGGGAGTTCAGAAAAAAAAATATGATTTTGAAGGATCATATTTTCTTGGGTAACAACTCCTATGTCGGCGCCCGTGACGAGTCATACCTGCCTCATCGGTCACTGTGTCGCACGTGAATCCGGTCGATCGGACCCTAGTGCATGCCTCAGGTTGGTCAACCCCATTGGCTGGATCGTCATTCGCCGTTGGACTCCGCCCACATCAACTCTAATTCCGCATATCCAACGGGTGGAGCGTCTACAACGTACTAGGTATCAGGGTCGATATCCCTCTGAGGTATCGCACAGTACAACCTACGTGGAATGCAGAGCTCCCATTGGGTTCATAACCTCCCTTCAGGGTGGCAATAATGGCTATCAAGGATTTACACTGTTCTCTTTCCAATATAATGATAGTTTAGCCAATCTAGCGAGCAGTAACAACTCTTTCGGGGCATGTGTGCGGCAGCCTGCAGACTCTGAGAAGACAGCTACCTTCAAGCGCTCTTGTGCTTTTTTCCTTTACTTTCTCCTGAGCTTAAGTGCGAGTTTGTCCTCTTCCGAGCACACCTCTCGGTCGCTTCCAAGCGATGGATTATCTCCTGACAGACATTTGCATGGTGGTCTCTGATTATGTTCATCTGCTGCTTGCATAGGTTTATTCGTTCTTCTTGTGCCTTGAAAAGTTGATCCAGCACGCGGTGGCACTGCCGGCGATATGTCTCCAAGACATCATTGACTGTTTGTTTCTCAGTCTCCAGTCCGCGCGTAAGACGCTCCACTCAATTAGCAAATGCGCTAGGTCCAATGTCTATCATGCATATGACTCACCTCACTAGAGTCGAGTAACATCTCCTGCGTAGACCTTTGGAGTGCTTGTAGAGTTGTATCTCCCTTGGTCTTTTTGAGGCTTCTGCCGCGGCTGCTCGATATTACCGTTGTATTCCAGTTAGAATCGATAGAGGCTAGCTCTCCTTGCGACGGAGATTGGTATAGATCCTGGCCTGCAATATCGATTCGTATGTGTTGCCTATGAGGTACTGAGGCTGCTCTAAAACGATCTCGGTGCATGCCCCTTGTCCGGTCTTCACGGTTCCTGGGTAAACTGGGTCCTTGTGCAAACGGACTTCTAATACGCATACCAGAGCTCTCACCATACGCAGTGTGAGCCAGATTACTTTTAGTACCAGGCACTTCAACGAAACTCTCTTCGATACCTCCATCGTAGCCAGACTCATCATCAATGCTCCTAGCGGGAACTTGCTTTTCATCTTGTGTCAGCTGCCGAGATTGGCTTTCGCGATGTACTGTACCATCAGAAATTATAATTTTATTCTCCATATGTGATAGGAGTCGTGGGCTTCCATTTATATCGACAATACTCTTTCTTGGTGTCATTCTTTGATGCTCCGCGGTGTGGTCTTGCACCTGTTGGCTATCATGGCGCAGAAGGGGTTTGGCGGAAACTGGGCCACTGTGTTTTGATGTAGCTGCTCTCGTTATACCGGAGCTCTCAGAACCGGGACCAGGCTCGTCGTTTCCGATGCACGATCGGCTGCTGTGGTCAGATTGACTAATCAAGGTATCTCCATGGCGTGGTTGAGCATGACGTCGGCTTTGTGTCAAGTTGGTAGCAGACCATTTTCCGTCATCCAAAAGCTCCGTGGCTACTGTTTCTATGCTAGCCGTTATCATTTCCACCTCTCTTAAAATTCCCTGACACTTGTTTTGATTTGTTTCTTGTACTTCGTTCGGGCGATTTTGGTCCATAAAACGGTTCAGTGACCTATCTGTATCTGAGCTTCGTGAGATCACACAATCACCGTCATTATCTTCACAAGTCCTTGCTAGATTTGACTCGACTAGTAGCTTGTTTCTGGGAGCTTCTTCCATTGATTGGATTGATGGCATCGTTGTTTCAGGGTTGCTCTGGCTCTTACGATCAGGAGATGCATCGTGTCCATGACTGTGAGATCGGTTCCATTGTGATGATATTTCCTCTAGTTGGAAAGCTGCAGCAAGCTTTCCACCAATACCTCGGCCTCTCCCTAAATGCTTTGCCCCTAGCAACTGAGGCTTTGGAGGGGCTTGTGAGGGCCCAGAATCTTTGGCATCTGTGACATAACTGTGCGTCTCGTCCGCATTATTGTCTCCGCTATGAAGGGCGGGGGTAGGCTCAGACGCACGCTGTCTGTGCTCTTCAATTTCCAGCAAAGAAGTGACACCCTTGGCTGAGGCCTCAATGGAAGTACTATCATCTGTTGCGCATTTTCCAGAGACGAGATCTTCACTGCCCGATGAGCTACTGTGATCTTCGGTTCGGATATCAATACCCTCAAAGGTCTTTAGCCCTCCCTTATATCTAGGCACCTCAGTCGCGTTATTAACCATCATGTCGTAGGATATAGGCCCCAATATACTGTTTTTCCCTTTAATAGCACTGCCAGTACTTCTGGCTGGTGGCCTCTGGCGTTTCCCGGCTGAGGAGCTTGCCTCGCGAATCACTTTCTGTCCACTACTCGGTCTCTTATTAAATGCTGACCTTTCTCCAGAAGCTGGAGAAAACACTGGTGTAGATTCGTTCCTCTTGCCAAGCTCTGACTCGCCGCTCGGACGCAGGTCTTCATCCCAGTCGACGGGTTCCTTACGATGGGTGGCATATACCTTTCTATAAGCTCTCTGAGGATGGAATATCAACGATTCCTGGGTATTAGACAACCGGGGTTTATCTCTGTTGTTGAATGACAAGGTGCATGGCTTATGCCTGCTCATTAGTTTCCTGTTTTGACTTGCAGTCGCAGCTGGCTCGTTGGAACTAATTTGTTGTGGCTCAGTAGGCCTCTTGGCCCGCGAGGTAGTATGAATACCCCCATCCTGGTCAGAAGGTGTTTTCGATACCGTTAGATCATCGTGCATTTGATTGGAGTTATACTCTTCATTCTGGCAGGGACTGCTCAGTTGAAGGCCTTTCATGTTTTTCTTGTCGGTAGCATTCGACACCCACCCTTCACCTCCGCCAATAACTTCATGTTCCACATCTCTTCTCAGAGGACCATCAGAACTGACAGCATTCGATACCCTGGTTGCCGAGGGAAGCTTCACGCCTGAGACTGGGGACATACTTCGTGGCAATGTGTGCTTGGCAGTATATGTCTCTTTTCGGGCCCTCGCCTCAGAAAGGCGCTTAGACTTTCTAACCACCACCTCTGCAGTGTCCAACGACACCACTGTTGATGACGATCTTTGAGGTTTGGATTCTCTTGTTGAAATACCAATTTTGGGTTCTGCACAGATCCCGATGAGTGCTTTACGCAGCTCGGCAAGGTCTTCATTGGACTGTAAGATAAGAGTTCGTTCCTTCATTGTTTGCCTTCTACCATTCTTGGATATTGAAATCGCTGGTTCGAGATGTAAACATAGTGACTCTTGCCCTTCCCTCTGGCTCACTGATGATCTCATTAGCCTTCGACTGGACTTTAACGAGACCTCAATATAGTTGAAGCGCTTTCTATAGGTGCTATCCGCAACGTATATGAATAGCAGTGTAGAAGAAATCAAGCTAGTGAGTATACTGCCCTCTGCGAGTACGTTTCCATCAATATGGATGGACCGCAAGATGTAGCAGGAATGCGCCTGTCCATCAGTCTCTTTCACATTTCCTACCCGCACGCCTTCATCCCTGAACGCTTCTTGTTTGGTCTCACGGGCGTATAAATAGTAAGACTTTACTATATCATCACTGGGAATGTCCGTGGTATGAAAGAATGCTCTCCTATATAGGTCGTCAGGGGTCCAGAGGAATTCCGTACTAATGCCGGCGAGATGAATAATTCGAATAATAACACTTGCAAAGAACTTCGATACGACGTCAGCCTCAAAGGAAGCTATGGAGACGATTCTAGGAATACGGTAATACTCATGAGCCATAAGAACAAGAGGTTGTTATCCAACGATCACATACCCAGCAAAATCCTGCGCCTGGGCTTCCAATAACAGGGCAACTCCCTCCCCTGATTCGAGCATTAACTCTGCGAGTAAATTCCCAGTCTGGTGTGCTACTCAGTATCATTGAGATTGAGACTGTGAGCGAAATATCTAGGCTCACCAGTTTTCTAAGTCCATGGTCCTGGTCTCTGTCGATAAATATTTGATACAATGTGTTTAATAATCGTTGCTGTGTCAAGCGCGAGTAGTCTGCCGGTGATAAAGCTGCTGGTTCATCTTTGACACACAGTTGAGGCCCGTCCTTTATGACAATCTGAAGTTAGAATTGTCGTAGCTTCTATATAAGGGCGACGGTTTTCATAGACAAACCAGCAGAAGATATAGCCCTCGTTCCTGGCCAGCATGGATTCCCGAGTTGAGCAGTAGATATGCTAGACATTGTAGAGACGTCACATCTAATGATCGGATTATCTTGGTGGCATTTTCTTCCAGAGCTGAAAGAATATTATTAACGTTGTTGGTTGTCAGATGAGTTTCATCACGTAACAAGGGCTCGACTATATCACTCGAGAAACTGCATACTGTCAAGCAATGAAACAAAAACACACACTTGAGCTCCTGGTACTGACAGTATTCTTGTGTCTCCTTCGGCTTCCGTAGCTACACTTCTCAGTTGAGTGACTAAGGATAGCTCTGCCATATAGGCGGGGCTTTGCTTATCGAAATTCGCACCTAAGCTCGTTTCAGACATTTTGTGCTTATGGACTGATAGCCAATCATGAATGCAAAGTCCTTTAAGTAAGGGTAATTGTCATGAAGAATATTGATGTGTGTGTATAGAAGGTTAGTGTGCCATCACATGATGCTGTCCATCAAACAGGAAACCTAGTCTACAAACTTGAACAACTTCAGGAAAGTCCCAGTGAGCCGTTGGTTGCCTGAAAGCTTCCCACGTCTTTCGCTCGAAACTATGCCTGTGGGATTTCCATGGAATATTATAACCTAGAACTAGAAGACATAATCTTCCACAGCCTGGAGCCTGACTCTTATATCATCTAAAAGCTATCTCAATATGATAAGCGAATTCGAAGCTATCGAAAAGCCTCATATATTATCAAAGGCACTGCCTTTCGCCTATACTATACTTATTAATGTTTGTAGAGTGTCGATGTCACGAAATAAATGATAAGTTTACTACTAGTGTGCCCCAGAAATTCTGAGCACAGTTATTGAACATCACCTTGTTCAAAATCGTTGTTAGCGAAAACAATAGGGAGAATACCAGGGCCGCTGCCAAGAACCTTCGCAAGCCAACGTCAGGCACAACACACCTTAAGCATAAAACCCCAGATTTTAACATAGTAGCGCAGATGACACCATCGCAGCTTACTGGATATTCCATAGTATTTAGGCTATCATCGTCCCAGTTCGATATCCGTTGAATAAGGACAGTTTTCAACTGCTATCCGTACTAATTCTCTCAGAAGAAGAGCCAATAACTAACCAATGCATTTACTTAATTACCAATATGATCTGTTTGATATTGTAATCAAGCACGGTCCCTTAGAAATCCGATCCGAATCGGCATTCGTTCGCTCCGCGTCCCGACTCCTAACATTCATCTATGGACAAAACAGGCGACCAAGTGTTTACGTGGAAGGAGAAGCATGATATTCAGCATGATGATTGGTCTACTTATTTTCCGACACGAGGTTGACTAACTCATAAGTTCCAGCGCCCACGCTGTGCAGCTGAGGTTTCCTATATCTCAATTTTTCCATTCAACTTATTATAGGTTATCTCGAAATGGGTGTATCATATCCTGAAAATCCGCTCAAGGAAGACGGCGCTGAGGTTGTCGTTCCTCCCTCATCAACGGGTGGGATGTTCGAACGGTTATGGGAACTGATTCCCCGAGGCGGCAGCAAGAATTTAGCATCCGAAGCGACGAGTTGTCACCTTCCCGAGACAACGTCTACCAGACGGCGAGCATCAGTCGCGGAGCACTCGCTCGAAAGAGATGAACACCTTTCCGAACACCTGCCTGAATTTCCCAGCCGACACGATGATCAAAGCAAACCATCTCCTCCACAGGAAACCGTCCTATACCTGGCCTACGGCTCAAACTTGGCTTCGAAAACATTCCTAGGGATGCGTGGCATTCGGCCCCTCTCTCAGATCAACGTCATTGTTCCCGAATTACGATTAACCTTCGATCTTCCTGGACTGCCATACATCGAGCCTTGCTTCGCAGCGAGTCAATTCCGCGACGCCTCATGCAAGGGAACGGATACAGACCATATCACAGATAATGAATTGGAAGGCGATCTGGCATCGGAAAAAACAGTGCTCATTTCCCAACGAGAGCACGATTATCTACCCGACGATCCTCTCGTCGGTGTTGTGTATGAGGTCACCCTTACCGATTATGCTCGCATTATAGCGACAGAAGGAGGTGGGAATGGATACAAGGACATCGTTATAGATTGCTATCCATTTTCCGAATCTTACGACCCAACTCAGCCCATTCCAGACTGTCCAGAATCGAAACCATTCAAAGCACATACCCTTCTCGCACCTGTCACGAACCTAGACGAGATATCTCGGCGCGCTTATGCGCAGCGAACACACTCATTTGTCCCTCGATCTGGGCCCGCTGTGCGGAAGCCTGGGTACTCCCAGCCATCCGCTCGCTACCTCAACTTGATCCTCACAGGGGCAGCCGAGCATAATCTTCCTATCTCTTATCGGGCACATCTTTCTCGAGTGCCAACATATCGTATTACAACTGTTCGTCAAAAGATGGGCAGGTCGATATTTCTAGTGACATGGGGTCCACTTATGCTTCTGGTGCTCACACTCTCAAGGACTCTAGCTGGTCCGGATGGTCGTAGTCCGCAATGGTTGATGAAGCTGTCGGATATCATAGGAACCGTGATGTGGGGTTCTTACGAATTCATATTTCGACCACTTTTTGGAGATGGTGAACGAACTATGGAGTAGGGAACATGGTTAAATTTCCAATATATATATATATATATATAATCAGGACCAATCCAAAAGCTGAAAACATTAAGTTTTTAAGTACAATTCCCGACCCCTTTTTGTTACATACCTGCCTTAGAACTGTTCGACTAGCGTTGAAATGCGATAATGGCAACTGCTGAGGCGAAGCCAGCATCGGCAGATTACCTCGGTCTAGGCAAAAGAGTCTACCCGCGTAATGAAGCAAAATTCATATATGAAAGCAGACAAAGGAAATTGTGACATTGGGTCTTCAAACAAGATTTTCAAAGGAGAAAAATATCTAGGGTACAGATACAGGTGTCCTGAATAACATCTAACAAAACAAGCAGAGGCCAGACCATACATAAGAGCGACTGATGAAGGAACGGCGACGTGACCAAACCTAATAAGGTTGGGGTCGATTATTCAAGGTTCTCTGGCCGTCGATCCCTCACTTTTTGCAATTCATATAGTCCGTTATATCGTTCAGCGCCGGGAGACAGGGGGGCTGTACACAATCTTCCTTGTCTTGATTGGAGACCACTTGTAACGCTTAACCCAGACGCTGACGGCGAAGAGACCGGTAAGGAGGGCAATGGCCTTGACACCCATCTTCTTACGGTCGTCCATCTCAGGCTCGGCAGCCCAGTTAAGGAACTCAACAACGTCCTTAGCCATCTGGGAGGTGGTGGCCGGAGTGCCGTCCTCGTACTCAACAACACCATCGAAGAGGACACGACCCATGGCAATAGCTATAACGGAGTTAGACTAATCAAGCATCATAGGGAATTCGCCAAAACATACCGGTTCCAGGGAAGTAGGGGTTGAAGTTCATGCCCTCCTGGACAGTGGCACCAGCTGGGGGCTCATCAGGGTAACCAGTCAACAGACTGAAGATGTAGTTGCAGCCACCGTGACGGCCCTTGACGATCAAGCTAAGATCAGGGGGGAGAGCACCGCCGTTGGCAGCACGGGCAGCCTCCTCGTTCTTGTAAGGAGCAGGAATGTAGTCCGACAGCTTTCCGGGACGCTTCTCGATCTCGCCCTGGTCGTTGGGCTCGGTGTCGTATTCGTTCTCCTCAGCCATGGCCTTCATCTCATCGACGGTGTGCATGACACCAACGAACGAACGCCATGGAACACGGGTCAAGGAGTGGCAGGAAGCGCAGACTTCACGGTAGACCTGGAAACCACGACGGAGGCTGAGAAATAATATGTAAGCAAGAACTGCCGTTTGTTTGAAGAGGGTCGATCCGGTTCTAGGAGTACTCACGCCGCATGGTCGAAGGTCTTGTTCCACTTGGCGTGTTCCCAAGGGTAGTTGGTAGGGTGCAACCTTTAATTCAGATGTGTCAGCCATATCACGGTCTCGGCTGCTAAGATGACGATTCGGTCGGAGCAACGGAGAGGAAAAATGGGTGCCTAAGCCCGAGCAATATCGTAACCAATCCACTCACCCTTCCTCAGCAGGGGTCGATGCAAAAGCTTCCTGTCCATAGAGATAGGCGGCGGATCCGACGGCGACGGCGGTTGCGACGGCCGCAGTGACTGTGAGGTGGAAGGGGGAGCTGGCGGATTCGGCACCGGCGGCGGAAGAAGACGCACGCTGGACAATTCATCAGTGGTGAGTCCTTGCAAAATCATCCAGGACATATTCCAAAGCAATTGCCCTCTTATCTTGAGCCCAATGGACGTCAGATGTCGGAGAAGTGCGTACCGTGGATGCTCTGTTCAAGGACTGCCGAGCGATACCCCGGAAGGGCACGCTGCGCGAGACAGTACGTGCCAGCATACTGATGATATTAAGAACCCTCTGATCAATGGATAATCAGGAAGGCACAATAGCCAGGAAGAAGGAGAGGGGAGGGGGAGGGGGTCGTGGTGCGCACTGGAGAATGTGCTTTTGGAGGTGAAGTTGAGGTTGTCGGATGGTCAAGTTTCTCTTGGGTTTGGAATTGGCTAAACCCTCCCGCTGATTGGCTGGCACCACGGCTCTAACTGCCTTCGGTGAAAACCGCGACTTTTCGGAACAACAAAATTCGATCCATAAATCAGCAGCCACATGATGACAGCCAAACAATCCCGACAACTACAATTATGCCATTATCTATTCGGAATTCATTCTCTCTTTCTAGTACTGCATTCTTGAAGATCTTAGTGACACATGTGCTACGCCAATTGTTCGTATGAGAACCTCGCACTCCCGTCCACTCCACATCCTCTTCTTCTGTGTGGTCTCTCCTTCATTGTGCTTCCGCCTTGGCTTGAATTTCCGACGTAATCCCCATACGCAAAGCATGGACGGCCTCCCGAGTATTGCATCGGGCACTCTTACTATACAACACTAAAGACAAAGCGGGTAGTCGTCGAACAGTCCGCCCACTGAGATTCTGATGATAGCGTTAGAAGTGCCTTTTTGTAACGTATACCCAGTAATTATTGTGCAAGAAAGAAAGGGGAATGGGGACAGGAAAAAGGAAAAAGGAAAAAGGAAGAAGGAAAACGAGCATCACTTACCATGCTCTCCAATGCTGCGTCACCAAGCTGCTTGGGGACAGATTCCGGAAACATCTGATAATTGAGGAGCATCTCATCAAATGTTGGTAGCAGTAGAGTCTCCGTAGCCTGCTCCACATATTGCAGTGCAGTCTGGGGATTATCGGGGTTCACTTGGACAACATCAAACGAGGCTCCCTCAATGATCTCACACCGACTCAGTTCTTCCAAACATTCTTTGTAAATTCCGTATATAGCTCTGTTGGACAGGTATGGTACGAACTGCTTGATATCGACCCGGTCGAGGAAAGCTTGGTCCTGCGATGTACATCAGCTTCTCGGGCCCAGAACGTGCAGTGCAGCAATGTTGATTAATCTGACCGAATGCTTACCAGAGCTGTGACCAAATTGCTCGTACAAATTACAACAACATTGGCATGGGTCTTCAATCTATCCAAGCCTGTGAGAAGTGCATTGACCGCACGTACAGCGTCGAATGGCTCATTCCCACCCAGCGCTCTCTCTCTTCGAGCCGCTAGCGTTTCTATCTCATCGATGATCAGACAGACAAAGGTATCTTCTTCCTCTTCGAGCAACGACTCAATGTTCTCAAAGGTCTTGCTTACCAGCTTCCCGCTTTCACCGAAGAACTTGCTACCAAGTGAGTGAGCGTTTATTTCAACAAGCTTGCTCTGGGGATAATGTTTTCCAATGCGTATTGCAATTTTCTGAGTGAGGCCACGACTAAACTATCTCAGCTTCGAATAACCCGGGACTGATTTGATTGGCGCACCAGAGGCTTGTTTTTCCAGTTCCTGGTGGTCCCCACAAAAGAATCAGTCTATTCCAGTTGATCGTCCATCTGTTGAGTTTTCGAGAAGAGTATGATACTAGAACGAGCAGTTAGCCAATGTTATTATCTCACAAGCACCGTTAAAGTCCTCACCCATCCTGGTGATTGCACGAAGCAACATAGACTTAAGCGGCTGGTCAAACTGCAATCTGTGACACCTTTGATTAATATCATGCGGATACCAAGTCATCAAGTTTACCATACGACTCCCACAGTCCATCCAGTTCTCTGCTTGGTAGGCTAAGTACCCTTGCTTTTGGATCTTCATCCTTGCTGTCCATGGATTCCTCTAGAGGTAGAGTGTGTTGAGAGCCTTCTTGCTCTAATGGTGCGCGAAGCTGATACGCTTGGACATCAAGTTCAACCTGTTGGAGTCTGTATGCTCCGGTTTCCATATCTTCCCCGGAGCATTCGGTGACAACCACAGAGTCTATGGCCTGAGCATGTGAATCGCTCAAGCCTTCTAATATACTATTAATAACTGCGTTTAACTTTTCTTCTCGAGGAGGCACTCGTACCAAAGGAGGATATTTCCTGTCCGAGGCTGAGAACGACGAAATTGGCAACTAGCCATTTTGTGACCTCTTCCCTAATCTGCTGATTTAAGCCTCACAGTCCCTTAAGAGATCAAGACAGGTACACCAGGGGCAATGTACCAGGTCAGTGCGAATGATGATACCATCTCCGTTGTTTTTGACACGCGCTTCGACATGTAGGACTGGCTGCTGAAAGACTTCCATCATGTATGGAAAGAAGCTAGCCAAAATTATGTTGTGTGGGATTTACGGTAGGGCAGTATAAAATCAAATGATATACACTGGAAGAATATTGAGAAGAAATGTCGTTGACTTGGGTCAACTGTAGTCACGGAAATTGTAGCTCAGTAGGCCTTTTCCCGTGACATACAACAATATACTACCACCCAAGTCTCTCTGTTATATGACTAGCAAAATGGTAATAGAATTCTGAGTTCACTAATATCGATGAGGACTTAAGTTGACCTGTTTGTAGCTTCTGTGATATTTCTGAGAGGCATGCGGTGTGCATGTACAGTCTTGTCCAAACTCTCCTCTGCAAATGATAAAGCAGCGAGCAGTATCCGCGAAGCAGATGATGAAAAAAAAGGCTTCCCATCTTCCAAGAAATTACTATCATGCTATTCTTATTCTGGAAAGCTTGTCATATGGGCTTTCTATAATCACCGCATCAAGGTTCATCCTTCGAAAAGAGAAACGTACCACCACAATGGCAAATTCACCTACTAAGTAAAAATGAATCCTCCTTGTTGCTAATTAAGCGCAGTTCTCATCTGTCGTCATCACAATAACATTACATTGAACATATTACACTTGGCGGTACCGACCTCTAACAATCGTTCAAATTTTTACATACAAACTGGAACACATGTTACCATAAATTTCTAATACAGATCATGATTTTTAGATCTGGTCATTTGTTTAGACCGCTCGATCACGTGGAGTTGGACCCTTCTGGATGGTTCACCGGAAAGGGAAAGCCTCTGGCCGATCCACCATTGGACTCTCTGGGGTCCATATTAAGTGCCGCCATAGTCATGGCTGTGCAAGACATCAACGGTCCGTACATTGAACCTACGCACTTTGATTTTATTTTTTTTTTCGCAATGAACCATTTTACCTATAAACATATACTCTAGTTGTTATTACTCAAAACGATACCTAGTAGGCTCAGTTCTTGCCCCAATCGTGTCCATTGCCCCGCGGAGCCAACTAGTCGGTGGGAACTGGCCGTCCGAGCTTTCGGCAATACCCATTCGATCGAGAACCCAAGGATCTTTCCTCTCTTCCGATGCATAACTACAGAAGCCACGATGCCGCCGAAAGTGAGCAATGGGACAGGAGTTGGTGGGAAACCGCGCAGAGACGTTCTGGCTTCGGTCAGAATGGCCTCCATGGACCAAGTCTCCAGGGCTGCTCTCCCAGCTGGTACGCTCGATCTTGGCTGAAGGAAAAGCAATATGCAGTATAGCTAACGAGTACTAGAGATTATGTCCTCAGTCCTAGACTATCTTTCCCCAGTCGACTTGATTCGAGTAGCACGATCGTCAAAACTTTTACGCGAAATCGCTTACGATGACACAAGATGGGTACAGTGGCTGAAACGCATGGGCTGCTGGAATGAACTGGAGGCTAGGAAACACGTTGAAGAAACATTTGGGACCATTGCAAATGTTGAGAGCGTCAGGCAAAAAGAAGCTGCCGAGCAATCTCAGCGATCATCGCTCGTGAGCGCAGGCACAGAAAATAAGCCTCAAATAAGTCTCAAATCACTGTCCGATGGTTTCGACCAGATAACGCTGTCTACACCTGCTGCCACTGGAAATGCGAACGAACTGGAAGACGATCCAATCTTGGGGGCGTTACAGCAGGTTAAATCAGTGCGTGGGGAAGCTCGGAATGAGTACGGCAAGGTTCATGCTGCTCTTGCGCCTTTTTACAACGATATTGCCATTGCAGGAGCTTCTCCAGATAACTTGTTGTTTAAGAAATATACCGACCCACAGCACCAAGCTCAGATTCTGTTTCAATTGCAAGCTTTCGCCAAATGTGACTTAACGGAGGGCTGGTGTGAGAGGCTGTCACACCTGCAGGAAGCTATCTCAATGTTTGAAACAGCCGCTATCAAGGAATTCAGACACGGTTACGAGACTGAAGACATCGAAAATAGAATGCGGCAATATGCCCACGTTCTCTACACATTGAACGGTGGGGCTGCAGCTGTTGAGCTCTTCATTCACCATAACCATCTTGTCACACGAAGGTCAGATTTCGGTAGGCCAGGGGACTGCATTGATACATCATCTCAACGCGTGAAGCTTGACCAGACGCAGGCATTATTTACTCGTCTGAGTGTTGCTTACAATGAAGAAGTCGCAATCATCAATCGCGCCTTTCCGCCGTCGTTAAAGGTTGCATTGCCGTTCATTGAGAAAGTCGGCCAGGATGTGCTGTACCCATTTCTGACCGCGATCTTTGATGAATTGCATCGCATCAACATAGAATCTTACTTGACCGCCGTTTCGAGTACATTCGCCCAATGCATGAATCTCGCTGATACCCTGTTACCAATTCAAAGTTCGGCTGTTAATTTCGAAGAGTTTTTGGAGCATGTCATTGCTAAAGTATATGAGCCACATATGGACTTATACCTTGCGGAGGAATTGGATTATTTCCGGAAACGCTCTGAGGCCGCAGTGGATGAATGGGATAGGCAGCTTTCTGAACAGGCTGCCTCGACGGAGTCATTTCTAATGTCAAATATAAATAGACAAGCCGATAAGAAGGACTTCCTGACTTCTTTCAAGAAAGTCATCATGGCCCCTGTCAATCTCCTTCCGAGCTTTTCAGGGACCAAAGCAAGCGATTCAAAGTCCGACGAGGAGTCTTCTGCTGGTGATGCCTCGGCTTTGAAGGCCCAGAACCGATTTTCAACCATTTCCATGCCTGCCACTCCTGTAACCGAAGCTCCTACCACGGAGCTTGCAGCCAAGGCAGCTATTATGAAATCGAAAATGGAAGGTATCCGTTCCCTGTTCAGCATCGAAGTCGCCTTGGGCCTAGTTCATGCTGCAAAGTCGGGCCTGGAGAGAGCTGCTCAATTTGTTCGGATTGGAGGGGACACAGGTGCCCTTACGAAACAGCAATGTGAGGCGATATTTGTTACCCTGGTACGCATTTTAGGGGATCGTCATCTCATCGCCGGCTTTGACAAAGCAGTTGACCATCTATCTAACTACCGACCTCGCGAACAAGGAGACCGCGATCAGTCGGGTGTTGAACCCTTAGTGACCTTCTTGGAGCTGGTGAATGTTGGTGATCTCATTCTCCAGATGGTCGATGTCTTTTATGAGCAAGAACTCATTGGCAAAAAGCTGACTGATCGTAATGACTTTGTTGACCCCGCAGTGAAAGAGAAGAAGAAGTTCGAGCAGAATCTCGACGAACGAGTTGCTGCAGGACTCAACAAAGGAATCGATGTTCTTATGGAAGAAGTGGACTATATTCTGGCAACACGGCAATTAGCGACAGACTTCAACCCGAGTGTGTCCACAGACCCGTACCGGCAGACTATGGACGTAAGTGTATCTGAAGCGGCAGTTGCCGTTGTTGATGTGGTTTCCTCGCATACCCAAATGCTCGTTGGGAGTACCGACAAGAGCACACTTGACGTTTTTAACCAAGAGGTGGGGTTGCGTCTTTTTACTGCCCTATGCAAGCACTTGAAACGTCAAAGAATTAGCGTTGAGGGTTCCTTAAGACTCATCAGGTAAGGCTTCTCTTCTTCGGTCATAATTGCTTGTCCTCGCTGACATAGCCTAGCGATATGAACCACTACTTCAACTTTATTCAGAGATTCAGGAATAATGAGCTTCTTGTCTATTTCAAAGCTTTTCGTGAACTCTCTCAGATCTATCTAATCGATCCTTCGGACGCTAAGGAGCTCGCTACCATCATTGCAGACTCGGACCGGTTTCAGGGAATCTGGACGGTTGAAGATGTGTGCGAGTTCGCCGAACGACGAGCAGATTGGTATCAGGTGAAACGAGACGTGGAACGAGCCATGTATGGGATTGGGTGCAATATTATGTGATGAACGGGACTTTCGAATATACCCACAGCATTACGACCTGTAAATTTAAAGGAGAATACCCCCATTTCGCGTTGCATATATACATCGCTGGATAGCTGGATATGTTACTATAGGGCTCCGGAATGCCCGGAAACTACGATTTGAACGACACTACCAATTATATGGCCGATATATTTCTCTCCTAGACGTAGACTTTATTTTTTCATCTTATATTTTGTTTTACTTTGTGCCTGAAAAGTTGTTTACGTTCTCTTGTAAATATTGGCGCCTGAAAAAAGCCTGACGTCAGTAAGCGGTTGTGGAAGCATGATTTGGTGACCAAACAAACACCTCTCAGCCACTCGTTTCTCGAGTGTTCATCTCACCTGCAGCTATTTCTACCTGTTAAAAGGTTTGATTGCAGGGAATATATGTCACTTCATCGTGGTCTTACCTGAGGTTATTTTTGGTATTGGTCCAGATTCCCATAAGTGAAATCAAGTACTGAGTACTTATGAATAAAAAAGCACGTATCCATCGAATTAAATCGACACAGGTTCAGGTCTACCGGTCTATCCAATTCTGCAAATAAATCTGACAGTCATATTCCCCGCCCAGGTTGATCTGTCCAGTGGCTGTATATCTGAATCATGCCATAGTATATGACCAGCCATACCAGCACTACACCCCGCAACCATCAAAAGCAGCTTAGAAGGCCGGAAGACCAACGGCCCTAAGAAAGGAATACCATAGAACTACAGAAATGTTTTCTATCCCCTCTTACAAGCACACCAGTCCTATGCGATACATAACACCATGTCTCGAAGTCATGCTCATCTTCATACTCGCTACTCCGGCAAACACCCAACAAACAATCCAGACAACAATCATGGTCACAGCAACACCAACATCACCACATCCGCCCTCCTACACATCCCCTGAGGTATTCAGAGACACAGTCCTCTCGTCGAGCAATACCTACCGCAAAGAGCATAACGCAAGCGATCTCGTTTGGAACGAGACCTTGACTCTGTATGCAAAAGATTGGGCCGAGGGGTGTAAATGGAAACATTCTGTACGTTCTGGTTCCTTTTCTTAACTTATCTACTTGTGTGCTGCTTATTTGTTGGGGTGTTGTATGAGGGAACATAAGTGGTTTAAAATATTGGTCGTACTTATGCGAGAGGTATATATATATAGCATGGTCCATACGGCGAGAACCTCGCCTTCGGATACCAGGATGCCTCAGCTGCGGTCTTTGCGTGGGGTGACGAACGTCGCTTGTACGATTTTAAGAAACCGACCGGGTTCAGCGAGGAGACAGGGCATTTTACGCAGTTGGTTTGGAGGGCTACGACAGATGTTGGATGTGCGGCGATCGACTGCGGGTACGGCAACGGCACTGATGATAACGAGAAGAGCGGGGATACGGGTTCCTCCTATACCAGGGCTCAGGGCTGGTATGTTGTTTGTGAGTATTCGCCGCCTGGGAATGTGATGGGGACTAGTAGGACTGCTGGCGGTGAGAACGGGCTCTTTAAGGTGAATGTGCAGTCGGCGAGTACGTATTCTGGACCGTATCCGACGGACTCTGGAAGCCCTCCTGCTAGTACGAGTGGGGTAAGTGGTGCAGATCGAATGTTTGTTCCTTGTGGGTGGATTTGGGGCTGGATTGGGGCCCTGGTTTTGATGGTAATGGGCTAGGGGATGATAGTGTAGTAGAATCAATGATATAGAAAAATCGTTTCTTTGCAGACACCAACTGATGAAAATTTATACAAGAACATCTTACTTCGTTAGCCTTGCATATGCCGGCTTAAGGTGGTCATCTCTCATGCTACCAATGTTGCGCTCATGACACTCTCCGGTCGGGAGATACGCAATACACATCTATTCACTTTTGAAGTTCCAAACGTCCTTGGGCTGGAACAAAGCCAAACGTATCACAGAAACAAGCTCACAGGAGGCGAAGCGGACGGCGCTTCGAAGAAGAGGGTGAGGATATCGACAGGCAAGATGTAGAAATGAGGAAAATAAAATAGAAAGTGACATTAGATACGAAAGACATGACCCAATCAACCGATAACTTCCTCGTTCTCCTCCACAATCTCCTCCACAATCTCTTCGACAACGGTCTCGCCCTGGTCTTCGGAGACGGAGGGAGCATCCTTGGCAGCCTTGGGATCGTCTGCGTTTTCGGGGATACCGTAGGCATCCTTCTCCTCGGCCGCGAGCTCCTTCTCCCGGCGGATCCAGGCAACCCACTCGTTGAGAACGCGCTTGCGCTTCTCGACAACAGCGGTGTTCGCAATGTCGACAGCATACTTGTCTTCCTCGTCGAACTCCTTGGAGTACTCACGGAGGTTCTTGCGCACTTGTTTCTGCTCCTCCTTGCTAAGAAGAGTGGCTGGGCGAGGACGCCAGACGAACTGCTTGAATTTATCGGTAGGGTTCTCAGCGAGGGTTTGACCGGCGAAAGTGTGAAGGTTCCAGCCGTTTTCCATCTAGCAAGGAGATATTAGTAAGAAATTCTTAGTTAAACTTGGCACGAATGCAACGGGCTTACCGAATGAGTCCACACACTAGCACTGCTAACAACGTAACGACCTGTAGGATCCCAGTCGATATCTGTGACACCGTAGTGCTCCACAGTCTTCATCAATTGAAGGTTGGCGGCCAGATCCTTCTCGCCCTCGGCCTTCTCACCCTCAAAGTCCATATCCCAGAAGTCCAAATCGAAGTTCGATTGAGAGTGAACGGTGGCGACAACGACGAAACGGCCCTTGGGGGACCAGTAGATAGCGTTGCTCGTCTTCTTCTCGATTGTGCGCACAAGCTTGAAGTTACCGGCCTGGGGGCCCTTCTTTTCAGGAGCGAAGAAAGATACGGCAGTCTTAGGGAGAACAGCAGCACCACTAGGGGTTTCACCCGTAGTGATCAGGACAAAACGTCCACCGTTGGGTTCCCATGCAAAGTTGATCACAGTGTCTTTGAGACTGTCCACAACCTCAACTGGAACACCCTTCTCGCGCACCCGGAAAATCTCAAGGTTGGTAGCCATTGACTTCTTGGACTTGGAGTGACGATCCACCTTGACACAGACGTAGGTACCTTGAGACTGCCAGTGCAGCTTCACATCAGAGACGTTGAACAGGTTACGGGTTCGTACAATCTCCTTAGATGGAACGCTCATCAAGGCGACTCTTGCGGGGTTGCTGCCAATTTCAGGAGTCCAGAAGGAGAGAAGTTGTTCGTATTGCTTGACACCCTCACGGGTGACTGTTGCTGGCGACCATTCGAAGTCCATGACACCATCAATCTTAACGGAAGTCTTACCCAGCAAGTTCATCCGAGGCAGCTCGTAGATAGAGATAGACTGGCCCTGGAGCATTCTTGCAACGTACTTCTCATCAGCGGACCACTTGAAAGCGGGCCACTGCACCTTCTTCTTCGGGGCAGCATCACCTTCAGCAGGGCCGGTAGCGAGATCATGAGAAACGAAGGAACGCAGAGGCTTTCCAGAGACGATATCCCAGACGATAATGTTCTTTCCATCCTCTTCGAAAGACAAGACAGGGTGACCCTCTTCAACCTGAATGGGGCGGGAAGACCAGGTAGTCAAGTAGCTCTCACCTGGCGAGAACTCGACGAGCTGAACAAACGGATGGGGGAACTGCTTCTGTTTTGAGAAAGCAGGGCCGCCCCAGAGCTGCACACCCTGAGGATGGACGGATGCAAGATATGTACCCTTGGGAGACCACTGGACGAAGAGCTGTGTCCAATGAGCACGATCGACGACGTTCTCTGGTGGATTGTTCTTGTTGTTCCAGAACACGCCAACCTTGTCATTGCGGTAGAGGGCGAACTGGTCACGGGCGTTGGGGTCGGACAGCCATGAGCGGAGGTGCTCCTTCTCCTTGAAAGGTTCGACAGTTGGGGGCTTATATTCCTCATCGATGCGTCCTTCGCGACCATAGCGATCAATATCCATTAACTTGTTCACGGCAAGGGTGTGCTTCTTGTCGAGAGGTGTTCCGTGCAGCTGCTTGACTGCGGCAATGGCTTGTTCGGGGGTTTCATATTCGACGAAGGCGAAACTGCACAAACGAAACATTAAACCTTTCCTTCATTTATTTCCAGTATTTCCCCGGTACGTACCCTTCGGACATGTTCTTGTCGTTGGTCGGCATGAAAACGGCATCTTCGGAGGTGTGGCCGACCGCGTTGAGTTTCCTCAGCAAGAACTTGATAAGCTTCTGCCTGCTCTCTTCCGGCACGATCGGGAGCCCATCGATGACGATAAATGTATCCAAACCCTCCTCGAGCTTCACTTCAAATTGCTCCTTGAGATCTAAAAATCGGAAAAGCGGTATTAGCGAAGAGGGGCACGGGACCTAGAAAGAGACAAATGATAAAGAATCGCACTCACCGGAGAAGTCAATCTCCTCCTCCTCCTCTTCGTGGAGATCCTGCTCGGACAGGGTATCGAAACTGGGCGCCATGATTGCTGGGGGGCGTTTCGAGGGCGATGGGTGGAGAGTTATCGAGGGTGAGAGAGCCGCTCTGATTTTCTGCTGGTCGTCCCCGTTTTGCCTGGTTTTAGGGCAAAAAGAACAAATCCCAACCACAGCCGCTTCTGTGTGCGAAGGCGCTGACTCAGCCGTGCCTGCGCCCACGTGACGACCCGACCGACCCCAGTCGCCCGCATAACCTCCAGTGTTAGTGAACCTTACTTTACCGTAACCGACCGTACGGCCTGCCTTGACATACAGTTGGAGATCCATAACAGGTCGCGACCCTCGAACACAATTCGTCCCAGGTTGCTTTGATATTGCGGGTGCAAGGTGCTGGTCGTTGTGGGCCGGCCATCTCCATTGTTTTCTTTTGTTTTTATCTCATCTACCTTGTGTTCCTGTTCTGTTACACCTTTTATTGGAGATTCCCTTCCTTCTTATGCCCCGCCGGTCCTAAGCGCCAGCGCTACGCCCAGATCTGGACGATCGATCTCCAACAGTACGATTCACTACCTCTCCCTCCTGCTCCAAAGCTAGCATTATCGACTCTGTGGCTGTGCCCATTGCAGCGATTGACGCAATTATCACTGTATTTCCTACCGTCGAGAAAGTAACCAGAGCTACGTTGCCCAGGATGTCGCGTAAGTTTCGCTGGCACTGATGTTTCTGGGTCGTGCACAAGCCGCCGAAGTCGCTCTGAACTGACATCATTCGCGATGCGCCAGTCTCCCCAGAAGCCCGCGACCAATATGTACCAATCATTGACTCAATCCTGGCTAAGAGTGATCTCAATACTATCTCCGAGAAGCGAATCCGTAAAGGGCTTCAGGAAGAGGTCGGCTATGATCTCACTCCGCATAAGGTCTGTTCCGCGTCTCGTCACGTCGCAAAACCAATGACCCCAATATCACTTCATTACACTGCAATTATACACCATGCTAACATATCTCTTTAACTAGGCTGTGATTAAGCAGCTTATCATGGAGCGGTTCGACATCTTTGCCGAGAATGGTGGTATAGAAGCTTCTCCCGAGGCGGTCGCTACTGCTCCTGCGACCAATGGCCACAGTTCTGCGACACCGGTCGAGGCTTCGTCCCCTGCGCAATCCTCCAAGTCACAGAAACGTCAGGCGGATAGTGTGGAACGTGAATCGGACAAGACTCCTCCGGTGAAGAAGAAAAAGTCCGATCACGATGTGGATGCGGATGCCCTTTTCGCGGCAAAATTGCAGGCGGAGGAAAACATGCGTGCCCGTCCCACTCGCGGTGCGAGTGCGCGTAAAGCCCAACCGGCAAAGAAGAAGACAACCAAGGCTAAAACGTCGAAGAAGGTCAAAGCGGAGGACGACTCAGACGTCGACTCCGGCTCGGACTCAAAGAAAGTGAACCGTTCTGGTGGATTTCATGTATGTTTTACTATACTCTTGGAGTAATTTGTCTCGTATTAACAGCTATACAGAAACCACTTACTCTATCACCGGCATTGTCAGCTCTGCTGGGTGGAGAAGAGTCGGTATGTATTCTCTTTGGTCCTGCTTGCTTGACGCATCGCATATCACCCGCATGCTTTGATTGAGAAACAGCTAATTTCCCCCAGCTTTCGCGACCCCAGACGGTAAAGAAAGTCTGGGCGTATATCCGCGAGCATGAACTTCAAGATCCCAGCGACCGACGTCAAATCCGCTGCGACGAACCGATGCGCGCGGTTTTCAAGCAGGACCGCATACATATGTTTACGATGACAAAGATCCTCAGCCAAAATTTGTACAGCCCCGATGAATAGTCTCCGTATCTGGAGGGAGACCCACGCCATACATAGTCTTCAGGGAGGGCAAAAGTTGCGTCGCGCCCGTCGCTATACTTCATGAATATTTGCTTTTATTTACTTTGCTTTTGCTTTTGCTTTTGCTTTGCAGCACCGCATATGATAACCAGGAGCCGTCATTTTGATTATCGAGATCTTATGTTGTACTCAGTTTACCCCCATTGGCGACATAATTGCCTTACTCATCTTTTGTTACTTTACCTGCTTTTTCTCCAGCGGGAGTTGGTACTGCCTTGCAGATTGGCGCGATGGATGCTGTCGGTAAAGAACCGTCGCTATTTCAGAAGAGTCCTGCAGGGATGTCTTCTGCCATTACACATTATTATTATTATTATTATTATTATGACATAGCATGAGCAATACAGAGTGTTCAAGTAGATCGCGGACCCGCGTAGGCAGATTTTCGATAAGTACATGTACACTACCTCTGCTTGCGGGAGAATAGCCCACTGCAACAACACCAAAGCAGTGACCACCATGGGAAATATCCTTGAGTCAATCGAGTCAACAGGTAGTCTTAGATGTCAGTAGGATGATTCAAAAGGAATTATTCAAACGCTCAAGTCGAGAGACGGTGAGTCGAAATGACGCCGAGAGGAGTCATTGCGGAAAGCTAATTAATTCGCTGGTTAAATACGGAGTAAATAAATGGGAAATTTTTAGTGATTTAATCAAGCCGCTCACTAAGCACGCCGACAGCCAACATTTTCGCCCGCCGCTCGACAATTTGTCTCCCCTCACTGCCACCACTACACTAGGATCATTATCCCCGCAGACAAAGTGTTCGTCGCGCCGTGTCAGAAGGAGCGCCGAGCTCTTCTAATCCCTGGGAGCTGTTATCCGGGCTTGTCCCCTTTCTGAAATTGTTTCCGTCGTGCCAACTCCCGCCTCCATATCCGCCCTCCATGTCTGACACTCAGCCGCCCCAAGGCTCCGGATCGCAAGGACCAAAACGTGGTGGTCGTCGCGGACGAGGACGGGGAGCAGGCCAACCTTCGGCAAGAATTGAGAACTCGCAGCAGTCGACTGAAGGTGCCGGAAAAGGCTCAAGGGCCAGGGGCAGTGGGCCCCGCAGAGGAGGGGGTCGCGATAAGCAGAACCGCAGCGCCCCGAATAGGGATTCCGGGCCGGATCCCAGTGGACAACCGACCCAAGGACAGACTACAGAGACGGGAGACAAGGGCAAGACGGTAGCTGCAGCGCCCGCAGACGACGCCGATGATGGGGAGATTTGCTTCATTTGTGCGTCAACTGTCGAACATACGTCTGTTTCGCCATGTAATCACCGCACTTGCCATATCTGCGCGTTGAGACTTCGAGCATTGTATAAGAACAAAGCCTGTGCGCATTGTCGGGTACGCTTTATATCTCGATCCACATACTTTGGGTACCTTGGGGTTATGCTAATGTCTGTCATTCGGGGTAGACTGAATCGAGCTACGTGATTTTCACAAATGACCATGTGAAGCCTTTCCAGGACTTCAAGGACTCGGACTTTTCTCAGAAAGATGATAACCTCGGGATCAAATATGAAAATAATGAGATCTTTGAAGATACAGTCCTCTTGCTCCGATACAATTGCCCGGACACAGATTGCGACGTGGCTTGCTTAGGATGGCCCGACCTGCATCGCCACGTGAAGAGCAAGCATGGCAAAGTAATGTGGTATGTGATGTTCCTCTGGAATGCTATACACTGGCATGTTACTTACCTTGGTTCTTATCGTCTAGCGATCTTTGTACGCGTAACAAGAAAGTCTTCACCCATGAGCACGAGCTCTTCACTGTAGCGGAGTTGCGCAAGCACGAGAAGTATGGAGATCATGTTCCTGGGGCTGTTGAACAGAGTGGCTTTAAGGGTCACCCCGAATGTGGTTTCTGCCGTCAACGGTTTTATGGTGACGATGAACTGTACACTCACTGTCGCGATCGCCATGAAAGATGCCACATCTGTGATAGACGGTCCGCCAATCGTCAGCAACAGTATTATATTGACTATAATGCGCTTGAGGATCACTTCCAGAAGGACCATTTCCTTTGCCTGGACAAGGAGTGTTTGGAGAAAAAGTTTGTTGTTTTCGAATCTGAAATGGATATGAAAGCCCATCAATTGGAATGCCATCCAAATGGTCTTTCCAAGGATGCGAGACGCGACGCACGAACCGTTGATCTGTCATCTTTCGACTACAGAACACCGTATCAACCTCAAAGACAACGCCGCGGCGCTGGTCGTGGGCGCGATCCAAATTCTGAACCTCTTCCTGTGTCCTCTGCACAACCACTAACCAGAGCCGAAATTGCCTACCAACGGCAGATGGCCATTCAAAGCGCACAGTCAGTATCAACCCGCAGCTTCGGAGGTCAATTGACCCGTAATGATACTCAAACTGTACATGCTCCCCCGCGTACCCCAGCCTCCCGAACACCCCCAGCTGCGTCCACCCCTGTGGCGGAACTGCAGGATCTCAGTCTCGGCCATGATTCCGGATCTGCCACGCCTCAGGAACAGGCCCGCCGTCTGCGTCATGCAGCTGTGGTCGAGCGTGCCGCTAATCTCCTTGGCAATGATCAAAATAAACTGAATGAATTCCGCTCCAAAGTGTCCACCTACCGCACCTCTGCCCTAACAGCCACCGAGCTGATCGACGGTTTTTTCTCCCTCTTCGACACGTCCACAAACGAGCTAGGCAAACTCGTCAAGGAGCTCGCAGAGATCTACGAAAACGACTCCAAACGAACCGCACTACTCAAAGCCTGGAATGACTGGCGCGCCATCAACGAAGATTACCCAGCCCTACCAGGCCCTGGGGGCCTCCTACCAGGCATGTCCCCCAGCACCGTGAACGGCAGTGGTGCCGGAGGCAAACGTGTCCTCCGGCTGAAATCCTCAACCGCCCAGTCCTCTCGCTCAGCTGTCGGCAGAAGCGGTGCCCTCCCCTCGGGCTCATCCCCAAGCAACCCCTTCCCCCCTCTCTCCTCTACCGTCTCCAAAAAGTCCGCCGCCGCCAGCAACAGCAATACCCCTTGGGCTACGGCATCCCCTGCTCCATCGTATACCGGGCCATCCTACGCTGGCCCATCCTCCCGTCCTGCCCCTAAACCTAGTAACCCCTCTCGGCCTGCAAATACCGGCAACGCCGAAGCTTTCCCGGCGCTCCCCGCCGCCCCTAAACCAAACGTCCTCATGGCTGGTCTCACCCGTGGAACTGTCCGTGTCCGTTGGGATGGACGAGATGCTCCGAACTCGAATGCCTGGGCCTCAGGTGGATCAGGCACCAGTACCCCGGGCGAACCAGATTCCGATTTCGGAGAGTCCTCTGCAGGCGGCGGTAAGAAGGGTAAGGGAAAGAAGGGAAAACAGACTCTTTTCCATTTTGGTTAAGGAGTTGATCACTGTTTTGGTCTACTATTAGAGAGTTATGACCTTGTGCTGTTTAGCTTTTGTTATTAAGCGAGTCATAATAGAACTGTGATACGCAAGTTTAAAAGTGTTAAGGATTGTTGTTAATCTTTAATGCAAATTGAATGCAAACAGCCTGTCCGGACATGATTTTATGAGTTAGGAAAGAAGTAATTGGTAACTTGGGGTCCCATTATAGTAAGATATGAGTATGATTTCATAATTTGTAGACATGAACAGCTGCCATTTCAACAGACAGTTACCTTTACTCGTTCAGCAAACTGCCATTCTCAGAAACGTCATCTGAAGAGATCTCTATAACGGACCTTTCCTCAACTGACGAGATGAGAAGGGATGCAGAACTTTCCTCGCGATCTGGCTGGTTATCCACAGTATCAGTTCCTGTCACTTCAACCAGACCCGAAGAGGACCTCTCTTGTTCTTCTCCATCCTCAGAACCACAAGACACAGATCCGTCCCCGTCAATCGCAGCCATCCGCAACGCAAACTCATCCTGAAGTCGCTTCAGCCATTTTCGAAGCGTCTCACCTTCCATTTTCCCATCTCGAGCCTGCAAGAGCTGCTCCCTGAGCGAGAGAATAAGGTTCCGTTTCCGCGAGACAGCCAGAGCTCTAGACTTGCTGTGACGACGTTGCGCAATTTGGTTCATTTTCTCCGAGACCGTTTGCGCATACTCTAGTACGCCAGGCGGTAGATCAACAAGTTTAGCAAGTGCAAGGCCATAAAAGCGGTTTGTTTCGGGGCCTTCGGCTATTTTGTACAACATCGTCATCTTGGACATGTTGGGGGATATCTCCGCTGCGAGATGGAGACTAACAACGCCGCTGCGCTCGGCCATTATCACGGCAAGGTCGTGGAAGTGGGTGACGAACCAGATGAGGGCGTGGCTTTCGACGAGGGCTTCTGCGATGGCGATGGCGATGGCTAAACCGTCTGTTGTACTGGTGCCTCGGCCCAGTTCGTCGACGATGACCATACTCCTTGGTTCAATGCTGCGGAGGATGAACGCCATCTCGCGCATTTCGGCGGCGAAGGTCGATACATTTGCTTCTAGGTCGTCGGCAGTTGAGATGCGAGCGAAAAGCTGGTGCACGATGGGGAAAGAGGCGTATTCAGCGGGGATGAACGAGCCGATTTGGGCCATGATGGTCATTAGGGCCAGCGAGCGGATGTAGGTAGATTTACCGCTCATGTTGCAGCCCGTGATGATTTGGAAACGGGACTGCGGGGTTGCGTAGGCGTCATTAGGGATAAATTTCTTGGTATGTATTTTCTCGCGGATGGGATGTCGCCCTGACTTGATGGCCAGGACGTCTGTTAGTTCTGCTCGAACATAGTCGTGGTTTGCAGCTAGCTGGGCGAATGCGGATAGCATGTCAAGCATGGCAATGGCTTCACTGATCCTGAAGAGCTGGGCTATTTCGGAACGGATATCCTGGATCAATTCATGGACAGTCTGGTCACTCATGTTAATTACTTCGTTATGTGCATCGATAATTTTCTGGTTCAGTTTGACTAAGTCAAGAGTTTGGCATTCTATGCAGTTCTTCTTGCGGTATTTGTTGATGAATACTTCAGGGAGTGTGTCTACTTCTGTAGCTGGTATACTAATGAAGTATTGACGTGCTGTGTCAAATTTCAGATCGAGGGATATGCCATGAGATTCTACAGCACATTAGATGTGCCTAGGTACCAACTGCTTCTATCTACTCACCTGAAAGCTTTGTTATGAGATCTGCAGCATCCATGTTTGCTTCTTTGTATGTCTGTCTCGCGACATCAAGTAGACTGTTGACTCCAGCCTGTATCGTTGGATTACCAGACAGCCATACTGAAAATATAGCAACTCAAGCGACGGGTACGTACCCTGACACAGTATATACGCTGATTTCTCAGGTCAAGCGGTCTCGTTTGGTATGTTACATATTCGTTGAGGGTTGACTCAATTAGGTTTTCAACTGCCCGATGACCTGCTGGAGCGCATAACTATAGTCTAGTTAGACTTGCAAGCCAGCGTGTCATGAGGCTACTACTTCTCTGATCGTCAGTAAAAGGCTGCTTTGAGCCGTTCCAAGCGCCTTGTATACTGATCTGATTGAAGCCACATAAGTTTTGAGCATTATGGCGTTGTTGACTGATTGTTCGACGTATTGAAAAGTTCGTTTAGTTGGAACGAGGATGAGCTAGACTGTCAGATGTGATAAGCGTCGAAAGGCTTATCGACTCACAGATGTTAAGACTTTATCTGCGTCGATGAAGCCCTTCAGGGCTGTTGGAAGTTTGGGACACAACAAGTTAGTGTATGGTTAGTAGGACAGCCTTTATCTCTAACCTTGTCTAACTGATACAAACATCTCCCCTTTCGTAGATAAATCCTCCACGGCATCATATCGAGTTATCAACTTCGAAGCTTCCGTAGAGGGCTGCAGGATATTGGCTCTCAGAAGCCTACCACCCATGGGAGTTAGTGTTTCATTCATAAGTCCGAAGAGGCTGTCCTTGGATCTGGCATTTTGCAGATTTTGGATCAGCTCCAAGGAAGTTATGGTAGATAAGTCAATCAGCATGGACCCCTGGGAAGGCTCGAAACGGATGCGAAGGGAGTGAGAAGTGAACGTCCTATTTAGCTCCAGCTCGACATACTTCAGAACCTGTACAAAATGAGCAAAGCTTGCAAGTGTGTTGACCCTCACATACTGCAGCAAAACAACAAGCAGCAAAAAAATTGCCTCCCAAGGTAATCTTTATAGATTCAATGTCCTCAGGAAAAGCTAGTCGATCCACATACTCATGCCCGGTCTTCTCCGACCAGTCTCTGCGGTCTAGGAAAGTGAATGTGGTATCTTGAATATTCTCCTTAATGATGTAAAATAGCTTGGAATCCTTGGCTGTAATCATGAAGAGTATCTCTGTGGGCTCAAACACCCCGATCTTGGTAACTGTTTTGACATAAGTTTGGCTGTCGCATATCTGACACAAGACTGCTTCTGCAGTCGATAAATTGATGAAAGTGAGGCCAACAGTAGATGAGATACCGCGGGACTCGCTAACGGCACAGATAATATCCTGAGATGCGACACTTGTTGCTGTCGTAGTAGGTCTTGTCCGGAGGGGTCCACTGCTCTGCCTCGAGAGAGGAACGAATGAATCAGTGGCCCCCAGAGAAGAAGCTCTAGACATCAATATTGACATTCCATATGAAATAAGCAATCACATCATCTTGAAAAAGGCATTTCTTGATACAATTGAGAGAGAAGAAGTAGGAAAGGAAATTGTATACTGTTGATAAAGAGCGGATAGCCAAATCCAGTTTAGCGCCGATCCACTACTCCGCGATAAGTGCGATTTCATGATAGCCCGTTGAAATTTTTATTCAAGACAAGATCGACTTCACTACAAACAAATATTCCCTTCGAGTGGCAAAATGTCGACTCTTGTACCCCCTCCGACAAAGCGTCAGAAGACAGAGATCGCCGAGAAGGCGCGTCTGCAACAGGAGATCGAAAGCATCCCGGATAACCTGGGCAGTGTCCGAGTGCAGTTCTTCGACCAAGCAACAGGATCCGCAACGGGGCCTGCAGTGTCCGTCCCAGTCGCCGATGCCAATGTGAAAAATCTTGAGACCCTTTTGAATACACTACAAGGCAATGTAGGTACGCAGGGAATCTAAATTTCCGATATGCGCCTTAGGCTAATCCTCTACTGTTATGGGTTATAGGAAGATGATGAACGAGTACCGTACCGGTTCACCTACCAATCCCAGGATAAAGACAATCAGGCCATCGACATTTTAGCAGATCTCTATCATTCGTTACTCCAGCCTGGACTCAGAACAACCGAAGATACTATCTCTCTATACTTTACCCCGCAGGCAGTATTCCGAGTGAAAGCTGTTTCACGATGCGCTGCCTCTATAGCTGGACATGGTGAAGCCATTCTGGCGACTGCATTCTCCCCTGTGTCTTCTTCAACAATGGTGACCGGAAGTGGCGACTCAACAGCTCGTGTCTGGGATTGCGATACTGGTACACCATTGCACACACTGAAAGGACACACCAGCTGGGTGTTGGCAGTCGCTTACTCCCCCAACGGTGCGATTATCGCGACAGGCAGCATGGACAATAGCGTACGACTGTGGGATGCAAAGAAAGGACAGGCACTGGGAGGCCCGCTCAAGGGGCATGCGAAGTGGATCACCAGTCTGGCGTGGGAACCGTACCATGCGCAAGAAACTGGTCGGCCACGATTGGCTTCGGCGTCGAAGGATTCCACTGTCCGCATCTGGGACGTTGTATCGAAGCGAATTGATACTGTCTTGACCGGCCACAAAGGCTCGGTCACCTGTGTCCGTTGGGGTGGCATGGGCAAGATTTACACAGCTTCCCATGACAAGACCATCAAGGTGTGGGACGCCAAACAGGGTACCCTCATTCAGACACTACAGGCCCACGCACACCGCGTGAACCACTTAGCCCTTTCGACCGACTTCGTTCTGAGAACCGCCTACCACGACCACACTAAGAAGGTACCTGAAGCCGATGCCGACAAAGTCGCCGCAGCCCGGAAACGCTTCGAGCAGGCGGCCACCGTCAACAACAAGATTGTTGAGAGACTCGTGTCTGCAAGTGATGACTTCACTATGTACTTGTGGGAACCGGAGAGCTCCAACAAGCCGGTTGCTAGATTACTGGGCCACCAAAAGGAGGTCAACCATGTGACCTTCTCACCCGATATGGCATACATTGCATCCGCTGGATTCGATAACCATGTGAAGCTGTGGAATGGCAGAGATGGAAAGTGAGTATACCGCCCAGATTGTCATCACACACATATCTAATCATGAGCAGGTTCATCACTACTTTCCGCGGCCACGTCGGTGCCGTCTATCAGTGCTGTTTCTCAGCGGACTCCCGTCTCCTGGTATCCTCATCCAAAGACACCACTTTGAAGGTGTGGAACGTCCGCACCGGCAAACTGTCCATGGATCTCCCAGGGCACAAGGACGAGGTCTTCGCAGTGGACTGGAGTCCCGATGGCGAGAAGGTGGGCAGCGGCGGTAAGGACAAAGCCGTGCGGATATGGAGAAATTAACGTAGATACGGCAATAGAATTACACGAAACAAAAGTTTGCGATACCCTAAGCACTACTGCATTCAAAATGTTGCATATATACAAAAGGAGTGTCATATCTCATCTACAGGCGTAATTTACACAACCATCACAATCACCGCATTGCGTACCAAACAACCTCTTTCTCAAATCTGATTATTTTTTCAAATCAGGACACCATAACTCGCCCTAGGCTTAAACGTACTGCCAAGCAGCAGCCTCCTTGGGAGCCGTGTTAGCCAGGGCATTGAAGCCAAGGCATTCAGCCACGTTACCCTTGGGGACAGTGGCGTTCTGGACAGCGGCAAACACCTGCCAGCGGTAGTCCTCAGTAGGGCAAGCCATGAAGCCGGAAGTACCCCAGCCGTCGAAGGTGTAGTAGCCCCAGTTCTCGCCGGGCTTGTAGTTAAAGGGACCCACGGCGGAGCCCTCGGGAATATAGGCAGAGTGGGCCTGGGTGAAGGACAGAGCGCCCTTGGGATCAACATAGACCTGCTGGCCACCGGGGACCATGACATTCTGGAGAGTTTTGGTTAGTAACAGGGAGAAAGTGGAGACAGAAAATAAGACACAGCTTACCATGCCATAGCCACCAGGAGCGAACACGGTCTGGTTGCCGGGAGGGCAGCCCTCACCAATGGGGCAGTAGGACGTAGTCTCTCCGCCAAGGTAGAACTTCTGGCCGGAGGCGGTCATGGGGAGAAAGTGGATGGGGGAAGCAGAGCGGGTGGCCATGACGCTGAACGGGGGGTTCTCCGGGGCGACTGGGGCAGCGGCCGCCAGCAGGGGAAGAAGCAACGAGGGGACCATGGAGAACTTCATCTTGGTGATTTAATAAACGAGAGACTGTGGATGGGAACTTGGAAGATGGCTATAATGTTTTTAGGCTGATCTGTTTGGAGAGGCATGATGTCGAGAGCTCGACCTCGTATTTATATCCCGAGAACGAGGAGGCTACGAGATATCCATGGACAGCAAGTGTCATACAACATTCTGCATCTCGTGGAGCCATGAGGGAGACGTTACATTGCAGTCGGCGCCAGCCGCTGCATAATCATATCGAAATCTGGATCATAACCTATCAGGGGGCGACGCCAATGCTGAGCTGGTGCACTGTTCAACCGCTAAAGTGAAACCGCATGCAAGCGAAGCGATATGAGGATTTGTCACGGGGTTCGCGGGACGAGAAACCGCGGAGATTTATTTAATGACGTTTATGACGTTAATGTGGGGAGGCCGTTGAAGAGCCGAAATTGCTATCGTTGATTCTCGAGACCAGTGTCTCACTTTTTCCGAGACACTTGGGAGCTGTCTGTAACGCTACAAGACATAAGTGTATAATAATAGAAATTAGCCACCCAATATAGCCAGCAATGGCCGAAGGTTCGGACAATGCCGACGACCCGCGGCAGGCCTGCAAATTTGGGAGAGAAGCACTCAATAAGCATCACCATTCATTACGGATACGAGACCCGTCTGCAGGTAGACTATATTTGTTCCAGGGTCCTCAGAGGCAACGCTTTCTATGGATTTCGCACGAAGTTAAAATTACTTAATTGCGGGCCTCAATTGAGTTTTTTTCCTTCCATGCATGAGACCTACAAGTTCGATCACCTGATATGGCAATCCACTTCTGATGTCACTTCTCCGCATTATCCATGGATTAGGGCATATTCCATCCTGTCGGTTCTTTCAATTCCGTGGCAAAACATACATGAAGCGCTCAGTCTCAATACTTAGAGATGATCGAGTGCTCAGCGCGGTTTGAACAAATACACATAAAAGAAAGAAAAGCAAGGAGATATATGTCTCACGCACTCCGGACAGCACCCACACAGTAGAACATACATCTTGAGACGATTAAAAAAGATGTGACAAAAAGGGGGATATTATAAAGCAAAAACAAAAGGGGGTGAATCAACAATTAGCAAAAAAAAAATAAGAGCCAGAAAAAAAAAAGACAAAAAAAAAAAAAACACCGCGGCACCAATCCTGATAGCAATACATCCCACCCATTTGAAAGAACCCGTCTTGCCCTGAACACCGCCGACCGAAACCTTGCCCCATGTCTTAACCCGTAAATGCGTAAAATGATTAGAACCATGAAATTAAGGCCGCTTGAGTCACAATGCCTCTCAACCCAATGTACGGGTTAGTGCAGCAAAGCAACGCGGCTTTCTTAATCGTAATCATCCCCATCGTCGTCATCGTTGTTCCGGCCGCGTGAGCCCTTCACGCCATCTTTCCGGATAGGAATTTTGATGCCTTGGAGAGCGAAGCACTTGCTGAGTGTCGTACTCTCGATCACTCCGGGGAACTTCTTGGCCGAGAAAACTTGGAATGGCTCGGAGAAGACGGACGCTAGGACGGGCGCCGATCCATGATTGATCACAGACACTCCTCCGTTAGGAGAATCACTAGATTGAGTGCCCACGTTGACAAAGCTCATTTTAAGGCTAAAAAGAAAGTTAGTAAAGATGCATTGCAACAAATTACAATTGATGAGCACTGACCGGAAGACCCCTTCAGTCCGTACACTCAAATCTTGTAGGATGAACCATACGCCGATTTTATTGTCTGGATCGGTCAGACGGAAGGCACTGGCACTGAGACTTCCGATGAGGTTGCGCGTGAACATGCCGCCAGGCCCCGTGCTAACCGGTTGCGCAGGGGAGATATTGGCCTGTGGCATATGACCGCCGGTCGGGTAGTATGGTTGGTAGTAAGAGGTCTGGGGACTGGCGCCATAAGGATTTTGATACTGTAGCTGAGGGTTTCCAGGGTAATAGCTATTCATTTGCGGGTAGGGGACCGGCTGACCGTAGGCATTTTGTGGGTATTGCGCATAGGTAGGGGACATTGTTTGCGGCGGTGGCGGGTACGAAGAGGACATGGCCGTTGATATCGACGGAGAGGTTGCTGAATGTTTGACCAAATTCACCTCGTTAGTTCCCTCCGCGTTCCACAAGTCTACCATGAGGACGTAAAAAGAAGTATCAATCTCACTGGAACCAAGGTCAGCGCCGCAACTAATTCACATGATTCCAAGGTTTACATACTTGATATCGATCTCTTTTTCGGTTTGAGCGTCCTTAACTATCAGGCGGATGCACGGAGGAGGGGTAATGGGCCTCCGATCCTAGATCGATCAATAAGCAGTTAGTCGGTATATAGGATATATGGGAACTAACCTTGTCGCCAAAGCCGCACATTCGGGCCCGAATCGGTTGCTGCACAACTTGCAGAGACCAAATGCGACCCTCGTGGACCGTCGAAAGCGGCGCTAGGTGGCTGGATGACGGAATACCTGCGGAGACCATTCCACCCCCGGAGCCCGGAGTGGGATATGATGAGGAAGGCGGGGGAATTCGATCCATGGAGAGAGGCGGCGGCGGTGGTGGATGTGCCCTTTCTTCGATAGCATACATGGCGTGCGAGGGGAATAGGCGATAATGACAACCGGTGTTCCCGTTTCGTAGATGGATTAAGAGCTAGATAGATGGAACTAGCGTCTATAGAGCATGCGAGAAGCTTCCAACGTCACAGTTAGACCATTGACTCTGGCGATGGTTGAAGTTCGTGAAAGCCGCGACCGAAGCGAGCACTGGCTGAAAGCTTGTCGGTCCTCAACCTGTGCTGGGACAACTCCAGCTTACCGAAGCGAACTGGCAAGGAAATATAGCACACAATGGTACGGGCCACAGTAAACTGCTTGTGGGGAGAGACGCGTGCGGTGGTGAAAGGTACGATCGTTGCGGGGGTGCAATTTCTGAGAGGGCGCCAGGGAAAAAAGTGGCGAAAGAGGGGCGTACCCGAAAGATAGGATGCGCGACTGACCTCAGCTATCGGGGCGATAAGTTAAACGATCACCACGAACACCAGACACTTATCTTTTAAATCACGTACAGTTCAGTCAATTTGCAACGCGTACTACCACTTTGCTGAGACTTTTAGAGGGTAATTGACGATCGCTGTGGTTGAGCCGTAAGAAAGAGCTGTCAAACTGCGGGAGATTCGCTAGGTCTTCCACGGATCGACCTCAGGACCAAAGGTTCGCACACAGCGTCCACGTTAATCTTCAGGGTCGTAAGGAAGAAGCCACTTGGATATAATCGGTGGAGTCAGAAGCTGCAGAGCAACCCAAGGGTTGATACTGAAGTTGGGACGTGTTGGGTGTGGGGGAATTTGTGAGGAAAGAGCAAGTGGGAAATGAGGGAAGAAAAGGTGAGAGAGCCGAATGACGAAGCGGAGAGCGTGGACAGTCACGAGAGGTCCAGACAAGAGAGAGAAACTCGACTGTGGATGAGCTCATACCCTTAGAAATTTATTCCTCTATTTTTAATCATTAAAATTTTTATTAACTTTAACTTCTGGCGATCATCTTCTTTCCGATACCACCGGTGCTATTATGTTTTCTCATTATGTTTCATTCAATTGAGTTCTTTGCCCCTGCTAATTAATAGACGCTGATATCTGTTGTATAATTTTATTTGTCTCTTTGGTACCTTTTTTTTTCTCGCCACTTTCTTCTATTTTCGTCACGATACCAATACTAAATTGGGTTCGTCTTTGTTCTTCGCAGAATGACTTACTCTCTGACGAGATGCAGCAACCAGACTCACGGATTCGGCGATGATCAGCCCGCCGCAGGAACCTCGACCCAGACCGTCGGGTTCAGACTTCCTCCCTTCTGGGCGTAGCGCCGGAATGTGAGAAATTAACCGCCAAAGCCCGACAATCGCACACGATCTATCGACTCACCAAAAGACACTTGTATATTTGATCTTTGTTCTTTTCCACAGATGCTCTCTATAAATTGATTTTTCTGTTTTCTTTTTTTTTACTTTTTCTACTTTCCTTTATATCGGTATTCTCAGCCAGTCACTTTGGAATTTTTGTGTCCACCTTTTGAGGAATTATTTCAAATTATCTCAAGTCCGTGGGGTTTCCGAAAAATGTAATGATCAACGACGGAGGGGTTTAGATCCAGATGCCTAGCAGCCCAACAGCGGCAAAACCCTAGTCCAGTGGAGGTCAAGGATTGCCCCGACCAATCTGCGCTGCTGTATTCAGCACAATTTATTTTTACGGCTGTCATAAAGACGATCCTCAGTCCTGAGGAGTAACCATATTACCCAAGTGGTTCTCCGGTTTGGGTTAACGCAGAGCAAGCTTGACCCGAGCGCGATCCGTTTTCAGGTTCAGTGGGAAGATAACGCAAGGCACATCTACCGCAAAAGGTACTGTCTCACCTATATTCTCTCTTTTATTTTTTCCTCCCTTGTCTTTCTTCCCCCCTCCATGAGATGAACTCGGTCAATTCGTTTCTTTACCTGAGGCGGTCAGAGCTAAATCGGATCAGCACTTGTCAGGCCCTAAGCATGATCCGTCGTCCTTGGCACGCGCCAACGCGATGCCTAAGAAAGTTTCGCCAGCGAGTCGGGTTACGGCTGCACGCGCTGATGGAAGCGGGGACTGCGGTTCCCCGTCTGCGGTTCTCCCACTTCGTTCTGCTGTCCATGGTAACCCCTCCGTCCTCGACCGGCAGGATGCCTGAATTCTTTGTCTACAGGCCTAATCGTCTGCTGACAGTAGGAGATAGTCGCATAATGCATTGTTTGGCTTCGGGAGGATATCTGTGCTGGTGTACTCAGACAATCAGTCATTCAAGGTGAAACCATGGTTGCCAGGAGAAGAGAAACTGAACCGAATAACTCTTGCAGATGTTGTACCCCTGTTACTCGGCCGGGATACCTGGTCGCAATCCCCGCGTCATTGAACTGCGAAAAATCGGGGCGCAGCGACTCCCTATCTATATATCGAATGATAACGCCAAGGGTTCATCTCAGGTGCTCTACGTAATACCCCTCATGCAAAGTGGGATTTATGTTTCTTTCTGGTTCGCGCAAAACTTTATGCCCTCGAAGATTACCTAAACTATTATCGCGATGATGACTGCATAAAGACACAACAGCCAGCAAATATCACAACCCAAGGCCTACAAAACCAATGAGCAATGAATCAATAGCCCCACCTGAATTTTGAAATGACATTTTACAAGTTTCACCTTTCATCAACTCCTGTAAGATAGATCACCATCCATGGTGCCGCCGTCAACACCCCCAGCCGATGAACGCATGTACCTGTACAAGAACTCTAGATAAACCTAATCGTTGGCTCGGAGAGTCTCGTTCATTTGACAAACAGTGATTTCCAGATCCCGGAAGCAGGTATTTTGCTTCACAAACCAAGAATCGCAAACCACAGATTGTTGGAATGGCTAAAGCCGCTGCATAGCTTAATCAGCTCGAGTGATTGTCAGTGGCGAGGCTGTTACCAAGGAATTCTCTAGCGTCGTTATGACTAGGCGACGACACGTGTGTTACCTATCAGCTGGCGCTGCCTGGTAAACATCAAGAACTACGTGGATAATGCGACTGGGGGCCTATTCATTAAAAATTGTAATAAACGCGAAGCTTTCTGACTCACTCTCGGAGTAAAATGGTCTGCAAACGTCACCATTGACGTGTTTAACGTCAAGAAGATTCAATACAGCACACCCGCTGAACAATCTTAATAGCTAAGCTCAGAAACCCAAGCATCATGGTCAGAAACAGAGTTCAAGGCCCCCACTCCGATAAGGCGAGCACTCCACCCTAAACCAATCCTCTCGCTATCATGGGTGGTGGGATCAGCGGAGAAGGATGGATCTCGGCAAAGAGCCTCGTAAAGAATGGTGTTAGGGCTCCGTTAGTATGAAGACTACTAGTATTGTGTCTATGTTCTTCAGCATATACTAGGCCATAACGCGGGCATTTGTTCGGAGGCATTTTTACATGAGTAGACTTATCTTCCGATCCTGATATAGCCTGACTCTAGCGAAGTCAAGTTTGCTATTGAACCATGTGATTTGGCTTTTGAAGTCTATTCGTGGCACTACTATCTCTATTGTCTTCTTCCCTTTTTTTTAGGCTGAGAATAAGCGGAAGTTGGTCCATGTGCGGGATGAAGTCGGCCTGCGAGTCGTAGACATGGTTCTGGAGCACTGCGTGGCCCTCACAAAGCGATTATGGGTCATATATTGACCATAAGGTACTAAGGTCGTTCTCTATATAATAGTCTCCATCATGACGTAGATTAGCTCACTACATCTGTCGAACTCAATAAACTAATCCGCGGAGCGGAATCTCTAAATCGTGCTAAATATTCGATGTTCTTGTGGTATTTTTGTGTGGTTTATACGGTAGGATTTAATCAAGTTAGGCATATCTCGAGATTTTTTTAGCTTGGGTAGCGGTATCACTACTAATACCGTGGGCGTCTTATAGATGACTTTTTTCTAGTTCCAGTTACACCAAGCTCTTATTGATGTATGTCTTTGAGTATTTCGAGATTGTAGGGTATGCAGAGCCGTGTATAATTCACGATATGGGAATTCGCTACTTAAATGCTAGTGGTTATAGTGCTGGAAGGATGGTCTTTCTCGTCCAAGAGAAAGGGTTGTATCATGACGTCTGTTGGGCAATTGCTCATTAGGAAATAATGGCCTCTCGGTGATATAGATCCACTACCGGTATATATGGGTCGTGGAGACTAAGAGAACGGGAACAGCTGTCGGTTGGAACACTTGTGGGTACGTAGTAGCCTTCCACCAACCAAGCCTGACTTTGATAGCTACTGGTAGTTTTGGATATATGCACTTTGGCTGTTCAAAGGAATTCATACAAAACTAAGATAGCCCTACTAGGACAACGATCAATCAGCACTAAGTATAGCGCGGATCTATTGCGATATTTTATAAAACCAGACCTGGCTGTTGGATATTCAATCACCGCTCTAACGTAGTGTTTGGTCTTGATATGTCCCGGGAAAGTCTGGAATAACACATCAGCGTTCTGGTTTTCTGTGTCTATCCCCGTGTGCATTCGATGGTGTTATTGAACGGCGCTCGACCGATTTGGGACGGTGTCGCTGCAGCCGTAGAGGGACATGGAATATGTTCATTATGAGCATGGATGTCTAGTAATTATTTAACCAACGGCTCACCAAGGATAATGAAGGAGCTGTGGAGCAGGATTGTTCTTTCGAGTGCGGCTGGCTTTAGGCAGCCGTTTCGCGCCGTTGGCGCTATAAGATTATTGCTAAGGCCAGTACTAGTATATGTGTACTACCTGACATGTTCCAAAAACACTATCTATGATTAGTACATAAATCCTTCAGCCAACGGTCGAATTGAGCCAATGATATCTCAATCAAGAACTGTATCGGGCTCCGGGCGCCACACGGGCGCCAGTCACTGTCTGGTAAAGAAAACCTGCTCTCGAAGGTGTATATAAAGAGATGCCGATCACGTGTGGGATGTATGTACAACAATAGGTCAAGATGGTGCTAATCTAGATCCGGTATGAGGGCCGTCAAATCTAACTCGAGGGAAGAGAGAAGAGGACGTAGTACCGACAGCGAGAAAAATTCTATTAAGCATAAATCCTTCTAATGACATATGTCGACTGACCATTAGGTGCAACAGAGATTGAACAAGATCGACATGTGGCATACATGCTCCTCTATCTGAATTAGGATAATGAACTCTGGCGGGGCGCAATATGAACAGGTATCGGGAATGGTTCCATAAGTGGAAAGAGAACATGAGCAATAATAGCCAAGGGACAATACGTAACTCGTACATGAGAATCCACCCCCAGTTTAGCAGGACCGATTGGGTTTCAATATGCGAAATGAGCTCCCCGACCCACCAGCTGCATGACCGCCGGCTTCTTAGCCACTACGTTAAGGGTTGCTTTGGATGCGAACAATGACAAGCTCTGCAATTGCCCGCTCGGTGATAGTCATCTGAGCGAGCACTCCTTTACGGATGGTTGACTTTAAAGTCCCTTGTCGGTGCATTTTGGGCCCAGGATTAACTTGACCGACAGGCAAGTCTCGTCTCCATTCAGCTGGGTTCACTACAAGCCACCTTACGTGCCCGGCGAAAGAAGATCGCATGCATGACCTTTTCGCCACAGGAGCTTGGGCCAACCATAAGGAGTGGGTCGTTGGCGGTCGTCCAGTCACAAGAGATTTATTCGACCATGCTGCGAGCGAAAATTCTGGAAAACCCTCTCAATCCCAAGGCAATGGATGAGCCTATCTCGTGGTGTTCCAGAGGAGTCAGCAAACAAAGAGCAAATCTTAGTAGATCCTCTCCGGGAAAGCGGCCCTCCTTCATTGATAGGACTCAATCTGGCCGGTCAACCATGGGACAAAGCGCAAGTGTCTGTCGTTGACTTGAAGTATCGATCCAATCATTGATGGATGTGAAGACCAAGAGTACTTGTTAATGGAAACGGAAAAAGAAGGGCTCGCCGCTCGATACCCGGTTGAGACTAGTGGCAGGGAAGTGGATTCTCGGCGCGTGGCCCTTGTCCCAACATGGCATGACGATGAGATCCAATAATCCGTCAACACCGCGTGGACTTGCGGCGTAGTCCGGACGACTTCCCACTCTATCGGCACTCTGGAGCATTTTCTTGTTTATGTTATTCCTTGTTCCTCAAAAGGGTAATTCGACCACTGCAAAGATGTCCGGGCGGAGCCCTGTAAGCACTCGGAGGTCTAAGCGACTGCCAATCTTCGGTTCTCAATAGTATTCTGGTGATATTCATAATGGGTCCCATGCGTTTCCATTTGTCTCGTCAGCAAGGGCTAGTGGGTGCAAGCGTAATCGATCTGCGAAATGAGTCTCAATTCATTGAGACCTCTTTCCTACTTAGGATATTGTAGATGGTCATGGATGTATTCATTCAATAGAGTCGTGCGCAGAAGGCCGACGAGGAGCACAGGACTCCCCTGTCGAAGACAACGAACAACAGCCCTGCCAAGGGATGATCTCGTAAAGCAACAAGTTGTTGACCCACTCGGGGTAATCAAGCTGTTCATGAGCACTAGTCTAGCTCAGGTACAATAAATACCTGGTGCAACATCCAAAGCTCTGCCGGGTTTTTCGTTGGGTCTTGTAAAGATGTACTCACTTCAGAATGTCAAGAAAATCAGCCGAATGACATTGCCGTAATAACATTTATGACGAACGGCTCCCACATTTCTCGACCGCTCAAGTTGCTTTGGAGAAATGCCTGTGCCGCGAAATCGCAAAGGATCATTTCGGATTGACCGTTGCGAATGCAAGTGTTGGTTTCCAAGTTTGTATGGTTTCTTTGGACGGTGTGCCTGAGGCGTCTTTGTCTGACTCCTCCGGACCTACTAATCTGTTATGTATAGGACAGGTCGCGGTATTCTCATCTATTTGTCCTATCGCAGTACATGTGCTCGAGCACCAAGGCTTGTCTATACTATACATCGTCTTCCTTACCTTTCCCCCAAATATCGTCACCAACCGCACAGCCATCATCTTGTTGCACAATAGAGAATCATGATGGGAGACCACACCAACCCTGCCTCTGCACCTAAAGAACTCGGTGTGGAAGAATTAGAGCTCATGATCCAATGGTGTACAGCAACGTATCGCTCTATCTCCCGGGATGACACGGTTGAATGGATTTGGCGTGTCGTCGTGCCTCGAGAGGCGATACACCACCCCTTCCTCATGCATGGTATTCTCGCACTATCGGCACTTCATCTCGCATTTGATAATAGCGGTACTACAAAGGAGAGTCACTTAATGATAGCACGGTCTTACCAGAGCCAGGCCCGGGTCGGCCTGGAGAAGGTGAAGGGTAAACTGAACGACTCCAACACAAACGCATTGTTCGCGCTATACCATATATTGATTGTGTCTGCATTCGCTCTTCCTCTCATCGTGGAATCAAATGAAGATCAAACCCCGTTAGACGAGCTTTGCGAGATATTCCGGCTCACCAGGGCAATGGGGGATTCCATACCAGCGATGATCACCGGGGTCAAGTTAGGGGAAATGAAAGAATTAGTTGAATCCAGCGATCCGCCGCCACGCATGCCCGACACGTCACGACTCGCTATAATGGCGCTTCTCAGAATGAACGCGACCTTGGCCCGACAAAATCCGGCGCATGAGAGTGATGTTTATAGTCCCACCATCAAGTACTTAGGAGAGTCGCTGGACAAGTTCGCAAGAGGCGGAGAGATCATGATTGCCACATTTCAGTGGATCTTTCAGATTCCACCGCGATTCGTTGACTTGCTTAGAGAACGACAGCCGTTTGCTCTGATTGTCCTCGGTCATTTTGCTGTTATTCTTCACTCCTTAAGAGAACATTGGTGGATGGGTGAATGGGGAGCCAGGCTTATTAGGCAGATTGGACAACACCTCGATACGGAAGCAAAGCAGTCTTTGAACTGGGTTCTTGATGCTACGGGATGCTATATTCCCCCACGGTGAGACCATACTCGTCACGCTTCTAATACATTGTCATGGAAGCCAGTCAGAGGACACCCGGTCATATTTGAGCTGCACTTCTCAAGAATGGCATGTTGACAACAAGTCAGGCATAGGGAAGCTGACACCCTTCACATCTGAGCAATAAAATTTTGGCATCTCTTAAGAAATAGGGACCAGCTCCGTGAAAAGAATCGGGCTTAGCGGCGTAACGGAGTACAGGATCGGATGGATTTGTCTACCGAGGCTCAATCGGAGAGGCAACGGTCACAGCAGGCCTGGGATCAAGCCATTATTTGCATCGTGCCTGTATGTATATCATGATGGAATGACCATACTTAATCAGTGTTCAGAAGATTTTACCAGAGCAAAGCGAATATTACATGACGATAAAATCATGAGATTTCATTGGAGCGGTCATTCGGACCACGCAAGCATCATACCTAAGCATAGACGACTAGTACATTGTAGATCTTACCCAGAATTTCTATTCGATCGACTGGAGGCAGACATGCTGCAACGTCAAGCTAGCGCGGATAAGTGGCGATAAGACTCATTGCAGTCATTGGTGCATCAATTGAATGCTACTAGTATAAATAAGCACCGTACGAAACCACCAAAACTGGCTGACTCTTCAGTTCCTAATACTAGTACTCCCCCGGTTCACAACAAACATGGGTATTCATTAATTTAATAAGAGGTAAGAAAATGAAAGGGAATAAGAGACGAGATACAAGACAAACAAGACATTGAAACGAGACAGCACAAAAGGGAGGAAAGTCGTCGGCGACACTTCTCTCCGAGTCACAAGTCAAAATCATGCACTGCCAGCAGCGCTCCGCTCCCAACATGCCACGATCGATGCATTCGCGAGAATGAGTTCAATGACCCACTGATCAGAATCACGAACACTGAACTAAGAAAGCAGGATACCACTCCAAAAGAAAGCGACTCGAGACGTGCCATTTAATTAAAAGTAAGGTTTCTCAGCTCGACGATGACTCGCTGCGCTTTTCAGCGGCACGCTCAGCATCCTTCAATCGGTCTCTAGACGCAGTGCGAATTCGGCGCAATTGTTCCTCTTGCTCACGAGCCTCCTTCTTCTCTTCTTCGGGGGAAGGAATATACGCATTTGCAGCACCACCTGTATACATCGGAGTCACGATCAGCATGCTAGTCAATATAACATAGGTCCCTTCGACAACATACCCCGTCCGGTGTGATGAGGAGCCTCCTCGACACGCAATGGCGGCGCCTCTACATCCTGACTCTCGCGTGCAATCTCCGGGTGCTCGGGATCGTTTACGACCATATTTCCTGAGCCGCCGCGACCGGTGGTATAAACTTCTTGCTTGATCGTGGGTGTGACGAGATCTTTCGGGGTTGTATGGCTTTCACCGGAGAAAATATTGCCTGCGTGTCGTCAAAAACAAGTTCCAAAATTCATATAGCTTCAGGGGTCTACGTACCTGCGCCTCCGCGGCCGTAAGATACGTAGCGACTCATGGTTGCGAGTAGCTGCTCAAGGGAACGTGAATAGCCGAATGTATAAAGGGCGTTGGCGGGGAAAGGCTGCGATCGGGTAGTGGGATTGCGCAGTGGGTTTGCAGGCAATGGGAGGGGTCTCAGATGGGACTCCAGATAATTAAATGAACCGAGAAAATAGGAACCAGTAAGGTCAACAGGGCTGACACGCAGTGGCGAAGGGGGAAAATTCTGTAAGTTGATCGGGGCCAAGAAGCAGCCCCTCTAGAACGCCAAAAGAACTTCTTGATGAAAGCCGTTGCTCTTGGCGCGTGATGGCGATTTTTCCGCACGTTTGCGGAATGATGTGATTTTGGGGTCTCTTATCTAATCAGGTGCCTGGGATTCACCTGATCTGAGATCGCTTTACTCCATACTGTACATTTATCAAATTTACATAGTATAGTAAACTGTGCTCGGGGTCTCCTTCCCCACGTCCCTGACCCCTTGGTGGATCCACTGTGCAGGGCGATTGAAGTGGACTGGACTCCGTATCCATTATCCATGGGGAATATCCCTGCGCCTCATCCACTTTGCTATTGTGGATTTTGTCCATTTGTACAAAGAATGCACTGCAATCATGGCTACATTCGCGTTACCCGATGAAAGTATACAATACACTGCTAATGAACTACTAGATACCTGGTTTATACTTTCTGTACAGCATGGCGAGCCCTTTCCGTTGGTCCGCGATGGCCTTGCCTTAGCAAGATACCATAGTACTGCCTGCCTCAGGCTCATGAATATTCCATATATCGTCGCTCCTGCTCCTCTGAGCAAGTCCAACACGATACACTCTGAAGCACGCTCTACAGAGCTCCTTCCTCGTCAGGCCACAATGCTCTACAGGATGGACCTTCATCTTTTAACCCCTAAAATTCTTCAACATATCCCATCACTCACTATACACCCCATTCGTACCAATTATACATCACGTTCAATTAAATAGTTGATTTTATTCTCTTATCATCACACTCTCTTTCACTCTTGCCTACTATTACCCTTCATCCATGTGCTTTTACCTCATCGCGGATATCATACTCGACGTCCTCTCCCTAATTGCTCTGATATTTAGAATCTTGCAGAAGCTCCTCAGATTACCGTTTGCATTTTGGCGCACGCTAGTCGAGTGGAATCAGAGTATCCAAAGAGGGATTCGACATCTCTTAATGCCCAGAATAAATGCTAATGGAGATATCTTCAATGCTCCTGTCCCTAACCATATACCCGGGACGTTAAGGCGCCGCACATTACGTATTGCATCAGTTAATGGGACTTGGAATCAAACCACCGGGACCATCCCTTCATTCGTCGTAACTCATTATGATGACGATGGCGATAATGATGATGATGATTTGCATGGGACTGAGCGAAGTGTGGAGGGGTCTTTGGCAGCTAGCAGTGATGAGCTGATCGCAGCCGAGCGACAGCGATCAGAGCAAGGGGCACAGGAGCAAGAACCTCACCAGCCTAGGCCGCAACGCCAACAGCTTGGACCGCAATCGTCAGGACAGCAACAGCCAGAGCCCCTCGGGCATGAACTACAACAGCTAGGACCACAACAGCAGTCATCAGAGCTCTCACCACGTGAACCCATGCCGCGTGAGAGAGTTCTACCGCAGCAAGACTCAGGAGAGCCTAGTGGGCCTGTGCAACTCGTTGGCTTTCATGACGTAGTTCGTCTCACGGCCTCCACTTCAGCATCTATGCCAAATAGTGGGCAACTTAGAGCGAATCCTCTGCCTATACATTTTGGACCAAATGGAATACAGCGTAAGCGCGCATATATGAGATGAGAATGAAGATAGAAAAGCTGATGAATACAGCGCGTGGATATGCGTCTCCCAGGTTACCCGGCTACCCTGAGCCGCTTCCGAGCCAGTTAACGCAAGGAAGAGATATTATGATGCCTGGTACATTCCCAGCTAGATCGGAATACGGGGGAAGGGAAAGGAACATTGAAGAGCATTGATGTCGTGGTCACCGAGAAAGAGCTTATCCAAAAGACTCGAATCACTGTCATAAATTTCTGAATTGTCAGGGAAGTAAGTCGCTTCGAACAAGCCGATGTTCATGGTGTGTTAACTCATTGCAGGCTTTGTATTGGCCCAGCATGCATTAAGTTGTTTCAGTGTCTTTCTTTCTCTTGGTTCTTGTTTGCCTGTACTCTCTACAAAGATAGTAGAGATACTGGGGTCTGTATTACTATAGCCGCAATATGCTCTTTCGTAGAAGAATGCCATGCGCCTTGTGCGCCTTGTGTTTAATATATATTTCAGTGTTAAGTTTGGCTCCTGATAATTGCAATCACCAGGTACAGACCATAAGCATATATTATAGCTCGAACTGGCAACGACTTCGAGTAAGGCGTCGTTCCCTGAGACATTGTCGACTGGAGCGTACATTCGCCTGCCCAACCCACTTCTTGGTGGGTGGGGAGTCAAAAGGAAAAGATAAAAGAAAGAACCCCCTCTGTAGATACACTTTGGTATGGAGAGCAGAACCAGCGGTTGTATATCGTGTGCCTGCAATAACACATCTTAACGGCAAATCACAGCCATCACCCCGTATGCAAAGCATCCTGTGTAAAATGAAGATGAAACAAATCTAGAGTATGCGAGTATGTAATTCATAAGTATGTACAATCATAAAACCTCGTTGACATAGCAGCCTCTCATAAGCATATCCACATAAGAGCTCGAGGAGCTTCCCATCTCGAACAACTCATAAAAACGAAAAGACCCCCTCATGTCCAGTGTACCGAGCGTCATTACCGTGGCCAATAAGTATCAACCATATGCCCACCATACGGCATCAACTCATACTCGGAATAGGCCTTCTCAAACTCCATGCTCCAAACCCCATGCGCGCCGCGAACAGAGTACTCTCCCTTTCGCCATTTCTTCTCGTCTTCTTTATACGACGCCGCCCCGACATGCTGCATCTGCGGCGGCGCAATCGCCAACCGATCAAACCCATATTCATTCGCCAGTCGTTCCAGCGTAGAGTCCACCGGCTTCGGCTTCGTTGCATCCTCCATCTTCTTCATATACTCGAGGATATCGGGGACCTTCTCCCGCGGGAAAACCAGCGCCTGCGAACAACATCCGTGTCGATTCATCAAGTGCACGCCGGGCCGCATGGGTCTCTGCACCGTTACGCGCCCCGAGGCGAAATACAGGAGAATGACGGCGGGCACGGCGGCGAAGCAAACCAGGCCCAGGAAAGCGTTGGAGAGGATCTCGTGTGCGGGGCGCACAGTCCGCCTCAGACAAAGACACAGCGCCGCGACGGCGACGGTGGCCGCAAGGCTCCAGAGGAGATACTCTCTCCAGTTCTGGGCGTTCCAGCCGAGGAACTTCTCGGTGTAGAAGAGACGGAGGTAGAGCCAGTCGCGGGGCACGACGCCGCGACGGACCCATTCCTCGATGCTGTGGAGGGTTTGGGTGGTGGTTGGGAACCAGTTGCGCTGGGCGACGACGTCGTCTTCCAGCATGAGGAAGTAGGGCGCGTCGGTGGTGTCGTAGCAGGAGCGGAGGGAGATGGCGTAGTCGATGAGGGATTTCTCCGCGGTGAATTTGTTGTTTGCTTCGAGGGTGCGCAGGTAGGATGTGGTGGCGGAGATGTTCTGGGTGTCGTAGGTTAGGACACGATTGACTGTGTTGTGCACCCAGGGGTGGTTGTAGTCCGGGTGGTCTGTGGGCGTGGTGAGCGCGAAGAGGAGGTGGATGGAGATCTGGGAGCGCTGGTGCTGGCTTAGGCTGTCAATCAGGGAGGCGATGGTTGTGTCGATGTTTTGGGCGAGGGGCCGCTTGACGGTCACGATACCCACGCAGAGGTCTACATGTTCCTTTGTGGTTGGTGGTGCTTGGTTAGGGGGTGTGCCGGTTGTTTGGTTGAAGCGTGCGAGGTAGTGTAGGGATTCTTGGATTCGGGTGAGGCTGTATGCGGGACGGTAGCCTTCGTGTGGCTGGAAGAAGTATGAGCCTGGGTCGCGGGCGGAATTGGCGCGACAGATGAAGAAGAGGATGAAGTAGAGGATGGCGAAGGTGATTAGAGAAAGCCTCTGCTTTCTGTTGGGGAAACGCATTGGGACATGATTTCTCGAGGGGTAGTATATCTCCCACGGGAGGTAAGATCGGTAGAGAATAATAGCAACCCTGGGACCTGGGGGGAGATAAAAAAAAAAGGTTCAGATCGGAGTCCGTGGATGACCCGAGAAAAACAAGGCACACTTCACACCCGGGGAAGGCGCATGGGAACTTACCATAATCGTGGAAATTTTCCCATGAACGATATTCCACATGGGGGCGTTGATACGAGGACAGGGACGCTAAAAGTCTTGGGCCCAGAAACAAGCAACGGGGCTGTGGAGCTCCAGTCCAGCCTTCGTCCCTATCAAGCTCATGCTGCAGGTGGAGCAACCGTGTTACGATGTTATCCTGGTGTCTTGACTAGTTGCCGTGTAAGCCATGACACAGCATCAGCCCTGTTCATGAGTTTCACCATTGGCCCGAGTGTCAACTGGCAGGGACCATTTTCTATTTCAGTTCATGGCCCAACTGAGACATCGGGTTCGAACTTATGCAGCATCGTCACCTCGATAACACCATTTCCCCTGCGTGTGTTGGTCGCGTCGGGATATTCCGCGACGATCTGTCATCAGCATTCCAGTTGAGGTATGGCAGGAGGGCTGTGCTTCTCGGAGGAAACTGGACAATGAATACGAAGTGCGACCCATGTTAAGCGTCGTACTTTTGACGTGAGGTATAGAGAGTACAGTGGATATTACCCCCAATGCGGCACGAGGTGGATTGACCATCTGTCCACCAAAATGGATAGACGTGATAGCCTCAATCCGATATAGGTGATAGATCTTCTCGGGTTGAAGAAGAGGGAGGGTGTAAGAGAGGTAAAAAATGCAAACAAAAAAGGAAACAAAAAAGATGTTGACGAGAGTGGGATTTGAACCCACGCCCCTTTCGAGACTGGAACCTTACTCCAGCTGAGAGATTATTAGTTATTTGTATGACAAGATAAGGATTTAATAGTGGTACTAACCGCCTTAGACCGCTCGGCCATCTCGCCTTGGTTGTAGATTGGTAGGCATATTATGCTAAATAGTGTTACTCTAGCAAACAAAAATCGCAAAATGAAAACAATAGAGATCCTCCACCAGTCAGCTCCGAACGCATTCATAGCCACATCAAGGTGACTGGGGACGTATTTTATCTGTAACTTGCAATTGAAATCTCCAGGTGACTGGGTAAATCTTCAGTGATACTGGTTATTATCTAGATGATAAATAGAGTTTTGTTATCTATGTGGTATCTGAGGGTTGTTTGTGCACGAAATATATAAAAGACAGACACCCGCAGCAGTGAAGATTGTTGCCAGTTCCTCTAACATCTGTGCACATATACTCCCAACTATGCTCAGAAAGGGCTACATGACCTTCTGTGATATCACTAAATTGACTATAGAGGCACCGTATATGCGCCAGGCAGACGGGAAACAGTGTGTTTGGTGTACACAGGGCATGGGACGCTGGAAGAGCTGTAGTGACCATGATCTGACATCATGAAGATTAGCCAAGCATGAATATTTAACCAAAGCAGAATCCTAGAAGTGAAGTTGAGGAGGGGGGAGGGAGAAGATTTGGTAGACAGGTCATCCAAGAATACTTTGTAGTGTAGGGCATACTATGATGTTAAACTTGAATGCTACCCAGGAGATCAGGATCACGCACCAACGAGAACTAGCTGCGAGACGCATTGCCTACGAACTCATAACTGCCGTGCCGGAACGGCAAACCAAGTACACTGAATGCGAAAGTAATTGTTCCCGTGTAACCCTAGGAGCAGGCTCGCCATTACATTAATTTAAATGTTCTTGGAAATCTGGGTTAATTCTGATATCGGCACAACACCTGGACGACGTACAGGTCAGGCCGGTGAACGTTGAGATAAATGAGATGATTGATAAGAATCCATCTGCCACCGTGGGGTGCCTTGAAGTTTTTGACCTTGGAATTAAGAATACCTTATTTATCATGAAGATTTGGAAATGGAACGTACTTGACATACTACGGTAGAGGAAGCAGAGCCCACCAGGTTCATGTCCTTTTATCTTCACACAATATACTGATATCAATTATACCTACTGATTTAGTATTTCGAATTTAGGTCAAGTTTTCTGTACTTCCTAATATTTGTTCCCCCCTCTTTTTCTCTTGTCTACTTTTTCGAAAGTGAGCATTCGCTTTAAACCTATATTAATCTAATACAAAGAACAACATCTGATTCCCTAGTATACACATGAATATACCAAACGTATAGAATAATCTACGTGAACACTAACTAGTAAGACCATCCCGAGGACCGGCTTCTCCGCATTTTTGTGGGGTATTGGACGCTTGCTCCACCCCCATCAACAAACACAGTTACCGAGCATGCCTCGGGAGAAGCCCTTCTATCAGTAATCGCCGATTATATCTTACAATTCACATAAAAGATGAGGGGCTCCAGCCAGCGCAATATAAGCACCGCACCTGGACCAAAAAAAAAGTATGACAGTAAATACATCCACAAATCCATGAAACATTGACCTAAAAAGCACGCCAAAATGTCCCCAAACACAGCATCTATTGTGATCCCTCCATCCTACGAGAAGCTCCCCACAACACACATCAAGGTCTCCCATTACCCGGCGGGCGCTGAAACGGCCACACCGGTTGTGGTGGTTGTGTTGAACCGGCCGGAGAAGCGCAATGCCTTCACCGGGCCCATGGCGGAGGATTTGGAGAGGGTCTTTGCTATGTTTGATGTGGATGAGCGGGTCAAGGTAGTCGTCTTGACCGGTGCTGGCAATACATTCTGTGCTGGCGCGGATCTGGAAATTGGGTTCCCCAAGGGACGTAATGAGAAGCCGATGGATCATCGAGATAGGTAAGTTTGCGGATTAGACTTGTCTATTCGATTGAGAATGATACAGTACTGAAGTCAAGACAGTGGCGGTCGAGTAGCCCTCGCAATTCACCGCTGCAGCAAGCCAACCATCGCCGCAATGCAAGGCTCAGCTGTCGGCGTTGGCATGACCATGACCCTACCTGCCGTAATCAGGTAATTAACTACATGCACACCAGATAACTACACAAAGCCGGACATCACTAACAAAAAACCCTTCAAACAGAGTCGCCCACGCAACCAGTAAATACGGCTTTGTCTTCGCCCGCAGAGGCATCACCATGGAATCCTGCTCGGCATACTTCCTCCCCAGATTAATCGGCTACAGCAAGGCCCTCTACCTCGTGTCCACGGGGAGCGTTCTCCCCTCCACGTCTCCGCATTTTGGGGGCCTGTTTGCCGAGACACTCACCGAGCAATCGGAGGTCCTGCCGCGGGCGTTGGCGCTGGCGACCGACATCGCAGAGAACACGAGCACGATGGCGAATGGACTCAATCGGGCGCTGATCTGGCGCGGGCCTGAGTCAGCCGAGGAGGCGCATTTGTTGGATTCGCCGATTCTTTATCATATGTTTGGGTCTAGGTATGTTGGTTCCAATTTCTTTTCTTTTGGTCTTTTGCTTGGCGGTGAGGCTTACTTGGGGGGTTTCGTAGGGATAATAAGGAGGGTGTTCAATCTTTCTTCGAGAAGCGGAAGCCGAATTTTAGGGATACGCTGGTGGATAATGGACCGGCGATGTATCCTTGGTGGACTGAGGCGGATATTAGCAGGAAGCCGAATATTGTGAAGGGAGATTCTAAGTTGTAGACGAATGATTCTGGCTACTCGAGCTGCGTCTTCGACATCAAAGTCCTAGACTGAACTGAAATGGTCAATTCACATGGGTTCCGGCTGGCTATACAATGTCAATAATCAAGCATGATAAACCCATACAGGTTAAATTTAGTAAAGGAAGTAAGCGCTCAGATACACATCGACGTTGTCAAGATACTCATACAGGAAAGGTGTGCAGAACCCACAAACAAAGAAAATAAGGACCGGAATGTTAAGATGCCATAAATGAAACCCAGGCTATGGGCTCTCATGTTAATTGTTCGCCATCACAGATGCAAAGAATGTCCATATCTAGAGGATAAAGTTGCGCCTCTTGCGGTTATACACACGCTGATCCTTCAGCCACTGGCGGTATCCCTGCACGCTACCGATCTTCTCGCCGTAGTAATCAGGGACGGGGTTAGCGATGGAGTTCGAAGAGGGATCAACGCGGAAGCGCTTGATTCGGTCGTAGAACTCCTTCTCTTTCTGTGACGGAATTCGGGTTAGTAACAATGCGGCCAACCGAGCAGCTATGCATCGTAGATCGAGAAACAAGGATAAAACTCACGATCATAAAGGCCTGTCTATACCGCCGATTAACCAACCCCCACGCCGCATTACCAACAAAGGGCCCAATCAGCCAACCCACAGCACCACAAGCCGCGGTAGCCATTCCCAGAACAACGAAGGGGTCCAGACCCATCACCTGCGCACCCAAGGATTCAAGGTCCTGGCTGGAAAGAACCTGCACACCAACGACAGTACTAGCCATCGAGGACACCACAGAAGAAGCGAGCGAATAGCGACGACGAGAGGCGCGGAGCTGGAAGAACGAGTTCCAGGTCAGTTTGGCGGCTTCCTTGCGAGTTGCCTCCGAGACTGTGGAGTTTGTCCGCATTGACGCAACACGGTAAGTGGGCATCTGGACCTGGGGACGAGCACATGGCGCCTTGAAGCCGGTCTTGATCTGTGCGGAGGTACTGGCTGGTCGTGCCTGGCAGAGGGTCTGGTACAGTGCCGTTGAATTGCCTGGGAATGCAACCGAGGGGAGGGTTTTTGAGGAAATACGTCCGAAAACCATCGCGGTGCGCACTGGGGCGCTGATCGAGGTCGCGTGCATCCTGGAGGGTGTTGTGAGCAAAATGCAGAGGTGATTGTCGTCGATGTGGATGCGGAGTTGAGTTCGGGTTTGGCTAATGTGAGGATGGAGCTTTGATGAGATTATGTAAGCGGCATGGCTTCCTCATGGGGTATGAGGTCATTTTTTTTTACGTTATGTGAAGATATGCAGCAAACGATGCAGATTTAAATATACTTGGATTGAATCTACCTAGGTGAGGGTGCCTGTTCTTCTTTTTCGTTCTTGTTTCTAACCGTTGGTAGTTCTTCTGTGTGCCTGAGCCTCAAATGTATATGGATTGGTATATGTTTAGTTTGCTGTCTCTAAAATCGTATGATTAGAGTGCCAGCGGACCCTAGAGTGTACTAGGACTAGGGCACGGCACAGCCATAAGGCGCGATTTGTTGTCATACGTATATATGCCGCTTATATACATACATATACACCATCTGTATCACAAAGGGGTTCCTTGTTGATCTCAGTGCCAAGAGCACAATAAGCTCTCCTTGAGTCCTACATTCTTGTTCACAGGGCTGAACAAGCGGCATATCGACAACACTATAACTTCGCCCGTGGTTCCATGGACTTCCTTGCCTGTTCCCTTAGTAGTCGTCGAAGTATCTTTCCGGATGAGCTTTTCGGAATTTCTTTCGTAAACACCACGCCTCCCCGAAGCTGCTTATGGCGCGCCATATTTGACTTGACGTGCGTTTTTAATTCTTCCTCAGAAATGCTTCTATTGGTCTCTACCACGACATATGCTCGGGGCAGCTCGTTCCCCGGTGCTGATGGGTCTGGCACTCCAACGACAGCAGCATCTGCTACGCATTCATGGCCAAGGAGGCAAGCCTCTACTTCTACCGGGGAGACCTGAAGTCCTTTGTATTTGATAAGTTCCTGGTAACTTATTAGCCTATCATAACAACGTACATATGCAGTAATACGCGGTCTCACCTTCTTTCTATCCACCATGTAAATTCGGCCGTTGTTCCAGACGCCAATATCTCCAGTTCGGAACCATCCGTTGGGCGCGAAAGCCGCTGCAGTAGCTTCTGGGTTCTCAAAGTAACCCTTCGTGACCATGGGCCCTTTAACCAAGATTTCTCCCTCCATGCCTTGTTCAACATCCCTATCTTGCTCATCCACAATGCGGAGTCTCGTATTCGGCAGCAAAGGGCTGATACTCCCCGTGCTATCCGCCTGACCCCAAGGCATCGTGGTCACGCTTCCAGTAGACTCGGTCATTCCCCAGCGTTGACTGATGGAACAGCCCAATTTCTTCTCTGCACGTCGCTGGACCTCCGTAGATAACGGCGCAGCCCCCGACTCCGCTCGGATCAAACTATCGAAATGATCCGTGACCCGTGAACTCTCCGCAACAGCAAGATAGACCGGCGGTGCAGTAGCCAGAAACGTAATCTGATACTTTTTACAATAGTCCATGAACTCGTCAATGTTGAACTTCGGCATCCAGTACACGGTACCTCCCGCAACGGCAGGAGTAATAAAATATCCCAGACAACCCGCAATATGCGCAGTAGGCAGATGACCAATCGTCCGATAAGGGACTTCAAGATGGGGTTTTCCCTTTCTGGATTCGCGAAGGACCCATTGCGGGATAATTGCCTCAGAAACAAGGTTCATATTAGACAGCATAACACCTTTTGGAGCTCCGGTAGTGCCGCTCGAAAATAGTAGGCAGATGAGTCTTGTTTCCAGCTCGATTCGATCCGTGACTTGCTCCCAGTCCAGCTCTTTTCTACTCTGGAGATAGTTTCTCTGCGGGTTAGCTGTATCCCGAAGCAAGCGTCTGTGGCCTGCGCTCTCGAGGATCAGAACTCGCTCCACGGGAATCCCGCAGGCAAGCGCCGCTTCCAGAGCTTTCGCTTCGTTATCCGCACTAGCGATGATCAGTTTGCTTTTTGACTGTTGGATCTGTCGAGAGAGTTCCGCTACTGTAAAGGCCGTCGATGCTGCGGTATACACTCCCCCTGCAGCGATGATGGCAAAGAACACCGCTGGAAGAAGTACTTGGTTAGATGAGATACAGAGAACTGTGTCTTTTCCGGCGCCATTGTTTCCGATCCCAAAGTCGGTGTGGAATACATGTGCGAGGCGCTTGGTGATGGCTCGGGTTTGGGCTTTGGTGACGTTGTTTGTTGGATCTGCGGCTTCGGCGTGGAGAACGGTAGTTTCCGTGGTTAGTGAGAGAGGGGAATCTATGGGTCGTATTAGTTGTACAGATATATAGATGATGGTATGGGGTTGATGTACCAAACAGTAAGGAGAGGAGGTCGATGTTCGGAACATCGTAGTCTTTTGCTGGGAGGTATTGCATGCTGGAGGCGAACCACTACACAGATTAGACTCTCTTGGGATAAATTTAGTAATTGATTGAACCATGGCCAGTCAACGAACTGTTTCTAAAGTTTATTTATATAACTAGTTATTTAGAGTCTCGGTTATACAAAATGCGGGGAAACCCGAGGTTGGTGTGCTGAGGGGAATAACATCATTAACTCTCGAACTGTTCTAGTCCTCCAGTGTCCTCTCCGGCCCACTTGTAAAACGACATGTATAATAATCTATCGACATATAAGTGCAAATGCTCTATATTCATCGAGACAGACTCTAGAGCTCTGTTGCTAATGGCATTCGCTGAAGATGCTGAAGATGATAAGTTCTAAAGCTGATTAGAAAGATCGCACGGTTTAAAGGCTACCATTCTGAGAGATAGCGCCGGGGCGAGAATGCGGCTTAGAATGGGTCCCATAACCATTCACGCGGCCGTAGAGCCACTTCAGGGTGCCGGTACTCAGAGCCATCACGGCAGCACTGAGGGCAAACAGTCCGATGCGGCCTTCAAAAGGAAGTTGCTCGAAGATTGGATAAGGGTACCTGGAGAGATTAGCACTTAGCTAATCGTATCTGCGAAACAGTGACAAACCATCCATTATACGAGAAGCAACGTTCGATCCAGAACCAGTACCCAAAGGCAATGGTGCTGGACAAGCCGAGGGCGGGGAGGATACTAATCGTCCATGGTGGGGAAAGCAGGAAGAGGTCGATCAGAAGGACAATGGATGGGATGGCATGGAAACTAATGTCTTTATGGGAGACTGTATCAGTATTGATCATGGCATTTGAGAATTTGGTACATGGACCTACCTGCGTTCAAAGGAATGACAACCCAATCAGGTATCACCAAACGTTCATCGATCTAGCACAAGTTAACTGGCGAATTACGGCCGAGAGGATAAAAGGGCGTATCGAGCACTGACCACGCGGAGACCCCAATACAGAATGCTGATTAAAACTTCTAAAGGTGCACTGCATATCGACAGGAGGTTCTTAACCAAGAATAGCCGGGAGGATAAGGTCACGTCCGCCAGCAGACCAACCGCGAAGGTGAGCGTGGACAGGGATAACCCGATGACCGTCAGGTACTGGAAATGCCAGCCATATGCCTCATTGCTAAGGAAAAGTTAACCAACAGGGGTGTCTAATAAAGCCATGGGACTGGTAACACCTACGCGTGGTTGGGATTTTCATGCATACTGAACGTAAGGATTAGCCCGAGTGACCATGATGACGTCAACCGCGACCAATCGAGGCCGACAATCGAACATAATCCTATAAATAAACTCAGGTGAGACTCTGAACCTACTATTTAAAAGACCATACGAAGCTGGAAAGCCCTAATATCTGAAAGGAGGGTACGTTAGCTAAGCAGAAGAAGTCCAAGATCACCAAGCCAAGTACATACATGAACCAAGGCAGAGAAACCGCGGGATGGACTGTGTATCCGCTGTAGTGGATGTTTCCGGAGAAAGGCCTGGACTGCAGAAGAAGTAGAAGCCATGGTTGATTTGTCTGATAAGGTAATAACCACCAATAATCAATAAACCACAAGAACTTCCAATAAATAAACTCTCAGGTTCAATCTTAATTAGATGGTCACTGACGATATCGATATGGATCTCTGGGTGAAGCGGCGGTGGCCGAGGATCCCGCCGCTAATCCTAAAAAGGATATCGGAGTAATATATCCTCCGACTCCCGGCCGGAGACACCAGCTTATCACCATTACGTATGGGTAACCCTGCCGCTATCACCTGCTCCACCGCCCACGCTTCCGCCCCGGTTAATGCACAACTGCGATTGATTGAGACGGCCGATAGGTCGCCACCAATCTAAATGGTTATCTGGATTGTCTTTGGATATGCGATGCTCCACTGGCCAGTATCTCCTCCGCTTTTCTCGTGTTTTCTTAGTCTCGCCCAGATTCCGCTTGGTTTCACCAGCCGAACTTAAACGAGGCTCTAGCCTGGCCAGTGTTGCAACAATCGATTGCTACTACTCCCTACTAACCACCAGCGCACTAACAGACAGAGGCAGTCGTACGGGGGACTTTCCCTTCACGCTTCTCGGTTGATTCTTCACACCGCAAGATTCTACCAAGATATCTCCCAATTCGCCGCATTTGCTACCAGTAAAAAGAGTCTACGGGTGCTCTCCCACACCTCGATGATCACGAATACTAGGTGTGGGTGCCTCGTTGATTATCGCTTTCTGTCGTCTTGGATTAAACCGAAACGTCCTTCAAGGCGAAAAAGGAACAATTCTTTGGAGATCCTACAGACCCCGTGAGCTTACATCTGGTCTGCATGGCGATCTTACTGTGCAGAGTGTGCCGACACTATCTCAAGTCCCGGACTATTACTTCGTCTGGCCGTTATATCTTTTATTCCTCGTCTTTTTATCTGGCCAATAACTCTTGAAATCCAATGCCTCGCCCGAGGAGGCCCGGCGCTCCGGAGCCAAAGCGAAGGTCCCGTAAAGGATGCTGGTGCGTACGAATACTGACGACGTGATAACTTCACGGTGTATGATTAGCTACTAAATCCCCAGGTTAGGCCATGTAAAGCACGCAAAGTGAAATGGTTTGTTTTCGTCCTTTTTCTTTCCGTCCTTTCCAGCTAGTTCACTAATATTTTAGATGTAGCGGAGAAGAAAAACCGTCCTGTGTGAATTGTCGACGTCAAAATGAACCATGTGACTACAGTATAAGACTGAACTGGGAAGGTAGAACGAGAAGAAGATCTTCCGTAGACTCTCCAAGTTCCCAGTCTGGCGGTCAGCCCGGACAATTCATACTAGCCTTCTCGCCGTCAGATATAATGCAACCCGACTCCACGCTGCTAGCTTCGCCCTTCAAATCTACTGGTTCCTTGGGAGGAGACGCTACAGGGTACCATGTCACAGAGAGTCTGTTTTGGGAAGCTGGGCATACAGGGGAAATGACAATAGGAACGTCTTATCCTAGAGGGCTATATGATATCCATGAATCTTCCGCTATCCCTGACCAGTCTCTTAATCCCTCCACACGTACAACTGGCAAGAGCTCAGTAGATATGAGTCCGGGGAAGGACGCTACCGCCTCGTGGTCAGGTTTGTCTCAGATGGCCACAGTGGTGCCCAGAGAGGCGATCCCCAGTTACCCGTCGTCTATCTCACATTCCCTGGACGATTTCTCTTATCCGTCGCCGGCAGATACGGGCTCCAGTATTGGTTCTCTTGCCCCTTTCAACTTTTCACCAGCCACCATGTCGCAGCCAAGTTCGTTCCTTCGACACTCTGCAGACATCCCCGAACAGCCTTTGAGCCATTCATCGCCCGGACAAGGCGACACACCAGATCAGGGACAACCTCACTCGCAGTATTCATCTCCTGCCGATGCCGTCAGTACCTATGCCCCTTACCAGTCACAGAGTCCATCAGATCCTCACGAGAGTATGTCCCCTCTGTTCAAAAGTCCACAGCTTTTTGCATCACCTAGTGTGGCCCAAGATACCGAATCGATGCCAGCGGGCGTGGCTAGTAGCACCGAGGATTTCTTCAACAAAATCATGAATAGCCCCGTATTATCTGAAAATCGTTCGCAGGTCCATGCCGGCGAGCCACTGGCCACTGGCGATTTTAAGACTTTGAGTATGGGCCATGCGGTTGATGTACCCGGGGGATTCTCGAGCGCCGAAAGGAAGTGGCATGCCTATCTCACCAGCGTTACAGATAATTATGGTTTAGACTGTGGCCGTCCAGATCTGGATTTGAATAAGAATGACGACCATTCAGCCATTGACATCAATTACGCCCTGGATTTAATCAGCTCACAAAGTGAATCGTCTGCGACGTCTAGCGATCGACCTGGGGATTCCTCGTCCGCGGATTCGAAACAAATTAGCTTGGATGGTGCGAAGTTTGCTTATTACGCATCACCTGTACCGATCAACATCCCGCGTTATTTATCGCCGTTGCCACAGGCTCTAGTGCAGACGCCTATCAACCTGATGTATTTCCATCATTTTATCAACCATACGGCGAGAATGTTGGTTCCGCATGACTGTAGCGATAATCCATTTGTTTCCGTTCTACCATCAAGTGAGTCACGAACGTCTGCTTGCTATTCGCGTTGCCCATTTTACCCTGTGCCAGAGTGCTGACCTAATAGTGGCGATTGGGGATTCGAACCTACTGAATCTTATGTTAGCGTACTCTGCTAGTCACCGGGCGAGATATCTGGAGCATCCAGAACCTACTACTCGGATCGCGCACTGGGTCAGCAATGTCTTCCCGGCATTGCGCGTAGCACTGGAAGATCCACATGAGAAGGTCACTGACAACCATCTTGCTACGGCAATCATGCTGCTTTCCCTGAAGATCATATCACCCGGCACCTTCGAAGTGCCAATTCCTTGGCAGAGCCATCTTAAACTTGCCCGGGAACTCTTCCTTGCACGCCGAGAACAGATGGCGTACCCAGGAAATCGCATTGGCCCATTCTTCGCTCGCTGGTTAGGATACCTCGACATTATGGGAACCCTCTCGTGCCGACACACGGAACCACCCTTGTCTGAATACTACTCTCTTATTAGCACATGCTGCTCAGTTGAAGGGCTGGATGAATACTGTGTCGACTGTTTCTCCGGCTATACGCCCCGAACGGGGCTGTTCTTGACTAGGTTGGGGAAACTGGTACATCAGTGTGACAACGAACGATTTGATGAGATGGGAATGTGGATTTCTGGTTGGAGGCCTTCGGCTGATATCATTTTTGAAGCTCAAGAAATAATCAATGATCTTGAAATACTCCGTACCCGCGCCCACGCTAACTCAAGGCATTTCCGGGAGTCGGGAGCTACAGATATCATCGCTAGTGATAAAGCTTTTTATTACGCAGGCTTATTACACCTCCACCGACGCGTCTTAGGCACATCTCCATTTTCCACCCCAGTCAAGGACGCTCTAGAGGGGCTTAGGGAGGCCCTCGCACAGATTAGATTCGGGCCATCCGCTGAGGTCGGAACCCTCTTTTGCTGGTTCACTGCGGGCTGTGAAGCCCAGGATCCTGGACAGAGGATGGATATCCAGGAGCGATTCGAAGTGCTAGAGAAAACTGGGATGAAACAGGTTAGTCGCTCTAGGTCCCTTGTTAGAGTATGCCAGTACTGATCAATACTTCTGTAGATCCACCATGCTCGCAAGCTAATGCAGCGTTGCTGGGATGAAAATTTGCCATGGATTGCTTTGGCGCGGGGGGAGTTTCTTGGATAGATGGGATAAATGTGAAGCCATTGTGGCTCTTATTATCGACAGAGTAGATGGTAACAGTGTGTTATTTATATTAATAAGTCAAACAACTGACAAAAGGACAAGAAAATACGCATATCCCAGTGTCAAATGGTGGTAACCTATTAGAATCATATCTGAAAGAGAACACAGGTAGAGAAGCTGTTCAAGTAAGTCATTCAGTTAGATAAAGTGATCGCTACTCAAAGGATTCTGCGTGAGAGGTGATAAAGCGTTGGCTAAAACTACTTGTGAGTTGACGTGAAATCTAAAGTGATACTTTGATGCAGAGTTCGCCATAGCAACGCAGATTCCCAAGGAAATCTGGTACAATCTGGAACTAGTGTTTCACAAGCAACAGATACCTGGACCTTCTCTATAGAAGTGATATAAACAAAGATCCTGACTGTCGACAACTCTCTCACCGCCCTGGAGTATGTGTCAACAGCTCTGCACTGAATTGCCCAAAATGGAAGGTTGCCCTTGTCTCGTCTTGAGTGCTTTCAGTGCCGCTGCCATTCTGCTCTTCACGTTCCTGCCCATTCTCCTCACGTTCTACGTGCTCCAACACCGATTTCTGCACCGGATTGAGGTCCTCATGACTTCTATGACAGACTCGGTGACTCCTGAAGCATGTCAGGGCATAGAGGGGGCTAGCCACCCCGACAAGGCATCGTCTGACGCACCGGAAGTCGCTGTGTCTCCTGCTCCAGAATCGCGTAGAAGCTCAAACTTGATGGACAGCCGATTGGAGGACATCCAGGTTCCGGCTCTTCTGCCACAGATTTCAAAGAAGATGCCGGGCCCTATCACCACCAGCGCCATCGTCAAACTGGCCGAGGAGCTTCACCTGGGAGAACCTACTCCGTTGCTGGATGGTGGATTGGACCACCTGCACACCCCTACTTTAGATCCCAACCGCGTAAGTTGATTCTCCTCATAAACCCCCCCCCCCTACACATTGTCTGCATATTTTGTCATTGAATAACTCTCTAATGTTCCAGAAGAGCCCGTTTCCAGCTTCCGTAGCTCAGGTAGCGAAAACCTCTACTTTCGGCGCCGAAAAACAAGCGGAAATCGTTCCATGGGATGGTAAGATACGCTGGGCTATTGAGGGCCCCAGTGTCTTCGATGACGAGGAGGACGAGCTTGGAGCATTCTACTTCCGTCCTAATCTCCTGTCTCGTCATCCATTCTCGGACATTTGGATGTTCCAGTATGGGCTGCGATACGTTCCAGCCAAGGGCGATAGAAACGTGTATCGCACGGTCCGGGTCGAAAGTCTTCCACCAACTCTGACCCTGAAAGATATCTTGCCTGCCGTTAGTGGTGAGATCTTCTCAGCTCGTCTCACGGATACCACACCCATCGTGGGATCTAACACCGCGATTGTCACGTTCGTTTGGCAATCTGATGCTGTTCGTTTTGTTCAGGGTTCAAGAAGTGGTATGCACATTGGTCCTGCAGTGGCAAAGGTTGTCCCCGTCAACACTCCAACCTATCCAATCTCAGCTGAGTTGAAGAAATTGATCTTCAAGGAGGGCTACACCCGCTGTCTCTGTGTGTCCAATTTGCGTGAATCCCTGAAGAGTGAAGTGCGTCGTGTTATGGAGAAGTCTGTCCACTCTGAATACATCGAGAGGATTGAAGACGGTCTTGTGCTGGGGAAGACCTACATCCGGTTCCATTCGATCAAAGTGGCTGCTGCGGCGTACGAGCAACTCAGAAACCACCCGTGTTTTACCAAGTGTGCCTTTCGTTTCCTGAAGAAAGCCTCAGACATGCGTAGCAGTGTTGCTGGAGGCCTCACATTTGGAGCTAAAGTGCAGGAAGCCCGCCCTCGCATCGGGATTTGGGATTAAGTTGCAGTCTTGAATATTCATCTTGAATATTCTTCCGTACAATCTGTACATTCGATCATTCTACCATGCACTGTATTTATTATCGTCTTACAGCTTTTATTTCAAGCGGCAGCATAATCACAGATAGTTAATGCATGGTCAATATATGTCCATTGATTTCGAAACCATCCGGACCCTTTACAAGCTAATGCATCTTGTATTGATGGCTGATCAATGTTTGTAATCCAATACTGTAATAACTATTCCCCTCGATGTCAGTCATATTCGACAAAAGAAGGTGTGCAAATAGGCAGGTTAGAATAGAAGAGCTGAAGGTCATCAGATCAAACTACGCAGTTTCAGTTCTCCCCAAACACCCGCTTGATGCCCCTGTTCCTGCGCACCAAGGTCGGGGGTGCTGAGATCCTCTTCCATATGCTCTGGCCGAGCAGTTTGTTTCCAGAAGAGCAATACCTCATGCAGTACTTCCCCATTGTACAGGAAATGGTGTTGTTTATTGACTTCACTAACGACATTCTCTCCTACTATAAAGAATGCTTCGTCAATGGGGAGAAAGGAAACTTTGTCTCAAACTTTGGCCAGGCGCACCAAATGAAAAGCTTGGATGTTTTAAGACGCTTGGTGAATTACACTCCACAAGTGCGTCCCATATCTTGTCGTTGTCATCCTCAAAGCAGATTTGACGAAGTTTCTCTTTAGTTACTTGCCTCTGTGTATAGAACGCTGCAGGATAATGAGGTTCTGCGGAAGCCAGTAGAGCAGTTTGTCACCGGCTGGGTCATGATGATGACAGCTCATAGACGCTATCATCTGGTGAAATTATTTGCAGACGAGCACTATTTGCCGCCCTACGATGATACAGCATGACTAGTCCGGCTCCAACTATCTCTTGTCGTATAGAAAGTAATCTGGATCACGAAACCTCCATAGACGACATCATACCTAGACTTCATCACATACAAACCCGGTCTCAACAACCTACCTCAGCTATCTCGATACATTATCTTCTTAAGGACCGAGTTAAATACGCCCTTTAATAGCCCATGACTGTCATCAATATTCTCCGAAATGGGCTTTTTGGGGCGTTGGGAGGGCTTTTTGTGAGAGGATTGTATTTATTTCGCTGATTAGGGGTTCGAGGGTGGCTTTGAATTTTGAAGGGTCGGTCATGGTTGGTATGTTGTTATTGTGGGGATACAGTATAGTAGATGTAGGTAAGAAATTTTCAGCTGATTCTTTGTTGAGAAAAGCGTTTGCTTTGCTTGTATTTTTTTTTTGTTTATTTATTTTCTTTGTCATTTTCGGAGTGGTTGGAGAGAAGTAGGAAAAGTTTCCTGGTCCAGATAATGAGTGGGTTTGGGTTAACGCTGTTCTTGATTATAGCAGTATCTGGAAGTTTATATCCTTGTTTCAGAAGGCATGGTGTTCAGACTTATCCTAGTATGATTTTGATTCAAGTTCGATATGTAAGTATTAACCTTGTCGACATTTTCTTCATATAGCCTTAAGAATACCTATAAAATGTACTACAACGATCACAATTATCGACATATCAACACATCGAATTCATAATAGAAAGTATATCAGGTGTAGAATAGATCTGATTAGGGGACCCACCACTAACCCTAACTGATCCACTCCCAACCATTGAAGCCTGCTGTTCTTACGAGATGTTGGGACCGTCCAGAAAGAGTTATCAATACGGAAAATATATACAATTTATTATATTAATTTCGTCTTTTACGTTCCCCATGAGCTGTGGAGATACTAAAGCTGCTGTAGCTATTTCAATAAATGAATCAATTAACCACTATCAGTATAGGTCGCAAACACAAACTGTGTCAAAATATCTCCACTTCCAGCACCGCCATAGTTAATTGCAAAGTCAAGGTAAAAATAGACAGACTGGATAAACAGATTAAGGAATATTCTCCCCTGTCATAACTCATCCAGATATTTTTGTGAAGCTCATACATTCCTAAACGTGCCCAAACGCTTGCTCGATATCATCCGCGCGACGGACGCCTGGAAGGGACTCATGGTTGTGCCCTCCAACGCCTTCTCCGCATTGAGGACATCGGGCTGCTTCCATCGGCATTCCACATTCCCCGACCGTAAACTGCGACAGTATCAGTACAGATGCAACACGATTAGGCTGAGGAGGAAGATCTTACAGGATGCGAGTTTCGGCAGTAGTACCAATGTCCAGTTCCAGAAAATTGAGTCGCCATGGCTTCATACACTTGTCGCTTTTCGTCGGTTGTCACAAAGCTATAGAACGTTCCACCATCCAGTAACCTCTTCGCCTTTTCGATGTCATCTTGGAGAAAGCCTAGTGTTCTCGGGTTGTCAACCCGTAGAGCATCGCATTTTTCCAAAGCATCTGAAGCATTCTGGCGAAGTTTGGTGGCTGTGTCCATATCGAGAGGTTGACCTTTTTCTTCGCAGGTACTCAGATATAGTATACAAAATAGCGCATAGTAAATCATTGCTTGGACCTGCTCTACTAAAAGTTTTGCGGCCTGGCTGGCATCCCGGACGGAGATAGAAGTGTCCATTAAGCCCTTGATTCGGTTCACTACCATATTGCGCAGCTCGGAACGGATTTCTGAGTCAACCACTGCGACAATGGAAACCCTCCTGTAACCCCACAGTATAGCCCAGGCGAGCCTAAGTTGGAGGCATTGGCCGCGGATATGAAACCCAGTTTGGATCTTTGAATCATCCATGTTATACGTATCGTTGGGTACGCTGTTTTGCCCGACGGCTGCTGATGCGAGCAGATTATTGACCCTTCCATAGGGTTGCTCTGCAGCCGTCATGGAATTGACGAACTTTTGGATTACTTTTTCGAGGTTGCTTTTCTTGCAGTAAGCCTTGAGTAGGTCGCTATTATGGGAGTGGCCAGACTGTTCCGCCCCGGTTGAAAGCTTGCGTATGAGCTCCCCTCCTTCTTCTTCTAGCTGCGCCTCATGTTTTTCGATTGCCATAACGAGCCTTTTGTACGCCAAATTGGCTGTGACAATGAATCGCTTGGTTGACTCATCAAGTAATGCCTTCTTAACTATCCGGTTATACCGATGGATATCCCGAAGTGGTATACGGCACTCTGGGCATCCAGGAAGTTTCGCGTCGTCACTCACCACACGTCGTGACAGTCGCGGACTGACAATAGCGTCTGTGTGAGGATCAACATTGTAGTATTCCTTGATTTCCATGATACCATCGAGGCTGGAAACTGTATAGTAGTGGCCGCAAGATAGGAAGATCAATCGATCTTCATTTACATTGATGTCACCATATCGCTCCAACGTGATCAAATCAACACACCGCTCCAACACAGTGTCACTACCGCATTCCTGGCAGTACTTCTGATCCGGGCATTTCTCACCACAGATACTTGGGCATTGATGACCACAACCCAACAGAACGTCGCATCGCTTGTCACAAGGGACTATACTGCAGGGCACTGCGCATGGCAGGCTGCAGATATTGTTTTGTCGATGACTGCAACTCCAGCCACACCTCTCAGCGCAAGGGACACATGGTTCACTGCACTTCTTCGGGCATTTGTTGTGCCTGCAACGGACTTCGCAGGGCTTCTCACAGGGGGCGCAAGCGGTGGATGGGTGACAGGACCGAGAGCAACTATGTGAGCAGGTGGTGAAGGGCCGTCCACAAGGTGCAGTACACGAACCATGGTTAACTTGGCCACGCTCATTAACAGACTTCCAGCACATCCAGCAATCCCTCTGGCAGGTGTGTCCGCAGTCCAGTATGCCTTGACAACGCTGTGAACATTTTATCTTCGAGATGTCCTGGTGGCATTTTATTTCAATTTCATGACCACATCCGGGCACCTTTCTCACAACGACTTTCGAACATATTACCGAGGCAACATTCTTGCTCCGTCCGCATTCGAGTTCTGTTGTATGTCCGCAGAGAAGGACAATACCGGGGACTTTTTCGACGCACTGGCCACAGTTCTCATGGCAACTCTTTGTGCACAAGTGTCCACACTTCCTCATTCTTGTGCATGGCTTCATGCATTTGACCGCGCCATGCCGTGTGTTAGAATGACACTTGAAAGTGCAGGTATGGCCGCAGGCCAGTCTCCGCTCACATCTCTCTGCACAGCCACCCTCCGGAGCTTGGGTTAGGAAATTTTCGGGAGAAGCAACGTACATCCTATTATTAGGGTGTCGAGAGCATTCGAGCTCTATCTTGGGTCCGATGTTACCGCCCTCTTCTAGTATTCGGATCACTGATGACCACATAGGAACAGAGGACGCCGTATTAGCGTTCCCAATGATGTACATTCCATGCTTTGCTCGGCTATAAAGTGGAAAGAATATAAGAGTTAGAAATACACTATGACATTATAGTCAATGGCCGAAGCTTAAATACTTGCCTCAGTAAAACATTGATTCTGTTTGAAGTTTTTAGGAATCCACAATTTCGATTTTTGTTGCTTCGCACAAGTGAGACTATAACCACAGTTGCCTCATCGCCCTAGGAAGTAGCTATGGTGAGTCTTTATGGAGTTGGCCCTCAGGCTGATGCAATGAACTGACCTGAAAATTATCCACCGTGGCAAGCCTCACCTGCTCGGACAATCTGGCTTTCTCAACAGTTCGTCGGTTGGGAGATGTCAGACTAGTGCTGTCACTCGTGTGCATATCTGCTTCGGAGTCATCCAAATCGACCAAATCTTGCTCTGCGATTATAAGATCAACGATGCCCTCCAATCTATTCCTCAACAATCTAAGCTGACCAATGTATGGGGTTAGGATGGCGATCTCTCCAGGGCTATAGCGCTCCTGTTTACACAGGTGCTGCACTAGTGCAATGACCACATCCGCCTCCCATGTGTTTGTCTTGCTCCGCATCGGGTCCTCGGGATCATCGGGGTCTTCTATGTTGCGGTGGTCAAGCCAGAATAGCCTGCGTTTTAACCCAGCGACTTCATCGTACGAACTCGTCTTCGGATGGTCGCATAGGTCGGGATATAGGGTCTGACGAACGAGGGAAGCAATCGAAGGGTGCATTCTCCGCTGACTGTCTAGTTGTGCCACAGGAAATCGAACAGAATCCACCGCACTGGTGGCTTGTCCGCCCGACCTATGAAAATCCGGAGGCCGCAGGTTTACCATCCTTTCGAACAATGACTCATCAAGGTTGTATTTTGGTCCACTTTGGTCGTACTCTATAGATAGCCTTTGGTTTGAGATCTTTGGACGAAGTTGCAAATGGTCTCCGATCAAAATGGCATGTTGAATAGACGGCAAAAAGCTTGTCAGAATGTGTGATTCGAGCACCTCGCCTGCCTCTTCACAGATCAACACCTTTGCTGGAAGGCTACGCAGGAGATCGGCATTGTTTGCCAGACCAGTTGTAGTGACTCCAACAACTTCCACTTGATTGAATATCTGGGCGTCTTCTATGTTAAACAACGCAGTATACTGGCGTTTCTCTTCGGCATGCTGACGTATTAGGTTATCGAGCTCGAATGTAAGATTGTTAACAGCTGACTCATGCCAGTGCCTCAGTAGGCGTGTGCGTTCCTCGTTTGTTAACGTCCATGGATCTACAGAAAGCAGTTGTTCGATCTGTCGCTTGTCGCCATTTCCATTCAAGTCGCCTGGGCCGTTACCTTGACTCCAGGTATCCAAAGGCCTCCTGTCACCGATCAATACTCCCTCGGTAATCTGTATGTCATGCTTGGGAAATCGCCTCCTTAAGTAGGCACTAACGATACCAGAGGTCCCGTTTTCGAGTTGCTTACAGATCTCACCAATTCTAAAGGCCAAGTCATCAAGCCGTTTCTGTAACAGATTGATTGATCTGCCTTGGCCAGGGATGCGTGGAATCTTTTTCTGCTTCTTGTAGTTTTCAAGTGAAAGGGACTCCAGGGCGGGTGAGGCACTACGAGATCCAATGCGTACGATCTTCGAAATTCCGGAATCAAGAAGCCCTTGGAGAAACTGATCAAGTGCATGGTTTGTGTAACAGCTGTTTGTGGCTAGGTACAAGCTCCTCATTGCGGGGATATCAGTCGCCATAATCGGTACTTACACGCATAGAATCGGTCCTAATAGCGGAATTCTGTTGGCAATGAGGCATTTTGCAATCTGAATGCCTACATATGATTTGCCTGTCCCCGGTGGACCTTGGATAAGGGCTAAATGATTTTTAAATGCTAAAATCATTGCCTGTGCCTGACCCATGTCTAACGTCGTTCGTCTAAATAGTTCCTCAGACATAGCCTTAAAGTCTCGGCCAACGGAGAACGTCAGTGGGGTGGCTATATTGTCTTTATCCTGTATCTCGCCAGCTACTGAAACTGACGAAAGGTCTAGTGTTAGATTTTCAAGATAGACTGGCGAGTGGATCGGGAAGGCCTTGTACCCAAAGGTAGTGGTTGTCTCCATACAGTACCTTTCCTGGGGTGCTATCCAAGAGGTCAATGGCAGGTATCGAGGGTCGGCATATAAGGACTGTAAGCACCGTAAAATTCCCTCAAATAGGTTATACAGTAGGGCAGGAAACTCAACAAGTATGAGCGGTCGATTCGAGGAGGAATGGTTGGTCGCCAAAGAGAGGATGCCATCCAAATCACCTCGAGAAGGAGAACTAGTGAGGCGTAGTCTAATCATAGCCCGTTTTGCATCACTCACCAAGTCTGATATTTCTTTCTCGGTATTGCTTTCCATCATGGGTTCAATGTACCTCCTGGAGACCTGCAGAAAGACTATAGTGGTGTCTTTATCCACCTCTGCATCTATGAGTGCCAATAAGGCTCCACCTTCGTTCAGCGCGCGAGACTCGCGCCAGTAATGCTTCCTTTTCCAGGGGGTCATGTTCTTTATCCTGGCAACCTGGTCAAATTCTACGTCGATCTCCATGCCTTTTACACGGTCTGGTTTGACTCTTCGGATCTGTGCTCCGTAGTAGATGCGAACGGGAGTAGGGCTATGAGTTCGTAGTATCTTTTTCTTTTCCTGCCATCGAGCACCATGTACAAGTGTTTCCCAATGGTCAAGAATCACGCGAACAGCATCACGCAAAACCCCAGATGTATCTTCCCTGAGAAGACGAAAATGTGTATCTAGAAGCCGGCGAACTCCTTTCTCATGATGTCCGTCTGGGGTATATAGACTATCTCGTGTGGGAAGAAAGTCGAGTCGTTGACTATGCAAAATCTCTGACAATGTTGGCAATATGTTGATGTTAGATATTGATGCGTGATCATTGTTATGCCGGGGACTAAATTTTGATAACTCTCCAGGAGGGTCGACTTCATGCTGTTGCTGTTGCTGTTCTGATAGATCTATGTCTGCCTTCGGTACATAGGCGGCAATCCTATCTCCTGTTCCAAAAATGTCCTGGATCTTCAACATGTTTTCCCTGGCAAGACATAGATTGGGGTTGGTGAGAACTCTCTCTATCTCTCCAAGAGGCGAACAGCTCTGAAGATCGTCCACGATACCCTTCAACTCTGACTTAAAGGTCGCCTCCTGGATCTGCAATATGGTGCTCAGAATGGCCTCTGTGACATGTAGGAGCACCTCTTCGTACTTTATCCCATCACCATGGTCAACGTCGGTGTTCATGTCCCGTAGATGAACCAGACAACCCACCACCTGTCGAAAGAATGCAACTCCCCTATCTCCACGCGGCCCATAGATAACATTGAAGATAGTTCCCACGTCCTTCTCAAGAATAAGCGAGCGTTGTATCTCTTCTCGCGAAATATAGGATATCAAACGAAGGAAAAGAACGCAGTGGGGGTCAAACATTAGCCGGGTCACGCTATAGGACCGGGCAAAGTCTGCTTCAACGATTTCTCGAATTCTGGCAAGACCCGTTTCCGTGGCCCAGCTGCCGACAATACCGAAAGCTGATGACCCAGCGCAATGAATATCGGACAGAGTCCCCTCCAGAATATCCTGCAACTGTTCCGGTGATAGCTTGGCGGGTTGTGACTTTGCTAAGGGGTTCCTGTATGGCGATGGACGTATTCGGCTGGCACAACGTTCAGGATGTTAGCTCTGGGACCCACTTACAGGTTCACAATAAGAGTCCATACCTAGCAGTCTTATTATTCTCGTCTGATCGAGGAAGACGATCATTCGGACGTGCTGTTGCCCGCCGGTCGCCTCCCCTTCTAGATCGATGATTCCCTCTGTCTTGGCGAATATCAATTGTTCTCTCAGATGGAACACCGGCGATGGCTCCCGCAACGCCATGATGCTCATCGTTGGAGCGCTGGCCTTGGTTTGTGCTGTATTTCTGACCACGGCCACCTCGACGACGATGTTTTCCCTGCCGCGCAATCCGGGCATCTCGAGTAGCTGAGATCGTGGAGTCCGCCATGGTTGAGAAATTAATGAGATAGACCTGAGATACCTATGTGTTGAATATAAACAGATGTATACGTGTAGACCGTATGAGACAGTGAAAGGCATGAGTTGGGTTGTATTGTTTTGTCTTGAAAGAATCGGCGGGGTTAAAGCAAGGCGACAAGGCTACCAGGTTGAGAGAACAAACACTATTGGGCAGTGAAACGAAGCGTCCGTCATAGCTACCTACCAGGATCCAGTTCAAGGTTGCCATATATGCTTGCCCTACTTGTATGGATAGTAGCTGTCAAAGTTTGATTGATTATTGGCGAGTTCAGGCTGTCTGACTTCATATATTTGTGTATTTATGTGAAATGGTACAGACATATCAAAACTGCAGAAAGACTTGTATTTATAGTAGAGTACAATTTCATTGTACATATATGTGGTCATAAGCACTGTTTATAAAGAAACCTTGGAATTCTTATATCGATTAGTCTACTACTAGTAATAAATAGATAATGACAATGTCTACTATCAAGTAGCTCCTAAAACCAGCCACGACCCACTAAACCCAAACTGATTAAGTCCCCACCCAGCGTCCCACCAAGCCAACAGTGGAGGCCCCACCATTTTATCCCGATGTCAATCTAATCTCCAACATCACCATCACCACAACACCACCGCAAAACCCAAACATGCAAACAAAACAATGACCCAACCACCACCCGCGACAAGCCCAACAGCCCCCAAAATGCGCCCCCAACTAACCCCGACCATCCTCACAACCCTCTTCACCTCCCTCACCCGTCCCGCGACAAGATGGACCCTCCACCGCACCCTCAAAAGCGACAACCCGCTCGACATAAACGGCGACCTCCACGGCACAGCAACCTTCACGCCGCTCCCCACCTCCAACCCAAATACAAATAGCGATGCGCAAAGCCTACAACCGCCAACCATAACACCGAAAGACCTCCTCTACTACGAGGAAGGCGAAATGCCCGCCCCGCCAGGTCTGCGCGCGAATCTCGGCGTCGGGGTGGGGTTGCGCTTCACGAAGAAATATATCTGGCGGCTGAGTGAGGCGGGGGTTATTAGTGTTTGGTTTGCGAAGGTGGGGGCCGGTGAGGATGCGCCGGATTATCTGTTCCATGAGTTTGAGTTTCGTGAGGAGGGTCAGGGTCAAGGTGAGGGTGATAAGGAGACGTTTGTGGATGCGCCTGTGCCTCCGCTGGTGGATGGGGAGGAGACGGTAGTTTTCAAGGCCAGGGGGAATCATCTTTGTATTAATGATATGTATCGGACTGCTTATGCTTTTCGGGTGAGGGGCGAGGGGGAGGTGGTTAGTTGGGCTAGTCGGCATGTTGTCAAGGGGCCGAAGAAGGATCAGGATATTGTGAATCTTTATCGAATGGGTTGAGGGGTTGTGTTTCTATGAGTTGATTGTGTGCTGGTCTTATACAAGGGTGGAGTTGTGGATAGAGGTGATTTGCGATTGTGGTCAGGGTTTTTGGGGATAGACTACCGTGCGTAAATAATATACACTATTATACAAGTAGTACGTAGTAGATGTAACGATATGCCTGGCTTTCAATTTCTATCGCTGATTTCCCCAGATTATCATGCCCCATTTCTCTTGTCCATGATAGTCTTCAAGATAATCTCACAGTTAGCCGAAGGGTCAACGCTCTGTTCAATTCCCTCGAGTGTGACATTGATCATCTTTGCCCCTGGGGCATACAAAGGCCAGTTAGATGTCCTTTTATCCTGGTTTGACTTTCCTGTAGTAAACTTTACGACCTCTGACTGAAATTGTCTGGCGAGAGAAACATTTACAGGAACAGGCAATTCAGCACCGGATCTGTAGAAATAGTCTGTAGCCATCAGTATGTTTACCACATAAAGTAATCAGAGGAGAACACATACAGAACGAATCCAATCCATGTATAGCTGGCGGCACCGAAAATAGATACCGTTGGGTTCTATTTCCATAAGCCTTTGCAACAGCTCTCGCATTGCAGGCAAACACTGCATCAGTCGTCCAAGAGTTTGCAGCCAGTTGAATCTGAGAGTCTGGGAAGGGATACATGTCCCGGATATGCCGAACGGTGGCATTAGTAGCTCCTGGGACCAGGCGTCGGACCAACGTGGCAAAGTCTTCGTACGTGCTGACATCTGTAGTCATCCCAAATCCCTCTGCTGCCATGTTCCCAGACATTACTGCTTTGATATTCTTGTGATATCGGCCTTGTTGGAGCATAACAGGGACTGCATCGAGTAGGTATTTCCCGTCTGGGAACGGACCGATACCAATTCCAGGACCCAGGGCGCCTCCTCCCGAGCCGCCAGGGAGTTCTAGGGCTTTTTTATTCATGGCAGCTAGGGTCGATGGCGATGCATTTCTAAGACAGGCGAGAGATGAGCAGTTCCCAGTTTGTAGTACTTGATCATAGACCTCTTGGCGACGCTCTGTTACGTTCCTTCTCGGCATGAGAGCAGGGGATGACAGAAATGCCTTGGTCAGTCAGTAGGCGTTATCAATATTCAAGACAGGAAGAAGGCTTACTTTCTGGAAAGGAAGAGTACCATTTCCACCATTCCCTACAAGCATCATGGCAATCATAGCCGCACCCGCGCTCTGCCCCCCGACAGTGATATTGGCAGGATCACCACCAAATCGAGAGATGTACTTCTTTGTCCACTCCAGCGCCGCAATACCATCATGGAGCCCCACATTGGCATCCATATCTTCGTGCGCAGAGGATACCCACCCATACAACCCCATCCTGTAAACATGATCAACAATGCTGATAGTAAGTACGGAAAAGGAAACAAACCGGTAATTACTCGCCACAAAGATAAACCGATCGTCCCCTCCCTTGGTCGACTCCATGAGACCAAACCCATCCCCAAACATGTCTTTACTTCCAAATGCAAACGCACTCCCGTGCAGCCAGTGCATAACCGGCACATTGTCCCCCTCGCGCACACCCTCCGGCACCCACACATTCAGGAAAAGACAATCCTCCTGCCCCCAGGAGGTCCCATTTATCCCCGGGTATGGAGCCTGTGGATGCACAGTACTAACGCAGTCACTGATTGTGAGTCGATCTCGACCATCCTGGATGCCATCTTCGTGGGACGGGGGAGTGACTGGTTTACGGAAGCGGAGGTTGCCGGTGGGTGGCTGCGCAAAGCGGATGTTGTTGTATAGGCCGATTTTGGCACCAGATTCGGTAGTGTTGATGAATGTTGGGTTGTGGATAGCATAGCCTAGGTCTATCTTGGGGAAGGTTTGGCCGGTGATGGCAGGGAGAAGGGAGGATATTGTGATCAGAAACAAGAGTAGATTTGGATACATTGTAGTGGTATACACGTGTTCGATGTTGGTTCTCCTGAAGTTGTATACATTGCGGGGAGGCTGGAGATTTCGTGGTATTGGAGTTGCTGTTTTATAGTTCAATCTCCATGGCCGTTTCCCAGATAAGCCTGGCTCGTACTCGCTTGACATGAACTGAGTGGATCCTCGTATTTATGGAGGCGCACACTAGGTTCGGTTGATCGACATCAGTCATGCTTATTCGACAAGCCGATATTAGGTTTAATCACAAATGGAAAGTTCGTATCGGGCCACAGTTACGGTGTGCAGTAGAGGAGTTCAACAACTTCTTGCCCAAGTAAAAGGCACCCTTCTCCACTGGGCGGGGCACCATGACACCATGACACATAAGACAAATGAAACAATCCTGAAGGAGCAAGCACTGAGTTTTACCTCAATTCAGGCAAAAGCACAGCCACTGGGAGTAAAAGCATGTGCATACTAGGCAGCTTGCATGAGTGGAAGATGCGTTGGCCGTGAGTGTAATCCAAACGATACGTGCAACAAAGCCATACGCTTAACTGAGGCGTACAATCTTCTTGGAATTATGGCCATATGATATCCAGGGTACGTGCTGAGTAGGCTGCCATTCTTCTAGCTACTTTACCCCCTTCTTGTTCTCTTCATGTAGCCGTTTTTTCTGTTTTTAGTTCAGGGTGCGGGTAAGAATCTTGATCTGTATACATAGCAGTAGATAGCATCCATAAAGCAGAGTTCTGAGTGTCTCTGAAGAGTGACTGGGTGTTCAATCCGCTAGTTCTGACCACTCTGACCGTATATAGACATATTTATTGCAAAATTTAATCCGTCAGGGACACATACTAATGCTTACGTAGGTGGCTTAAAGCAAGCGAGAGGAAATAAGGAGCCGTAGTCTAATGTAAATGACAGGAACCCCCGACCTTACATAATTCCATGAGTCTCTTCTATAGATTTCCTGAGGAAGTGAGATGCTTCAATGACCTGACTAGCTATCTTTCACAGTATTCAGGTTCAAGGTTGTCGTCCACGTTCTACATAATTGAGTTAGCGTGGTGCCCATTGGGTCAAGATCGATTACCATGGATGTACGGGGTAATTGAGGCCGAGAGTCCAGTACTACAAGGAATTAGAATAGTTAAGAAGTACACAGCATGTAAAAGTACACAATGAATAAGAAGCGTAACCAATCCCGGGCAAGATGACATCTTCCCCTCATTTTTCCCAAGAAGCGGGGCAGCCACATCAGTGGACATATAAAGGAAGTAACTCAAGGAATCCCTTTAGGTAATTCGTCCTCTTGTAAACCGTCCGACTGACTGTAATCGGAAGATTGAAATGCCTCGAGTAGCTATTGTGACCGGCTCAGCGCGTGGGATGTAAGTAATGCCCTCCTGGTACCTGTACCAGCACGATCAGTGTTGAATGTATACCAGTGGAAAGGCGATTGCCCTCCGTCTTGCAAGAGATGGCTATTCAATTTGCATTAACGATATCCCCGGTGCAAAGGATGAAATCGCTGCAGTCGTTGACGAAATAAATGCCACGAGCACTCAAGAAGCGACCTCTTCTTCTCGTCCCCGGGCGATCGGTATAGCCGCTGACGTGACCTCATCTTCCGCGGTGGAAGAGATGGTTCGAGAAACAGTGGAAAAGCTGGGTCCATTGACCCTGATGGTCGCGAATGCGGGCATCGCGCAAATAAAACGCCTTCTCAACGTCACTGAGGCCGATATCGACGAGGTATTCTCGGTAAATTTCAAGGGCGTGTTCAACTGTTACACCCATGCGGCTCGCCAGATGATCGCGCAGGGTGATCCGCAATCTGCTGCCGGGGTTGGCGTGTACAAGATCGTAGGGGCCGCGTCCATCGTCGCATTCAAAGCGTTCGCAGCGCTGGGGGTCTATTCGGCCAGTAAGTGGGCGGTTCGGGGATTGACGCAGGCGATGGCGTCGGAGATGGCACCACACAAGATTACGGTCAACGCATATGCGCCAGGGGTGGTGGGAACAGCCATGTGGGATAAGATTGACGAGGAGTTGGGCACAATCGAGGGCCGATCGAGGGGGGAAACGCGAGAGTTGTATTCAAATAAGGCGGCTTTGGGGCGGACGAGTGAGCCGGAGGATGTGGCTGGGTTAGTTGGAGGGTTCCTGGCGAGTCAGGACTCGGATTTTGTGACTGGGCAGACCATGCTGGTGGATGGTGGCATAGTCTTTACTTAGAGTTCCTTGTATTGTTATGATTTTCTCACAGCGCATACTCGCTTTTTCTGCATCCTATGTGATCGGACCCCAACAGTGAATAAATGCTGTGCAACCGGGCAACCCCATTAACCAGCGCACCAAATCGCAAAGGTAAAAAGATATGATGCGAATAGCAATATCAGAACAATATCTGTACTACTCATGGTATGTACATATATATCATGAGCCAATACACAGTCTAATTATAGCCAAGGCAGCTAGGTACTAACTACTAAGTAGTAGCAGTAGACTATTATTAGCTACTAGGTAGGCTACCCCGCATTATATGCCCGGTCACTCGCTAAAAAACACATCTTTTCGCTTATTATCTTCCAAACTTCGAATTCATACAAATGAATTTCCAGTGTGAAGCACTTGATGGAAAACAAAAACAAATCCGACCACTTACCATCCTCACTGATAGGAATTGTTCCCTCAATATTGTATCCCTCGACAAATAGTAAATAATATCATAGCTATAGATTTTGCGTTATATCCGAGCTTATTTCGCCCACCTCTTGTGCTTTCGCTCATTTTCTATGTTGTAACGCCGATCAAAAAGTTGCTTGATGAAGCTCCATCTGGCCGTCTTCATGTTGACCTCCTTGCTCTAGTTTGCTCCAGTTTGCTCCTGGTACCCTTATGTTATCCAAGTTGCCTCTCTCGCCAACCCTGCCACGGGAGGGCTGGGGTCACAAAACGCCCGAAGAACGCCAACAGCAACGAGGAAGACTGATGTTGCACTACTGCGTACAGTATGGATTCATCTCACATTATCGAAATTTTCGTAGTCCTCCCTGCGAACGTATATTCCCATAAAATGCGACCAGAGAAAGAAGCCCACGGGTTGTCACAAGTTAGCCATGAACCGGTAATGTATCACAGCTCTCCCCATTCCCAGCTCAGAACTACCCAGGGCTTTGAAACTCCGCGAAGGGCGTGATCTAAGGAATTAGAACCTCCACTGGCTCATCAGAATAACCAAAACCACATATGGCGTCAGCGCTACCGCCACGATCACGCCGAACAAACACAAGAGTTGGCGCTTAAAGTTGCGTGACCACCAGCGCTGGGAGCCTCCTGGGTGGATAGTGTTGCGGGGGTCAGATTCTAACCCTGGGAACTCGGTTGCCTCAAAGGCGGCTTCTTCGTCGTAAGCGGTATCTGAGCAGGAGGGAGGCGTTTCTGAATATGGAGGTGGAGGGGGAAGTTCCTGGGAAGTATTAAAATGGGTTATTGGGATGGGGTGGGGGCTAATTTACTTTTAATTGGATCATGGTGCGCGACCGATTCTGGAGGAGAGGTTTCGAGGGAAAGGTGCTATGGGTCAGCACTATGGGAAGAAGGTGATTATATACTCCGGAGTAGATTAGTACTAGTTATGCAGGGATGTTCTGATTACACAGTCGGATTGCGCGGGTACAGCCTCGTGATTGAGGCTGTGGGGTTTCAGGGGAACAACATTCCTGGGTAGAATCGTTATTGAACCAATTGACATACATTCTCGTAGATCTTAGATAATATTAACATGCTATGTCATCTTGCACTGGTTGTACTTGGCCTTCTTGTGATATTATGCAGCAAAAATAGTTCAGTGTGTACCAAGGTGGTTTGTTCAATGCAAATGAAAATGCAAATGAGTGGGGCTGGTTGAGACCAGGAATATCAAGACTTCGCCGATGTATTAATGTAGCTCGAACGGCCTTTATAACTTGAAAGAGGTACCCTCTTGTCATTGCGAAATTAGCGCAGAACCCTTAAATTAGTACCACAACCAGAACTTGGCAGAAGCAGAAATCGCAACTTCCGGCATCCGAGCAGTGAAGACCCACCTTTTGGGGCGGGAACTTCCGTCACCAGCTTTAAGCCTTATGCCTTATGGCGGCCTGGCCTCAGGGTAAAGAAAGACCCGGCAACATCTGTACATTCTGGGGTAGCACGTGCTCCAGGTACAACCCCTTTTAAATTGTAATTGAAAAAAGACACGCTAAACACTGTCGGCAATTCTATACACGCTAAATTACTGGAGAGTCCGGAGAAATTCACCAAATCATCCACCCACGTGGGCAATTCAACCAACAAGATCAGTCTATAGTACAACACGATGGCACTAATCGCGTATAGCTATACTGGTGCGGGACATGGCCCGTCCTCCGCACATCAAGGTGGGACATTATGGCTTTTTGGACAACAGAGATGGCTACCCACGTGCCTCTATACCAAGAACCAACTGGTGATTCAGGCCCTAATGAAGTTTTCAACCAAATAAAAAAACAATTATCTGCGGTTGCTCAATACCAGCCTCTCGGGAAACCCGGCATCCATGTCTACCAACGAGTCTAACATGGCGTCTATAAAGCCTGCTTGTCTGGAGATGTTTGCAAATAGTTCACAATTGTGCCTACTATTGTTTCCCTGCTTTTGTGTCGGGTGAAACCATCCTCTCGACGCTTCACCATGAAGGACATGCTTTTTGCACTCCCTCTGATTACTGCCTCTTGGGTGGGTGTTACGGCGGCTAGTTCAGATAGAGCCACTGGCACGACACAGCCAAATTGGTTCCAGACGTCTCCTCAGAGTTATCAAGGTTGGTTTTGGAGTTGGGTATGGATCCTATAGAGTCTTTGGCTAAGAATCCCAGGTCCAACTGCCACCGGCTCTGCGCCTTTCCTCGCCGAAACGAACCCAGCTTTCTCCAGTGATGGGGCGTATATTGCCAATGATCCTTTAGTGACAAATCAACCTATTTCTGGAGCGCACGGGCGCAACATCTTCCACCATGCTGGTAACCTGAGGTAGGTAATTGCAAAAGTGAATGTCAACGAGTGATACGAAACATCAACATCTCACAGTACTATAGTCCGTATTTCTCTTCGGAAGATGGCTTTGGGGTTGACGAATATCCCCTTCCGGCTGGGGCAAATATCACGCAGATGCATATGCTTCATAGACACGGTTCCCGATACCCTTCTTCGTCGGAGGGGTTTCCTTCCTGGGCTGAGGGGATCAAGAATTCTACCACTGCCGGTAACCGTTTTAAGGGCGCTCTATCATTCCTCAATGACTGGAGCTATGGCCTTGGGGCTGAGATCCTTGTTCCGAAAGGTCGCCAAGAGCTGTTTGATAGTGGTGTCTTGAATTATTACAACTATGGGCATCTTTACAACGAAAGTCTTGGCCACAAGCTAGTGGCACGCACTACAACACAGGATCGCATGCTGAAATCAGCGGAGAACTTTCTTGCTGGCTTCTTCGGCCTGGATTGGACTAACAAGGCCAATTTACTAGCAATGATTGAAAGTGTGGGGTTCAATAACTCTCTTGCTCCATATTCCTGCACCAATGCTATGACCGTCATGGCCAACTCATCAATCTATGAACCCATGTATCAATGGATCGACATATACCTCAACGAGCGTACTACGGTTCTGAAAGAGCTTTCCGGGTCCTATAACTGGACCGCTACTGATTCGCATAATGCTCAGGCTCTCTGCGTATACGAGACGATTAGCTTTGGCTACAGCCAATTCTGCCAGCTCTTCACTTATAAGGAGTTTGAGCACTTCAGCTACGCATATGATCTCATGTTTACCTCCATGTTTGGATTTCAGAACCCAGCCGGCCGCGCCCAGGGAATCGCGTGGGTCGAGGAGTTCCTCGCCCGAGTGGAAGGCCACGTTCTACAGACAACCGGCACAAATGCCAACATGACTCTAGACACGAACCCAGTGACGTTTCCGGTGGACCAAAATCTCTACTTTGACTTCACACATGATGCCGACGTCTTCGCGACCCTTACGGCATTCGGATTCAGACAATTCGCCCAGTTTTTGCCTCCAACGGGCCCGCCAAAGAACCAGCAGTTTTCCACCAGCAAGGTTGTTCCTTTTGCTGGCCGTACAAACATTGAGATTATAAGGGCGCCTCATAAGGTATCAACTCAGCGATCCCGAAACGAAACTCACAGTGTCTATGTGAAAGACACGAAAGACACGTATTATATTCATTTCCTTCAAAATCAGCGAACACTTCCTCTCCATGCCAGCTTCCCGGAGTGTGCATATCGAGATGACGGATGGTGTGAGCTCGACACGTTCTTGAAGGTACAAAGAAAGAGCTTGGAGCGGTCCCAGTTTGAGTATGCGTGCTTCGGAAACTGGAGTACTCCAGCCTATGGGGACGTTACAGACGGAGTGCCTCCGCGGGGCTAAGAATGTCTTTCATTGATTTTTCATGTTATATACTGTATGACAAAAAGGTATATAGAGATATAAAGGAAGATCAGGGGGGAAGAATACATGCAGGTAGAAAGAAAAGTTGAATCTCTTGTGAGGTGAGGCGGGTTGTTGATATAAGCAGAATTACAAATGGGAAGCCATAACAAAGAGATTTTAACATGTGTTAGGGAAATCAGGATCAGATTTTACACAGTTAAAGTTCTATTTAAGAATAATTTTGCAAAGCGGATGGAGTTCATATTGCTCTAATCGATTCTTTCCTTTGAGTAAGGTAGAACACGAGTCCAATATTTCAGGACTTCGAAATTCCTGTTCATTTTACTACTAGGGTATCCACCAATAGCCAAGCTATTAATGATTATGCATACCAATTCATTAAACGGTGCTTAACAGCTCTATGTAAAATTATGATAATTATAGAAGAAGCAGTTGATTGGCTGTGGCCTCGTATTAGACCGAAAACTGGTTGCCTGCCATCGTCATAATCGAGACCTTCACAATTCACGACGACATTGAAACTGAACTCAAGACAAGACAGTAGATAGCCGCTCAACACAAGCATGGAATATTCCTTTCAGTCGGCACGTATCCAGACAGGTGTTTCGTCACACCCTTCATTTTCCATATCAGCGCCCATTTCTAGAGTTCGGATAGAGCAGCATCGGATCAAACGACCTCATACAAAATCGCGTCATGGGTGCTTCAACTGCAAGGCCCGAAGAGTCAAAGTAACTAATACCTACCTCAATGTATTGGGAAACTGCGGGACTGACAGACCTACCAGTGTCAAGAAACGCAGCCTCACCCCTGTGCCAACTGCATCGGCCGGAACATGCCGTGTATATATCCTTCAAATGAACTGTCGCTACGTCGTCGACATGCCAGTCCGCAAGGTGGCCGCCATAGACAACTGCTACCAAGGAGCCATGAATCTTCGTCAAGCTACACTATAACACCATCATCTTCAACAGAGTCAGCAGTGGCATTAAGCTCACAGCACCGTGTACTGCCTCATACCTTCACTGCGGACGACTTACGGTCCTTTCACCACTTCTTGATAGCAGCATATCCGTATCTCCCTTTTGGGAGTGAGGAACTATGGAAGACGAGTCTCCCGGCCTCTGCGCACAAGGTTCGCTTCCCACCAGAGGCCTATTTCTGTAATACAAAGCGGAGTGAGTTCTAACACGTACAGTGTCCCCACCTAATGCATGCAATACTATGTCTAGGAGCCACCCATCTGTCCCTAGTCATACCCGATGGAAGTAGATATAAAACGCTAGCCGTCACACACCAAGGCCAAGCCCTGAGAATGCTCGGCAACGAGCTATCCAAAGGCGACCAATGCAGCAAAACCGAGCTGGACATAATGCTAGCCACAGTATATGCGCTCACATTCCAAGCCCACTATATGGCAGACGGGCTAGTCGACTTCGCCATCATGGTCCGAGGCTGCAGCATCATAACCCGGCGGATCCTGAACAAACACAAAGGAAGCGACATGTTTAAGTTGCTCACATCAGATGCCATCCTTACTAACACTCTACCGCGCATTCCTCCCACGCCATACACCGACACCGAGAATCTCAATACATCAATCGAAACCATACAAAGCATCGAGCCATTGTTGGCGTGTGAAAGCCACCGCAATGCCTACACAGCGCTGTTCAACACGTACAACGCATTGAAGCGCTCGGCGCGCGATGGCTTCGTCGCTTTTACGGACTTCTATGATGACTGGGGGCGAATGAGTAACCGGGAGTTTATGGAATTCCTCGATCCCAGGAATTATGTCTCGCGTCTTCTGTTTGTCCATTTTGTGGTCGCTTCCATTATGCTGCGGCCGGTGCTGCGGGCTCTGAAGGAACCGAGGCTGTTGATGTTCCCGAAGGAGGAACTGCCGCTACTGCAGAGGGGTCTTGATATCTATGAGGGCTTGCCTTCTGGGGTACGTGGGTTGGTGGAGTGGCAGGTTAACTTTATCACCTTAGATAAAGCTTTGCTTGAAAGTTCGAGCTCGAGGTCTGAGGAGGAAACATCTGCATTAAGTACGGTATAGAATGTGACTTAGATGAATTCACCTTGAAATCCATGCCATTGGAAAGAATATAGCACAGAAAAAACTCAAGCAAAGGAGGGAAAAAAAATCTAGCAAAACAGCAACCACTCTAAAGCTATCAAAATCCCAAACAAACATGACACAATCTAACAACATCACCACCGTCTACACCCACAGCTACTTCGACCTCGCCCCAAGTCCAGCAGGAAGCCACCTAGCGGGATGATACCACCCCAGAATCATCATGGCCATCAACATCGGCACGGCCTCGAGGACATACAACGGCCACTCATGCGTCCAGGTATATGTATCCATACCCATCGAGAACTCAATAACGCGATAGATCAGTCGAATCTAGCGCGCAAGAGACACTGTTAGCAACCAACAAACAATAGCGAAGAAAAATGAAAAAAAGAAGTATACGAACCGTAATAAAAAACCCAGCCTCATAAATCCCATTCAAAACCGACCTCACCCCAGACTCAACCTCCCCGCATCCCCTAGCCCTAGGAGACCACTTATCGAACCAAACCACGACAACCAGAAAAAACGCAAATGTAACCAGCTGCAACACCAGCCCGGCAATAAGAACACCAACACCAACGTCCTTTTCCTTCCCCGCCCAATCATTCGACGAAGCAATCCCGCTGCCCGCCGCCTGAGTCAGAAAACTGATAACATCCGACGTGACAAAGACCCGGGGGATCCAAGACGGCGAGAACCTCCCGAACAGCAGTACCGGGTCCTTCGTCTCGGTGTCTGGGCTGGGGGCAGCACGACCGCCGGACCGGATCAAGCGCCCGATGAGGATGTAGAGGCTGGCGCAGACGAGGACAGGGGCGATCACGATGAGGGTCGCGGAGGTGGCGTAAAGGCCGATGTTGTCTGGTTGTTTTACGCTGGCGGCTCGGATGGCGTAGGCGGCTACTTCTGTTGCGGCGCCGATGGCGATGGGGATGAAGTAACTTGTTTGCGGGTGGCGGCCTGTGTAGGGGGCGATGAGGGAGAGGTAGGTGTGGTAGAGTAAGGGGAGGGTGTAGAGGATTGTGAAGAGGATTGAGGCGGCGAGGGATGGGTTGTAGAAGTAGATTGAGTCGCCCATTTTGGGGTTGACTGGGATTTCGTCAAGGAGGTTTTGTATTAGGTGGTAGAAAAGATGTTGTTATTCACGCTCAATTTCTGAAGTACTGAAAGCTCACTCTCGCAGCCTGCGAAGTCTTTTATATCCTATTTCTATACTAGTATACAAGATATTCATACATCTAAACCCATACCCAACCAACCAATGATATCGCAACAAACCCCAAGCTTCACGATAGGTGGATCTCGTATTCGCACCTCGCATTTTCCTCGTTCTAAGCCTTACCGGGCCCAATCAAGCATTCTAATAGGTTCGTTACATCGTTGCCTGAACCTATCTGTCAAATATATCAGCCAAGAATCCACAGAGAAGAATTGATGAATGGGTAAGCAAATCGCTGGACCACGCTACTCAGTGACCAGGCCACGACGATAAATAAGCTCTCGGTGCGAGCGCGTGTGGAACGAATCCGAGTCTTGGCGAGATTACCGTATTTAGTAAAGGGGATTTCAAGGCCTGGAACATATAAGGCGTAGATTGAGAGGCTATGCTGAGGTCGTTGTGACTGGGTTTTGTCGGTCTTGATGCCATCCGTGGCAGTGTTCCGGGTTAGGGTTATGGTTTAGTTTGGGTGGTTTGTTCGATGGAATAGGAAATCATAATGGTGGTTAAACATTCAAATGCGTGCAGTATCTATAGGTGGGTTTATATAGTATGGAAGATTTGTTTGTGGATTGCTGCTCTCTAATGATGGCTGTTAAGGGCTTTCTTGGACGATATTATATGGCTTGAGGAGTTGACTGGCAAGTTTTATCAAACATGGTAGTAGAATACTCGAGTGCCTGTTGACTGGACTGTTCAAAATTGTGCCTCTTGGGGGTCAGATTGCGATATATCAGGCAAGTGAATCTAGATCATAGAGCCAAATGAGTAATGCAGGCTCCTTTCAATTTGTTCATCACACAATACACTGCCCTATGGAGACATGGTGGTCTATGCAGTGCCACAAATATAGAGACAACCCCTTCACTGCGAGTGTGTCAACGTATTGCCGAATGAATCTCAAAAACAGCGAAATTTATCAGGGAATAAAGAGCTTGATTACTTGCTGAAGGCCCATGGAAGAAAGACCAGAAGGATTATGTCTACCATGTAGAACACGAGGCTATCTAGGAAATCCAAATCAATTCAACAACCCGCCAAGGATCGACGAGATCAACCATACAACGCAGGACTGTGAAAGTAAGCAACAAGAGCATCCCTGGTAAGATTGGTTGCTTGATAAAAGAATATTTAAGTTAGATGGTACTTATATATAAGATGTAGGGTTAAATCTACCCCAACTTTAAATCGTGAGCCTGAAGTTCACCTTGAAACCCCACATTGTTAGCAATTTGGGGGCTAAATGCGAGTATACATACCGTCATTTAGTACTATCTGCACTTGAGCCATGCTTGCGACCGAGACTACTCATTAGATTAAGCAATAAATCACATTATGTCGTATTTTCCGAGCAGAACTCACTGGCAGATTTGAAGCAGGGCTCATGAGGGTAGAAGTTATTGAGCACAGAAATGCAGAGTGTTGATCGTTTCATTTACTAAAATCTGACCGAGCACAGCCTCGTCAAGGGATACGATATTTCTCCGCTGCGTTCCCCTCATTTTATGCCATCTCTCATACGCCTCGGTCGCTTCAAGCAACACCATGAAGCAAGATGATGAATCCCATAAAATGATCGCTTCGCCGCACAGGGACGAAACGCTCGGCCATAGCGACAAAGAAAGCGAGTCGCAATTCCCCTTGAAAGTCCGCAGATCCTTTCGAACGCGAATAACCGACTGGTATTCAGGATGGAGATTCACGCTTGCATTGGCGTCATTTGCGAGCGTCATCGTCCTGGCATTCAATCTCGGTTTTGTCATCTGGGCTGCTGTGCACCGTAAGGTGGAGGGGAATCGGGGGACTCTGCACGAGGGAAATTGTGAGAAGGTGCAACATATGAGTACGGGTCTCCATTTCGCCATCAATATCCTCAGTACGAGTCTATTGGGTGCAAGCAATTACTGCATGGTTCGTTGGGGTCTTATCTCATCTCCCTGCACGACTTGGTTCACTGACTATCTATACAGCAATGCTTATCGGCACCGACCAGGAAAGATATAGACCGTGCTCACGGTAAGGGTAGATGGGTCGACATAGGTGTGCCCAGTATCCGAAATCTACGACAGGTATCTAAAAGGCGGGCTGTTTTGTGGGCCTGCTTGGTTCTGTCATCTCTGCCACTCCATCTAGTGTAGGCTGCCGTCGCCGACTATTCTGTCAATCCTCAAAGCACTGATACACATCCCAGGTACAACTCTACCATCTTCGCCATTACCTCGGCCAATTCCTACCGGGTGTTTATTGGACCAGAGGGCTTCGACAAACTGGATGTCCAGAATATCACTCTCCACGATGGAGACCCTGCGAGTGACGTCTTACTCCGGCTACATGCCGAAGCGCAGAATGGGACCCTTCAGCGCCTCGATATATCTCAGTGTGTGAATGCGTATGCGACGGACTTCCAGACTTCCTATGGGAGTTTGATAGTTGTGACAAATGATACTGATCAAGCAGTCCAATACCACTCAGTCCAACATCAGGCCACTTTTATGCCGGTGGAGAATCTCGGAGCTAAAGCTTCTGACCCGTATCAGTGGATTTGTTCATCACAACGACAGGCAAAAGATCGTACTTGTGGCCAACTTCTTTCAGACGTAAAGGACCAAGTTTCCAAGAACAATTGGTACGTGTATGGCTACCAAGTCGGATACTGTCTTGCCGAGCGCCCACCGCAACGTTGTAAGCTAGAATACAGCCTCCCATTAGCGATTATCGTGGTTGTATTCAACTTGGTGAAGGCAATCATCATTGGATATACAGCTGCCAATGTGACGACGAAACCTATCTTGACAACAGGAGATGCAGTCGCGTCTTTCATACAGAGACCCGACGATTTTACACGGGGCCACTGTCTCCTCACCAGTGAATCTGTGAAGAAGCGGACCCACCGACCAAGTTACAAGTCGTCGACCTTCAACAGCACGCCAAAGCGATGGCACGCCGCAGTCTCAAGCAAGCGTTACCTCCTTGGACTTGTCTCGTGGGTGTTTCCCTGTACATCTTTGCATCTCTCGTTATTGTGCTGACCCAAAGGATCCAGATATACCCTCACCATCGCCATCGTCATCTCCCTTTGTGTCTTCGGAGTTTCGACTATAAGGGATAAATCGAGCACCTGGACGATGGGCCTCGGCGCCGTCAACGCCCAAACCCTAATCACCGGGACCAATTGGGTAACATCACTCATATCCAACGCCCTTATCGCCAATACGCCCCAACTACTCTTCTCCATGATCTACTTCACCTTCAACGCCATCTTCACCGCCATGACTCTTGCAGCGGAATGGAGCCGATACGCCAACCACCGCAAGGGCCTGCGTGTCTCCGGTACCCCCGAAAACGCCCAACGCAGCAGCTACTTCCTCTCCTTCCCCTACCGCTTCGCGGTCCCGGCGTTGGCCTTCTCCGCCATTCTCCACTGGCTCATCTCACAGAGTCTGTTCCTGGTCGGGATCGAGTCGTACACCGAGAAATTACAACGGGACCCCACGCGGGACGTTATGACGTGCGGATACTCTCCTCCGGCTATGGCGAGTGCGATCGTTGTGGGGACAGTGATGATGGCCTGGCTGGTCGGGTTCAGCTTTCGGCGGTTGGAGTCTGGGATGCCCGTGGCGGGGAGTTGTAGCCTGGCTATTGCGGCGGCTTGTCATCCTACGTTGAGTCTGAAGGGGGGCGAGTATGTGGAGGAGGAGGGGAAGTGGGGAGTGGAGCAGATGAAGGTGCAGTGGGGAGTTACCTACGTCGATTCGGATGGGGAAGGACATTGTAGTTTCTCGAGTGGGGAAGTGGGAGTACCGGAGGATGGGAAAGTCTACCGGTGATGCTTGGACTTGATATGAATTAATTTATTTATATGACATTATGAACTATAAATGTACTAAATGAGCGATTTTCGTCCATACCGTTGTTCTCGTATTCAATGGCCCCATGTCTCGAAGCCATGTCGGAGGACCACATCAGAGTTATTCTTGTGCCGCTCCGTTCATACATTCTATGCATGAAAACAAAGATCTGAAACATATTTCTAACGGTCATGAACCCCATTGTTTTTGGGTTCAACTGCTGCCAGGGCAATGTGTGCCGAGATGTAGCACTATATATGTCTCATGGCTAAGCGGTAAGATGATGTTCAACAAGAACATGTTCAATTTTTTATGAGTCCACGTCCATTGGCTTGCAGATTGCAAGAATATTTACCCAAGTTAAGAATTGTCAAATACAATGTCGACTTTTGGTTATGGGGCTTTCGGTTGTTCGTTTTTAATTCGGGTTGACCACTTGATTGATTTTTATTTTTATTTTTATTTTTATTTTTTTGAAGGGTAAAAGAGATACTTTCGCACCAGCTTACCTAGGTTAATGACAAGTATAGTAAAAATGATGAATTCGGACACAGTGAACCAAGAAAATCAGGAGGTAGCACTGAGGCGCAATAGTCCAACCTAATATGGTCGGGATAAAAAGTCCACCGACGGTCACCGTTGTAACCCGGCGGCAGATGAAACGACCACGAGAAGCCGGTAGCCAGCAACAGCAACTGTCAAGTCAGTGACACATTCCCCCAGCGATATCCCTTGCGTGACGGATCAAGAGGTTCATCGAAGATCAGGAACCATGTGAGGACGATCCGTGGATCCTGACAGTGTTAAGGTTACTCGACAGGCACGAGCCAAAAATAAATCCAAGACAACCTGATCCTTGATATAGTACACTACCGATGCAACTGTTCAGAATCGAAGGGCGCTAGAGACTTGGGGGTGTAGATTTAGTATAATTTCCGCACTGCCCCCGCTTCGCGGTTGATTTCATTTGCCCGACGCTTGTGATGGGGTCGGTGCTTTTTGGTGTTTTTCTAATTTCCCTCGGCTCAGCGTTGTGGAGCCACGGGATTCTTGGGAAATAAATAGTTGGATAGGATGGGTCATTGTGACATGGCCAACGTCGACGCTTCCGGTACCGCGACGCATGCGGTTGGTTGTAACCCAAGCACTTGGCGGAGAGTCTGAGCATTCCTGGGATCGGAGCTTGATGTCGGTGGAATGGTGATCATGAATGAATGAATAGGATTCTGAGTATGAGATGAGGTAAGGGGAGTGGAGATCTTCGTTCTGCTTAGACTTCCCTCTTCCCGGTTTCCGTTCGATTGGGTTCTGAAGGGATCATCCATGATCGATATGTATGTACCTGTATGTGTAGAACGTACAGTCGACGGAAGGGAAACATCTCCAGATTGGTGAGAGGATTCTGGGGTAATGATTACCTGTTAGTGTTGTAGAATCAGAAGAAAAAGCCAAAAGCATTGATTTTGGCGTCCTCAGGCCGCAAGCGGAATAGCCCGGTGGAGTGATTTTTTTTGGCTGGACTCTTTTTCCCTTTCCTTCTGGACCCTCTGTTACTCAACCTCCAGAAGTCACTGGCCCTTTTCCCTTTCCTCACGCGTTGCCTTTTTCCCTCGCTCTTCCATTCCTTCCTCCTTCTCCTCCTCCACTTTTCTTCATACCGCACCCTCGTTTCTTCATTGATCCGCCCTCTCACGACCACGTACGCTCCGGGAGGTGACTTCGTAGTACTATAACTCCTGTGTCTCTCGTTCTCTCATCCTCGAACCCTTCCGAACTCCCCGCTCTCGCTTCCTTCGACTTTCGCTTCTTTCCTATATAGATATGGTGGGCCGCCTGTTCCTGTGAGGTCTGCGTCTACTCCGACGGTCTCCACTACAATTCTACTACTCCTCACCATGGCACATTGGTCGTTGGCCTGGACGGCCAATGTCCCGTCGACATCGCGACTCTTTCATCTCCTCCTGATCACCCTCGTTCTTTCGCTTTCCGTTCGTGCCGACGATGACACCACTCTGATACCTACCGCCGCATCGGATAGCTTCCCTTCGTGCGCTTTGAGCTGCTCCATCCTCCAACAAGCGCAGACGGGCTGTGTACCTCCGACGGCCCAAAAAACCGACCGCTCGACCTATGTCTCTTGCTTTTGCCAATCGTCATTGATCACCCAGCTGCATAACTCCGCGGACGGAACATGCTCCGACACCTGCACCAACGCAGACGACCGCAAGAAATTACAGACATGGTATAGCGACTTTTGCGCGTCTGGCGGCCAAAACAAGGGTACTGCTGCATCAGAAAGCACTGCCGCGGCGTCAACGTCCACGTCCACGTCCACGTCTACCACCAAATCACAAAATTCCTATCCCGCCCCTAAATCCTGGTATGTACCTGGCGGAGTGTATTTTCCGCGCCCGTTGTCACTCCCCTGCTGACCTTTCTAGGTGGTCGACACATTACCAATGGGTTATCATGGTAATTGTCCTAGCCGTTGGATTCACGGCAATCGCGGTCGTGGGAGTGTGGCTTAAGCGCCGTCACGATGCGAAATACCCCAACCTCTACCACGCAGGCAGTGGCAGCAACAGCGGTAGCAACAGTGGGCTCCTCTATAGTCGCGGTCAAAACGCCAGTCCCGGCCCGAAACATCCGGGCCAATTCATGCCGGCTCCAAGCCCCATCAACCATGATGAATATGCTAACACAGATTCCGTGGCCAGCAGCTCTCGCACCGAAGTTGCCGTTCCTGGACCTCGTCCATCACGTCTTCAAAGGACCCCGCCGTCCGCGGACGTAGGCGACATTGAAACTCGCGAAGTAACACGGTGATGCTTGGGTCTACCCAGTTTTGCCATATCCACTCTTTCCCAAGCAGAGCGTACTCGAACACAGCATCTAGTGAATTTTTCAATAGGGCGGTTGTATAGACAAAAACTCTCGGGCCCGATGTAATACCTCCAATCTGTCTATTCCAACGTTGTGTGATCGATGCTCGCGCCTGCTAATCTCGCATATGTATCCGGCGTTTTGCGTGCTCGGCTGGCTTTTCCTTTGCTTCCTTTCTTTCCACTACCTGGACCAATCTCGTACAAATTTTCCGTACATGATACCATATGAGGTGTACATGTCTTCTGAACTGCGTTGCATAGCTGTGGCAGAACATAGTAATCTTTTCCTCTGTGGAGGCTGGGTCGTCTTTCTTCGTCGCTTATATTTGCCTGGACATGTCTTTCCTTTCTTCATGATATCTCCTCGTCTCACCCAGCATGAGATCAATGAATTGCTTGCCTGGATGTGGCATGTTGCCGACTGACTGTGTAAATTAGGTATATGGGCCTGCAGTACAGGACCTTAATGTAATTGTGCTAGCTCATGAACATATCTTACATGGTTCAAACAACCGGTCTCATAAGTATATCTGAGATATATAATTTCTTGAAACAGAAAGAAAACAATAGTGCGCTACCATGGCAAAGCATCAAAACTCCCAAAATCAAGACACAGTGATACTCACAATCTTGATATCCTGCTCAGGCTTCTCCTTAAACGTCTTCGTATTCTCGATCTTATGCACGACATCTAACCCCTGCACGGCTCGCCCGAAAACAGTATGCTTGTTATCCAGCCACGGCGTCTTCTCCGTCGTAATAAAGAACTGACTCCCATTGGTATTCGGGCCAGCATTAGCCATGGACAAAGTATACGGCTTATCGTGCTTCAAACTGGAGAACTCGTCCTCGAACTCGCCGCCCCAGATCGACTCGCCGCCAGTCCCGTCGCCCAACGGGTCTCCACCCTGGATCATGAACTTGCGGATCACACGGTGGAAAATGGTATTATTATAGTAACCGTTGCGGGAATGGGTGACGAAGTTCTCGACGGCCTTGGGCGCAGCGGACGGGAACAGTCGGAGATGGATATCGCCCATGGTGGTGTGCAGGATGGCGGAGGTGCCGAGCTCGTTTGCTTTCTTCTCGGCGGATTCCCGGCCGGTGGTTGTCTGGGTGGGTTTCTCGTTCTGGATGTCGCGAGAGGATTTGGAGATCTCGGTTTCGTTGGTGAAGAGATAGAAGCGCACTTTGGCGAAGCCTGTGCTGACGAGGATGGGGTCGCGCTCTTCGGCTTCTTGCAGGAGGGGGTTAGAGCTTGCGGCCATGGAGACTGTTACGAGACCTTTCTTTTGCGGTTGGCCTTGGTACATCGCTAGGTTGAGAGAGCGGAAGGGCTCGTCTTTGCCGTAGACGCGCACGACGCGGTTGGTATAGGTGTTTATGCATTTTGTGCCGTAGAGGGAGCCGTAAAGGATGAAGTGGCCGGATTCGTCGAAGATGACGTTGATTTTGGGTTGGGTGATGGGGTTTTCGAGCTCACGTTCGACAGCGAGGCGGCGGCCGAATTCGAGCTCGTCCAGTTGGTGGATTGCTGTGCCGGCCTGTTGCATATCGGTTATTGTGGAGAGGGATTCGTCGTATTTGCGGTAGAGCTTGCCTGTGGCGAAGTCGAAGACTCGGACCTGGCGATCTGGGAAGGAGAAGGCGGCGAATTGTTCGCCGGAGGGGGAGATTGTTATGGATGTTGGGGTGGATTTGGACTTTTTGAATTCGAAGAGGTTGGTGGATGACTTTAGTTCGAAGACGTTGTCGGGCTTTTCGAAGGAGAAATCCCCCGCGCGCCAGTACTCGATCATGCCAGACTCGTCGGCGGAGACGACGCAGTCGTACGCATCGTTGAAGGCGATTGCAGCTACCGGGTTCCGGTGGATGGACTTCACGGTGTGGAGGGGGTTGGGGTTCTCGCCACGGCCGTCGAATATTTGGATCGTACTGCTGCCTTCGTCGGTCACTGCCAGCAGTGGTAATGAGGCGCCTCGGCGATGGACCCAGCAGACACATCGGGGGGTGAACTCGAGCGTGAGCATGGAGAGCAAGTCTGCACCCAGTAGTTAGTTCGCTGTAGCTACCGTCGGATACTCGGTCGGTGTTGACGTACCGAATGTAATGACATCAAACAGCTTCACTGTCTTGTCGGCCCCAATTGTCGCAAAGCTCCTACCGTCCGCGCTGACACTGACGCCCCTCACTTCGCCATTATGGGCACGGAACTCCTTCACGAACTCAACACTAACCGCCATCTTCTTCCAGAACTTCACAAAACCATCAATAGACGACGTAATGAGAAAGTCCGTGTGCGGTGTTATTGTCACAAAGGACAATTGATCCTTGTGCATGAGCGACTTGGAGTACCGCGGCGATGCGGGCAGCGCATTCACGTAGACTTTCTCGAAGGGGAGCTTGCGCCGCTTCTTCTTCGGCGCATCTGCGGACGGGAGAGCTGGACCGAAGTCATCGTCGGAGGAAGAGTCGTCACCTGGAGTCAGTTACGATTAGTATCTTGTACTCGTTGGGTTCTCAATTCGAGGGTGAGCGCACCGTCATCCTCATTGCCGTCCACCGCAGAGTGCGGTCTTTTATTGGATAAAGGCTGCGACTTCTCGTCTTCTGCCGCCATTCCGAGAGAATTAAATATGAATTGAGAGAGTTGTGGAAAGGAATGGGAGGGAATGCTGGTTGGAGGAGGGAAGCAGTTGCAGGCGGTCTGCGGCAGCTTTTAAGCTCGGGCCACATCGCGAACTTTTCTGGACGTCCCGCAGTATTCGATCATTATTGAACTGTCCGCCAAATTTCCCCCCCATCCACTTCCCCTGAACGTGCTGCCAGTCTCCCCCTTGACGGTAGCCTTCTTTCACATTAATTACTATCCATAATGGTCAGTTAATCATGCGGTCACTTTTCAATTTTTAATTTTTGATTCTCTCTCATGCTGACCGCTCCTAGGCGTCTGCCAATCCTACGCAGATCTTTGCGGACGATGTCATCGAAGAGAAGGGAGAGAATGCCCGTCTCTCCGCCTTCGTTGGCGCCATCGCCGTCGGTGACCTAGTGAAGAGCACTTTGGGTCCTAAGGGAATGGACAAGATCCTCCAGTCAGCGTACGTGGGACTGGATTCGGAGATGCGGGGCTGTTATGGTGGGCATGTCACTAATAGCTATCCAGGTCGACCGGTGAGATCCTCGTGACAAATGACGGTGCTACGATCCTGAAGGCCATCGCTCTCGATAACGCTGCAGCCAAGGTTTTGGTCAACATCTCGAAAGTCCAGGATGACGAAGTTGGTGATGGCACAACGTCCGTGACCGTGTTGGCGGCCGAGCTGCTGCGTGAGGCTGAGAAGTTGGTGAACCGCAAAATCCACCCCCAGACTATCATCGAAGGTTACCGGATAGCCAGCCGGGCTGCCCTTGACGCCCTCGAGAAGGCTGCTGTCGACCGTAGTGCCGACATGGAGTCTTTCCGTAAAGACCTCCACGCCATCGCTCGTACCACCCTCAGCTCCAAGGTTCTGGCCCAGGATCGTGAACACTTCGCTACCCTCGCCTGCGACGCCGTCCTCCGCCTCAAGGGCTCCACCGACCTGAGCCACATCCAGATCATCAAGAAGGCCGGTGGAAAGCTTAGTGATTCCTACTTGGACGAGGGTTTCATTCTTGACAAGAAGATGGGTGTCAACCAGCCCAAGCGCCTGGAGAACGTCAACATTTTGGTCGCCAACACAGCCATGGACACGGATAAGGTTAAGATTTTCGGTGCCCGGGTCAAGGTCGAGTCGACCGGCAAACTGGCGGAGCTGGAGAAGGCAGAGCGTGAGAAGATGAAGGCTAAGGTTGACCGCATCAAGGCACATGGTATCAACTGTTTCGTCAACCGTCAGTTGATCTACAACTGGCCCGAACAGCTGTTCACCGAGGCCGGCATTATGTCCATCGAACACGCAGACTTTGACGGTGTGGAGCGTCTGGCTCTGGTCACTGGTGGTGAGATTGCATCGACCTTCGACCACCCCGAGCAGGTTAAGCTGGGTCACTGCGACGTTATTGAGGAGGTTATCATCGGCGAAGATACTCTAATTAAGTTCTCCGGCGTGGCTGCCGGTCAGGCATGCACCATTGTGCTCCGTGGTGCTACAGAGCAGCTGCTTGACGAGGCTGAGCGCTCTCTTCACGACGCCCTCGCCGTGCTTTCTCAGACTGTGAAGGACCCCCGTGTCACCCTGGGTGGTGGTTGCGCAGAGATGGTCATGTCCAAGGCTGTTGAGCAAGCCGCTCAGAACACCACGGGCAAGAAGCAGCTGGCTGTTGACTCTTTCGCACTTGCTCTCAAGCAACTGCCCACTATCCTGGCCGACAATGCCGGTCTGGACTCCAGTGACCTCGTGACCCGACTACGACAGGCCATCAACAACGGTATGACCAGCTCTGGTCTTGACTTGCTCACCCCCGGTGGCGGTATTGCCGACATGCGGGAGTTGGGTGTTGTGGAGAGTTACAAGCTGAAGAAGGCCGTGGTTTCCTCCGCATCGGAGGCATCAGAGGTAAGGAATTCCATCAGGCCCCTTGTTTGGTAACGACGCAGCTAACCTTGACCCTTTGTAGCTTCTTCTGCGCGTTGACAACATCATCCGGTCCGCTCCCCGTCGACGTGAGCGTATGTAAGGTGGTAAGATGATTTCTTCTTGATGGCGCGATATGGACTGGAAACAAGTTTGTTTGGATTCAAGCGAAACGGAGAGCAGCCACCACCGTGAGCTGTACTGGATAAATGTTGATAACGTGCTCTAATCAGAGCGTAATAACCGTGACATAGACCCATTGATTGATTGACATGAAACAAAAACATTGACGAACTTGTTTGTTATTCTATTATGGAAATTCGTAAGCTACACCACGCAATGTTATTTATCGAGTGCATCCGGCAGTTTCTCTTAGCTTATCGCAAGCCGGGGTTATACTCACAAAAATGTCCGACCGCTGAATGGGGAGGCAAGGCTTTGACTGGAGGATCTTTATCCCTGCTAGGCCTTTCCTTTGTTCACCCCATAGTAGTGGTATTTATAGGATACCTATTCCCTATCCACTTGCCCTTATGTATCCTGCCTACGGCCCTTTCCACATCCAACTTTGTGTGCTCTGACCCATCGCTGCCTTTTCCTATTTTTTGTTCGTCGATACTTGGAGCCTTCTCAACCTTCCCCTTCGCTCCCTGTTGGTTAGGTTAAATCGCGAGAGAAAGGCTAGAATCGGATATGGAGAGCCCAAAGATCGAGTGGAAATGGCTCGCAAGCCGCATAATTCTGCCGATGGCATTACTCTACCTAGCTTCCTTCTTCTACACCTTGGTGAAGGTACGACTGTGCTTCTACCGCCTTAAGAAGAAGGGAATGGTACGGTACACTCCTAATCCAAGTCTCCACCACTCAAACAAGGACCCGTTCATCTAACAATCCGTCTCTTTTAGCCCATGCTCCCCTGGAATCCTGTCCTTGGAAATCTCCCGGTCCTTGCGAGGTTCATGAGAAAGGTCCCGAAAGATGCTCAAGAGGCAATGTCATTTGCACTGCTCGCCTCCGAATCCGGACTAGATACATGCTTTTACATGGACACCTGGCCATTTGGCTTCTCAACCCTGGTTGTAACCTCCCCAGATCTCGCTGTCCAGACCTGTCAAACTTATGACCTTGTCAAGCCAGACGCCCTGGCCGCATTCATAACTCCAATGACTGGGGGACCAACACTTTTTGACCGGAATGGCGCAGAATGGAAACGTGGACGAGAACTCTTTAGCCATGGCTTTAGCATGCGGTCCGTCATGGGCTATGTTCCGTATATTCTCCAAGAGGTGGAGGTGTACGTTGATGTCCTCCGAGACCTAGCCAAGACAGGCGATACATTTCTCTTAGACGAGATCACCTGTAGATACGTGATGGATATCATCGGAAATGTCGCAATGTAAGACGCTCGCCTGCGGTTCAGCCCTCATTGCATCAATTAATACGTTCATCAGGAACACGCGGTTTATCAGCCAGCGAAAATTCCATCCAATCGCAGCTGCGATGCGGGATACGATAGACCGGGAGTGTCAAATTGAAACAGGAAATCACTTCAGTCGTGTGAATCCTGTGCGCCTATTCAAGCAGTGGTATAACGGACGGACGATGAATCATTATATTGGAATTGAACTCGAGAAGCGGTATCAGGTATGGAAACAACAAGGTGCAACAAGCTCGTCTACGTCCAAATCTATCATGGATCTCGTCATCGCAGAGTACATGAAGACAAGACAAGTAGCAGAGTCAACGCTCGATCCCAAATTCAAGGCCTGGGCCACTATGCAGATCCGGCTGTTCCTCTTTGTCGGACATGACTCCACCGCCGTGACCATCATGTACTGCCTTTACCTCCTATCCAAACACCCAGCAGCCTTAGCCAAGATTCGCGCAGAACATGACAAGATTTTCGGCACGGACCTTTCCAACGCTCCCAACTTACTCCGCCAACGCCCGGAACTAATCAACCAACTCCCATACACATTGGCTGTTGTCAAAGAAACCCTCCGCCTCTTCCCACCCGCAAATGGTCTCCGGGACGGTCGTTCTAACGTCTCCCTCCGTGATCACCAAACCGGTACCACCTACCCAACGGCGGGATTTGCAATATGGATTGTCCACAGTGCTATTCACCGTAGCGCTCATACCTGGCCAGATCCACACGCCTTTATTCCTGACCGTTGGCTCGTTGAGCCCGGTCATCCCTTATACCCACCGCCAGGGGCTTGGAGGCCATTCGAGCATGGATCCCGAGACTGCATCGGGCAGACGCTCGCCCTCCTCGACATTCGAGTCACGCTCCTTATGACCGTTCGTGAGTTCGATTTCAAAGACCAATATGCGAAGTGGGATCAGCGGCATCCGGCTCATGGGTTGAATACTATTTTTGGGGAGCGTGCTTATATGATTCAGGCAGGCTCGGGTCGGCCAGCTCAGGGGTTACCTTGTCAGGTGTCTTTTAATAGGGGATTACAACCAGAGACTGGCAAGGGAACTGAATACCAGTCAGAGTAGCCGATGTGCTCAGTAAATAATCCGTAAGTACTCCGTAGGTCTCCCGGAGCCCACACGGAGTACTTATATACTGTCGCTATAGAAGTGACAGCCTCTGTATAAAGCAATCCGATGAGGGTGGTACCAAATAAAATTAAATTATACATTAGCTCTAATGCAAAAACTCTTAATAAAGCCTTCCCCTAGTTTAGTAAGTATGGCCCTGCTATGTGGGGTACTAATAGAACTTCAGATTGCCACTTTCAACCAAATTCACGAGCATTTTCGGCCATGCTGCATTGGTTTTTAATTATACCTGGTAGTAGTCGACGTATGACTGACTAGCCATAAGACCCAATCCCGCAATAATGATTATATATGCTGCTCACCATGTAAGCCTTACTCGCCACCTAAAAATAGAAACAACTATTGTCCAGTCATGCCACTCTTCTACGCTATCATATAACCGGTGTAACCTGGCCCACGACATGCCGCCAATATAAGACCTCATGCAGAGGTATGACATGGCGAACTAGCATAATGCAGCTGGCTACAGACGGACGAATGAGATCACTTGGACGAGGTTAAACGGATGTAGTAATATGGTATTACCCTTCAGGTCGGATAGTTTACTAAGAAACTTAGAATCAGCCTGTCTGCCACGTTGTCGACACTGTCAAACTTTCTCTACCAAGCTTTTGCCAAGGCGATGACAAAACGGGGAGCTGTGGATGATGGCAAAACGGAACAAGTAGACGATTCAGCTCTAGCCAATATGGGCGAAATACTAGGAGTCTTTCCTACTGCTGTGCCAGTGCAGGTTGGTGGAAAGTATGTATTATCTCCCTGAGCCCCTGATGTGTCAAACATGGATGAAAGACTAGTAGATTTCACGTGTATATTTACTGCTGTCATTCTGGAGCCAGCCGATGTCGAGGTTAAGCTGATTCTCAGAACCCTTGATGACGGTGACACGAGCGCCACTGTTTAATAACGCCTGGCTGCTAGAACCAGTCATAGGCATATAAAAGTGATGCGAGTGATGGGGTTGCTCTTTTACCACTTGCCGTACGACGTATTCGATTTCCGGCAACATATAATCCACATATCTCTACGCAGCACCACTGGTATAGGCCATCGTTCGGTTCATAGACACCTACGAATTGTACTCAGACAGACGCCCGCAGTTTCAGCAATTTGGGGTCCGTGAGCCAATAACTTATTAGCATAACACGGATAAACCGTAAGGTTAACTGTGCCAAGTTAGGCACCATCACAGATTAAACTAACATGATCGACGGGAACCGGAGGATCAAAGGATCATTCAGCAGATCGAAGGAATATAAGGTAGTGGTTGGATACTTGGCATAAATGAAACAAAACAGCGCAAAACCCGGACATATAACTCAATCAAGCGTAGTAACGCTGTATGTCATCTGGTAGTCAGACTTGCTTATGTTTGATCTCACCTCATCAAGACACCATCCATCGAATCAGTGGCCCGGGTTATTTTTGGATGTCTCTTCATCTAACAAGATGCATTAGCGGCTATCCTGATGCAGCCCAGTGGGCGGACAAAAGAATTCCTCACAAGGCGTATCGAGCAGTTGGTTAAGCCAGATACTATTATAAAATACTCCCAGGATCGACCTTCAGTTTGAATACAATCAGCAGCAACCCCCGGGCATATTAACCCCGCAAGCTGTTTATTTGGAGAGCAGAATGTAACCGTAATATGGACATTGTGTGCTGTCATTTAGCGCATGGGGCTGGAAGTCAGCACGGAGAATCTCCATTGGACACGATGTGACATCCCGCATGAAATGAGTAAACCGTCAGCACTAACAGGGCTAACAACACGGCTGCAGTTCTGTGATGCTGAGCCTTCTGGCCCCACACCAGGGCTGATTGATTAACCTAATTGATGGACTGATGGAGGTCGTCCTTTTCGTGCAAGAACTGTGCTTTATTACTTTGCGAAACAAGTGATACAAATACGCCTGACCTTGATTAGTACTGTCTGACATACATACAGCTGCAGACTTCACCATGCACCCCTCACCAGAGGCAAACAAATGTGAACAGGGATGTGCAGCCGGGTGATCACTAACGGGCATATTCCAGGACGTCGTCCGCCGCCCGCCACTTCGCAGTTTCTGGAAATGTGTTGTGCAGTCTTCAACCCACCACAGAAACTCTGGCAGAATGGCTCGCAACTCTACCATCGATGAGGTCACATTTGTGGTATGCCTTGAAGCCATGTCCTTATCCAGATTTCTTCGACGGTGCTTTCCCGCTAACTACACCCATAGACCATTCTCTGGGTCTGTCTGACCATCAGCTTCTTCTTCGTCATCGTCCGGCTTGCCCTCCAATACCGCATTGACCGCAAGTGGCACACAAGTGACTTTATGATCCTGGTGGCATGGCTGTTATCGCTGGGCAATGCAATCGCTTGGTCCTCCATGTACAAGCAGATGTACCAAGTGATTTCTCTCTCCAAAAGCTCGACTACTATTGATTTCTCGAAAGTGCCACCTAATATCGCGTGGATGCAAAAGCGGTACCTCAACGGACAGCTCTCTGCCTACCTGCTTTCCTTCACCGGTTTATGGCTGATCAAGCTATCGTTCGTGTTTTTCTTCCGGCAACTGGGAAATCGATATCGTACACAGAAGATCCTCTGGTGGGTAGTGTTGGTACTCGTCATTGCCTGCTATGGGGGAACACTGGGCTGCCTGGACTATAAGTGTGAGATGAGTTCCCTAGAGTATAGTATCGGTCAGTTGCCGTATCCTCCAGCTGCGTGACCGACTCAGACTGCTAACAATGGGATTGGCAGAGGTTTGTGCAAGTGCTGGTGCGATGCACTCCCAAAAGGTGAGGCTGAGTGTGGCTACGACTTTGGACATTGTATCGGACGCAGCCAGTACGTGGAGCCCTTCTTAGCGAACTACGATCGCTCTTAGTTCAAGAATCGCTGACCAAGGTGCACTCTACCAGTCATTGTTCTGTCCGGTAACGTGATGTGGAGGGCTCGAGTGAACCTGACCAGAAAGCTTGCCTTGATTGGAGTTAGCTTCTTGACAGCCTTTATCATCATTATCGCGTTATTACGGCTATTTCTCAGCGAGTCAGATATGAGCATCATAGACCCGATCTGGCTAGGCTTCTGGAATGCGCTTGAAATCTGTGTCGGTGAGTTGACCCCAATAACGCAACGGCTGGTGTGGAATTATCTCATTGTGTCACTAGCCATTCTGGTTGCTTGCCTGGCCTCTTTCTGGACCTTTTATACAAAGTCAAAGAGATCGCCATCACCAAGCGATATCTATAGACGTGATTCCCCTCCGGCCAGAAATTACGCATCCTTCGAGGCGCCAATCTTACTGGGTAGTGATATGAGTGAAAGAGACAAAAATCCGCAATCTGCGGTATCCATCCAAAGTCTGAATTCGAGACAGCCCCCGGATACATACCATGCGACTCAGGTCTGAGAGACAGGATCGTTAACTATGTGCAATTTCCGTTCTGTCGGAGTGTTTGTATAGGGTTTTGCATAGTCAGTAGGTGTAGCAGTAGTAACTTTATAGAAAGGGTGTCTGGAATACTACGATCCTGTAACACGATGCATTGTTTCCGGATATAAGTATGGGCGTAGTTACTTATATACATCCTGCGTCGCGTTACTAGTAATCTGAGAGATGCATTTGTGTCTCAGTCGCGGCCGTCATTGCTTCGCCTACAGAGTACTATTCATCTTGTCGCTCCGTTCCATCAAGGGATTCAAACCTCGTAATTCCTACGACTCAATCAAGCTGGTTCAGTACCATCGCCATCTGGCGTGCTTCTACTATACCAAGTCAGCTGCTGTGCTCTTGCATGGCCAATCTGCAAGCTCATCGGCTATGATAATTGTGAACTGATTGGAGCTGCTGTATTTTCAGGTCTAGGGCTGCTTCTTACTGCTATCGCCGACTATACGGTATTCGTCTGGCCGAAGCCAACACTATCGGCATAAACCAAGGCCGCAGCCTCTATTGATGAAACAGGGAATCCTAGAGTATCACCCTAAATCTAGCATGGAGTGTGGGAAACCTTCCTCAAGATTGTTCACACAACTCTCAACATTTGACCTGGAAGTTATATGTTGCCCAGAATGGTGAAGCAGGATGCCCTTCGGACGAACGGACGATAAGCGAGATAGGTTACTAGAACGGGAACACCTCACCTTCACCTGTGGTTTGTATGACGAGGATACCCAAGGAAAGGCTTCCTTGCCTAGTGACAAATGTTCATCTCACACCATTTCCAGTTTCTTACGTTTCTCGTCTATAGGTGGGGGCGATGTGACATCCAAAAGATTATATTATATTGCCCTGGGGGCGGAAAGCCTTACTAGAGGGGGGACTAATCATATAGAATATCGTGGACTAGCCTATGGATATTCGGACTATTTTCCCACTACGTCATGATCGGCGCGAGCCGAGCCTTCTCGTTGTTCAGGAGTCTTTTAGTAGAGGTCAATGCACTGATTCAAGGGCTAAAGACATACGATCAATAGGTTAGGTAAGAATATTAAAGGTTTGGGATAGAGAGGAGAACAAATCGCTTATAAAAAAGGGGAAAGATTATAAAAGAAGCCTTTGCATTCGCATAACAGTAAAGAGAAACCTAAGTAAATAGGGAAAACCTTGACCAAGGCAAATAAGATGTACTATCCCATCCAGAAGCGGGAACCCTTCGCGATCTATATGCCAGAAATTGGCATATATGATTCTGATATGCTTTAAAATAAACATATTAGTAGATGGCGACTGTAGAATGATTATCAATTCTTACATAGACGAGATTTTGCCGATACTGCCGTATCATGCATCTGACACACGAAGAGGTGCTTACTAGGTTCAATTAGTGTATATCTTAAGCAGAGAATGATCAAGTACTCACAGCCTATCCATATTTAATCTCAATCAGCCTAGATATTGTGAAGTTATCTCTCAACTGAGGGGACCTGGAGGTAAGCACATACGCCCTGTCCATAATCCATCTCTGTCAGTCTAGATATTCTCAAGTGTTCTTTAAGCAGGGAGAGTATAAAAACTAACACCCTATCCATATCCTATCTCTGTTAATTTAGATATTCTTACGATATTCTTTAAGCAGGGATAGAATAAATACTGACAATCTATCCATATCCATCTCTGTTAGTTTAGATATTTTTACGATATTCTTTAAGCAGGGAAAGAATAAATACTCACATTCCATCCAGATATATATACAATTGCATTCTGCGTGGGCCTAGGCGTCCACTAAAATCGAGCACATTTGAGATAAGTATTCGACTAGAACGCTGACTTGCATAAAAGCTGTACTTGCCGGATACGTGATATCTTATTTATACGGAGTACGTGCGACCTGTGACCCTAGTAGCCTTTCCTACCAGTTAACTCCTTCCTGCCAGAACCCTTTCAGTAAACGAGGATTACTCGGCGCTATGTCTTCCGGACCTAGGGCACCCGCGCGCGGTACGGTGCTTAGTGCCGTGAGAATAGGAGACGTCATCCATTCTATGAAGAAACGTGTCAGAATTAGAACGGAACGAATCGCCTGGGGTTCTAGGCCCTGGGCGCCTCTGATTCTATATAGACTGTCGGTGTGAGAACTAGCTGATTCTGAGATATGAGGTTGTATTCCTAATCCATGATCTGGATAATGTTTCAAGTACCCACATAGTTAGGCTCGACTAAGAAATATAATTTTGATTATCGAATCATTAATTGATTGATATGTAGTTGAACAAGATTCGCAGTAGAAAGGGAAAGCCTGCGAGGCGTTAGCTGAAGGCTGCATTCTACTGACCATTCAAAGAGTAGACTCATAGATCAGCATGAAGGCTCCATGCAAGGAGCGTTCTATTTTGCAGCTGCAGGCTTCATATTTCTGCTGTTAAGCGAGATCCAAGTGTGTGCCGAATATCTCCGAAGTCGATCCTCTGCAGGAGATGGAATCCAAAGTTATCGCACTATGAAGGGTTACAGATCACGTATTTACCATCCGCGTTTTCGGTATACGCCGACATTTTGCAATTTAAAACAGCCACAACTCAGGTACTATGGCTTCAATACAGGCGTCTGGAGGAGATCGAAAGCTTGAGAGCAGGAAAAAGGATTAATTACGCCAAATTCCCAAGATAATATGGTGGAAGCAGGTCTACGCTGTCTAATATCGAACCACCCGCTGTTTAATGTTTATTGCTACCTCTCAGAAGCTATTTAACCTGCCAGGCTTGACTGTTACGTCACCTAGAAGATGAGTGCCTTGCGAACACTTGCGCTGTACCAGCGCTTCGCTAGTATTTCTTCGAATGCATAGCATGCTGATCCCCGTAAACTTTTATACTCAGCAGACACGTATATACCAACTAAAATATGCAGAGTATTTGAGGAGTACGTAGTCATGCATTTCCAACCTATATGAGCACTTGAGTGGCAGAGTAGTCTTTCCCCCAGCTAGCGGCATATAATTGACGACCTGTTTGAAGGATGCTAAGCCGATCCGCGGTCGCAGTGTGGCTGACCTTGTTTACAAATTATGCGCGTCTGTATGTACATATAGGCGGAGGCTACGAGAGGCATCTTTGTCTAAATTCAGAGCCTTCTTACGATCGTCATATGCGGATGGCATAAATATTCCTTTGGTGTGTCTCTTCTCATATATGTGTTCTCATTCGTATTCTAGATGACACAGTAGTTCCCAAGTATTGTGTCTCTGAAACAGATGTTCGGTTGAGCGTACAACAGTGCCGTTATACGCCAGTAAGAGTAGAAAAGTCGGTGTATCGGCGTACCGTTCCATTTGCGAAATCTGGAACGCACTAGCTTTATTGGTGAGTTTGTCCTTCTAACCTACTCAGCCCATACTACATGAATAGCAAATTCTGATCAAGGCCAAAAGCTCGCGTATCTGCGAGGCATGACCCCCGGAGAATCCGATTCAAGAGATAACTGCGTCGAATATTGAGCTAGGACAACCACGCAACAAAATCCAGGAATTCCCAAGGAAGGTTTCGAGAGATTCGCATACCCTGGTGGCCTTTAGCAGAGCACAGCCCTGTTGCTCGTGTAGACCGCAGTGGTGATCGTGGAGAAACGTGAAGCAATGATGGGCACATCAAATTGTTTTCTAACCCAGAGTTGGTGTAGCTTTGTCTATATTGTCACCATTCTCTAGGCTCTTAAACCTGTATGAAATACATCCTCCCTTAGAATCCTCTTAGAATGTATAATACACTTCCCTGTACACCGTCTCGTCTTACCGTTCAAACCAGGTATCCGCGACTGCTGACCCGCCACATGATATCTTCACACTGTGCCTCACTACATCCGCGCACATCTTCAAAAGAAATTAAACATCTCATATCCTGAAACACCGTCATAAGCAACCTCACCAACGCTCCCATTCACCGTTCCAACCCACCGTCCATACCCCGGCTTCGATAATGTAGCCAAATTCGACGAGAGTTCCGCCTCCAGAGCCCCCAAATCACCCAGATCAACCTCAATCCAGAACCCGTCGGGCAGCCCTGAGTCCGACGTCGGCGGGAAGGCCGCATTCGCACCCGTGGGCCGGACCTTCATCTTGCCACACTCAGCGTGCAGAATCTGTCCCTGGTAGGCCACGTACCCACTGGCGTATTCGGTTTTATGGGGGGTGAGCGAGTCGAGCCAGACAAGAGAGTACGGGCCCATGCGCGCGTGGCCCCAGTACCAGCTACCTACTGCGTCGGTGAAGGGGATTACACCCCAGTTCTGTTATGTGTTAATGATACTATTACCATTGGGGAGCTGTATTCTTGAAGACCGCACCTTATCGTGATATCCGGTTCCGATAAAGTTCAAAGTTGAGCCCTGGATGGTCATGTTGACTGTTACGTCGGCATCAGGGATGGCGTTGGCCCATCCCACACCGGGGAGGACCTCCAGGGCCTGGTTTGCGCGCTTAGGGCTGCAGGGGTAATGGGGTGGGGCGACCTGCGTGTGTGGTTTGTTAGCGGCTACTTTATCACAGCTCCATCTATGGATCTTCCTCTTCATAACTCACCGAGTGCATCGAGAAAGTGCCCTCGAATCCCAAATGGCTCGCATCAATTGTCAAGAAGTAATCTGACAAGTCCGGAGTCCCAGCCCAGGAAACACCTGTGCCGTGCCACAGCCCACTGGACCCGTCACCCATGGTGGACACAACGGCAGAGTCTGCGAACAGAAATTCGCTGAAGCCGGTACCGTTGGGGAAGGTGCCCGAGATTTGCACAAAGTCCAAGTTCGTGAAGTTCTCAGTCACGGCGAAGCCGGACTTGTTCGCCTCAAGGAAGAAAACGACGGCCAGAGAGGACACACCGTCGGTCCCGATCGCGTCAAAATACCACCAGTCATATGTGGAGGCATTCACAGCTTGCACCTTGGGACTGTCGAAGGCGTTGTCGCAGGAAATGAAACGACCCTCCACTGGGCCGGTTTTGGGGGTTGTTGCATATGTTTGGATGCCTGGGACGCGCGGGCACAGTTGGGCAGATAGCACTGTCCCGAAAAAAAGAGGAAGAGTGAGAAGATGAGTGGAAGATGGGAACATATTGCCGGGTGGCTAAGATGTTTGAAGTATCTGCTTGCTGAGTTTGTTGGGGGGTTGGAGTGGCTATTTATCTTCTGCGATGGAGTCATGCTTTTGATTCTTGTACCTTGATGGCATAGCGTTCTCTATGACGATCTGCGCTGGAACGTAGAGACTGAATTTCCGATTGTGTATAATTGAGTTGACCGATGTACAGTGCACAACCTTATTCTTACACGATGCCTTGGATCTTCGACTCGGCTGGACCATCCGAGCATCCCATAGGATAAGGGCAGTGCACGCCTTGTTCCTGGACATTCTCACCAGACTGACCATCATCATGCCTCATTGGGGAATACCGGATGGACCTCCAAGTCTCGCCGAGATGAATTATGCATTGCTTGTGACCTTATGGTTCGGAGCTGGGCAAATTCCGGTCTCTCGACCACCAGGTTTGTTAGGGCTCGGACGGCGGACTGCCGCCTTATGTTGCGGGGACAGGCCCACTTTCGAGTCGCAGTTTCGACGTCGCAGAATCCCCACATCCTCATTTCTTGCCACATTCGGCGTGTTTTTACAGTGCATACTATCGACCTTAAATATGGCGCTCGCTCCTAAAGAATCTCAGCACTCTATTGGCATTGGTTCCATTCTGATCGCTCCCACGCTCACATCCCATACACCACTATGACATCTCTCTCATTACTTATCACCGGAGTTTCCGGATACATGTAAGGAAAACCGCTTTCTGGCAATCTAGAGCGTGTCTTAATCTTAAACCTTTCAGTGGAGGCACAATATTGTCCTCAATCCTTGAAGCTCAGGGGCAATGGACCGATCAGCTGGAAATCGCAGCCCTTGTGCGAAGCGAATCACAAGCCAACACGGTCCAGAAACTAGGCGTTAAGCCTGTGACATTTTCTAGTTTCGATGAAACAGAGCTACTGGAGAAGATTGCTGCAGACTTCGATAGTAAGTTTGCACATCTCACTATACACCATCGTTGTAACTAAGGCCATGCTCCCACGATACACAGTCGTCATACACGCTGGCGCAGGCTGGCATACACCCTCCGCCAAAGCGTTGATTACGGGACAAGGTAACAGACACGCCAAAACGAACCGTCCCGCTCATTATATCCAGATATCGGGAACATCCAACCTGAGCGATCGACCCCACACAGAGGGGTATACCGATACCCATTGCTTCTCCGACGAAGAAGACATCTATTCCTACGAAAAGTACCGAGAGTCCCGCGAGGCGTATCATCAACGCACGACCGATATCACCGTCATCGAGACTGGCGAGGCGGTCGGCGTGACTACGTATATTGTCATGGCCCCGACCATCTTCGGCCAGGGCACTGGGCCGTTCAACCGCTACTCGATCCAGCTACCGGCCATGATCGCCGACGCAGTTAGCAGCGGCGCAGTCAGCGTCGTGGCCCAAGGAAACACAATCTGGAGCCATGTCCATGTCAAAGATGTGGCAGGCTTACATGTGACCCTGCTCCACCAAATCTGCACAGCGGTCACGATCCCATCTGGTCGGAAAGGAATTTACTTTTGCGAGACTGGCGAGCATTCGCATCGTGAGTTCTCGGAGCGTTTGGCCAAGGCAGCCCATGAGCTTGGGGTGTTGCCAACAGCAGACATCAGGGAGATTACCCTGGAGCAGGCGGGAGACAAGTTAGCCCTTGGCAGTGTCTCCAGAGCCGAGCTATCCTTTGCTGCCAAGTTTGACCTCCCACTCCCCTTAAACGTTCTTGTGATGACAGAAAATGCTGACTGTTTCTTCACTTCTAGCGCCCGAACCAAGGCCGTGCTGGGTGGTAAGCTGGGCTGGACTCCGTTGTATGGCAACGAGTGGGAGAGCACCTTCCATACTGAAGTCAGCACATTTATCAAGAATCCCCCGGCCGCACGGGAGATTCCGAAATTTCTTAAAAAATAGTCTGGAGGATCTTTGCTCTTGTAGTTGGCGTTCGTGCAAGATGGACTATATTGATAGACAATTCTACCATACTACCTGGTTGAAAATAGTCGAGATTTTCTATTCCCCTGTTGATGACTTGTACCATATATCTACCTCCAAGGTAGACGAGTATAACTTCCTACATCAAGTTGTTGGAGTAGTAAATGATATATTCATATTATCGTATGTCCTGAAATGTACAGACCATAGAATGGTACACGTGACCTGTCGTACAGTAACGTATACACGATATTACAGCCAAGCCCCTTACTGCAATACTCCGTCGATTCGCACCAGTTGAGCAATTTGAGCCACAACCTTATGCCCATAATTAGTGTGGAAGAACTAGGTTGGAAGCAACACCACTAATCCCTGGGTCTCTGTATTAACTTGAACCCACCAGCCGCAATCAAAGTATGAGCACCGCAGCTAAGGAGAAGAAACGGGCAGCCGACCGCGAAGCCCAGCGACACAATCGCGCTCGAACCAAGGCCTACATCACCTATCTGGAAAAAACACTCCAAGACCTCTCAGGACCCGATGGACAAGACAGCCTAGGCGAACAACTTGCCCAGCAGCAAGAAAAAATCCACCATTTACAGGAAACATTGCGCAAGATAGCCAATCTAGCCCAAGACACCACAACGCCTGTCTCCAATCCTTGTGCATCGGATCAACCGGGCCAGCATCTTGATCCAAGGCAAGCTCTGGCTGAGGACGAACCCCTGGCCAGCGGAAACAGTGTACTGCCCGCGGCAAATGTATTCTTTGGTATGGACCTAATTTGCTCAGATCGGGAGAGGAACTATCTTGCGGTGCTGGGGAGTGCCGTGAACTTTGTGCAATACTGTTTGCCAGATATGTCAGGAAACGAGGCTTTAACCCCAGCATACGACGATGACTTCTGCGTTCGTGCAGTCGTAGACGGCTGGAAGGTGGCCACAAATCGGTCCCCGGTTGATGTGGTCTGGAGCCTGCTTCAAGCGATAGACGAGGGCTTATTCTACCGGACCGATCCCGTTACCAGAATTGCTCTGCTGCGGATTATGAGATCCATGCTACTGGTTTGTTTCTAGCGCTTTCCCGCAACACTCTATGCAATGCACTTACTTGCCCCAAGACTAGAGTGGGTATTTCCCACAAAACTTCATCTCTTCCGGATTATATGCTACCCACGTAAGCATGACCTTTTTCTTGCCTGGAAAAGAGACGTGACCAAGGCCCGGTTTACTAAGACCTTTTCTGTAAAAAAGCGCGGTACAAACCAGCACAGTGCATCAACCATTCCTAGACTTTTTCCCATGGTGAGGCCACAGCGCGATGGCATTGAACCCCAGCCTTGAATTCCTTTTTCTGAATCCCCTAACAGGCCACAATTTCGAGACTACTGGATCTTGAACGGCATGGAAAATGCCTCCGAGCAGTGCGCTGCTTCGTTTGGCGCCCGCGTCCGTTTTCAGTGGCCGTTCGAACTGCGAGATGTTTACAAAAGGATGGTTTTGACCGACACGTTATCATTTTCTGCTGAGTTTGAGAGTCGATACAACGATTTGACTAGCTGGCAACTCGATACAGAGAGTGATTGGCTGCAGTGGTCGTCGGAGGCTTGCCAAATGCTGGCGGAAGCACCATCAGCCGACAAGCAACCGTGGTTCCCCACTCCGCAATGACTAGGAGTTGGCATTTGATACGTCTACGGGGATCTGGAATCCTACCTTCAAGCTGATTGACATCTCAGAGCTAGGGCGATAGCTATTCTCCCGCCAGCCATTCGGGATCTTCACTGGTTCTTTAACATCCCGGATCTGAATTTTCGATTTCTCAGACATCGCATGTTTGAGTCGGTAGCTCGAAATGATCAAAATTCTTCTTTTTTACCTATCTGGAAACTCTACACTGAGTATGCGCTATCTACTTCAGGAGATTTATTTCGGGCCATGCTCTCGTCCATTAAGCGCAGAAGATGTGGGACACAAGCAGGTTGGGATATTGAAATACACTTTATACTGTTTTAAGACTTTTCTGTATCTGGGACATATCTATCCTGGTTATAATATATTGGATCGGTGTCTCTAGGTAGTTAGCTAAATAGAAGAACTACGTAAGTAGACTAGCCCTAAGGAGAAAATTAACTATCTGGTCCAAGATTAAATACTTCGCGACTGGACTATATCCAACCACACTTACTTGTAACTAAGGAACTTTTATTATTAGCCAATCTTAATTTTCTTTAGGTAGTCATATTTATTTAGTACCAACGAGCAGCTCAAGTTATCTTATAAAGAGTCTAGATAGATCTTTATCACCCTGAGTCATCCACCCAGTGGTGAGATGGTTAATTACTGAATCCTAGTGTTTGACAGCACCTTTGCGACCATGGCTAGACGCCCTTCAACAATGAGAACCTTGGCACGAAACACATCGGCGTGTTCCTACCATTGAAACCGGACGAAGCTGATGTTGGGGTCCACTCGGCGGAGTTGTCTTCCAACGGGGTCGTGGTTGTCACCGCCGATGGATCTATGTCGGGCTGCAACATAGACGATAAAGGGACCGTTCTGAGCGATGAGGAAGTGTGAAATGAGATGGGAAACAGAAGCGCTTGCCGGGTCTTGTAAAAATGGAGAGGTCAATCTTTTAGAAAGTCCACACAAGGTGTATCAATAGCTAGTGTCGATCATAAGTAACATGCGGACTAGCCCGATCGGACTTGTACGAATAGACTCATCTAGAAGCCACTAAACTCTGTATCCTTCCAATAGTTTGTATCCACCTTAGACCTCGCTAAATATCTTGCGTCGGCTCTTTTCTTCTTCTAAAACTATACCCCGCTCAGGGAGGTTTCCTCTTCACAAGACCTATTTCGTCTTGGTTGAAAATGTCGTCCCCTTCAGAGGAGCTACTGGCTCTCGGGACCCCAATGCTGGCGCGATTCCCATTCTCCTCTGACAAGAAAAGTTTCAATCACGGTAAGACCTCAGAAGAAATTGAGAATTGACAGGAGGAAAAAATTGGCTAACTCGGAGTTGAAGGTGGCTGGGGGGCATATCCAAACATTGTTCGAGATGCTACGCGCCAATTTCAGGCGCAATTTGAATCCCACCCAGACATATTCGTCCGTTTCAGCCAACCAGCAATACATACTGAAGCCCAGGAGAATGTTGCGAAGGTGTGTGGAGTGAGCAGCAATGACTGCGTGTTTGTCAAAAACACAACCACTGGAGCAGCCACGGTTTTGCACAACCTCGATTACGCTGAAGGCGATGTGATTGTGTATTTCTCCACTACCTACGGAGCCTTCCAAAAGATGATCACCCACTTGACAGAAATAACCCCTGTCCAAGGCTGGAAGATAGAATATGAACTCCCTATTTCCTACGAGGAGCTGGTGAGGAAGTTCACAGACGCCATTCAACAAATCAGGTCTCAAGGCCGCAATCCACGCATTGCCATCTTCGAGATGGTTGTCAGCATCCCGGCATTCAGGTTCCCCTTTGAAAAGCTCAGTGAAGTCTGTAGGAGCGAGAATATCCTGAGTCTGATCGATGGGGCCCATGGACTTGGCGCGATCCCTATCGACCTAAAGCAATTGCGACCGGACTTTTTTGTTGGAGAGTGTCACAAGTAAGTCTCTAGATAATTGTCATAGCGAATCGCCGATGAAATTTTAAGTTGAGGCATGAAAGCGGATTAACACATTTTTGCACAGGTGGTTGTATGTGCCGCGCAGCTGTGCCGTCCTCTATGTTAACCCAGCCCACCAGCATCTAATGCACACTACAATTCCAACGTCTTGGGGCTATATCAACACGGATGGGTCGCAGGTCCTCCTTCCATGGAGTATCAGCACCGAAAGCACCACCAATTCGAAGTTCCAGACGCTTTTTAGATACGTTTCCACCCATGATAGTACACCCATCTTGTGTATCCCGACAGCTGTCGGATTCCGCCAACAATGTGGAGGGGAGGCACGTATCTATCAGTATCTCGAAACCCTCGCCAACGAAGGCGCTGATATTATTGCAACGACACTGGCCACGGAGGTGTTGCAAGAACCAAACCTGAAGCCAGGTGAAGTTTCCCAATACCGGCGCTGCGCATTGGCCACGGTGCGACTGCCACTGGCGATTGATGGGTATGACTGCAAAGAAAGCTCACCCTATGCAGCACTGTCACCGACAGAAGTCCGGGACACCATCAATTATTTCGGGGAGAGATTAGCGAACGACTATGGGACTTGGATTCCTATATTTCCTTACGGAGGTTGGCTTTGGGTACGATTGAGCGCGCAGATTTACTTGGAGCGAAAAGACTTTGAATTGCTAGCAGTCTGGCTGAAAGCATTGTGCGAAGAGGTGGGGACCAGGCAGCCTAGGACTCGGTCCGGGCCAAGTCTGAAATTCTAATGGTCCCAGGGCTCTTGGGATAAGGCATGAGAACATGGTGTTGTAGAGCGAGAGTTGCTATATGTGCTTTTTTGCAAAGCTATGTCGGCGGCACTACATATCTTATACATATAGTCAACCGAATAGACCTGGCCCGCCCCACACCAAGCACCGGCATGGTATCGGGAAACAGTTTCTAAACTCTAGTCACTCCACTAGCCTAGTAGGAAGTCAAGTGACATAAAGCCAACACTCCTCTCGTCCCTCTAATCCACAACCGCGCTGCCACGCGATGAAATCAATTCTCCCGCAAATCTTATATCTTTGCAACGTTGCTCTTGCCAAGGCCAATCCCACTCAACAAGAACAATTGCTTGACGGCGAGGATATCATATATCATGGCCCAACAAGACAACAGGATCCCCGGCCACAACGATGCCATCTACGACACCGTGCCTAAGGATGACCAGATATTCAAGATCGAGTTCCTTGAGATTGCCCCGACACCCATTATCGCGTAAGATCTTCCCTCTCCTTGAAATACAGCTTAATTTTAATATTAATGCTTTCTGATGTTAACATCCTGATAAAGCGATCGTGTCTTCTTCGTCTACCTGCGCGGTTATCTACCTGAATCTAAAAAGAAGGAGCTGGCACTTCCTAACGAGGGCCTTGTCAATGCGACCCTTAAAGTGAGCGCCTCTGCTGTCTATGCCGATGGTAGTCATGACAATGAAGACTCCACGACAGGGCCATTGAAGACTACGCCCTTTAATGATCTAGCCCACCTTACTATTCGTGATGCCCGTGGAGTTCAGGTAGACTACCTGCCTAGTAGCGGCCGCAGTGATATTTTACTCGATTTTCAGATCCCTACGATGTTTTTGAGGAGTGGTATGTGGACTTATAAGGTTGACGCGAGAGCCGGAGATGTAGACAATACATGCCTATTTGCTATGAAGTTGACACAATGGTTAGAGGGGGGGCTTAGGTAGGATGTTTGGAGTTGACGAGAGGAAGCTATAGGATTGTGAGCCAAAGCTCGAGGCGTGGTAGGAAGATGTGAATCTCACGAGGGTGCTGCTGCTGTGGCTCTAGCCCTGTAACTTGATATCTTTGATTCTGCAGTGATACTAATATTATAGGCAGGACTATACGATCTAGATTTGATAATATTCTGTAGGAGCGCTCTGGTAGGACACTGGTCCCTGTCTCAAAACAGAACTCTTGCAGAACGCACAGCCTTACGAGTTAGCTGAATTATATAGGTACCCAATCCTATCGAGATATTGCAAATCATCAGTTGCACTATCTTGCAAGAGCAGAGCCACTTTGCTCAGTGTTTGACACGTATTTCAAACGATAATCCCAAGATACGCTAGACTATTTGGGATTCAGTTCGAAGAAGTCTGGTCCGAGCTTTGTAAGTACTGTACATACAATACTGTATTTTACCGAAGTATCCATAACAAAATATACTTTACTGTACCTTGACTGCCCCTTCTTCCCCACCTCGCGGGGCGATCATCCTAGTGCAGCGGAAGGATGCCAAATTAATCTCCTCCCATTAACCTTAGCATTGATACCTATGTAATACAATTGTTGGTAATAGATTCGCTGTCCCCAGATAGCTCAGACTGCTGGCTACAAGGTACAATCAGGCAGGCATGCGAGAACAGAAGTTCTGTTCAAGTTGCGTAGGTTGGAGGTCGGATCGTTAGCCGGTCGGGTCGCTAGCCGGTCTCCCCCAACAGTCTATGCTAACCAATAGCCTGTTTTCAACGACAGCTGCACCAAGGTTCATGGAGTGTTTGAACAGGTACAATATACCAGTAAAGGACATTGTTGGTTCCCCCAAAAAACCAACAATCCAAGTACTACCCCTCCCTCCCCCCCAACCTCCTTTCTCAATCTCTTTTATTTATTGTAGTCTGTTCTCCTGAGCGGTTTACGCTCGTTCTAACTCTCCTTCTAAAGGCACTTGGTCTCTCCTTCAAAAAGTATCTGTCTCTCCCTCAAAAACCACCTGTCTCTCGCTCAAAAGCCACCTGCCATTGTCTATTCTTCAGGGAATAACAATTCTATCTGCACCATATTACATTACACACTACACAGGACCAACATGCACGTCCTCAAGAAGTTATTGCGACTGTATACCCTCCTTAGTCTTCTACTGTGTCTTGGTTTTGCAGCCCCAATCATAGAATCAGACTATGACCAAAACCTGCTACAGTCCAAGCTTGGCGCTGCCTACAATGATAGCGCCCTGGTTATGGTCTTAAGCAGCTTTGTCGCGCATCTGTGGGCTTACAATTGGGACATGTTCGCCAATGGCATTCTTCCGCCTGGCGTCGAGTTCGTTCCAATGCTCTGGGGGGCCAAGATGTTCAGCGGCTGGCATGAGGCTATCGAGGTCGCTCTCGCCAGCGGAGCCCGATACATACTTGGTTTCAATGAGCCAGACAGTCCTTCGCAGGCCAATCTGACTCCTCTGGAGGCCATGGTATATTATAAGGAGTACATCTCCCCCTACTCCAGCAAGGCCAAACTTGTTTCTCCAGCCGTGACTAACGGTGGTCTGAACTGGATGCGATCGTTTATGAGTCTTTGCCATGACTGCGATATCAGCATTATGGCAGTGCATTGGTATGGCGACACAGCGGAAGACTTTAAGACATTCGTGACCGAAGCCATTGAGACCTCTCAGCAATACAACATCCACGAGATCTGGATTACCGAGTTTGCATTGACCAGCGCTATTAACGGCGGCGACCCATCTGACTCCATCAAATTCCTGCGAGACGTTATTCCATGGCTCAATTCTCAGAAAGCTGTGGGTCGATTCGCATACTTCATGTGTGCCGAAGGCTTTTTGTTGGAAGGGGAAAGCCTCGGTGTTGTCGGGAAAGCCTACACTGCTTCCCATAGACTTTGAATCTGTTTGTCCGGTATAGGAGGATCTGCGGTCTAAAACACACTCCCATCTTTAGTCTGGTGTATCTACTCTTCTGAGCTTATGACTTATGACACCCTTTTCTTTCCGCTCACCTTGTTATTATTATTTTGTTTTTCTTTTATCTTTCTATGCTGTACTTGTGTTCGTCTATTTGGCTCACTTATATCTGGCCCTACCCTTTTATCCTTGGGCTTATTCCTCTGATTATGTTCATCTCACTGCAGGATAGTTGTATAAAAAGTTATGGTAATTGACATGCATTGCACCTTGTTTCAAAAATATGAATGTTTGAGTGATATTGAAATTGTCATATGTTTGCTTTACAGAATGTATAGGTATCTCTCTTTTAGTATTGGGTGTTAAGAAGATTGATAACTAAGCAGCCCTCACTCTCTCTTGCATAGCTTGCAATAAATAAGCTTTGGAACTGCGGGGGTGCCAGGAGCATGATCGTACAAAGACTGTATTAAAATCCTGCATGGCAGTACTGTATCTTACAGCTCAATACAGTATTAAAACAGTATTAGGAGTGAAATTATTGTCGAGCCATCTTTGCTGAATAGCGTCGACCTAGTTCTGTATGTTTTTGGGTCCGGAAAAGCGAATGAAAGGTGTACAACTGGGCAGCAATTCGCAACTCATTGTATTGTAGTCTGGCAGACTGGATACAGTCTTCGAGGCGATCTGCCTTGTGTTTGCGGTCCCACCGTCAGGAACCGTACCAGACCCGCAGGTTCAGATGCGGAACTCGTACCCACGCTCCTTAAACCATGGGTTATCGTTGAAAATCCGTTTAGGTATAAAGTTTATAAAAATTCTAATTGAGATATAACTACTAGTAGTTTTCAAAGTTGCTTAGTTATAAGGTTTCAAGAGCGCTCTGGAATCAGAGCTACAGTACAAACCGAGAACAACTTGTGTCCAAGAGGTTCTAAACTCAAAGAAGAGTGATGGTCAGAATGAGCTGTGTTACCGCCAAAGCGCAGCTGGTCCTGTGGGACTATATAGAGCAAAAGCACGTTTTCATCCACACATACCAGCGATACCCCTAAGACTTGATTTCACTGACGAGAATTATTTACAACCCTGGCTATATGTACCTAATCACCAAGAAAATCAAGATATACTCTCCTTTGACTGCACATTGCTAGTGTTGAGATTGAGGCCCGGCCTTCTTTCCCGTGCCTCCATGTTGTTTTTGTACCCCTCAAAACCCTTCTGCACGAAGGAGACCAGGTTTGTCGGGAAGAAGGAATGGGTCATCGGCATCATACTCTCCAGATCTCTCTAGCTACGTGGAAGCCATGCGCTTACTGGGTTTGCGAAAAGACATCGAACAACATTGTTGCGACTAGTCATTAAGGAAAATACAACTATTTAGGTCAAATACAAATATCTGGCGATGGCTAGTGACAATGCAACCTCTGTTCCCTCGCGTGGCTATAATGAAACAAAATGGGCTGTCTGCTCCAGCAAAACCAGCTCAATCATCTCATAACCTCAGCAAGCACAGCGAACAAAACCTGATTGTCGACCCTGCAGCCTTCCCACTGAAACTGTGCACTCCGATACCCGCATCGAAGCCGCATATCAAGCTCCGTAATACTCAAGTTTTTTGTGTTGCAATTCATAACTAGCTCCAGGGCCACAGCACACACGGTTGTATCTTGATACTCGTCTTTCGATACCCCTGTGCTAATGGTCGTGTCCATCACACTCTGCTCTAGTAGAAGTAAGGATTCAGGATCCAGCTCCACTTCAGGAGAGATTGGGGGACAGCTGGATGCCTGGAGGAAATCCTTGAATTTGCCAAGAGGTGCGTATGGTGGTGTGTACAGATCGAGTTGGGAAATGTCTTTTGGAGTTATGTTCTCTGCAGGCCCTATGAATCCAGTCGTATCAGATACGAGGTCAAGGGGTGATGGGTGGGTTATATGATTTACATGGGGTAGAAAGACTATGACAAGGTCGGATGTAGCCCTACCCAAGATGGATGTATCCCTCAAAGGGACGAGGCCACTGCTCGTATCTCTTAATGCATTGTTCTCGCTCTCCGCCTGTCCGCTGGGTCCGATAGAACCGTAGTCAGTACGTCCAGAAGAGAGCAACGCTATCAGCCTCTCGTTTTCTTGCTGAAGCTCATCCACAGTAGACTGCAGTCTTTTGATCTCTCGAGAAGTAGTGTCCTCCATGGATGCAAGTCTGCGCTCCAGCTCCGCTACATAGTCGCGTTTTCGCTGTCTACAGCGACGCTGATTGTTGCGGACTCGAGTGAGATCCTCTTCCTAGCTAAGGAGTCAGGCCTGACGTACTAAGTGGAGGTGACAATGAGACCTCGTACTTTAGTTTTCCGTTTAATTCGTGGCATGGTGGGCAAGTTGAGTGTGGCGAATCGAGTCCCGCCGCGTCAACTTTGATATATACTCGCGAAGGGACGTCTCATTCGAGTTACACACCACTGATGACGTATGTTGGTTTTAGCGCCGTGTAAGATGTATAGAGGATGAAATACCCAGGGACAGGTGGACAAGAAAGCGTAGACACAGTCGCACACCAACGGGATACAGATTTAATGAAAGTAACGGATGATTCCCCGCACCCGGATCCAACTCCGAATGTGGTGACATACCACTTTCCCAGCCATACTCACACTGGTGACATACCAGTTATCCACCCAATAACACCATGACTAACGTTATTACAGTTGCTCGTATACAATCAAATGTTAATGAGAAGGGTCGTGGATATAAATACGGCGAACGCCCCCGTCTGCTGTTCAGGGAGCTCATCATACGATCACTCTCAACCACAGTACATACATCCAATCCGCCTTATAAACCTCCAAAGTGTAAGGAATCTCCTACAATATGTGCGACAATACCTACAGCCTTGTTCAGTCTCGCTACGGTGACATCGCAAAACAAAGTACGAACGTCCAGCAGCACGACAAAGAAGAGGAAATCGCTAGGGCGTTTGGCTACAGTGCGGAAGATCTGAGTTCTTTGCCAGGGAAAACTAACCTTGGCTTGAGCTGTGGAAATCCGGTGGGATTTGCGAATGTGAAAGAGGTCTGTTCATTGATTCTTTTCCACTGCAGTGAGAAATCGAAGATTCTAACTTTCTAGCAGGGCGAGACAGTTCTGGACCTGGGCAGCGGCAGCGGCATTGATGTCTTCCTGGCGGCTCGTAAAGTCGGGCATAATGGACAGGCCATCGGCGTGGACATGACAAGAGTAAGTTCTTCCAGGCCTGTGCTCTATACACACTCGGACTGATACTCGATCAAGAGCATGATTGAACTCGCCGAGAAGAATACGCAAAAGGCAGAACTTTCCAATGTAAAATTCATTGAGTCCAATATCAACTCCATACCGCTACCAGACTCCAGTGTCGACTGCATCATCAGTAACTGTGTCATCAACCTTGTCCCGGCCACCGACAAAGCGGCCGTTTTTCGAGAGATCGCGCGCCTACTAAAGCCCGGCGGAAGGGTCGCGATCAGTGATATTCTAGCTAGAAAGCCGCTCCCAGATCATATTACCAGCAATATGGCGCTGTATGTTGGGTGTGTTGCTGGTGCTGGTCAGATTGTGGAGTATGAGGAGTATCTCAGGCAGGCTGGATTCGAAGGCATGTATACCGCTATAAAGAGAGCCTTGAGTACTGACTTGTTGATAGGCGTGTTTATTGTTGATACGAAGTCGGACCTTAATCTTTATAAAGAATCTTCGTATTTGCCTCAGAGCTCATGTTGTGGCGGTGGCCTTGAGCGTAAGGGGACTCCGAGTGATATTGCAGCTTTGGATTTTAATGAGTGGGTTGGTCAGTTATTGTCCTTCACCCCGGCTTGATTACGCTGTTTACCCTATTGACTGTTTGTCCAGGTTCCTTTCAGATCTATGCTGTCAAGGCTTAGATTGCTTGCTTTGCATTTTGTTCTATAGGGGAAGTTAATGTTCAGAACACCGTTTCACAGAATGCACTTCCGGCGCATGGCTCGGTCAACCCCAATGCTATGGATTTCTAACAAGTATACCACTTGGAACACGTAGTGCTCGCTAAATATAGCATTTGACGTTTTGGCAGCAGGATTGCCAAGATTCCAGGATATATGCAGTGTGCATAATGCATTTATACCGCAGAGAGTGAATAATGAAGATAATCATCAACATCCCTTGCTTCAGGTGATGTCGTCAACCCCTTCCAATAATCAGCGTCATCGCGACCCTTTGTTTTCCTGTAACACCCTTCAAGTCCCTGTTACGCCACTGAACATCTCTCCCTTTGTTTGTCTTCGATTTGTTTTCGTCGTGGGTTAGTTAGCATGACAGAAAAGTAACCCATTCCGTACATTCCAAGGCACTTCCGCATTCTACACACCCCTCCGTACCACCTGTCGCACCCCTCATTGAAGACTCTTCTCATCTCAATGTTGCTCTCACCTATCTTTCAATAATTGCAGCCGTGCTCACAATCGCAAATGATGATGCCGCCTGACTGGCTATACGCGATTTTCCTGTCTCTATCTTTTGCGGGCTGGGGAGCCGCTATTCAACTTGACCTTCAAGATGAGCGTAAGCTGATACACTCTGCGCCATAATGTTTGACATTCGACTTCGACCTTCTTCGTGCATGGCTTATCACATACTAACAGCGTCATCTCTCCCTAGAGTCGATCAAATCCGCAGCCGCGACAGCGGCCTACAACATGATGAGCTATTACCACGGAAACGAGTCAGGGCAGACCCCCGGAAAACTCCCTGATACATGGTGGGAAGGTGGCGCAATGTTCATGACCCTAATCCAGTACTGGTTCTGGACCGGCGACACATCCTACAACGAGGTCACCACGGAAGGAATGCTCTTTCAGAAAGGCCATGACGACTACTTCCCCGCCAACTACAGCAACTATCTTGGAAACGATGATCAGGTCTTCTGGGGGCTGGCCGCCATGACCGCTGCCGAGCTGAACTTTCCTGACAAAGAAGGGGAGTCGTCGTGGTTGTCGCTGGCACAAGGTGTTTTCAACACGCAAGTCCCGCGCTGGGATAACTCCAGCTGCGATGGGGGCCTCCGATGGCAGATTTGGCCTTACCAGGCAGGGTATACGACGAAGAATGCCATATCCAACGGGGGTCTGTTCCAGCTGGCGGCTCGTCTGGGTCGCTACACCAAGAATCAGACCTATATTGACTGGGCCGAAAAGATCTGGGACTGGAGTGCGACTACGCCGCTGCTGAAGACGGCCGACTGGAACATCGCCGATACGACTACTGCGGAGGCGAACTGCCAGGATCATGGGGATCTGCAATGGACTTACAATTACGGAACTTACCTAAGCGGAGCTGCGTATATGTATAATTTGGTGTGTTCATTCCCGGTTTCACCCTCTGGGTCATTTGCTAGGGCACGATGGCAACATTGCTGACCAAATATAGACCGATGGTGGTGGCAAGTGGAAAGAGGCCATCGACGGCTTGCTCGGAACCACGATAGTCAAATTCTTCCCCCATGAGTACGGTGGGGACATCATGTCGGAGATTTCCTGTGAGCAGAGCATGATGTGCGACCGTAACCAAGACTGCTTCAAAGGCTTTCTCGCATCTTGGTTGACCTTCGCCACTACGATTGCTCCCTTTACGCAGAACCAGATCCTCCCCAAGATCCAAGCTTCAGCCCAGGCCGCAGCAAAGCAGTGCTCTGGCGGCGACTCCAAGTCCGACTGCGGACGTAGTTGGTACAAGCAAGACAAATGGGATGGCTCGAAGTCGCTGGAGTCCGACATGAGCGCGTTGAGTGTGCTGTCGTCCACGATGATAGCTCACAAGAAGGACCATCAGGCACCCTTGACGGCGGACACCGGTGGTACCAGCAAGAGTAACCCCAGTGCAGGCTCGGGACACAAGGATCAACAGGCAGGTACGCCGAGGCCGATCACGGCTGGGGATCGGGCTGGCGCATCAATTATAACGTTCTTCTTCGCGTGTGGCTGGGTGGCCTCGGTGAGTTGGATGGTTTATGGTGGATAGTCAATCAACTCTATATTCTCCTGCGATTAGATTCTTGCATTGTACAAAAGGGGAGATAACTTACGTTAGCGCTATGGGGATTGCCTGGGCGGGGTTGTTATATCCATGTCTCCTTTCTACTGAGGACGGAGTACCATGTCATGTTCCGTTGTCGTCTTCCACTGGTGAGATTGCGGGCGTTGGGGCGTTTTGTAATATCATGATATTTGCGATCAGTTATGTTAGACCATTGCATTGTTTTTGGATGTCAAGGACCAATTCAATTTCAATATTATCGCGATCGCCCTTGGTATAGACTGGATGTACGAGTAAACGAACTTGTGTTAGTTGACGGGACTGGCATAGTGCACTATGGTTAGGGCACCGGGATAATCCACGGATGGAAGAAGACTATACCAACCCCATTACTACTAGCAGTGAGATATCGTAATACTTGCGTTATGTGGCGGGCTCTCTTGACAGATGTGAAGAATTCCGCTATACTTGTTTCTGGGAAGCGTGAAAGGCTTCGAGTTGTTAGATGTATTCTGGTTGTTGGGTATTGGTGTGATGAGAAATGAGAGAGCTCATGTTCGACTCCATCCAAGCCACCAAACCAGTATTTCATGAGAGTGCTCGCCCATGGGCTTCTTCTCTTTCATTCTCTCGTAGCTGGGGATATTTGGTATTGGGAGCCCAACCACGCCTTGCTCTTCCACCGGGAGGACTACACTTCTCAAGCATGTTAGGCTCTAGCATGAGGGCATAACCCAGAGGAGTGAAGACTTACTGCTGAAGGGCAACCTTGCCGTACGTGTCAGATGTGAGAGCGCCACCTAGCTCCTCGGTGCAAGTTGGGACAGGAAACAAGATAGCCAAAACGTCGATGAGGTCCGCATATCCAAGGGGACAGAGAGAGAGTACAAGGGCCTCCAGTAAATGGAGTCAATATTGTAAGGATGAGAAACTAGAACCATAAACAGAGATATTGAGAAATGAGTAAACAAGATATCAACACAGTTCGAGCCAAAACATTTCTTCGACCCTTTTTAGGAGAGTTCCCAGATGGCCTTGTTTGAGATCAGCGTTCAGGTCAGCTTTCGCATGCCACGAATATAATGTGAATTGTTGATGCCTTTTCAGTGTCTCGTCACATATTTGAATCGATTAGAAAATATCTTGGAACTATTTTAAGCAGACGAATCTAAGGTATGGTGGCCAGCATTTCGCCGCCTAAATTTGGGGACAACAGACATGGGTCGAATACTGAACTCCATAACAAGTCGATGTGTGTTATGAACACTAGGGAAGCTAGGATCTCTGGCTAGGGCTATATCAGCGGAGAGTACATAGTCTAAGCCCATTCAGGCAATAGTAGATCCCCTGAGAATGTTCGATAAGACTTAAAAAAAAATCGTGCTGGTGCCTGTGGAGCCCTTCGCTTCACCAACGTGGGCAGGCCCCTCAGAACCACCGTGCCAAAGGCTGGTCCTATTATATTGTGTATCCAGCTGGGCAAACACTGCTAGAAGGAAACGATCTACTTACACACAGGGGTATGCAGATTGTTGGGCTAATTTGGAGAATCATTTTTCGCGAGAAAGTGTTAAAACCCTAACGCGAGCTCGGCCGGAGGGTATGATCGACCGGCACGGGGCAGCCCCGGAGGGCTAAGCGATAACCCTGCATAAATTTAGGGATCCGGGGAGGACAGGCCCGCCCTAACTCAGATCGATTACGCTCCTGCGTGCAAGTGCCAGGTAGATCCACTAATTCCTTACTCTAATCTAAGACATATGGAATTGTACACGATTTCGTCGAACACGTTTCTAACAAAATCAGGATCGCATGTGTAAGGCTACATGACTGGGAAAAAGACCCAAAGAAGAGATAAGGGAAGTCAGAAGTGAGCACTGACACTGTTTACCAAGTGAAAACAGAAGAGATATGATTGGGGAAAGCACCATTCTACCACATCTTCGATCACTCATTCCACCAGGGGCCGTGTTCTCGAAGTATCCCAGTCCTGGCCAACGGAGAATACATCCGATACAGACTACGCACATTCCATGCAGGGCGTCCTCCACAAGAAGCTTAAGCTATCTTAGCTCTCGGCTAATGGGAAAAGGTTTCCGGTACTCACATTCCACACATAGATGAGGCGCTGCAAGGATCAGCTATCTACACTATCAGACTATGTCTCAAACCTAATCTTTATACTAGCAAAAGATAATAATTCTGTGAAAGGATTAGGTCATATTGTTATCAAGGAAAGCAAGGATACTGTCTGAAAGGAAATAGATCAGGAATATTGAGTGTTCCATTAAGGGAGGATGAAAACGGACAAGCTGTGTTAGGCTCCTACTTGACTAAATGGTCGATTTAGATAGACTAGAGGAACTACGGGTCTAGGTAGTATCATCAACCGAAGATAACAAGTTACCCGCTTGATCAGAATATAACAGCTCCTCCCTGTCGCATTCGTAATCCATTCCTGTGATATCGCCCATGTCACCGAGAAAGCAGATGCGCGAGAGTCGGAGGCCTTTCACATTGTCCTTCGAACATTATTTCACATGTTTCCAAGGCTGTAAGAAAATTCCAAATGATATCTCGCAAGATCAATGATTCAGTATCGCTGCATGTAGGGACACCCCAGTAAAGCGCCCCCCGCATTTCCAGGACTCGCAATCCTTCACGAATGTAACTTAAGCCTCACTAGATCCAGAACATTGCTCCTATATGAATGCGGGAAACATCCTTATCTGTACTTACAAGTGCTCTTTCGTACATTCCACCGCCTCAGTTCGTGACCGTGTGCGTCGGATTTCTCAGGTGTAAGGACTCAAGAACCAACGGGCTACAGGAATAACCCTTTCTATGAAATTGTTCGATACTTTCTCAAATTTTTAGACTGACTCAGGGAAAAAAGGTTATGCAACAGGGTACCTTGGGGAAGCTAACCGAAGCACAATCTGTGGTAAACGAGCTAGGGGTAGTAATGGTTTCCACCTTGGCTCCAAAGTCACTGTTGAATAGAGAAGCGTCTCATTCGACTACCTAACAGGGTCTGAACAGTCAAGGCGGTATTCTAGGGTACTCCGTAGTATTGGCTCTAATTGACTGTAACACACAGTGATACGAAATATCTGTATAGATGTACATAGCAGATTCAACGAACCAGTGAGCTCCAATGTCATAAGTTCTAAATGTGCTGAGAACTTAGAGACATCTCGAACTGCATGGTATAGCGTGAACAGAGATACCGGGGATATCAGAGAATGTGCCCTTACGTGCATAGTGATAAGTCGGTTCTAGGGACTCAGTACATTCAATATGGGTCTGGAAAATATGTATGGTATACCTGGATCAGATAGATCGGCAAGGAATGTCCTCTTGGTGCGCTCGGACACCTGCTCCTAGAATGAGAAGCCATAGTATGGACTGGCTTTGAGTCAGACAGCAGAGGAGATAGGCGAATCTGAGCTCCTGGAAAGGTATAAAAGGGCCCTTCATCCTGCCAGTAACTGTAACTTTTCATCATCATCAAGCAGCCTCTCAAGTCACTCATTCAGACAATCTTCACTTTCATTCACTTTGCCAGCTCAATCGCTCGGTTATACCATCCTCCAACTTTCATTCAAGATGCAGCTCTCTACCTTCGCTACCATCCTTGGCCTCGTTTGTGCCGCCATTGCTGCCCCTCAGGGCCATGAGGGCGGCGATGACCACAGCCACGGCGGAGAACACCCCGCCGTCGAGCGCTTCTGCTGTGCCTACAACACCTACCCCCCTGGTGCTACCTACAAGCCCTCCGGCAGCCAGAACCCCATGGGATGTGCCAAGACGAACGGCGCATGCGGTGTTGACTTCCCCGTTCCCTGGACCTGCCCCGTTGCCTCCGGCGATCGTGATTGGCAGGTAAGTCTTCCTTTGAAACTATCGCTATGCATAGTACAATACTAAAACCGTGCGCAGGCTTGCCAATGTACTTCGTCTACTGAGTGCCCCGGCACTCCTGAGCCCGACAGCATCTTCGACACCCTTGGCGACACCATCGCCGACGCCGTGCCCATCTAAATCTATCTCCGATAGATCTCCACAGTTACATGCCAACAACTCTCCAGACCGTGTCTTGATATGGGGAAGGTGGACTCTGTGGTAAAACATCGTGCTTGCCAACTTGGCTTATTTGGGTGTCTCTCGTTTATCTTACCCATGACTCTGTTTCTTCAATCTGTATCCCTTCACCCAGATATCCACGAAGGGATGAAAAGGTTCTTAATACATAATAAAGCTTTTTTAAGGTCCACTTCGAGCAGTTGTAAAACGTAATTTCGTCTTGTATAGTTTCCACTCTATGGAGTAAAGTAGACGCGACAAACTACCCTGGTACCGTAATCATCTACATCAAGGCTTTAAGCACTCCTTCGAGCTATACCACGCATATTGTCGAGTTCTCGTTGTAGTATCTAGCCCTCATGGTTGCAGTTGTAAAGCCTATATAGAAGCTGAATACATGCCTGCGCGTTGGTGCTCATGCTAGCTCTCTGGTTTCGGTTATTGCTGAATGAATACATGCGCTTATAGAGAAGCCGCCCAAGCTATAGGATGAGCAAGCTTAAACCATTACTTTACATCTCATGCTTGAAGTTATCTGCAGCACACTTTGTAAAATAGACTCCTTCGAACCCGTCTCTACTGTTACAGCTTGATATGGGGTCACGGCGTACCCATACAATAGGTAAATGTAATTTGAATGTGATGAAATTATATATTTATATATTTATATATTTATATGTGCAAGCACCTCTCTAATCTTGTCTGGTACAAAGGACTTGTGTTTTGTCGTGATGTGAAACACTGGTGGGTAAGCAATATATATGTATATATCATAAGGGATCAATATTCGATATAATCGAGACGTAGAAATGCTCTAACTTTTGATCATAGTCTACAATCATCTAGCGAATATCTAGTGTTCCAGATTTACTGTACTAGCTGTGCACACAAAGCCAATTCCCACTTCAACAGCAGCTGAGTTGTATGTGATGATACTACATAATCTTTGCTTTGATATATACCTTGATCCTATGTATATACAAGACTGACTTCACAAATCGAGCGTAACGTTCCCCAAAACCTGATCCTAATCTGTGATAGCAGTGACAGTATCCTATAACTACCAACAACAAGAGACACATGCGTCTGTGGTCAAAAATGGTCTTGTTATGTTTGACTATCCGCTACATATTCCCTGAGCATCTAGTCCTACCGCCAGGCCTTTCCAGTGACTTGGCGGTTGAGAGCCGCCATTCCTACAAGCATCGATTTCAAGGCATTGCACATAAAAGTCCTTCGCTTCCATTACCGCCAGAGACACAAAGCCCACGAGCACACGAAGCAGTGTGTTCCTTCCGACGCGGTCATGCTCCGAGCTTCGTGTACACCGGCATACCATATCCACAACAGCAAGAGATCGAGGGACAATAACAGTTATGCTACGTGATTACCCAACAGTATCTTTCACATTTAAACGCAACGCTTTCTTGACTAAGATAGGTTGACATGTTACGGGATATTCTTCCGGACCTCGAATGTGTGCTGCAAGGGGTTCACAGATCAGCACTTGCCGACATTCTTGGTATTCTGAGCGAATCGGTGATACCACATGGGCCCGATCGAAGATCTGGGACCTGCAAGGGATACGTGATCTTTGCAAGCGAGGCGATCGCTGCAGTCCTTGCATTCTGGGGGCGGCTCAGCTCTCGGGGAAGAGGCGCATTCTCGCGCTAAACATTAACTACCAACCAACGTAGTAGATCTCACAATCTAGGGTCAGGAGATTATTTCCGACGACCAAGTCAGGAATTTGGGCAGTATCATTCATCCCTTGGACTCCGTCTCTGGGGGTCGGAAGGTAGGCCCCAACCCCGGCGTGGGCTGGGGGATGAGGCATCGATGAGAAGACTAGGCTCGTGGATAATGTATGAGGATTATCATCGTTGTTCTCAATCAGCACAACTACTACTTCTACTATTCCACTAGATAGTGTCTAAGAGCCAATCTATTATACATGTCACCATGTTTTCTATGGTCAATACCTTCTGCGCTAGCTAATAAAGTCCAGTCCGACAATCACAGAAATCATAATCATGGCTTCGTCATAGCCGACACCGTGTGCATCGCATCGTAAGTAACCATCCTTCCCTGAGACAAGCCCGGTGAAGCTGAGAACACGGGAGGTAGCTAGGGAAAATGTCTGTAGCAGCAGAGCGCAGTGTGTGTAAAAGTGGCTGCCAGTGGTATCCCGCAACCTACGGCACCTTGTCCCCTTGACCGGTACCGTGCACCTCGGAAAGAAGCTTTGACGTATCTCTGATGTACTCATGGCTCTTGCTCAGACCCCGAGTTGGATGGTTGTAATGGGCAAACGCATGTGGCACACCCGCGTACCTTTTCATGGTTACTCGATTTCCTGCCTCACGAAGCAACTGCCCATAGTGCTCAGCTTCATCCCTTTCTACATCAAACTCGGCCGTGACGATGTGTGCTGGGGCTAGTCCCTTCATAGAGGGCGAGAGAACGGGAGTCATTCTCCAATCTGAGAGGATCTCCGATCGGACGTCTTCGTCCGTGCCAATGTAGTAATTCAGGAACCAAGACTCTCGGGCGAGCGGGGACCACGGTAGATCGGAGCAGAATATGGCACTGGGATACGAGCAATTTTCTGGGGTAAGGGGCTCAGCATCAGTTATAGACAGCGGTACGTATCGCATATCGGTCGCGGGCACCACCATCAGTTGAAGTTTCAGTTCGAGAGGGGGGGAGCAGTCGCGCGCGAAGTGGGCAACAACTGCTGTGATCAGTCCACCCGAAGACAGTCCCCCAATTGAGATGGAGTTGGGATCAATGTTGAGGGCGTGCGCGTTTGTGTGTGCCCATTGCACCGCGGTCCAACAGTCATACAGCGCAACAGGATATTGATGTTCTGGCGCGAGGCGATAATCCACATCGATGACAATGATAGATGACTCATTGCAGATGCTACGACACCAAGCAGCTTCAGATTGCAGACCTCCAAGTACCCAGCCGCCTCCATGAAAGTTAACGTGTACTGGGAATGGGCCCAGCCCAGGGGGTGTATATACCCGGCAGGTGATCGATCCTTCGGGATTTGAGACGGGGACTTGATAATCTTGAAGATGATGTACTTCGGGGCCTGTAGAAAGAAGTCAAGGCACGTTAAATACACCCTTCGACATAAAACTATGGCCAGAACTGACCTGTCCAAGTTGGGTAGGTAAAGCTGTATCTTTCAGGGCACTGCCGAAATTGTTCGATAGTCACCAAGTGAGCCCCTTCCATGTCCCTTCCGTACCTTGTCCACATCTCCTGCCATTCAACATCTAACCCTTCTAGGTACTTTTCCGGTATCACGTTCTCTTCCCTCCCTCCAGAGCTATGGACTGTGATCATCTGTTCCACTTTCGTGGTTGTAGCCATCGTGCGGACGTGAACTCGAATCGATTGGCAAGGTTGCAAAGGAATAGTCTCCTAGGTGGCGATATATTCTCACAAATTTGTTTCTGTCACTGCGCAGAGTTATCTTCCCCTGGCAGCTTCATCAACCAGTATCCTATGGACAGGATTTAGTAGATATAGTGGACCGGCACCGGCATCGCTTTCAATTGGTGGCATCGAAATCCACTTCAATAGGAACGTCGCGATCGGCATCCACAACCTCGTATCGCTTCCCCGCAAAACGCCTTATCAGGAACCGGAGATAAGAGGTGTGGGGAGACTATAAACGGAACAGCACCAGACGGATTCAAAGATGTCTCGACCGTCCCGGCTAAGACTTTCATGCACAGCATCACACTAATCATGCCGGAAAGCACAGGAACTCCAAATGCACCGGATCACCAAATCCTGCCAACGGGGACTCACTCAGATACACCGAAGCCTCTTCAAGTAGGCCAGGCATATGAACCAGGTTTGCGCCGAGTCCCTGACCGTATTCCTTGGGTTGTCGCACTCATCATCGTTGTCGAGCTTGGGGAGCGATTCACCTACTTTGGTCTTAGCGGACCATTGCAGAATTACATCAAGTATGTTGTTTCGCTACCTCGGGCTGTCCTTAACCGCTAATCATAGTGGTAGGAATCCGTACGTCCCTGGTGCGGACCTACCAGGTGCTCTTGGTAAGGGCCAGGCAGTTGCATCTGCTCTAGGTAACTTTTTCAAGTTTTGGGCGTATGCCTCCACCATCCTGGGGGCTGTAGTAGCCGGTAAGGACAGGCTATATTGCGTACATGAAAGGTCCCTTGTCCACTGACTCATCCTCTGCCTCACCACATAGATCAGTACGTCGGCAAGTTTAAGGCTATAGTTATAGCCTCTGGGATTTATATCGTCGGCTTGACTATCCTTGTGGCAACGGCGACCCCAGCAGCTATCAATGGCGGATCAGCATTTGGTGGGCTCGTTGCCTCGATGGTTATCATTGGACTGGGAACCGGTGGAATCAAAGCAAATGTCACCCCTTTCTGTGCCGAACAGTATAACAAAGGCAGTGCTTTTGTCAAGACACTGAAGTCAGGAGAACGTGTTGTTGTCGACCCTGAGCTCACCGTGGAGCGAATGTTCATGTGGTATGTGCCTTGTTTCTGTCACCAGTGCCGCACAATATTAATGCACTAACTTTCAGGTTCTACTGGGCCGTCAATATCGGAGCCCTATCGCCATTGATCACTGTCAACGTGGAGGCCAAGGTGTCCTTCTGGCTAGCCTTCCTGATACCTTTGATGTTAGTGAATGTACATGTATTACTGGTGGTTCATCTAGATTTGACTGATATTGGACCGCAGTGTAATTGTCCTTGCTGCCATCGTCTTCATATGCAGCAGCAAATTGTATGTCAAGACCCGACCACAAGGTTCACCAATTGTCGAAACCGCTAGAACGGTATATGTTGCTATATCAGAAAGAGGTTTCGAGAACGCAAAGCCAAGTTCTCTGAGCGAACGGGGTCGGCTAGCGAAATACTCCATTGCATCCAGCGCCAACTATACCGATCAAAGTGTTGACGGGGTTAAGAAGGGCATCAGGGCCTGCAAAGTAAAGACCCACGCTATTGGCTGCAATTATCAATTTCTGACCGTGACAAACAGCTATTCCTCCTCTTCCCGTTTTATTTCATTTGTTGGGTTCAGATCTGGAATAACCTTATATCTCAGGCCGGTCAAATGGCTCTGCACGGCACTCCGAACGATCTGCTACAAAACCTCGACCCTATTGCCTTGATTATCTTCATTCCGTTCCTCGATCGTAAGTGCAACCACGTCTACTCACATGGCAGCGGCCTAACACGAGATCAGTCGTGGTCTACCCAGCGTTGCGTCACTTCAAGATCGATTTCCGACCAGAGTTAAAGATTACTGTCGGGTTCTTCATGGCTTCTATGTCGATGGTGTACGCCAGTGTTCTCCAACACTACATCTACATCTCCCCTGCGCAGACCATTCACGTTTGGGTCCAGACACCTGCATACGTTCTCGTCGCCTTTTCAGAGGCTTTCGTTGTGGTGACTGGCTTGGAGATCGCATATACCAGTGCGCCCGAAAGGTATGGTAACCTTGCGACTATCCGGTTAGCACACTAACTGATTCTCGATGCCAATAGTTTGCGCTCCCTGGTTTCTTCTCTGTTCTGGTTGACTATCGGCGTAGCGGCGGCCATTTGTATCGGACTCGCTCCAGTTTCACAGGATCCTTATTTAGTTTGGATGTATGGATCGCTAGCTATCGTAGGTTTTGTAGCGGGAATCCTCTTCTATGTACTCTTCGGAAGGGCTTCGGATCAGCCAGTTCCGGTGTTGGATTCGGTGGAGACCACCATTGTGGGCCAGCGGGAAGACGAAGAGGCGCAAGTTGGGAGTGGGAAATGTATGGTGGTCACCGGGAAAGATACATAGTCGATAGCTCCTTAGTCCTTAGGCTATGATGAATATTGTTTTCCTGGTTCAAGTCTCGTCCTCGTGTGCACTTTGTCATAAATTCCCCCTTGTTAGCTCCAACGCTCAATCATTGACTATCTTGCCTTCACCTTATCATGCTGATAGGGTCAATTAGTCTCCACTCAAGGCTCCACAAGAATGCCGCCAATCGGAGAACGGCTGGATACCCCCTTGGTGTGACACTGTCTATTCTGACAGTGGTTTATATAGGCCAGCATGATGTGTTAGACACCGTCAAGCACCAAGAGTCAATTAAAGATGGCGCATAACGATATTGTGGTGCTCGGGTAAGAACATACAGGAGGTCTATTGACGCAATGTTCTCTAACATTAGCCATCCAGAGCGGGTATCATCGGCTTGAACGTTGCCTTGGAGTTATCGAAACGTGGCTATGGGCAGCATATCACAATCATGGCGGAACATCTTCCTGGAGATGAATCAATTGATTACACCTCCCCTTGGTGCGCAGACATGGTTCCAATCTACATTCGATATAACGTATCCTGACGCCCCTGCGCTTTAGGGCTGGAGCGAATTTCTCTGGCATATCGGGCAGCGATGCCAATGCACTGCGCTGGGATCGATCTGGCTACTTGGCCATGATGAGACTGATTGATACCGGGGCGGAAGAAGCAAAGTATCTTTCCAAAACCGAGTCAACAGAGTACTGGGATCAAGCCCCATCACAGGACAAGATCATCAGCATGACTGAGTATCTGCACGATGTAAGGCTGCCCATGACATGAATCATCATTGTGACATACAAACACAGTCACCAGCCAACTGTACTAACCTTTCGGGTTTTAACTGATAGCTTGTCATAATACCTCCATCCGACCTCCCTAAGGGAGTTGCCTTCGGTATAAGATTCACTACAGTCACACTCAACGCGCCTGCACATTGTGAATATTTGAAATACCTCCTATCTCAACCTCAGTACGGTGGTATAAAATTTGTCCGCCGGAAGGTATCAAGCTTGCAGGATGCCTTCCTGTACGGAACACAAATCGTCTTCAACTGCATCGGCAACGCAGCATCCAGTTTAGCGGGAGTTGCCGACTTGAAATGTTATCCCACACGTGGTCAGATTATCCTTGTGAAGGCCCCGTCAGTGAGAGTCAATGTCATGCGGCATGGCAAAGACTACGAGACATATATCATCCCACGACCCCGCTCAGATGGCACTGTGATATTAGGTGGCTACCTACAACCTGGTGACCAAACTAGGCAGACCCGACCAGTAGAGACTGAATCTATTCTGAGTCGCACAGAGGGTCTCCTACCGATCCTCAAAAATGGAGAAACAGAAATCCTTCATGTTGCGGTGGGATTGCGGCCATCGCGGCAAGGCGGTGCTCGAGTGGAGCTCGAAACCACGCCAGAGGGCCACACTGTAGTACACAACTATGGCGCAGGAGGGACTGGATTTCAGGCCGGGATGGGAATGGCCAAGGATGCGGTTGATTTGGCTTCGGACATCCTCAGCCAGCTTCGACCCCAGAGTAGATTATGACAGCGGATAATGCACAACATGTGAATGACAGATGTATAAGTGATTAATGCATTAGTATTGAGGAAGACTCGAAGCCAACCACCTTCCTCCTTAGTCTCAAGGCTCTTGTAGGCACGTGACTATACTCATCCAAATTCGGTATAGCTTCTTGACACCCGTGACCCGTCTCAAAGAAGTGGTTGATTGATTCTCTCTCTTCTCTTTCATCACGAATTTTAATACCACTAGTTTAGATACATGGACAATGACACGCTTACTAGAAGACCCCCATATTCCGGGACAGGGCCTCGTAGGTACATGAGCAAAGCCCAACGCGCATGCGACCTTTGTCGCTCGCGGAAATCGGCGTGTCAGATCGACATAGCTCCCCCTTGCCGTCTATGCAGGGTTCATGGACAACCTTGCGAATTCACCGACCGCATAGTCCGTAAGAAGAGGCGCTCATTACAGAATACTTCCTGCCTGTCACAAGGCGCTTCCAACGGTGAAAATGCTTCTAGTGATAGGCGAACCAATGAGTCACCGGACTTTACAAGCTTGGTACAGCCGACGGATTCAACAGCCATGCCTATGACGGAAGGCCCTCTGTATGACAATGCTTCAAGGGTTGGTGAGCAGTTATATGACGACTTTAGCTTGATACAGGGACTTGAAGATCCACATGCCTCTGATCTAGGTGGAGGAGATCATGGTATTATGGATGAGCTGATGCTCAGTATTTATGAGGGGCAGGGATTGTCTCATATAGAGCCAAATCCTGCTCCGGGTCCTCCGTCTCTCGACAACCACCCATCTTTGACTTCTCAGTTATGTGGTCTTACCGGTGATATGGATCCCTATGTACTACGACACTATCGCTTCGACGCAAGGGCAGAGTTTCCATTCTCCAAGCTTGCTATACGGTCAGCACAAGATGTAGAGGTGCCAGTGCAATTTTTGTTGTCGAAGCCCGAGTTGAGCTACGAATCAAAGGCCATAACTAGCCTGGAAGGACCATTTACCAGGGAGGGGTTGCCCGAACTATCACAGATTGTTACTCCAGATATTGGGGAACGATTGATCCAATTGTGAGTTGGCTGAGTTCGGACCAGCATATCATTGCGACTGACGGACCATCAGGTTTTCACGTTTCGTTAACCGGCAGTTTCCTATCTTTTCTGAGGATAGGTTGCCAGAGCCCCGAGCCACGTCATCACATCTCCTAGCGGCGATATACTTGATCGCTCAGCCTTTTACGACGTTTGATGATTACTTATGTATCGAGTTCGTATACAGTCCTCCGTCGCCACAGGTCTTATTTAGGATCGCGTGGAGCGAACTCAATAATGCTTTATCCCAACCTACTATTCAGTCTTTGCAAGCAGCGCTCATCCTCCTATTACACCCGCCTTTAAATCCTTTATTGCTTGACAGTACAGTCAAGTGGACGCTTCTCGGTATGACTGTCTCGATGGCACAAACACTCGGGCTGCATCTGGATCCTACTATGTGGAACTTACCATCAAATGAGATCCGTACCCGTCGTCGTCTATCGTGGGTGGTATTTGCTCTAGACAAGTGGTTTGCTTTTAGCTTTGGCAGACCAAGCCACATCTCAAGAAATGATTGGCTCATCACTGAATTGCATCCGAGTGACATTGATTCGGAAGACCGTACCTGTGGTTCTCATTTGTATACACTTGAGTTCTCAAAGCTCACCACAATACTGGACAATGTCCTAACAAATCTTTAGTAAGTGAGGACCTTGGGAAGAGCTTTAAGGATCCCAGCACCTCAACCCCTATATACCACGCGAACTGACATATTTGCAGTTCGATACGTTCATTGTCCGCTCTCTCCAAGGACTTTCGTTTGACAATTTCTACCGCTCGTCCTCTTATGCAAGACCTCACAACATGGCATACTAGCCTACCCTTATCCTTAGCCATGGAATCGACGCCTGAGTGTAAACAAACATTAGATGATTCAGCATCTCTCCACATCGCCTATCAATCCGTAAAGGTCCTAATCCTCCGCGCACTACTCCGCCCCTTCAATATTGTGGATCATCATTCCTCCGAGCTAGAGCAAAATGAAGAGTGGCACACCGCACGATCGCAGATTCGTACGACAGCGTCAGCCGAGGCAGATGCAGCCCTGAGCATTATATCAAATCTACGACCAGCACACTATCAGACATTCTGGGCACCTTGTATGTGTGACATAAAGAACCCTTAAGACGGCAGTCTACTGACAAGAAAAGGGTTGAAAACAGCATTTGCCTGCTTAATGAACCTTATATTCCTGCTAACGGTCATCGCCCACGAAGGCACGGATTCTGGGGAAGAATACAGGCAGCAAAGGGAGACCCTTGATCGGGCGAGAACGGTATTTCGTTTGCATGCGAAAAGTCTCGATATCATCCGATTTGCCCTTTTACGTATCGATGCGGTGTTTTGGATCGGATGGGAGAGGGTGTTGGGCTTCCCTTGAGCACTTTAAAACTACCATGGCTAACAGAATCATGGCAGTGGCCGGTGGATTCCGGCAGAGGCATAAAACAAGTCAATATTGCACCTCTCATAATGCGGGACTCATTTCTAGACCCTCAGAGAAAGTTGTTTGCAATACTCTCAACCAGTGAGATCAGCACAGATGCCTTTGGTTGAGATCAGAGTCTCGGTAGGTGGCTTAACAGGGAGCTCTCCCAAACCATCATGGTTTTAAAATCATGGATGGACATGATGGATCCGATGAATGAGCCAGCTGTACCAATGGGCAATGCAGAGATTCATAAACACTAAGTATGAGTCCAAACCCGGTCGGACGAGTCTCCCTCTTCGATGGGAGTGGATATTACTTCCATCTCATAGGAGGGCAGTGACACCACGGATCAGATTGAAATTGTCCGCCAGGCTACCCCAGGTGTTCTCCAGGGCTCTCCGAAGGCCCGTAGTAGAGTGTATTCCTCCTCCCAGATGGGTCAGGCTCCGCCAGATCCTACGATTCGATTCCTCGAATCGATGAAAACACTTTTGTCATTGCGCTCAGCTCTCCATACATCAAGGGCCCCTCGAAGCTCTCGCATTGTTCACTTGGCGATTTTATCGAGGAATCTGATTGAACGACGCCGGCGTTAGTCAGGTGGCCCCTACCACCTCGGTGGGTGGTCGGCCGGGGGGAACTCTCGCCTATTGAATTGCACAAATACTCAGTCACGAATATAAAAAGATTCGCGATCTTATCATCATTGGCTCCTGGGCCTGGACGGGTTGCCACAGTACTTATACTAGATGTGCGATTCGCTCAATCATTTTCGACGAATTGCGTATAAATTCTGCTATGGAGGAAGACAAGAGACATGCCGCAAAGAAGCCTGAATGGCTGATTCCGCACTTCAATGGGGTCATCAATATCCCGCATGATTACTGGGCAATCCCTCATGAACTATCAATGCCCAAGGTGTCGCTCATCTGGGCCTGCGATAGTATTATGGACGATGCAAATTTTTCACCTTTAATACCTCATACAAATGATACGGAGGGAATGAAGAGAGTGGACATTTTGGCAATGGAGTATCACGAAAACCCCAGGCGTGGGAATAAAAAGAAACTATGGCAAGCCTCGTATCTTTAACATGGGAGTATACCAGCGCTTCTCTGATATATTTCCATGTTGGTTAGGTTTAGAATCAATGAAAGGCAGCGGAGTCGAGGGATCCTCGCCGCCATAGGTGAACAGACTGTCAGATTCGAGCTACATAAGAGAAAGCCCTTCATCACCAGTCTGCTCGATAGCTTCAATTAGCGCTTTTCTCGTTTTCAACCCTTCAATCACGTAGTCACGTAGCATTCATCTTCCCGTTGTTTCCACAGGTTGAAGTTCGCGTCGGATTGTGCGATATACAAGCCTTGTCCTGGTATGCTACATATCATGGTCGATGTATCGCGTCGGAGACTCTGTTACTTCCAGGCATGCAACTGTAATACAAGTCATCGACGCGATCAGATCATCCCTCTGAGACGAGGCTATCCTGGAGCTTGAATTATGACGGAGCTCCTATCCAAAGCAGCATAATTTATTGTGTTGTACGCACTGTTGGCCGCGGCCTCGGATTTTGAATGGGTGGATGTAAATAGCCGCCGCCACCCGGGCTGTTTGCTTTGTTTGCCCATTGTTCAATCGATCTCTTCCTAATACACGTCAGCTAACTATGTAACCATGTACGATCCAGGGTGTGTAGGAAAGGACATACTTAAATAGATATATACAGATTTCTGTAATTCACATCAGCGCAGCATTTCTATATTAATAGTAAGTCCACCTGTAAGCCTGCTGGGCTTTTGAACTAAAGGGCATTTTGTCATGGATGTACATGTGCATACGTACAAAATATATAAATATATCTCACCCATGCTCAACGCTGGATATCCCCGCTGGCGAAGATCAGATCTTTGCCTCGGTACTACAAATAAACCCCAACTCGTAAGAATATATGATCCATAAGAACTACCCTAACTACTTTCAACTTGGTTATCGTGGAGGTACAGGGCATAACTTGAAGACTACTAAGTAGTAGTATTCACGTCGGTCAAATCACGTGCTACATGTTAAAGCCTCACCAGTGCCAAGTTAATTGAAGTAAAACCTATTCATGTAAGACCTCTTCCGAGTCACTGATGCTATTGTTGATCCTATTGTCTACTAGGAGGGGCTTTGGAGAGTGAAACACTAATTATAATTGAGACATGTTGCACTGCCAGTCCAGCGCCCCTTGGCGGGTCAATTCAATCCGGGGCTCCGAGAGGGATAGCAAGGGAATGCTGAAGTTCCGACATCCGTGAGACTGGACATAGTCCTAGGAGGAACCTTGGACTAGTGATGGATTTCATGGATCAAGGTTGACAGAGCGCGGAATGTCAGACTGTCAGACAAAGGAAAGGCAAAATTCCATAACCTTACACAGACCAAAAGTGAGACGAGTTGTCCTGTGGTCCAGTTGTACCGTATGGTAAATGTGAATGGTTCTAGATGGCGTGATGGACGGGAGCGGTGCGTCACAATCGACGCACGCTAATCCCGATGGGGTTTCGCCCTTGCGCCGCCCAGGAGCGCCTGAGGCCAGCACCAGTCAATTCTTCTGCCTTCCATCAATAATTAATTTGATTCATTCAAAGCCGAAAATGCTAATAATATCGAAGACGCACACACACATATTCGCCTGTTGTACTCCGTTCTCCTGCCCCTTTTCCTTTCAGATTTCCCTCCGTTGCTGATTTCTCTTTGTTTTATTTTCCCTTTCTATCTTCCACCTCTTTCTGTCATTTCTATAGAAAATTTCCGACGTGCTTACCCGTAAGCAAATGATCGATCTTCCCCGTCATCTCCACCCGCAGCCATCAGACTCGAAAAGCTGGAACTGAGTGGTGCTCACGCTAAACCTCATTAGGTCGTGTGTCTTTTCCACCTCTGTTGCGCTCTTCCACTCGTCCCTGTGTTCCTTTCTTTCCCACCCAGCCTTCTCTCCGTCATATCACCACCACAGACTGATGACCTGTTGGGTATCATCTCGTCGACGTCGATATATTCACAACGCCTTATCGTTCCCACATTGTAGTCCTTCAGGATGCGGTGGCGGCTGCCTGGCGCCCGATCGACTCCCGCCAGCGTCGCTCTCCTTCTACTCCCTGTTCTTGTTGCTCCGCAGCAGCAGCCGGAACATCATGACCTTCCTTCCACCTTGTCGGTCCCCTTAGGGTCGACCGGCCATGCTGTTGGAAAAGATTTGCATACTCCATTGAACGTGAAATCCACCGATGCGAGCGCCCTAGCAACTATGGCTCTGGCGGGCCCCGGCCGCGCCGTTCGAGCCCCTCCTGCCCAGGTCAGCAGTCCGTCTGCTGGCCTGTCTACGCCGCTTAACGCGCGATCTCTGCAGGATTGGGAGGTTGAGGACTTTGTCCTACTGGCGACCGTCGATGGGTCCATTCACGCTCGAGACCGCAAGACAGGCACGGCCCGTTGGGCCCTGGAAGTGCCGAGTAGTCCCATGGTCGAAAGCATCTATCATCGAGCAAATCGATCCAGTTTTGACCGGACTCAACCGGAAGATGACTTCATATGGATCGTGGAACCGAGTCAAGATGGGAGCCTTTTCATATACAGTCCGGGACCGGACGCAGGGTTACAGAGGTTGGGATTGACGGTGAAAGACCTGGTGGATAAGACACCGTATTCCGGAACGGACCCCGCCGTTACGTATACCGCACGAAAGGAGACCACCCTCTATACAATTGACGCCCGTACCGGTACGATTTTACGCGTGTTCAGTTCCAGAGGCCCAATCCCCTCGGGACAGGAGTGTCGGAAAGTTGACGGACTCGACATGGACTCGGATGACTGCGAATCCCCGTCCGGCACCCTGGTTCTAGGCCGGATTGAATATGCTGTCGCTATTCAGAATACCGAAACCGGCGATCCGATCTGTACCCTGAAATATTCGGAATGGGCGGGGAACAATCGTGACCTAGACCTCCAGGATCAGTACTACCGAACCATGGATGAGAGTCACATATATAGCATGCATGATGGAGTCGTGTTGGGCTTTGACCATTCTCGGATGGAACGACCGCGTTATACCCAACGATTTTCCACACCAGTTGCTCGGGTTTTTGATATCATTCGCCCGACCAATCTCGACTCACCTGACGCACCCACGCCTTTGGTGCTCCTCTCGCAGCCTCTGCAGCCCCCTGACCCCGATTACGGCTCCTTGGATGATCGGGATACCCGTGTGTATATCGATAGCACTGAGGCGGGGGGTTGGTATGCCATGTCGGAGGAGACATACCCGTTGGTCACTGGGCGGGCCAAGATGGCACAATGCTACGAGAAGGATTACTTCCGTTATGGACAAGCGCTCATGAGCTTGACACCCAGTCAACAACGAGACGCGTTGGCTGGTGTGCACTCGCTTAGTGGCCCTCGTTTTGTTCGTCACATCCCCAGCCTATCTGGATCGTCGAGAACGGAGCTGTCCAATGGTACTCCCCAGGACTTAGCCCGTAGTCACTCAGAACTAGCCCTTCCTCCGGCATTGCGACATAGTACAATCATCCGAAAGGGTTGGGATAACGCCGTCGACATCTTTGTGACGTTAATATTGTTGTTCTTCGGGGCTTTCATCTATCTCAACTCTCATAATATTCAGGAACTAGCCAAACAGAAGTTGGATATAAAGAACATCATTTCGTCGTACCAGCCACCCCTGTCCACACCGTCAACTCCAGTGGTTGGCGCGCAACTCGAACGAGATTCTAGTTCTGCTCGACCAGTGCCCAATGTAACGGTCGATGTCAGTGTTCCGGAAGACCAACAGCAGCGCGGGGACGTAACCCCCAAACCAAAGAAAGACCGCAATGCCCTCGGTCCCGATAGCACGCCACGAGTACGCATCCGAGAGCCCTCTCGAGGCCCCGATGGCGACGAGGACG